TCCACTGAAAAGCAGCACCCTGGACAGCACTTCAGCGGATCGGAAGCTGGGATCTGTCTTGCAAGTGCTTTGGTGGTCTAGGCGTCACTGATGGTGTTCCCGGAGCTGACGCTTCACTCGTGCATGGCGCGCAAACTCAGCCTCCAGACCTCCTGGCGTACCCCTCCCTATCTTTCTCGCGGGCGTGCCGATGCTGGAGTAGAGTGCGACAGCTCCACTGGCGGTGTTTCAACGGCCTCTGAGCTTTCTCCATACCTTCCTCGTATCTGGCGTGCTGGCTTTCAGCTTTTAGAGCGCGACCTCACTTCCCGCTTCAAGCCGCTCGGTGCTCTCAGGGTAGACCAAGTAGATCTCGTCGCCCGAGCCTCTGGAGATTTAGCATTCAAGCGACTCGGACAAGAGGCTTCTGCTGCTCGTCATCCTAGCGAGAAATTGTGCATAGTACGGCAGACAGAGCTGTGCGTCCTTCAGCCTGTCCCGAAAGCCAGCCTACCGTAACACGGCGCTAGTATCTCGGAGAAGAAGAGCGAGAATAAGTGCGCATTACCTCGAGGACTCGGGGCAGCGCTTGGTTGCCAGGCAGCAGGCGACAAAGTACGGGGTTTACCTCTTGGTGGGGCACATCTTGCCTGTCGTGATCTCGCTCACGACGCACTTGTCGCGACTGTAGAACGGCACAGTCGTCGTCACTTGGTAAGTAGGTGTCCAGCCACAAGTGTGCCTCCGCCTCGGAGGTATCGAAGTACTTTTGCGGCGTACATTGGTGGACGAAGTTCACGCGAGGCCCGTGTATCCCCGCCTCAAGCATCTCTATGTGATCCTAAAACTTTCACAACTACGAAAATAGGAATTGTCGTCAGGCCGAAGTCGCTCGAGATGTTTTACCTGGATGTTATAAGTGCCGCTACCAACCCAAATCATTACGAGTATTTCGAAAGTCGACATTGTCGTTGATATTTCGCCTAAAGTATAGGATTGTGATAATAAAAAACATCGCGTAAAAAATGTCCATTTGTATGATAAAGGCAAAAAATATTCTCGATTTTTATCAAATTGCTAGTTGTTTAAACCTTGAAAAACAAGGTATAATAATCTGAAAATAACAGACGGTATTTAAAAAAGAATCACAAACCGCAACTCTTTTGGGATGTACAAAAAAGTATTACAGTTTTTAAAATATTGTCAATGACGATTTTTTGAATTTGTACTTGCGGTTAAGACTATCGATTACAGTGACGGCGGCAATTACTCTGATACAGGGTTTTGGTTAGCGCTACTTTTGCGATTTAAAATAAACGGTCTAATCTGCATTCACATAGACCAACTCTAAACTTTAAATTAGACTGGGGTATACTAAATAGAGTAAGTATAATACGAAAACTGTGAATCAAGTATATTTTTACTAAAAATGCAACTAATAATTGGTTGTAAATAAGCTATGCATTATTTGATAACAAATGCTACTCATGCTAAGCCTAATTGAACATGACTAAGGAGCTTAATGTTAAATAAGCTGCATTTTGGTTGCCAAAAACTTTCAATAACAATGGACGAGATGTTACGTCAGAAAAAAAAATGTGCGCGTGGTCTCTGGCGCTAGCGCGAAGGGCAGTCAAAGATTTACATCGTTTGCTTGGCGAATCAGAACACCGAATAGGTACTGTTGTTATCTGCGAGCATTGTGTTCCCGTTTTTAACCGAATGCATATCGTGTTGTAGGGGCTTCTAGTAGATATTCTTGAGTGGGTTGCAAGCGGTCAGACTGTATCTTCTGGATAGTAATATTTACAAAGTCATATATTACTATGCAATGTGTTAGTACTTAGTTTAAGAATGAGTATAAGGATAAAATATGTTTACTATAATATTTATGAAAGTCAAGAGGTAACGTAAGTAGACGTTTTGAGGCTAGCTTCACTACATAGCTACGTCCCAATAAACGGATGGAGGACATCTACGAAGATCACCTATTGCAAAAATGTAGGCAATATCACGTAGAGCTTGAATAAGAGCCTGGCCATGCATAATTATTTTTTAAATAGTGCGATGTAAAATCACCAGAGCCATTACCATTTCAAAAGTTGATAACCCTGCGGAAACAGGAATGGAATGAATATACACATGCTAGCTTTATGCATATTTGAGTTTAAAGTATTTACTACTATTATTGTTTTTTATGATTTTGCAGAAGGTAGAACGCTATGATCTTACTTGTGGAGAATTGATATTTTATGCAATTGTCGCTACTACTTCAATATTACAGTGATCTGATTAGTAGATGAGACAGTGTTCGAGTCGAAACAGCGTATTTCGAAACATTTCGCTAAAACTAGTCATTTCGAATACCTGCTTTTTTAACAGCTTTGAGCTGCTTCGTGGAAAACACCTCTACCATGAATGTCAAAAGTAGCGATTTCAAGGCACTTGAGGGTTTAGTAAATTGAGGTATAAAAGCTCAAGCCACCCAAAGCAGCTATTTTGTTGGCCAAATGCGGATGGGGGCGGATTATTTTTATGCACCTGACGACTGCTTTCTATTAATTAGCGGCTATTTTCAATACACGCCGATTAATTGTATGCATGAGGGTGATATTGTATGCTGTCATGGGTTATTGTAAATAGCTCGCAAAATATTCGACACGCCACCTTCGACGTGTACGGTGACAGTAAGGTTTCTGTATGAATGGAATTGCTAGCTTGATAAAGGAATACGCAGCCCTACAAGAAACAATATGTATGTGCTGTATTCATTGCAGCAGTGGATGATATAGAATCGGGTTGTATTCGGATCATGGTTCTAATCTTGATACATTGATTAATAGTTTGATCATTTATACGCGATTTGACATCAAATAAATCTCAAAATCTCGTGATATATGCACACAAAGTACTTGCCATCATCGCTTCGTAAATTTTAATACCTAGTGGATTACTTAACCGTCGTTAGAGGGCAATACGGTCGCGCAGATGAATCGCATTAGATCAAAACAAACGTCTGCATGACTACCTCTGTAGCTCAATACGACACGCCCTTGGTAGACTGTAGAGTGCTATATAATTGTCACTAACTAGACCGCGACCTATATTCAGTGTGCTTCGATCGCAAGTACGTTTTTAGTCCTTACTCGCAACTCGGAGTTCGTGTTATAGCTACTGTGGGTGCAATGCTCCCGGGTGGTGATTCACAAGTTCCTGCGCTGATCTGCTGACGCCATGAGTTAGGGCAAACGCAAATCGGCTCTATTGATTAGCGAACAATTAGCGCTGATGGAGAAGTCCGCGGTATGAGGTGGGGGGTCGGCTTGCCCGGACGAAGGCCGAAAATAAATTTGAGGCGCCAGCTTACGCGAAGGCAGAGTGTTTTCCATTATTGTCTTCTCTCTCTGTGAATCTAAAATAGCTAGCACGTAACACCCAATCCTAAGTGAGGGATCGAACGTGGGCTACTGGTTTTTCTTGCCAATGTTCGTTTTGTTTTGTTGGGCAGGGGAGTAGACAACATCCCAAACCTCAATCGAGGGAAAATAGTTTTTCGGGATCAAGCAGTGAAACCAAACAGAATATCTCGCAACCGGACTCAGACTCTTTGCCGTGCAATGCACGAATATTTGAATATTTGTAGCGAAGCGTTGTTAGTCTAAACGTTTCCACGCCCCTAGAAAAAGTTAACACATTGCACTACACCCAGCTACTGCACTTGTGACTCGATGGCTGCGAAACAAGGTAAAACCTTTATCACCATGATCGTACTCAGCCAATGAACCACCACACGCAGCCTACAACCTCGTGGAAGACCTCGGTCCCGATTCTCGCCTTGCCGACCCACAGCTCACCTGCGGTGGCTACACCGGCCCTAGCTACGGCACCAATGCCTCGAGGAGGGGGGGGGCAAGGAGGAAACCGTATTGTTTATAGTCGCCTGGAAGCCCTCCGACCTGGTTCTCATGTTATCCATCCCCAGTCCACCCGCGGCGGCTACACCTTAGGATCTATCCAGCTCAACATTCAATCTGGACTTGGTAACACTTCGACATGGCTCGATTACACCCCCATCGCTTGAAAGTCGTTTACGGGAAAGCCATGACCCGTTCTGCGTACTTTGTTAGGAGGGACAGCATCGTTTTATCGTATAGAGCGACACTACTCTAGTGGTGAGGTTAGCAAGACAGCATGACTCTGCACCAAGTAGTAGAGCGAGAAATGACCCCCGGCTTAACTACTTCTGATGCTCCATTATTCAACAGCTGGGAGGACTGTTGCCCATGATATGATAGCGCCTGACCCACTACCTTAGTACTCCTATGCCACCGTAAAGATATCGGTTGCTCATACGACCTGTCGTCTATTTGTGGGCCAGCTTTGGTATCACGCACTGCTAGATAGGCTGGTAATGCAAAATAGGTTTGGCAATACCATTTGAGTGCTAGCACCATACACCACCTACCTATAGTCGTGAATAACACAAGACTGTGGTTAGTGTAGTTTGGACTCAAATTTTGCACCAAGAAGTATAGTGTTGGCAGGCCCTGTCGTAATGCGTGGTGCTAATTAAGTCTGCGATGGGGTCAGTAAAACTGACTTAATGTAGCTTTAGGTTTTAAAGCCATGCATGAATTATCGGTAAATCTAAATTTAAAGAACATTTATTTGAATACGATTCCGATTTAAAACATTGATGGCATTGGTTCGTTAATAGAATTAATCCTAGATAATACAATAAATCCCCATGTAATAGAAAGTAGCCGATGGATGCATAAAAAAAAGTTTTTCCCAATGCGGATAAAAGTGCTTTTTGGTAGCCATCTCGAACACAGCCTGAATATCGCGGGAAACACTTTGTTTGTGGTGATAGTATGGTTCCAACAATAGCCTTCTTGTTGCCGTCGTTAAGGCTTCTGACGAGTTTTTGAATGAATGACAAACCCTGTTTGTACCTTTCGCTCTTTCATTGATCCTTTCAACCAAACCATTTGCACGTTTACAAACTATCCCTTTTACTATTACTGATCCGTCGAGCAGAGCAGAGCGACACCTCGCAGCGTCCAATGCAATGGGCGATGGTCTCTGGAAGCGAGCGGCACTGAGAAGATGTAGTGCTTGTCAGTCCTTCTGGCGTATCGATAAACTGGGGCTTCGTAGGCTCCGTAAGGTCCATGGTCTTGTGCTGCTCGGGTCTTTTTGTGTGCTTTGGTTGCAGCCGTGACGTAGATGGCAGGGAGGGGGGCGAACAACCGCTTCGGCTCCTGCTCCACCAACGTCCCATCGGGTCGGTTCCAGGCCGCACCGTCCAGCATCAACCCATGCACCAGCACACCTTCGCGTGGAGGTTGCTTGATCTGCTCCAGCCGCTCGTAGTCCGTCACCTCGCTGTAGTAGACCACGTCGTCCAGCGCCCAGCGCTCGCTCGCATGCGCTCGAGTCGATTCCTGCGCTACGGCAGTCAGGAACCCCTGCGGGTTGGAGAAACCCGCCAGCCAGAAGCTGGATGGACGGCCGCGATCCAGCCATACGCGTAGCTGGTTCACTCGGTCGATAAGACCCGTAACCCAAAGCCCCAATGTTCCGGCTAGCCACGCTTGCTCGTTTGCCACCCACGCGGGAGGCACCTTGCCGTCAAATATCGCTTCGCCGGTTTCACGCAGTGAAGACGTAAGCAAAACTTCACCTGCTAACGCGCGCTGGGTCTTTATGAGTGAAGCTCGGACGAATTTCAGGACGTGCCGTAGCGCTCGAGCTTCTTGACACAGGAACAGATTCAGAGGCAGTTCAAGCCCACCTCCGAGGACCTTTGAACGCAGAGCTTGACCCAACGATTCTTCACTCAATGCCTCATCTCCTCCTTGTGGTAGCGCTGATAGCAGCTCACGGATCTTTTGCTGGATAATGTCTTCCCGAGTTTCCGGTTTACTGGCCGTAGCAGCATTCCCAGAGCCAGTGTCAGCGTCGGTAGGCTGGGTGTCAACGATGGTGCCGAGCAGGGCGGAGACTTCCTTGACGCGATACGTCAGATCAGCGTTCGGGTGCAGTCCGAAGACTTCTGGTGAGTCGACACTCGGGAACGCAGCGATGAACCGATGGTACTCTTCGATCTCCGCCATTGAGGACTCCGGCAGACAGTAGTTGAATAGCTGACCTGAAGACGACACGGTGCCTGTCCCTGTGGACAGCTTCACCTCCGGGTTGAAGGAAAAGGAGCTACCAAGTAGTGTCGGGTTGAACCATGCATCGCAGTAGGCACGGAAGAGCCTCCGGTCCAGCTCATCCATGATCCGACCGCCATAGTGCACTTCCGCCACCATATACTGCACCGTCGGCCATGATGGCGTCGGTGACGTGAACAAATGACGCTCCAGGAAGCTCAGCGACGCGCCCATGTCTCCAGCGTTGAACTCGTACGGCACACTGAAGCCCAGCGGTCCAAACTTGCGGCGTTCAACCACCACCGCATGCAAGAAACACACGGCAAAGAGAAGTGAGCGCCACGAAGGGCTCTCAAGCCGGTCCAGTTTGTCCTGATCCACTAGCACCGTAAAGCTGCGTAGCAAACCTGCACGCAGACCAGCAGGCGGTTCGTTCGTCACTTTCGTACTTCGATGCAGTAGAGCAATCGGGAAATCTGGATGCGGCTCCGAAGTCAGGAACAACCGAAACTCTGGAGCACGCGCAGGAGCTGCAGTATTGCCGCTATTCCCTGCACTTCCTCCATTCGCACCAGTGAGCGCCTCACACAGAGAGTCCAAGTAATTTAATCCAAGATGACAGTTCTGCAGCAGAACCCACGAGCCGTTCAGCATAGCGGAGGCTACAGTGCGCGCTGCCACAGCCTCTTGACCCTCGCCCATGGAGATGGTCGTCACACTCTGGCGCTTCCTTCGTGCTAGCTGCTCAATGGACTCAGTTGGGTCCGCTCCAGGAGACAGCAAATACAGCACCGGCGTCTCAGCTTTCATCTCCTGGTACACACTTTCCACCGTATCCGTAATGGGCTCCGCGTAGCGAGGGCCTAGCGCTGGGACTCTCGAAAGACTCACGCCAACGCTGCCTTCGATGAATTCAATAGCACGAATGAAGTCGAGAACTGCAGGAATCGTTCGGTCTTCACGCAATGAGCGTACCAGTAGTAGTCGATGGAAGTGGAGGTTTGCTGTGATGGCTCGAGGGTCGAATAGGAGCCCTTCGTAGTCAGGCACCGCTAGACGCTCCGGCTCATTGTCCTCGAACCACTTGCGCCACGCACTTTCACTGCGCTCGAGATCCCCGAGCAGGTTACGGAAGTGTGGCTTCTCACTCGCGAGCTGCACGGCGTTAAGCCACGCGCCCGTCGGCATCCACCCGAATGGTTTAGGCTGGTCACTCGACAACTTCCGCGATGCCCCGGCCTTAAGGAAGAGCGTCACATCCGCTGGAGTTACACAGTCCGCAGCAACGAGGATCTTCAACGCAATCATCAACAAGAAGCTGAGGCGGTGACGATCGTACAGACCGCGGTTCACATAGCGGAAGACAATGTACGTGAGCGTCTCCAGGATGTACGTAACACGCTTCGAGGCGAGTGCGGAGCGCTCCGCCTCCTCGATGCCACGGACGAATAGCTGGAGGAATTGATCCAGCGACGTCTGGTACATGGCGTTCACCGCCGCAAAGTCGACGATGCCGAAGTAGAGCACCGACCCACGCGCGGCGACTGGGCGATAGTGCTCGCGCTTTTCGTCAATACCTCGTTTCACTTCCTCGGCTGCGAGGATCTTGTCGTTGACTTCGGTCGCTTTCGCTTTCGTGTTCGCCAAGACAGACACCAACTCCACATCGTCCAGCAGGTTGGCCTTGCTAGCTGAAAGTCGCTCAAGCAACAACGCGTCGAGAGCCACGAGCGCTTTCGCGTTAGCGTTAAGCTCGAACTGCACACGCTCGAGCTGCTCTTCCAGCGAGCGCTGCTCTTGGCGGATAACCTGAGCCAGTAGCTGCTCCTCAAGACCTTTCTGCGTGACGGTGAAGTCCACAACGAGCGTTCGAGCCTGCAGCTCCGGCGAGAAGTGTGGGTTTGGAACGCGAGTCGTCAGGTACAAGGCGAAATCCTCCTGGTACTCGCACAGCCGATCCATGATCTTGACGAACTTCCCCTTGGCGCGCACGACGAAGTTTTTGTCCAGAACGTTTGCCATCATTGGGTCGGGGTCAGCACCGTCCACGCCGTCTAGCACCAACGCTTTGCCTTCTCCAACGCAGTGCTCAAGAATCTCACGCAGTTTCGGACTGCTAACGGAGACCACCCCCATAGAGGGCAAGCGTTCGGCCTCTCGGCGTAAAACCCACGCCAGCGCTTGACCTTGTGGATCGATCAGCAACGGGAAACGGGGCGCTCGCGCTACTAGTAAACCATTCTGGATGGAGAGAGGATCTGACGGTAAGCCTTGCATCTTCCAGTCACTGACAGTCCCAGCATCGGCGAGAAATTCTTCCAGCGCCAAGCCGCGGGTCAGAGGGATCGTGAACGATGGTTTCGCTAGGCTAGCGGTAGCAGTACTATTGCTGCCTGAAGCTCCTGGGGCTGGAAGGGTTGGTACTACACCCAGCTCGTAGGGAAGGCGTTCACGTAGCAGTAGGTCTCGATACTCTCGGTTGAACGGTCCGCAGTAGCAGAGGAAGGCTGCGGCTAGAGCGCAATCGCCCACTAGATGCTGCTTCCGCTCCACAAACCGGTTCGAGTCCTCGGTCCACCGCACCTTCTCGCCACCAAGTCCACCGATGAGAGCTGTAGCTTGCTCCATCTTGCGCTTCGTAGCTTGAGCGAAGGCTTCAACTCGAGCTTTCTCGGCCATTTGGGTCTGGAAGTCCTCCTGCAGTCGAGTGAGCACATTCTGACACTTCTGTAGCTTGTCTTCCGAGCTCTGCAGCCTCGCTTGGGCAGCCTCAAACTTCCCCTCGGCAATGCGCAGCGCTTCCAGCTTGGGTTTCACCACCTTGGACGCCTCGTGGTACATGCTCATGGCTTTCACCCAGCAGAACAGTCCTTCTGCAGCTTTCGACGCGTTCTTGGCCACTGGAGCACTAAACCCGGCAAGCTCCATGTAAGGCGCCATGAGCTCCAGCGTTTCGTCGTTCATCTGGTCCTTTTGGTGCTTGGAGAAGTAGAAAATATTCTGCAGGAAGCGCGTGTCGGCCAGCATTCCCGACTTGGCGATCTGAAACGAGTCCAGGAGGAAGTCGCACGTGTGTTTCTCCTTCCCAACGCCCAGCGTCACGGGCGCGCGCTCAACTTTCAACAACGGTGCCATCTGTAAGATAGCTACACAGTCGAAGATGAGTTTAATGATATCGCCTGGCTTGGCCAACTTCTTGAGTTCATTCAGGTCATTCGGTCGGATGCTGCTCGCTGCTCTCTCCGCTTCGTCCAGGAAGGGTTGCGCGCGCTTGAGGTCCTCCTCGGCCGCCTCCTTCTCCGCCAAAATGATGGCTGCGTCGGCCAAACACTGCTCACGGATCTGCTGGACAATGTCGTTCTCCTTCTTCGCCTCGAGAGACTTGACCTGTAGCGTCTCCAGCATTTTGTTAGCCGCTGCTTCTGCTGCCACGAGCTTCGCTTCCTCCTCCTTAAGCACAACTTTCATCCGCTCCACATCCTGAGCACCCTGACCCAGTTTATGAAGTCCCAAGTTCACTGCTCCTTCCTGGTGCCGTACTCCGCTCAACTTCTCAGCATACAGCTCTTTGTATGTCGTCAGGAAGCTGAGAAAGCTGCGCGGAGTCTGCACAACACGTCGCCGTCGCCGCATAAAGTACTCACCGCTGACCTTCTCGACAGCTTGATGCATCCTCCCCATTTGAACCACCAGCGCTTCTTTAGTAGCTGGAGGAGTCTCGAGTCCGAACTTGTCGAGGTACCCTTGACTCACCGCGGTCAGCGCTTCTTCGGGCCACGGCAGGAACCAGTCGATAGTGCAGCCATTAACGAGGTGCGGGAACTCACGACAGCGGTCGGCGAAGCGTGAGCTCACCGGCGACAGGCACAACACCACGTGGAGGTTCCGACGCACACGGTCGTGGAAGAACCGCGTGAGGTTGGGCAGCGTGTCGGCGCGGTCAGGACATTCACGCTGCATGGCTCCTCTTAACTCGCTTGCCATAGCGACCAACTCGTCACGCGGGAACAAACCGGGCACTTCACCCGTCGCTAGAAGAGCGTTAACCTGCTCCAAGAACGAGTCGTCCTTGATGTCGGCTTCAGTGAGCAGGAAAACGACCCCCTTGCCAACTTGTCCCGCAGTCTTACACAGTCCACGGAGGTCGTCGAGGAAAGCTGAGAGCGTGTACGCCTTGGTGACTGCCAACTGACAGAGCTCGTGGCCACTCAACGCGGCTGCAAGGCGAGCCAGCGACTGCTTGCCTGATCCACCGACTCCAACCAGCATCATGTTGCTCTGAGCAAGACCCAGCACACGCGTCAGTCGAGCCAAGTGGAACAGAGCTTCCTCGAACAGGATAAGCGGAGGCAACGCTCGCCCAGGATTCTCGCGGTTGAACTGCGCCAAAAGATGCTCCACCCTGGTACGCAGAGAGTTCACGCTGGACACGGGCTCATAGTTGCGAGGTAGATCCCCCACGGGCTCACCAAACTCGTCCAAAGGTTGGTCTTGGAGGAAGTCCACGAACATCATGGCTTGTCTTGCGCTCAGGACTGAGTGCACGGACTGCTGGCGTTGTGGGGAATGGTGCGGCAGGTGGCCGTCCGTCTTCTCCTTGTTTGCAACGGAGCTTGAGCTGCCTGTGCTTCCAACCAGCTTCGAGACCAGTCCTTCGGCGACGGCGGTGAGTTCGTCACAGAAGCGCTGCTTGTCTTCGAGCGAGACAAGTCTGTCGGCAAACACTCGCTCACTTTCATGCTGCCAAAGCCGAACCAGGGATCTATCCGAAGCGGTCGCGCTCTCGACCGGAGCTCGCAACAAACCTTGGAAACTGCGACTGAGCTCGCGTAAGCTAAAGACGTAGTGGAACTTCTGCGGTGTCGGCGGCATCGAGCGGCGCAACCAGAGCCAGAGCTGCACGGAGGCTGCCGCGAGACGGTTAATTAGATCGAACAGATACTTCTTGGGGATGCCTGCGGTTGAACTGCTGCCGTCCATGTCAGGAAGGAACCGCCAGCGGGTTAGTTGGGCGAAGATGGCTTCAGCCACCTCCGGCGAGGGAGGCAGCAAGTTCAGGATGAAAAAGTGACGCTTAAGGCGAGCTGGGGCGTCATTCTTCCCGGCTAGAGGGAGCCCCATGGCCGCGAGGAAGCGCAAGCCCTCGATCACCTTGATATCACCACGCTTGTCCTTGTCGAGGAAGCACAAAGTTCGAGTTTCCACTAGTTGGCGCACGACTTCAAGCGTGGGCTGGTCTCCCCACTCATTGAGCGCTGGCATGGACAGATCATCCATGAACAACGTGAGTTGCTGGCCGTTTGACGGGCCGAACGTCTTGCCTCCGCGCTTCTCCAGATCGCCTTCGACTGTGGCTTGGAAGGCTCCACCTAGAGTGGCGCCCGAAAAGATCAATGTCCTGCACGCCAAGCCCTCTCCACCTTGACCATTGCTCCCCGACGATCGGCTCTCGAAAAATAAACGCGCAAGTGTTGACTTGCCCGTTCCTGGCTCGCCTACAAGCAGCACGGGGAGTTGGCTGGCGTGAAGGTGCTCCAACAAATGCAGCGCACGCGCGGTGTCGGTTGTGGGGATGATCAGACGCCCAACGTTCACAACACCACTCGTGCGTGCTAGCAGGTTCTCGCAGCTATCGAGCGCCCACTTCTCCCACTCGAGCGTCGACGGATGCAAGAAGTGGTCGAAGATTGTCAACGGCTGGGCAGAGTTTGAGCTCGCTGTTGTTCCCTTCTGCGTGTCATGCGAGTCGTGAGTGGTGGCCACTGCGCCTGATGTTGCCGTCAACGGTGGGAATGTCGTTGCGGGGGCCTTTTCAACCAGATAGTAGTGCAGCTTTACTCGGTCCTCGAGGTCCAGCACGCCTCCAACCGCCCACGCAAGCGAAAATGCAAACAACCGCTCCAGTTCCAACTCCATGTCTATAGCCGAGTGCTCACTGAGTTCACAACGCTCCATCAACGACTGCAATAAGTTCAAGCAGGACTGGATCAACGCCACTCGGGGCGCGTTCATCACCGGACGGCACCGTCGGCTCAAGAACTCGAACAGGTGCCCAGAACCTGAAGTCGGCGTCGTCTCACTTCCACCTACAAGCGTGCGGATACTTCGCGCCAACGCTGCTCGCTGCGAATCTGGTCGCAGTCGCAGCCACCGTTGCGCCACTGGTTCCCAATCCAGATCTGTGTCGCTTACGTACACGATTCCAGCACGGGATACAGTCGCAGGTGAGGCATTGCGCAGGTCCTCGACCTCGAACAGCAACTTGCAATTGTCCGTCATCGGCAGACGATCGCCGTTGGCCAAAGTCAGCAGCTTATTGTCGTCCAAGACGGTGTTCAAATTTTCAATCCAAACCGCATCAACGGGCCCATCGCAGACCAACCAGGCGACGTCTTTCCTGGATCGATCGTTGAACTTGGCCCAAATTGCTGCGAAAACGCCGTCGACCCATTCTCCAGACAACCGATCGGTCTCGCCAAACAGTTCCTCCGCGCGTACTGCCTTCGGGTTCAACCGTACTTGACGATGCGGCGTGCGCGTGTGGAACCCCAACGCCGTCTGCAAGGTCCTCAAAATCTCGGACTTGCCCGAGCCAGCGGGCCCAACCAGCGCGATACCGTGACGCACGAGCTGAGTCTCGTACAGTTGGGTCACCTTGGCGCTCCACGTTGCAGGAGGCGGCCAGCTTTGCGTCTTCTGTAGTACGTCTTCAATGGCCCCAGCGATCTCGTTACTGCTGCTGTGTCCTTGTCCATTTCCTGAAGGAGCAGGCTCCACGCCTGGGAAAATATCGCGCAACAGCGACAAGAAAATCGGGACGTCCGCGGCCACCAACTTGGAGAGATTCATGTCCCGCAGAGTCGTCATCATGAGCAATTCCTCGCTAGCGAGCAGGTTATCGCGCTTTGTAGCACCCGCAGAACGCAAAACAGATAAAATATTCCGCAGCCCGAAGTCGTAGTGACGCTGCTTGGACAGTTGACCCTCACACACAGCGTAAAGCGTCTTGAACTTGCGAGCTAGCTCGGCAAACGCGTCGTAGCCGACAGCACACAGTCGGACTTTCATGATAATTTCACGATCGGGGACCATCATTGCCACACCTCGGAAGAGCGCCTTGAGGTTCTCCGGCAGCTCCTGCCGCCCTTGGTATCCTGGATTCATCGTGATGAAGTACGCCGCATCCGTGTGTAGACCGATAGGCAGTGGATCACCCGGGAACGTAAACGTCGGAGCCTGCACGCGCTTAGCGTTCGTGATTGCCAGAACTTGCTGAGCAACAACCGAAAGCACGGGGAGTTCAATGCGGTTAAACTCATCGAAGCAGCCCCAGAGGCCTCCTTGGCAGAGACCCTTGAAGATCTTGGCCATGTCCGAGTAGCGCTGCTGGTCTGTGCAGTTGGTGACGATCACGTACACTCCAAGACTGCGCCCCAGGTCTTTCACCGTCTCGGTCTTGCCCGTACCAGCAGGACCGGCAGGAGCTCCTCCTAGATGCATTCCCAGAGCTTGAGACAACGTGATGTAGGCGCGGTCTGTGAGCGGCGTGATAACCAATCGCTCCTTGCAGCCCAAGTACTCGAACGCGTACTTGAAGTCCACGTCGCAGATCGAGATCAAGCAGGCGTCCGGGCCCACGGAATCGAAAGCCCCTTGACCGCCCACACGCCAATAGAAGCGTGCTTGCTTGAGCCACTCGAAGTCGTTGGCATCCGAGAGTTTCTTCTCCTTGTACAGTCTGCAGAGCTCCAGGAAGCAGTCGCGTTGATGCACTTGAATCGTGATTAGAGTCTCCACTTTAGTACGGGTGAGCTTCGTGCCCAAATCGGTAAGACACCAAGAAGACAGCTCGGATAACATGGTGCCGTGGCGCTTGGCTGTCTGTGCCATGATCCCCTTGGTAGTCCGACAACGCTGCAGTGCGTCTTGACACTCTGCTGTCCAGCTTAGCTGAATGCCAAGCAGCGCGAACTGTGCGCAGGTTTTGCTCACAAACTCTCGCAGTGAACCGGAGGAGCAGTCGGCTGCAGCTTGGCGACAAAGCGTCTTGAGTGTACGCCGCATCTCCTTCTCCAGCATCCCCAGCCAGTCTTCAATGTTCCCATCAGGCAGCACAGGCTGCACCAGCGAGATGGTTTCCTCGTCGTTGCCCACTAAAGACTTGATTTCAACGATCTTCCGCTTCGCGTTCGGGGTTGAAGCGGCAGCAGCTGAAGACGATGAAGCTTTGGCTTCCGAAGAAGCCGACATGGGCCTTTCGTGCACGACTTGGCTGATGCTGTCGAAGATTTTCTCGTAGTACTGCTGCACAGCTGCTGGATCGGAGCCCCGTGACAAGATGAGCAGCAAGAGCGGGTTTGAGACGAAGTAGAACCGCGGGAACTTCTTGCGCTTTTGCTCGAGATATCCCTCCAGCGACTTCTGACACTTTTCCAGCTCGCTGAAGAGAGACGGGAGCGTGCTGCGGAGTAGCTCGTTGGAGCAGCAAGCCACGACGAAGCCCACTTCGGACGCCTTGCTCATGACTTTCAGCCAGTCTTTGTCGATTTTCGCGAACTTCTTGGCCTCAAGGGGCATCTGCTTGGCGATATCCCCACCCGTGAAGACAGATTCGAGAGACATCCACAGTGTCTGGACCTTCGCCCACAGTTCGAGAACATCCGCTGTGTCGGAGAGTTGAGCCAGCTTGGCTTGTACTCGGTCCTTGAAGAACACCACGTGCCTCATGCTCAATATGGCTTGGAGTTGCAGTTGGCCTTCCTCGAGATCCTCAATAATCTGGCCGTAGCCCTTGAGCACAGGCACACTTCGCGCTCTCCATTCACTGAATTCAAACGCTGTACCAGCCCAACGATCCGTGAGATCACGCAGCTTGTGTTCAATCTGCAGCTGCTTCTGCGCGCTCTCGCAAATGTACTCAACGTCCTCTTTCCAGGTGAGAAGCTTGGCATCGAGGACGTCCTGGAATTTGAACGAGTCGTTGTCGTACGGGAGCCGCTGGCCGTTGCAGGCCTTGATGATCTCCTCCCAGTGACGAGGCTTGATGCTTTCTCTCGTCAGCTCGCGCACAATGGGCAAAACCTCGAGGAACTCGGCGATCACCTTCCGCAGGATGCCGTACGCCTCCCATTCGCACAAATTCTTGGGCATCTTCTTACAGCGCTGGTCAAAGCCAGCGAAGCAGTCGCTCATACGCTCCACATTCGCGCCAACCTGCACCCATGGGATCCCGCGGAACTCGTCCATGGTCCTCTCGACGTCCATGTAGAGACCGTAGAGCTGATCTAGCAGCGCCATCTCCTTGCGAGTGCGAACAATCTCGGGGTATTCGGTAGGACGCATGCCAAATAATTCCTCTCCGGCTGAGAACACTTCGAGCTTCCGCTCGCGGATCCCAAGTAGATCCTTGAAGCGCTTGAGACGCTCGACTGCCTCGGCGGGCTCAAGCCCCGACGCCATCGGCCCGTTGGCTTCGTAATCGCCTCGAAACACTGCCACATCCGCCTGGAAATCCTTGACGTCCTTGATCAGCTGCTTCTTGAAGCCTCCCTGCACCTCCGAGAGGTTGTCAGTGACTTCTTCTGCATAGTCGACAAGCTTCCGCCATGAACCACGCAGGACGCTCTTCTGATCCATCTCGTCCTTGTCCATATACCCACCGGGGAGAAAGTGCTCGAGCATGTCGTACATGTCCGCGATGGGATTTAGCTCCATTTCGATGGCAGACTCGCGCTCCCGAACCTCCTTCAACACGCCCATGACAAAGCGAAGTGCATCGAGGGATTCCACGCGCGTACTGAGCTTCGACGTCGTCGTGCGGATATAATCCGTAAGGTTGAACAGCGCTGTGCGGGCCTGTTGGTGGACTTTATCCGAGTACTGTACCTTCCATTGGCGGCACTCGTTGCGCAGCTGGAGCTTGAGGTTCTTGGTGTTTAAAGACAACACAGCGATGTTGTGAACTGGCGCGATGAGAGAGATCTCCGCCTCCACGGCCATGAAGTGACGCAGCTCTGTCTCGAAATCCTGGATGAGCGGGTTGCGCTGCATGAACTGGTTGTAGCGAAACTCCATGTCTTCCTTCCAGAGCCAGTCGTACTTCTTGAAGGCCGAGAGGTACTCGTGGACCTGGTTCTTGGTGCCATGCAGAGCTCCGGTGAGGAGGATAGCCACCTTGATGATCTCTGTGTCGCACCCGAGCCGCTCAAACAAACTCGTCCGTGCAGTTTCTGGGAAAACGCTTTGTTGTCCCCACTCGTACAGACTCTTGGAGCAGCGGAGCACAGCGACAGCCGATCGGTTGATCGCTTTTTGGATATCATCCAGCGACGGACTCAACCTGACGGACGGAACGGAGAGCTGGACGTCAACCTCGAAGAACGGTCGCTCCAAGAAGAGGAAGCCCGTTCCAGCCTTAGAGCAAACGCGCTTCTTGATGGCATCCAGCGACTGCTTCGTGCAGGTTACAAGCGAGCGGTAAAAGAGGTTCCTGTAGAAGTTGCGGAACGTCTCCATCGCTTCTGTATTGCACGCAATTGTAGTTGACACTGAAGTAGCTGAGACGCCCCCACTATTCACAAGACTAGCTGCCGCCGAGGAGCTACCATCCAAATTATAGTCGCAGATCAGCCGCAGTACATCCTCCACGGCATTTTCAATCTCGACATTCTTCGCTGCGAGCTGCCGCGTGACATTCGCCACGTGCTTTTCCTGCATACGTACGAAGTCATCCAGTGCAAAGGATTGATCGGTAGGGAGGTGCACGAGCGAGGCCTTGGACACAAGCACCAAGTTCTTCTCGATGCGGTTTTCAATGGCGTCCAAGACACTTGAAATGAGCTCCTCGAGTCGCTGCAACGCCGCGTGAGCTACAGCTGTGTACGCATCAATGTTCATGCTCGTCCACGTAAGCGTCACGAGTCCAGGTCGAAGCTTCTGCTGGAGGTCTTCCAAGTGAGGCCGAAGTAACACAGCCGTAACCGGAATGATCTTCGCTGTCACGCGGTCGTACTCGTGCAGAGCGTAGCTCAGGTCGTTGTAATAAGCCTTAAACTTGTCCTCCTGGAGCATGACCATCCGTGCATTTTCCGGTACCTCGATGCCCATGCGATCCAAACAGCGAGCCTCGCGGATGAGCTGCAGTATTTCCTTGTCAAAGTTTACGAAAAGCCGGCCAGTTTCTGGATGTCGAATGATGAGCGTAGCGTGGAGACCTGCTCGAGCACTTTCAACAGAGCGGCACCACGCTTCGTACCACAAGTACTCGAACGCCACGAGCGTACGCGCGACCTTGTTGTACGTTTTGATGATCTTCTTCGAGTCTTTCGTGGAGAGCACAGTCGGGTTGCTCTCGAATTTGCGCATGGGCTCTTCGATTCGCCGAAGCAAGTGGCGCGACCAGAGGATGTTGCCAGCAACTGGAGGGAGATTTCGGGCCACTGGAGGGTCGTGTCGATGTCTTTCGTAGAGCTCCTGCACGTGCGACAGATCCAGTCCGTAGTTGTGGAAAATGACGGTGAACTTGGAGTCCAAGTCGCTGCGCAGCGTCTCGCGCTGCAGAATCTGCTGGAACTGCTTGAGCAACTGAAGCGACTGCTCGATGCTCGTGATCGAGTCGAAACTTACGTTGATGAACTGCTGCAGAGACGCCTCGAGGTCTGCGATCTGGATGTTGAACTCGACGTAATCGCGGTCGAACTTGTTGTTGTGGAAGTCCAGCAGGTCGTGCTTGTGCGCGCGAAACTCCCGGATGATGGTGTTGAAAGACGCCAGCAGCGCGTCCATGCCCTCGAGCGAGTGCTGAGCCAGAGCGCGGAACTGGTGGATGGTGCTGAACATGTCGATGAGCTTGACCAGCCTCCGACAGAAGAGATCGAACTTGCCGAAGATTTGTGTCTCGCTGAAGTCGAACTGCTTGCCCTTGGGCATCGTCAGGAGCTTGTCCTTGGTCAGTCGATACTGCTCTTGATACGCTTCGTTGAGCTTCAGACACGACTCGAGTCCAAGCAGGAGATCTTCCGGGTCCTTCTCCCAAATGGCCTCGGGAGGCTCGCGTCCGACCAGACTGTTCTTGCACAAAGTGATCATCTGGTTGGTGATCTTCATGAAGAGCTTGGTCATCCGCTCCGTCGTGTTGTAGTAGCGCGCGATGGTGTGGATCATCTTGACGGAGTTCATAAGCGCAGGCAGAGCGTCCACCACAGACGTAGGGGTCCCCGTGTACAGCGGCTCGATGAAGCGCTCCAACGTAGCGAGGTACTTGACGTTGTCCTTGGCCTCGTTGGACGCCTCCGTGATGTTAGTGTCGATCTGCTTCCACTGCCGCAGCAGCTGAGTGATGCCCAGCTTGTCCATGGCTCCGTCCTGCAGCTTGGAGACAACGTTCAGCACGCCCGTGACCATCTTGCACTCCTTGGTCTTGAGCTGCTCCGTGATGCCCATGAGTCGCTGCAGCCGTCGCTTCCAGTACTCGAGCTCGGTGGCAGGTCCGGCCTCGTGCGACTCCCACCGGCCCTGGTCGTTATCCTCGAGATACGCCTCCGTCTGCTTGCACCAGTCCTTGACCAGCTCCACAAAGTGTTGCACGGCTCCGTCATCGGACGACAGCTTGGACAAGCTCCTCGTGTCCGACGGGTCGTACCTCTTGTCGGGCTTGCGCAGGTCCAGACCCGTGTTCATGGCCTTGAGGTTCTCCTGCACGTCCGTCACGAAGCTCTTGAGCCCCAGCATGAACTCGTTGCGCGCGTCGCTCTCGGCCTGGCCCCACTCGCTCTCCTCTCTGGCGGCCAGCATGGGCACGAACAACTGGGACAAGTGCGTCTCGATCGACAGCAGCACGGACGAGTCCAGCACGCCGTAGGTCAGCAAGTGGTCGTTGGCGACCGCCGGGTCCAGCGGCAGGCGAGGCGCCGTGTCGTACGAGAAGCTCTCGTCCGTCGCTGGGTCCGCTGCTGCAGCTTCCTCCGCCTCGGATTGCGCCTCTCGGCCTCTGCTGCTCCACGGCATCCGGTCCTCGTCCTGGGTATCCGCTGGATCGGGCGCCACCTTGGCGAAGAAGACGGCGCGGCCCTGCAGCGTCTCGTCCAGGCCGTCCGTCACGAAGAGCTCCTTGCGCGCGGGTTTGTCCCTCTGCTGCTGCAGCAGCAGCTCGGCCGTGGAGGACGAGAGGGTGTCGTCGCCTGGGACGCCCTTGGCCTGGTAGTAGAAGAAGATCTTGGTGGGGCCGTCGGCGCGGAAGAAGCGCGAGAGCTGCTCCATGATGCCGTTGCCGCGCATGAGCTCCTCCACGTGCGTCTCGTCCTGGAAGCCCAGGCCCAGCTGCAGCCGCTGGATCATCCAGCGGTGCCGCGCCTGGAACGCCATGGCAGGAGCGACTGCGGAATGGCGTGACCGCTGTTAAGTTGAAGTGTCGCCCTGCGTCTCTTCGCCAAAGATTGTGGTGTTTCGTCCACCAATTTCGCTGTGCGGACCGAGGTGTCCTCAATGGGCGTCCTCAATAATGGGCGCCTCCCAGTCTGCCGCGTTGCCGTGTGAGCTGATTTGGAAGATGAAGGGCCTTCATCGCTGCACTGCAGTGGGGCGCACTCCGCGCCATGAACATAAGTATACGTGTGTATACACTTCAGTCACCCAAAATCGAATAAAACACAAAATGGGTTTTTCGCGTGCCTCACCATTTCGAGCGTAGAGGTGCCAGCGTGCACGCGGTCCACGCAGTCGCGGCGCCGTGATACAGTAGCATGTGAGGCTGGACGCTAGCGTGCCCGAAGGCGAAGCCGCCACTCGAAGCCGCATTCGCCACAAGAGGAGGCTGCGTTCGCAGGTGCAGTATGAATGTCGCCCGAAGGTGTGTGCTGCAAGAACGATAATTTTAGCCAGTCAAAAAGTACATGCAGCTCCTCGGCCAAAATCGCTCAAGACTCATGACATGAAAGGCAAGTTGAAGTGGGTCTTTTGTTATTTTGACCAGGCTACGAGCAGCTCTTGGGAGCTGCTGCTACTGCTGTGCTTTAATCGCGTAAGCTAGCTAGCACGGAGCTTCCAGCATCAGGATTCCCAGCGCTTAGTAGTGCCCGGGGCGTCCGCCGTAGCCGTAGGTGCCGCCATAGCCACGGTAGTATCCACGGTTGCCGCCGTAATAGCGGCGGTCCTCGGTGTCGGCAGCGTTGTTCAGCGGCACGGACTCGGCAGCAACGCTGTTGACGACGGGTTCCTCGGCCGCAGCGACAAGAGCAGCCGCGCAGGCCAGCGCAGCGACGAGAGCGAAGACGGTCTTCATTGCGATAGTGTGCGTTTCCGTTTAGAGCGTGGCTTGAGAGGAAGGCGGTCGATTGAAGAGTGAGCGAGCTCGTGAGACCAACGGGATTAACGACATTAACGCGAGCGTTTCCGCGAGAGGGCTAACGGCGTGATGGGCTTCGACGATTAACCGTGTCATCCACCACTCGCATCCTTTCCCAGAACTGCTCGGGGCCTTTTTGGTCGAGTTGCTCGCTCATTCGGCAATTGTACGTCTCGCGCGCAAGTCAAGTCAAGTCAAGCTCCCGTAAGAAGCAGACCTCCGTCGATGAAGACCTTCGCGATCCTCGCTGCTCTGGCCTCCGTGGTGGCGCTCGCCACTGCGGCTGAGCCCCTCGAGAACGACCCTGCCGCCCACCTCGAGGCTGCGCCAGCGCCAGGCGACGCGGGAGCAGGACCGGACGACAAGGAAGACTTCTACGGGGGAGGCTACCGCTACGGCTATGGTGGCTATCCTCGCTACGGCTATGGCGGATACCCGCGCTACGGCTATGGAGGCTATCCTCGTTACGGCTACGGCGGCTACCGCTACCACTATGGACAGTAGTGAATTCTCGGCGCTCCGGGGTCCTGGCGGCAAGTTTGTCTGGCTGCCCCTGCGCTAGCGGTTGACAGGAAGACACCGCGAAGCATAGTGACGTAACTCCTCGTCGAATGTTTCAGACGAAGTTTTGAATGAACGACAACGTTCTCGTTTTGCATTTGACTTCCTCAGAGTTCTGTCCTTGTCAATTTTGTCTGAAGTGCTGGCAAGCAATGAGGATAATCTTTCACCACGGCACCCCTCGCCAACTGTGTCGCTTAAAACGGTTTACTCATGACCTTGTCGCTCGAGAAAAATACTGAGAAGCCGTCGAGTGGAAATCTCGGATAACCCAGAAGTTTGAGTGCTCTTTGAATAAGTATACAATGTTAATGCTACACCGTTAAATATACGTTTATCTTGAATTTGAACACTTAGCAAAGTAATTTCGACGAATCAAGTGCAAAGCGCTACGTCTTCTTGCAAATTACGCAAAGCGTCGGCGATCCGTCCGAGCTTCCTCGGTGTTTCAGCGTCGTAGAAAGCACCACATCTATAGCCAGCGCAAATGAGGAGTGAACTTGCTACTATGCACAGCGAGATTGAAGGGAAACACGAACTAGTGGCGAGGAAAAACCCCAAAGCACTCGCGAAGATAAATCCTAATCGTCAGGTTCAAATGCGTCAGACCCCCCCCCCCACAAACCACCTAAGTCGGCCACCACCACTCCCAACCAAGCTACGATGAAGATCTCTACGATTGCTGCTGCACTTGCCTGCCTCGTGTCGTTTGCGGCAGCCGACCACCATCAACGACGACACGACGCCTAGGTCATCAAGGAGATGCTGGCCCGCTGAATGGACCTACGACGGCGGGGACGCAGAAGCACCAATACCAGCCGGCAAGCCCCTGGTGCCCGAGTTATAGTACGAAGTTCCCATCGTCCCCGACATGGGGGTGGAGTGTGTTGGATTGTTGACATCGTAGCGAGTCGGCAGTGGAGCAGGCGCCATGATCATCGGGTATGCCGCAGCAACAGCTCCAATCGCGTGCCCAGCCGCGGCGGGGTTGCCGGCCATCGCCGAGTAGATGCTACTCACCACGTTGGAGATAACCGCCGGGTTCGTCGCGACGTTCCCCACCGTCCCGCGGTTGTCGGGCTCAAGTTGCTCGAGGATCAGCTTAGCAGCGGCCCGGTTTGCCTCCGGGTGGGTGGTGCTGTTGGTGCGCTGTGCAAGTCACCAAAGCGGGGGATTGAAGTTCAAGCCGAAAGCTTGCGTTTATCCTAATCATATCAATCGAATCGATTTCATTTTGAGTTCTCAATAACGACGATCACCTGTCAGGGCCAACTCAAAGCGTTCGATTTGCATTCGTGGTTGTTGTTGTTGTAGACAGTAAAGCACATTCACAGGAAGGCATTTTGTTCTAATCCAGCGATCGAGGCACCAAACCTTTTGAACTTTCATTTCCCAGAAACTATTGTAGTGAATCCGAGATGTGCGTAGTGAGCGCAGACCGTTCCTTGTTCGTGGGGTTCTGACGCACTTGAACCTGACACTAAGGATTTATCCTTGGTACTTTCGGACTTTTCTGTTTTCCTCAATCCCGTTAGGTTCTGGGACTAGCCGCAATGAGTGAGGCTCAATCCTCTCTCATTGTTCATTTGGACTCCAAGCACTCAAGCCGACCGCCACCGCCCGACTTCCAGCTTTCTCACCGCACCGACCACCATGAAGATGTCATTCGTTGCGATCGCTCTGGCCCTGGCGTACTTCGTGTCGTTCGTCTTTGCGGTCAACCAACCGAGCATCGTGACGTCCCCGGATGAGCGCATGCAGGTCGCCAAGCAGCTCAAGGAGCTCATGTCCCGCAACCCGAGCTCGGTGGACCCGGCTGTCGCCGCCATGTCGACGGAGGACCTCTTCAGTATGCTTTCGGGTCTCATCTCGAACCCGTCGGTGCTCTCCAATGTTGGAAATCTCGTCAAGGCGGCGACCAGCGGCGACATCGGCGGGGTGGCCACTTCTGCGACGGGACTGCTGGGTGCGGCTCTTCCTGCTGCGGTGTCGGCTTTCACCCCTGGGACTCCGGCTGCTGCGGTTCCCATGGCTGCTGCACCTGCGTCGTAGTCGGGGCTGTCAGTCCGTCTCGTGAATTTCTTCTAACACGCGTGATCCATGCAGTGTCTGGTTGAAGGCTACATAATTGAATCGTGCTCGCATCTTTTTAATCGTTTTCAACAATCAAGTGTTTGTGTGGCCTCGGGTCACTCTTGAACATTGTCTTAGTCTTTTATAAGTTGCATGATTGTGCCGTAATGCTGATGCTGTCATGATTCCCATCGTTTTGTGTCAATGGGGGCGAGTGAGGAACTCGATTTGTGTGCTATAGAGGGCGTGTGCACCCGGAGGCAGTTCATATTATCGTTTTCAAGTTAAAAATTTGCAGCTTGTCTATCTTTCTTAGGCAGTAGATTCAGGAAGCTGCACCTCGACCGTCTCCGGCGCCACAGGATCAGCGATGGGCTCTTTGGTCAGATCAGTCCGCATCGACTCAATCTTCTGCAGTGCCTCCTTCGTGACCGGCTCAATAGTGTTCGCTCCAGCACTCGACACACTGCGGCGAGGAACGACAGGCTCGGCGTCGGAGGCACCCGATAAACGGCGGGCTCCCACATCAGAGGTGCGTCTCTGAGCGAGTGAAGCTCTGCTCGCCTTGCCACTGAGGCTGGTGGGCAGCTTCATCATCTTGACGAAGTCGTCAAAGTTGATCTTGCCGTCCTTGTCCGCGTCGGCCTTCTTGATCATCTCCTGACACGCTGCAATGTCAAAGTGCTGGCCCAGAAGCGCCTTCAGATCCTCCTTCGTGATGGCGCCACGGTGAGAGCGATCCAATACGTGGAAGGCAGAAAGCAGCAGCTCCTCATCCGCCGCGTCTTCGGGGCTCAAAGTAGCGGCAATGAACTCGAGGAGGTTGATGCCGTTCTCGTTCTGCTGGTCGAGCGCGGTGGCGATCTTCTCCATGTCAAGCTGGAAGCGCATGAGAGCTGGCGCCATGTACAGCTCCTGGAGTGTCAACTCGCCGTTGTGGGCCACGTTGAGCTCGTTGTACACAGCTGCGTGAAGGGAAACTCGCGCCGACGACATGCAGAATGCCACAGCTACAAGAGCTGCTCGCTGGAAAGGCGTGTAGTTGCAGAAAGCTTTCACGCGCGGAATGAACTCGTCGTACACTTCAGGTAAGATGGTCTTCTCGTTGGACTTGATCCACGGGTGAGCGAGGACCTCCGCGGCGGTGAAACGATCTGTCGGTGTCGTCTGCATACAGAGGGAAGGATACTAACGTCAGTTAATGGGCCACGTGCAAAGGTAGAGGTTTCCTATCACGTACGTGAAGGAGCTTGTGGAGCATTGCCTTGGCTTCTGGAGAGACTGCATCCCATTCCTTGCCAGCGTAAGAGACTTCGCCTGCGAAGATGCTCTCGACGAGTTCGTCCTCGGTGTCGCCGTAGAACGGGGCCTTGTTGCTTAAAAGCATGTACTGAATCGGCGCACAACCCCATCGCCGTCAGCAACTACTCAGCGTGATAGAGAACACTCGCTTCAGCTTACCATGATCACACCCAGGCTCCACATATCACATGACTCCCTGTAGTTGCCCTCGAGCACTTCCGGCTGAAACAACCACACGAATTAATTAATCCATCGGAATCAACAGAAAGTCTGAGCAGAACGGGAGACTACTTACAGCCATGTACACAACCGAGCCCAGAACCTTCCGCATACTAGCTCCCATCTTGTAGAGAGTGCTGGCGCCAAAACTGCAGGAACGAGATATTAGAAAGTGAGCTCGACTGACACGTAACGCGCTGGAATTGAAAGAGGTGGAGTGTCGTACTCGCAAAGTTTGATGTGGCCACCGTTGTCCAAAGTTTCAACCAAGATGTTCTCGAGCTTCAGGTCGCGGTGCTGCAACAAGAACCAGTGTGAGTTTTGGTTTTACCTGATTGAACTTGGTGACAGGCCACGATATGGTACTTACGCAAATGTTGCGCGAGTGCAAGTACTGAATGACCGACGCCAAGTTCCGCGTGATGTCCTTCACTTCGTCCTCCGGGAACTCCTTGCCGCGAGCTTTCACGCGGTCCAGTAGCTGAAACAAATCGTCACCCAGTTATAACCAGTCGAACACCAACATCTTATCGTCAAGGTCGGGCGAGTGCGTACCGTGCCGCCAGGGCTGAGCTCCATGATGATGTAGAAGTGGTGGTCGTCCTCGAAAGTCTCGAGCATGCGCACGATGTTCGGGTGGTGCAGGACTCGCAGGATGTCCATCTCCCGCTCGAATTCGTGGCGCTTGCTGCCAGACTCGAACCTCACGGTCTTCATCGCGTAGTGCTTGTGGGTCTTGAGGTGCTCGACCTTCTCGACGACACCGAAGGCTCCTCTGCCCAGCTCACCGAGGTTGCGATACACGTCCATCCACGGCGTCTTGTGGTGCATGCAGAGCTTTGTCTGGAACATGTTGGGACGGATCGCTTCGGACGACTGCGCGCAGCCCATGGTTGCTTCTCAACGCTTTGGTGCTTTGGGGGGTTTCAGTGTTCGGTGTTTCTGCTTCTGGAGAAACTTGACAATGACCAGCCTTCAGGTTCCTCACAAGCGGGGGAGGTCTCAGAATAGCAGCTTCGCGTGTCTAGTTCAAACCGCATCGCATCGCAGACCCGACACTTCGCACAGCCAAGAAAGCTGCTTGGTACGCCAAGAGGAATAGCGGAGACGGAGATAATAAGGCAACCATAAAACGCTCGAGGGTTCTACTTGGGTAATATGGCGGCGGCTGATGCAGCGGGGACGATACGTCTTATCACTGAAGGTTTCACACGAACACTCGCATCTCGACCTACACACAGTCAAATTTAACACATGGACATGCCACTACAATTTGCTTTTAGTCGAATACTCACCTCATTCAACGCCGTTGAGGGCTCCCGATTATGGTATTTTTATTTATGGATGGTCCATCTGACTCATAAATAATGGCATCAACCCTACAAGTCAGATGCATAAATAATGTAATGTCGACAATGATCATAAACAATTATTTCTCGAATTTTAGACTGAACTTAACTCTCTTTTTGTATTGAAGACTCTACATTTAGAGAAATATTTTCAAGGAACAGTTATTTCTAGGCCATCCCGACATAAATAATTTATGGATGAGCCCAACCGACTGCCATAAATAATCAATAACAAAATATTGACATTATTGTTTTTACCATGCCATAATCGGGAGCCCTGTTGAATCAACGGTACCAGGGCAATTGAATTTTAGTCGTTGACAGTCGCACCAGGTACCTCGGAGTTGCTCTGATCGCCTCAGACCTTTCATAGTGTCAGGAATTTTTGCAGTAGCTTGGAGAGTTGGTGCTGTTGCGCGTTCTCAACTAGTCGCAGAGAGTTTGGTATTGGTGTTCCCCCCGATATCCTTGGTACATTATTCGCAGATCGAATAGTTGGCAAAGGTACAGCCTTCTCCGAAAGCTTAGAGAATGGCGTGCATTGCTCCCACGTGCGAAAGCCAAAGCGCACTTCCTCGACTTGTGTCACGATCTCGATGAATGCAGCCTTGTCGATCTCCTCTTTATCACGCGACGCGCCCGAGTAGAACTTGAAAAACGCTCGTAGCACCTCCTCATGCTGGTAGCAAAACAAAGGGCCGTATAAGGTGCTGAGAGCGCTGCAAAATCCTGCTTGGAAGTCCATTACGTGCTTGCGAATACGATTCGAGGGCTTGTAGATCCGTAGCCCCCACTTCTGGAACGCCTCCTCTACGGCCATAAGTCCCGTAGCTGGTGCCACGACGCGGTTGTACTTCATCACAGTCGCTTGTCCCGCCATAAGCGGGGAGAATTTCCATTTGTTGCGTAGTTGGCGGCACAAGTGGTGGAAGTAGTGGCTGACCAAGCGTAGCTGCAGGGCATCGGCGTACGTCAAGTAGGAAGCGATTGACTCTGCACAATGAACGGGGACGGCTTCAAACTGACCCACGCGCACGCGCTTCTCCGTGGGAAACGCTGCCACCAAGCAGCTCGCCACGTCACGTGATGGATCGACCTGAACTTCTTCGGTGCGAGCCCCAGTGGTGGGCGTTTGGCTTGACTTGCGCGTCTTGCTTAGTGTCGATCTCGCAACGACGACCAGCATGTTCGAGCACACAGTCATCGCAGTCGGGCTGCTTGACTGGAACAATTGAGCTGTGTTGACAACGTGAAGACATGCACCGACATCCGAGAAGACCAGAAGCTTTCGCCTCCCAGCGTCGCAAGCGATGACCTCTCCGTGGAGTCCCATGACAATATCCGACAGTTTGTCGAAGATCGAGTAGACTACAGGCCTCAGCTCTGTAAAATCCGTTCCTTCGGGCATAGTGCTGAGGTCTGGCGCTGGCCCACGCCGACTTCCCCACTCCAAGAGAGGTTTGCCCGCCGTGGAGAACCGCTGGATGCGTTTGTTACCTTCATCGCACACAAACAGATCGCCGAAAGCATTGACAGCGAGCGCACAGGGGTCAACGAGATCGCCCAGCTTCCAACCGTATCGACCCACAACCTGTACAACGATCCCAGTGAACGTCATGACCTGAATACGGTGGTTACCGGAATCCACAACGGCGATATACCCTCGCGGGGTGAACTTCACGTCCGCGATGGCCCGAAACTCGCCACGCGCAGTGCCCGACCGCCCGATCACGTGCTCCAAGTCGCCACTGCCCGAGAAGATCTGGACGCGGTTGAGTTTCCCGTCCGCTACGGCGATTTCTCCTCTCATGTTCACAGCCACCGCAACGGGGCTAAGGAACTGTCCTGGCGTCGACCCGCGACTGCCAATGGCCATCATATTCCCGTCCGCTTCGCTGTTTAACGTCATTTGAAGCTGACCTTTGTCGTCGGGGTTGAATGCAGCGCCATAACTGCGAACGCAGCATTTAACCATGTCGCACGCCAGCAAGCACCTGGTCAACGGGTTCCAACAAACTCCGCGCGACGACGGTACGCTGCACTCAGCCCCGCCAAACAGCGTCTTCTTCACGATAACACCGCCTCGCTCCAGAGTTCTGTAGTCTCGACCACAGATCGGCTTTACCTTCAACTCCATTGGACTTGGTTGATAATTGATAAAGTTAGTTTATTTCTGCTGGTTGGCATGGGATGCGGCCTCAAGCTTCTAGTTCCCGACCGTCTGAGTGGAGCTGCACGCTGTCATACGCCGCTGCCGTGCTCTTTCGGGAGATAAAACCAAGATATACTGACAGCACGAGGATGCAGACAGCGCAGAGTACCATGTTGACCAGGAAGAGCAGCGGCCACGACGCCAACAAACTCGGCAGGAACGGCAGCACCATGCGCGCGATAGACGCAGAGGCGCCGAAGACCCCCATGAGCAGACCCTGAGGCCTCGAGCCAAGGACCTTCGAGAACGCTGACACGACCACCGCGGATGCTAGCGGACAGCCGATACTCCACACGAACACCTCAGCGGCCACGAAGATGTTGAACTGCTGCTGGGAATGGGCCTCGTCGATGTCGTCGCTGCGTTCGTTGATGACGTGCATGTCCGCGCACAGCGTGAGCAATATCGCGTTGCCTACCAGCAGCATCGCGAAGCCGAAGATGAGGAAGCCGACGTCGGAGATTTTCTTGCGCAAAATCTGCACTGATCCGTAAGAGATCAGTCCGAGGAGGCCGACCATGAGGTAGAACGTGGAAGCGTCTTGCGTCGCCTGGACCGAGTCTTGCTCTGCTGCTGTGTTGCGGTTCGTCATCTCCAGAAAGAGCGGCACGTTCACCGTCTCGAAGATGGAGAGGATGCCTCGCGCGTTAAAGTTCAGGAAGATAAACACCAGCATGCCGACCGTCACGGCGCGGTCGGGCAGAGCGGGCCCAGAACTTGGCGCAGCCGTCGCTTTTTCGTCATCTTTCTCATCCACAGCTATTGTCAGCACCTTCTCGGCCGGTTTAGTGGTAGCTGGCGACGGAGCTGCAGTCGCAGTGGGGGATTCCGGTGCGTCGTCGCGAGTAACCGAGTCATCGTAGATGATGTTGTTGAAGACGATCGTGATGAGGTTCAGCGCGACCAGCAGAAATCCCGGGGCGGTGAAGCGGTTGAACTGCAGCAGGTCGCCCGCAATCTTCACCTGTGCGTCTCCAACGACGCTGCCCAGCCCCGGCGTCAGCGCGTACGCTAGGAACACCACTGTCGCAAACAGCGTGAAGTACTGCAAGCGCTGATCCACCCTCGTAAGCATGGCGATGTTCGCTCGGCAGACGCTGCGGTTGCCGGCACCAAACCCAATAACAAAGCGACTCAACGCCAACAGCGTTCTGCTGTGCACCGACGCGCTGTACGGCAGCACGTACATCAGATTCCCCACCACTGCGCAGCACCCCGCCACGTTGTACAGCACGCGGAAGGACGTGCGGTCGCAGAGCCACCCGAACAGCAGCGACGAGAAGAACCGTCCCACGCTGAAGAGCGCCGTGAGCAGCGCGATGTCCTCCAGCCCCCCGCCGAGCTCCTGCACGTACGTGAACAGCGTCGGCAGCACCAGCCCGCGCGCCGCCTCCGCCCCGAACTCGGACAGGTGGATCAGCACCATGTGCGCGTACCAGGACCGCACTCGCCGTCGTCGATCGCCATCACCCCGAGCTGCTGGCAGCTCCAACTCTTTCTTCACTCTATCCGCCGACTCTGCATCAATTGAGACCGTCGATGCAGCAGCTATTGCGCCCATGGCTGCAACTTTGTCAAGTGGCCACGGCGTGCCATGATGGCGATCGTCCAGCAGGAGCTTCACGCTGCGTTTGACACCCCAAAGACGTACAGTGCATGTCAAAAGTTCAGCCCCCTAGTCCCACTCCTCAGATTTTAATCCAATCATGTCGCAGGCCCATCCTCTTCTGCATCCCATCAGATTCCACGCCAGTCAGTCATTCGTGAACGGACCCCCCCTCCGGAAGGACGCAACAGTGGGTAATTCCCAAAATACGGAGTGCTGGGGAAACTTTTGACATTTTCAACCTTTTGCGACCAAACACGGAGTTGTGGGAAAACTTATTCCCGAGACCAGCCTATAGAATCGTAGAGGTAGCCTTCACTGCAGAAAACACCAGAGACTCAAGAGCCCACGTGCTGGTGCACGCCGCTAATGCACGTCGAAATCGGCCATTGCTATCCCATTCAGACTCAGTGATAGAAGTGGGATTCTTTGTTGTCCACGTAGACAGCAGAGAACGTAGGCGGTGAAATCCGTCCTCCACAGTCCCAAACAGATCGTCAAGAATCAACTGCTTGCCACGGTAGGTCTCCTTCAAAGGTATGTCCGCGCCCGATAGGGCCTTCACCTGATCCACAATCGTGCGCCCCGACACATTAGGGTCCGATGCCACCAATGTACGAATCGATTCCATAGATCGCAGTTGCGATGCCGCAATTTTAGACCGGCCGCTGCACATGTTGTGTTCAAGGTTGCATTTGCTAATGCGATAACCCCGCTGAGAATTGGACTGTGCACGGCACGCAGCAACCTCAAAACGACAGAGGTCATCTCCTTTGCACTGGTAGCGAAGGTAGGCTCCTCCAGCAGCAGTTGGATCCAGACGCACAGATTTCCCTGTACTTGAGGCAAAAGACTTAATTGCCTTGGTACAAGCACGTTGAGAACCAAACCACTGGCCGACCGATATGAAGGATGTATCACCTGCACTGTTCACACCTTCAACACCTTCCATCGCCGGGAAAACAACCCGAGCTACCCTCAGACGATTTCACCTTTTTGCGTTTTGAAAACAATGGCAAAGTGACTTGAACACTGGACATTTCTAGAAATGGAATTGCTATATTTACCTACACGCACGGTTGTGCCCTCGATGTACCACAGCTCGGCCACGGGCGTCCCGCGCTTCACGCACTTGGTGTACAGCAGCTTGACCGTGCCCTTGGTCTTCGGTAGCTCGTCCACGGGGGCCATGGTCTTCGGGTCCAGCAGCTCGGCCACCGTCGTCGGGCCCTGCACGCCCTTGGGCTTCGGCAGCTCGTCCACGGGGCCATGGTCTTCGGGTCCAGCACGTCCTTGGTCTCCAGCAGCTCGCCCTCGGTGTCCAGCGTGCCTACAATGGCCACGGAAATCGTCTTCACCACGCCCTTTGTCTCCTGCAGCCACCAGCGTCTTGGTGGCCAGTAGCTCGCCCAGGGAGGCCACGGTCGGCGAGTCCAGCGAGATCAGCAGCTCGCCCACGGTCGTCGGGCGCTGGTGGCCAGCAGCGAGCCATTGGTGGCCAGCAGCTCGCCCAGGGAGGCCACGGTTGGCGAGTCCAGCGAGTCCCTGGTGTCAGTGTCCGGGCCGAGGTTCGAGCGCACCACGCCCTCCTACTGCAGCAGCACGGTCGTGGACAGCAAGGCACCGGAGGGTGTGCCGTCCATGATGGCGGCGACTGCCAGCGTCTTCTCCAGCGGCGCGTCCGGAGCGGCGTGCACCAGCACGTGGGCTCTTGAGTCTCTGGTGTTTTCTGCAGTGAAGGCTACCTCTACGATTCTATAGGCTGGTCTTGGGAATAAGTTTTCCCACAACTCCGTGTTTGGTCGCAAAGGTTGAAAATGTCAAAAGTTTCCCAGCACTCCGTATTTTGGGAATTACCTCGCAACAGCACCAATATGGACTGCACGTCGCCGTCGATGCTGATCGGGGCCAACTGGCCCAAGGAGGTCCTGGAGCACCCGCTGTCGCTGGACGGCGACGCGTTCTCGCTCTCGTCCGCCGCCGAGTTCAGTCACCTGGACCACCGCAATGGCGCGCGCAACGTGTACAAGTTCGGCGGCACGTCCGTGGGCAGCCCCGCGCGGCTCTGCGGCCTCGTGCGCATCGTGCGCAGCGAGCGCGAGCGCGTGCTGGCCGTCGTGGTGTCCGCCATGGGCCACACGACCGACTACCTGCTGGAGGCCGTGGCGTTTGCCGCCAAGGGGGACGCCGAGAACGCGCTCAAGGTCGTGGACAAGCTGCAGGCGCTGACGCTCACGAACGCCCACGACACACAGAAGGAGCTGGAGGTGGAGCACGTGGAGGACATGACCGACATCATCGTTGAGCACTTTAAGCCGCTGCGCGAGCTGCTGTTCGGTATTTGCTTGCTGCAGGAGCAGACGGCTGCGGCCACGGACACCGTGCTGTCCTTCGGCGAGCGCATCAGCGCCACGATTGTGGCCAAGCTACTAACCAAGGCCGGCGTGGAGGCCTTCTACCTGGACGCCAGGGAGTGGCTCACCACAGACGACACCCACGGCTGCGCCAAGGTGTTCTTCGACGAGTCCAAGGAGAAGCTGCAGCAGTTGGCGGCGCAGTGGAAGCCCAACACGCTGCCGGTGATCACGGGCTTCATCGCGCGCACACGCAGCGGCCGCACCACGACGCTGGGACGTAACGGATCCGACTACACTGCTACGCTGGTGGGGTCTTCGCTCGGCGCCGACTACGTGCTGATCAACACAGACATCTCCGGTGTTATGACTGCGGACCCGCGGATCGTGGACCGCGCAGTGGCGCTCTCCCACTTGAACCACCACGAGGCTCTGGAGCTCGCGGTGTACGGCACGCGCATGTTCCACGCGCGCACGATGGTGCCGCTGATTAAGGGCGATGTGACCATGCTCATCCGCAACACAATGGACCCCAACGGCCACGGTACGTACATCAGCGGCGTCGGCCGCTCAGGCACGCGCGAGACGTGCACCACGTCGCTGGAGAACCTGGCGATCATCGAGGCGCGCACGCGCATCCTGCAGGACGGCAGCAGCGACCCTCACCAGCAGGAGAACATCGGTGCACGCGTGACGAAGGTGCTGGAGGAGCTCAAGATCCCCGTGTGGCTGTCGATCCGCGGCGCTCACGGCCAGGCCATCAGTGTCGTGGTGCCTCGCAGCGCTGAAGAACAGGCGTGCGCAGCCATCAACGCCGAGCTGAGCGCTGAGATCGAGTCGCACGAGGTGGACCCTCTGAACTCCGAGTCACCTGTGACTATGCTTTCCGTCGTGGCCGAAGACTTGTCCAAGGTTCCTTACAACCAGACCAAGTTCTTCGGAGCCCTCGCTGACGCTGGCATTGAAGTGCAGGCCGTCGGTCAGGGCACTAGCTCACGATCGCTGAGCTGTGTCATCCGCGGCGCCGACACCAAGGTGGCTGTGCGTCGCGTGCACGACGCCTTTAACGTGGACTACCTCGTCACCAACATCGTCCTGCTGGGCTGCAACCACATCACGCTGGGCGTGGTGCGCCAGCTCCAGAAGCAGCAGGAGCTGTACCGCTTCCAGCACAAGGCGCGCGTCAACATCGTCGGCTTCGGCTCCAACTGCTGCGACTTCATGTACAACCCCAAGGGCTTCACGTTCGAGGAGCTCATCGCACGGCTGGAAAACTGCAAGAGCGACAACGCCGTGGTGTCTGCGGCTTCCCCATCCAGTGCAGCAGCTCAGTACGCTGGCGCGCCGTCGCTCGAGCAGCTGGATCAACTGCAGGATCTAGCCATCCCTATCCTCGTCGACTGCTCCGGCCAGGCCAACACCAAGGACCTCTACTCAGTGTGCATCGAGCGCGGCATCCACGTCGTGGCTTCCAACGCGCGCTCGGTGAGCAGTCTTCCGCCTACGTCGTCGCGCGAGAGTGTGGCCACCACGCGCTCCAAGACTGGGCGTACGTTCTTCATGTACACGTCCACTATCGGCGCCAGTCTGCCGGTGGTCGACACGCTCGGCAACATCCTGCGCACTGGTGACCGCGTACTGAGCATCGAGACGTCACTCAGCGGCTCGATGAACTACGTCGCCAACAAAGTCATGAAGGGCAAAAAGCTATCGGAGGCGGTGGGTGAGGTGCTACGCAAGGGCTACTGCGAGCGCGACCCGCGCGAGGACTTCATGGGTACGGACATGGTCTCCAAGATCGTGGTACTGGCGCGCGCTCTCGGCGTGCACATCAACCCGAGCGCCGTTCGACTGGAGCCGCTGATCCCGCACAGTGTGCTTGATACTATCTCGTGGTCGAGCGAGATGGAGGTGGAGGACATCGTCTCCGGCCTCGAGGCGCACGACGAAGCCTTCCGGGACAAGTACTACGTGCCCGCAGTGGCAGAGAACAAGCGTCTGCACTACGTCGCCTCCATCGACCTGGCCAAGTTCCCGTCCATCCAGGCCAAGATCCAGCCCGTGCTCGTTGACGAGGACCACCCGGCCTACTACACCAAGGACAACGAGATCGCCTTCGGCTTCTCCTCCGTGCAGTACCCCAACCCGCTGGTGCTCAAGGGCTCCGGCACCGGTGCCGCTGCTAGCGCCACCGGCGTCCTCCGCGACGTGCTCACGATCCTCAACTCGCTCAACGGCAAGAACGTCCACGTCTAAAGAGACGACGCGGATGAATGGAGTGCAGTATGACTGCAAGCTGCTTGTTCATTTCAAGTGGCACCTTCCACCGACCGACTCGGGACACACTTCGGGTGCGCTCGGCGTGAAGGGCTTTCGTATTCCATTCCAACCAATGTGCATATAAACTACTAATACATGTACACCGATGCTTGTAGCAGCGTGCCAAGCAACAAAGGATTCCGAGTTGGAACGCAACGTGGTTGATTGATTGTTGAAACTTTTAGGTGAACGCAGATCGACTTCCGACTCCTACGTCTTCACTGTCGATGGCATGCCTAAGCCGACGTGGGGGCAACAGCAGGAGACATCCTGGCCGTCATTGGGGCCGTCGCGTAAATCGGCGCCATCGGGATAGCAGGACCAGCAGCTGGAGCCGTGCCGGCCTTCGCCGCCACTGCCGCCGGGAACACCGCACCCAGTAGACTCGTTGCGTGACTAGTCATCGCACCCACGTCGCCGCTGGTTGCCGCCTTGAGGAAACCCGAAGCGTGCGTGAGCACCGCCGGGTTCGAGACGAGACCCGACAGCGTCTTGAAGAAGTCCTCCGTCGACATGGCGGCGATGGCCGGATCCACCGCGCTGGGGTTGCTCGAAATCACCTCCTTGATCTTCTTGGCCAGCTGCATGCGCTCGTCGGCGGACATCGCGGCGTCCATGGTCGTCGGTTGGTTGGCCGCAAAGACGAACGACACGAGGCAGACCAGCGCCAGAGCGATCGCGACAATGGACATCTTCATGGTGGTGGTCGCGGAGAGGGGGTCGGCTTGGGTGCTTGGAGTCCGAAAGAGGAATGAGCCTCAGCATGCTCGCTTCCGACGATAAGTTATCGTCGATAACGAGATCGAGGAAAACCCGGAGAACTGTCAGCGTGGAAATCCCCATGTGCTCTCGAGGATAAATCCTAACGGTCCATGACGAGTACTCTCTCGGAAGAGACCCCCATGAGCAATAGCATCAACTCTGTGCATTTTGATAACGTCAGTGTTGCTAACGTACAAATGAATGCTTGGATGAGCGAGTCGATGTAAAGTACCGATGGAAAGCTTCCCATTCTACTGCGCCCTCTCTTTTGGTGCCTCCACAGCGAAGTTTTGGCAACGTGGAAACATTCTTGCGCCTGCTTTGTTACTGTAATTGGCATCAACCGATGGACTTCACTTACCTAGCAAGAACAAAAACTGCATCCGCTTTTGACGTTGGAAACGCTAATGTCGATTAAAGGGTTAAGAGTTAAAATGAACGCATTCCATCGGTTTGGACTCCGATCTTCAGGACTGCGCGAGCCGTTCAGACATCTTCAGCACGATCACGGTAAGCTGGGACAACTTCACCAGCACACACATTGAAGCTTGGTCGGCGCTTACGACGCAGGCGCAGCAGCCATGGGAACCGCAGCAGCAGCACCCGCAGGGGCGAAAGCCGATACCGCAGCAGGAAGCGCCGCGCCCAGCAGTCCCGTCGCAGAAGTGGCCACCCCACCAATGTCGCCGCTCGTCGCCGCCTTGACGAGATTCCCGACATTGGAGAGCACCGACGGGTTCGAGATGAGGCCCGACAGCATACCGAAGAGGTCCTCCGTCGACATGGCGGCGACAGCCGTATCCACCGAGCCCGGGTTGCGGGCCATGAGCTCCTTGAGCTGCTTGGCGACCTGCATGCGCTCGTCCGGGGACGTCATGATGCTCGGTTGGTTGGCCGCAAAGACGAACGACACGAGGCAGACCAGCGCCAGAGCGATCGCGACAATGGACATCTTCATGGTGAGAAGCGGGGAAATCGGGGTAGCGGCGATCGGCTTGAGTGCTTGGGCTCAGTTCTCGAACAGCTCGATCGACCAGAGTCCAAATGAACAATGAGAGCGGAATGAGCCTCACTCTTTGCGGCTAGTCCCAGCTCCTAACGGGATTGAGGAAAAAAGAAAAGCTCAGGATAAATCCTGAGTGTCAGGTTCAAGTGCGTTAGAACCCCACGCTCTGCGCCCTCTACGCACGCACTACAACAGTTTTCTCGCAACGTGAGCTGCCCAAACTTGGGCAAAACGAAACTTCAAAATGTTTGGTGCCTCGGTCGATGGATTAGAACAAACTGCCTTCTTGTAAATGTGCCTTACTGCCTACAGCAACAACAACCAATGCTCACGGATGCGATTCGAACGCTTTGAACAAACTTCCTGGAAGGAAAGCCTCAATTTTTCCGAGTTCAAAGGAAATCGCTTCGATTGAGATGATTAGGATAAACGCAAGCTTTCGGCTTGGACTTCAATCCCCCGCTTGGGTGACTTGCACAGCGCGCCGACAGCACCCGCTGAATGGATTTACGACGACGGGGACGCAGGAGCACCCATATTAGACGGCAAGCCCCCGATGCCCGCGGTGTTGTACGGAGAAGTTCCCATCGTCCCAGACATGGGGGGAATGTAGCGCGTCGGGTTGTTGACGTCGTAGCGAGTCGGCAACGGAGTAGGCGCCATCACCGCCGGGTAAGCTGCAGCGATAGCACCAATCGCGTGCCCAGTAGCCGCAGCCGGGTTGCGCGTCATAGCCGAGTAGATGCTACTCACCACGTTGGAGATCACCGCAGGGTTCGACACGACGGCCCCCGTCGTACCGCTGGTGTCGGGCTCGAGTTGCTCGAGGACCAGCTCAGCAGCGGCCCGGTTCGCCTCCGGGTGAGTTGCCAGCATCTCCTTGATAACATCGGCGATCTGCACGCGGTCGCTCTTGGTCAGGCGGATGTTGCTCTTGCTCACGACCACCTTGTTGTTCTTGGCGTCGATCGAGTTGGTGATGACCCCGGCAGGCACGACGACCGACGTACCGCGGAGACCGGGGGTCATCGCCTGGTTGGAGGTCATCATGCCAAAATCCATGGTGGTCGGGTGATCGGCAGCCACGGACGACACGAGGCAGGCGAGTGCAGCAGCGATCGCAGCAATCTTCATCGTAGCTTGGTACGTGGAGCGAGGAGTAGCGACTTGAGTCTTCGTGTCCAATTGAACAATGAGAGAGAGAGAGAGAGGGAGTGGTGAGGAGTGAGTTCTACCGCAATAATCGAGGAAAACAGAGAGAAATTTGAGTGGAAATCTCTTGACGATAAATCTTAGCCTTCAAGTTCAAGTGCGCCAGGCTTTCCTTTAGTCTAGGAGATAATTGATCCGGTCGAGTCGTAGCGTGGTGGGGAGGTCTTGTCGACGAGGAGCTGCTTTCAGCTTGATGAGGAACTGCAGGGCTTCCACCCAGTCGCTGCGCTTCGTTTTCTTCACTTCCGGGCTCTCTCCATCGGCAATCTGAAACACAAAGCACGACAATACATGTAGCGTGAGTATTAGGCACTCCACCACCATTATGCCAAACTACAGCACCCACCTCGAGATCCAATGTTCGGTTCTCTTCGTATTCGACCGAAAAGCAGTGAGGAGCTCGCGCTGGTTGCTTCGCACGGTCAAACACTCGCGTGTCTTGACCGATGCACACCCGCACAATCGACCGCGTGGGGATAGTCGCTTTTGGTACAGAGCTGTTCACCTTCCGGTAGTTGAGGTATTCCAGGTCAGCCGAGCACCATACAAAGCGCACGTGCGGCCTCCCATATCGTCCGTACTTGACGAACAAGCTCCCATTGCGTAAGAGTTCCATCCTCTTACGGATCAAGTCGCTGCCAGACTTGCGCGGAGGCGCAACGGGGTTTTTCACCCCGTCAGTGGTCAAAGCAGCACCTCGAAGGGTAGTAGCCTTCTCATCAGTAGACTGATCTTCCTCCGAGATGCTTGGATTGCTGTACTCTGACCGCTTAGAACTTTTCCCATTTCGTGACGAAGACTCGAGCTTTGAGGCTGGAGGTTGAAGACGTGAAGCCGAGGGTCGGTCGTATTCGTGACTCTCCGATGCCTCGCTGTCATTTTCACTATCGCTTCCGCTGTTGGACGGATCGCGATCTCCCGAGCTCCCACCTCTCGCACTAGCTGACGATCGCCTGTGCGACGGCTGACGCTTACGCAGCGCTCCAGTGTGAGACTTTGACCGCGGGATGGAAGTCTTCGGTTCGCCCTCGAATCGTTGGGCCTCTGCAACGCTCTGAATCTGTTCCTTCAGTAGCTCAGCCTCGCGCTTTTGCTCCAGCAACCGCTGTTCCAGTGCCTCGACAGTCCGTGTCTGCTTGCTCATGAGCTCCTGCAATTCTGCGGCAGTGTTCGAAGCGAAAAAGGTGTTTTCCTTGAGGACTACGAGACAACCGAGCGCTGTAGCCATCCCCAACTCTCGGATTCCTTGAGCGACGGCCTCGTACAGTAGTCGCGCTTCCTCGAATTCGCCTACACTGCGGGGTTTATCCAGCTCCTCACGTGGCAGATCTCCTGTGAGCAGCAGTCTCTCCACGATCTCCTCGCACTGCATCCAGTCCACCCTTCTGCCAGTTTGGTCGGACCGATCTCGAGCACTTTTTGCGGCTGCTATTGCCGCCTGCGTCTCTTCTTGAGCCAACGTCAGACGTCGCTCCCATTGCTCCTCCTGCTTAGCGAAGTGAAGAGCTTGTGCCTTCAAGTCGTTTTCAAGCTGCACGGCGCGAGCCTGCAGCTCGAAGTTCGTGGCTTCCAGCTCCGCGTTGAGTTTTTCCACTGCCTCTAGACGCTTCTCAGTGTCCACTTCACTGTTGACTGCGATATCGACCGCCACTTCGGAGCAGCGCTGCATAAAGCGACAAGTCGAGATGGACTCGTCTATAAAGTCGTTCTCAGGGTTCAGCGTCGCGATGAAGACGGACTTGCAATTGCCACCGAGACTGCCTCGTAAGACCGACGTGAGCATCGAGTTGCGGTACGGAATATGGTACGTTCGTGAGACGGTGTTGCGTTTGCTTCGTAGCGATAGGATCACCTACAAATGTACAAAGATTATAAGGTGAATTTCATATGTTGGGCAAGCTATCACACTAAAAGTGTACCTGTTCCAAGTGATGAAGAGAGAGGTTGATGTGTTTTCCCTCTGAGCGCATACGCTGCGTGCCATCGCGTTTGTAGACGCGCTCGGAGCCTGCAAGATCGACCAGGTGAAGCTTCGACGTCACAATCATATCCGAATCAACAGGCCGGGACTCGATCATGACACTGAAGATGGAATGCGAGCGGGATGAAGCCTAAATACAGAATTTACCAGGCTTCAGCAGAAGGGAGATGCCGTGAATAAACTGCTGTTAGTGTACCTGGTTCATGGGGGTGTCACTCGTGACGCGGTTCATGTTGCCAAGGAAGAGCAGATTTAGCGCTTCTTCCTCGGAGACTGCTTCAAAAACACTAGAAAGCGAGTCAGATGCTAATGGTACATCTCACCCCACCACTATCACCACGAATTACAGATAGTGGGCTTACCCCAAATTTCTGAAGTGCATATCTCCTTCGTCATCGTCCATGAGTAGAACTTTCGTCCACTCCTCGATTGGTCGGTCAGTATGTGATCTACACGCATTATGGTTCAACTTTAGTACGAACTCGCATTGAAAGGTGGAAAATGGTCGGTAAAACTTACCGGTCGAGCAAGTCGTAGACGTTTTCGTTGTAGATTTCGAGGTACGAAATGTAACACGAGTAGCGCATGTTGGGTCTCTTCTCAAACTCCTCAAAAATCGTCGAGAGCACGCGAGGGATGATTCCTCTGTCTGCATAATGCTCGCCTCCTGTAATCGTGTACGTTTTACCCGAGCCAGTCTGTCCATAGGCGAGGATGGTTCCGTTGTAGCCATCCAAAGCACTATACACGATGTCCTGCATTTCCCACCACCAACAGTATCTATCACCATAAAGCCTCATATCTTGATGTTGACTTTCATACGTACCAGGCAGACTTCGTTGAACACTTGTTCTTGCGAGATACTTGGGTCAAACACGTCGTTGAAGTGGAAGTCGAGTCCGTCGCGCTGTTTGAGGTGCATTCGAGAATCGTCGTCGTCTGAAGGCGGGAACGCTATGACAGTCCTGCTGAACCGACCGTCGTCTACTCGGTCTAATAGGAGAGCAGCAAAACATTAGGAATACTTTACACCAGTAAGTACAACTAAAACGAGAAGAAGTGTACCGAGATCGAACTTGGCACAGTCATGTCCACGTCGAGGAGGACGCAGACGTGCGTAGGTGCCAATGTGCCACTTCACCATCGGCCTTCAGCACCTCAGCGAGCTGCGCTATTGCCCCTTTTGCCGACTTGATAGAGGACGCCAACCAGGTGCAGGTCGTTTCCAAGTTTAGTTGAGACTGATTTGAGCATCAAAAAGGGAAGAGGGGGTAATTTTAGTTGATACGCTTTACCTGGAATCTCGACTTAGAACTACACGAAGAGCTTAGTCTATGTTGGTACACTAGTATGCGATGGTAAGAGCGCGGTGAACTTCCTCGTCGGCAATGACCTGGATAATTTAACACGAGTGAGTGAGATGGGGCCAAAAGGGAGCCTTCAAAAAGCTTGATCAACACCTACCTGGCTGAAGTCGCTGAACAACACTCCACTTATACCCGCTTTCGTTTGCTTCATGAACGGTGCCAGCTGAATCTCCAAGTCCCGAAAGATTGCCTTCTGCCTAGCGGCGTTCGACCGCGACACCATCGAAATCACCCTCAAAAAGTCATCAACAGTCGCGCACCCTTTGTTATCGAGGTCGTAGACGTCGAAAAGCACTATTCATACGCAAGCACCGACCACACCAAAAAGAGCCATGAGCCCCCCTCCAACACCGCGAAAGAGTAAATTACTTCCCTCGGGCTGATTGATGTGCAGGCTGGAACGAACCTTGTCGCTTGAGTCCAAGTGTCTGCTTGACACTAAACACCGCCAGAAGCGTCACAAATGCGCTGATGCTCACCAAAACGTCGGCAGTATCTGCATTCTTCGACCTTCCCACTTCAATCCCCTGTCGCTGTAAAACCAACAGAGCTACGAGCGGTACGAACGGTTGCGCTCGCAACTCCGGCATCTGAAGCACCACCTTGAGCGGCAGTCTCAGCTCTCGACTCGTATCATCCGCCGGTATCAGCTGCACGAATCTCTTCTTAAGCCGTCCGAGTTCCTGCCGCGAGACTACAAACTCATCGTGAGCATTCTACCAAGTTGAACGAAGCCCCCCCCCCACCTTCTTTACTTACACGGCTGCAGCAGCCCAGATGGATACTTCAGCAACACCTCCCCACTCTCCAGCAGCGCCAACCTCTCCCGAACTGTCAGTGGCTTCACCACAGCCTCACCCCCTCCACCCGAAGCTTTACGCCGTCCAAACATGCCACGTTCTGCTCAACATGAGTGCAACAGCTTCAACTTGCGCGTCGCTTCGCGTCCAGCTCCCTCATTGGCTGAAATCTAAAAATAACCTTCACTCACGTAAAATTCCGCCGATTGACATGGTATCCATTCAGTCTTCAATTTACCGGATACCCCTCACTACACCTTACTCCGCTCTACCCCCTTCCATGGCCGACTCCAAGCCGCTGTTCGTCGTGCACCGCGGCTCGTGCCATTGCAAGGCCGTGCAGTTCGAATTCGACGCCCCCAGCGACCTGGTGCAGACCGAATGCAACTGTTCCATCTGCAGTATGAAGCGCAACGCCCACGCGATCGTGCCCACGTCGCGGTTCCGCCTGCTGCAGGGCCAAGAAAACCTCACGCTCTACACGTTCAACACGCACCAGGCCCAGCACCTCTTCTGCAAAACGTGCGGCGTGCAGGCCTTCTACATCCCGCGCAGCAACCCGGACGGCTACGCGGTCACCGTCGCCTGCGTGGACCCGGCCACCATCACGAGCGTCACGACCGAAAGCTTCGACGGCCAGAACTGGGAGGCATCATTTGAGGCATCGAACATCGCCAGCTACTCCAAGGAATAAGGGGGCTAGTGACTGAGTTTTCAACTTCGATACGGAGGTTTAGTACGTTAGTACGAGTTGAAAATGCAGATATCCTGCCGTGCTATCATACGCTTGCCAATTCACTTGACCAATGGCGCCGACTCGAGCGGGGATTTTAACCACGTCGGGCAAGGTGATCAAGTTCGATGCGCCAAGTCGGACGTGTGTGACGTTCTCGTCGTGTAGTGGTTGGGAAGCAGCTGAGAAGCTGTTGTATGCGCGCGTGCCGGACGGACAGAGCGTCGCTTTCTTCCGGGAGGAAGACTGTGCAGGCAACTTTGTCTTCAACAGCGACGTGGGGAAAGCCTTCGGGAATGAAATTGTCAAGGGCGACAAGGCGGTCGTGCGGTCGTTCATATTGGCGAAGTACACGACGTACCCAGTGAAGGGGATCGTCAGCATGTGCCGAGACGAAAGTGCATTGGTGTTGAAGGCGACGGAGGGAAGTGACGACGACATGGAGTGGACGATGAGCTCGAGTGCGACTAACGGTGGAAATCTATCGACAAATTGGTTTGACCCTCTCTCGGAGGGAGGTATTGCAGTTGGTGACGCTTGATCGAGTACTCCCTACAGACAACGTGACAAATTAGTTTACACTATGCAATATAATTCTTTTATGTTTCCCTTTAGGTGACGACTACGCATTAGAGACATTTCGCAGCAGGGATTATATTCCCATTCCCGCACAAAGCAACAAAAAACGGGCTCCACCAGCCCTCGGTAGAGAATTAGAGTTAAGGTGCTTGACCAGTTTACCGCAATGTTTGACTTTTTCCGCGGAAAAATGGTCATAACTTTTTTTCTAGACATCCTCTCAGAAATTTAAAAATATGCCGCAAATCTACAGAAACTCGCCTATAACATGGTGATCTTGTCGTGGTTCTAGTGTTTTGCAAGCGAGCTACCTGCATCAAGGCGAAGTGGGTCCTCCGACGTTAACTAGACCTAACCTCAGCTCAATAACGTTGCAATAACAAGAATAACGTCGCCCAAAAAATAAATGACGCGTAAAATACGTGACAACCAAATCCCTCATTCAGGCCGGATTTTCCCTCAGGATTAAAATACTCATTTGAAGTGAGGGTTTACCTCGATTAATTTCGAACTTAAACGGAAAGAAGCTGTACTTTAGGAAAAGAGGGAGAATCTCAGCCCTCCATTTCAGAAAACCAGCTCGGACCTCCTGGAAACATTACGATAGCCCTACGCGCCCGCTGTTAAAGGGTGGGGCAAGCCAAGCGACTTCACGAATTACGTAAGTTTGACCTTGCTTCTTACAGGTGTGCATTAATGTTGCTTGTTATATGTGCATTAACTTTGGTAATTTGTTATTGTTTATTTGGTAATGTATTAAGGCTGTTAAGGAGGCGGCAAAAGCGGCAGGATGCCTCGTACGGGCAAGCTGAACGCATTGGCATCGGAGATGGTCAAGCTGCGAGAGTCTGCCCCCCCCCTCCCGCGAATACTAAAGGTAACGTTGCTCTGCGCTCTATTGTCTGCTAATGCTGCTCTATGATTGATAACACTACTTCATTAATATTTATGTCTCTATGTTGTTTTGACGTTGGTATTCAGCTTCAAGCCGCGGGACGACAAGGACATGCGGGCCGAGAGGGAAGTCCACATCTAGCAGAGTACCGATGTTACCAAACCACTATCATCGTCCAGGTCCCTGACATAATGGCTGCTGCTTCGCGTTGCTTGTAATTATGTTCTGTAATTTCCGTACACCTATACGATTGTCGTCCTAAACGTTTGCGAAGCATTTGCGCCCAAGCGCTTAGGTTTAATCGAATGAGGTCGACACTATACGAAATATCGCTGAGTACTAACGTTGCTTCTCAATAACGTTGCATTATGATTAGCGTTGCCCCTTGGCCCTTGTGGTGAAAAACGTACGCACTTTGGTGAAGAGCGTACAGATTTTGGCTCTTCCTGTAACACATTGCGCGTTTTCTGCAATGGGGGATGCTTCGTCATACAAACCCCAATATGTTTCGCTGCGCTAAACTGGCCGGCGCTCGTCAAAGCTTCCTGGTCTTTCCTTGATGCAGGTAGCTCGCTTGCAAAACACTAGAACCACGACAAGTTCACCTTGTCAGAGGCGAGTTTCTGTAGATTTGCGGCATATTTTTAAATTTCTGAGAGGATGTCTAGAAAAAAGTTATGACCATTTTTCCGCCGAAAAAGTCAAACATTGCGGTAAACTGGTCGAGCACCTTACAGAATTGGTGGCTTTGAAGAAAACTGTCCTCACAACGAGATCAGCAAGCTAACAACCATGGGCCCGAAGCGGCGCAATTTCTCCGCGGAGGAGGACCTCGCACTTCTTCGCCAGGCGCTGAGCAATCGCCCTTTTCTAAAGGAACGAGGCAAGACAATGGCTGCATGGGACGCTCTTGCCGCTCAGCTGGTAAGTGATGCAAACTTCTCTCGTAGGGCACTCCCTAAGATCAGCCCCTACTACGCTTTTTGACAAAACTTTAGTCCGACACAAATTTACATTTGTGAATTACAATCTTGACCTAAACTGGGTAGTGTTTGCGGATGCCCTGCACGAGGCCGTCAAGGTACTGGCACTTCGGGACAGTGCCGTTGAAGTACCAGGACTTCCACAGGTACATGTCTAGGTACTGGTCCAGGCGCTCCTTGGGGACGCCGCGCATAGCCTTGATGTAGCGCTTCACGCGCACTTCCCACGTCCCTTCAATGCGGTTCGTATGGGCCCCCGTCTTGGGGTCACCGAAGAACTTGTCGTGGTTGACCCACTTGTGGGTGTAGTTCTTGCCCTTTAGCCACTTGTTGTTCTCCAACGTATGCTTCCCGTTGACAGAAACATACGAGGAGTACTGGTCGGAGATGATGGTCGACCCGGCCATGATATGCTTGCCGATGAGAGGAGACAGCGTCTTCTTTTTGCGGTCGGGGTCGGTGATGATGCCGAACCACCGCCCCGTGGCCCGATCGACACCGCCGAAGAGCCAGTAGTCCTCGTGCTGCTTGCCGCGCCCGAACTTGGACTTCTTCTTTAGGCTCGTCTCGTCGATCTCGACGGTGTGGCCCACGCCGCCGATCTGTATAAACATAGTTAGCACATATGCCACATATTGTAGTCGAATATTAGGTGTACATACCATCATGCTGCACTGCAGCATCTCGGCGGAGCAGATGTCGCGGCAGAAGCCGTACCAGTCGATCGCCGTGACGTCGGAGATGCCCAGGAACTGCTCCGCGGTTCCGACGGGGATGTCCGACGCCCAGAAGAACATCAGGCGCAGCACAATGCGGTACGCTAGCTTGGTGCCGTCGAAGAAGGAGCCTTTCTTCAGGCTGAGCTCCTTGTCCGGGTGGCCGCTACGGCGGCATCGCCAGCGGCGGTCCTCGTCCTCCGTGCCGCGTTTGTACACGCACAGGTTCATGGGATAGTCGCAGTACTCGCATGTCTTAGAGGAGGCGAGGAGGCCGTGACGCATTAGGAAGCTCACGGCCGTGTCCTCGCTCGTGGTCGCCGCCATTATGTTGTCGAACGTGAACGAGGACACCGCCGGATCCGCCACCGCGTACGCGTACGGCGAGTTGTACACGACGGGCTCCTTGGGCGCGGTGTTGGGCGGCGCTCTGGATGCGCGCACGCGCTCCGACCGTGACGCGCGCTTGCGTGGCGCGCGTGCAGAGCGCGGAGCCGTCTTCGAGGATGATTTCTTGGCTGGGGCCATGGTGCGTTGCGTGTCTTGGGGCGGGGGCACTTTTTCGAAAGTGATAGTGTTTGGGTTGTGGCGGCATCGCCGTGGGCGCGAAAAGTGGGGGCGCTCCTCGGGTTCACACGAGTACGCGCGCAACGCAAACTTATACATGGGTGCACTTAATATGTAATTTGTGTCGGACTAAAGTTTTGTCAAAAAGCGTAGTGGGGGCTGATCTTAGGGAGTGCCTCTCGTGGCAAGCTGAGCGGCAAGACGGCTCAAGCGCGTTTCGACAAGCTGGTGACGCAGAAACGTCAGCAGAATGCTGCTGCGTTAGCTGCGTCTGGCGTCGACGAAGAAGAAACGGAGAAGGACGTCTTGCTGGACGAGCTTATTGCTCTCATCGATGACCATATCGAAGCCGTGGCTGCCGAGAACGACACCGCCAAGCGCAAGCGCGATGCAGATGAGGAGGCGTCACTAACGGCTCGCCGCCTAGCTATGGAGAGCCTGTCAGCCGGCGATCCTCCTAAGAAAAAGAACAAAGAGGACGAGATGAAGGAGTTCCTGTTGGAACTGAAGAGGATGGAGGCCAAGGAGCAGAATGAGCGTTGGGAGCAACAAGCCGCTACACGTGCTCGTGAGCGCGAAGAAGACTGGGCTTTCTTTTTGAAACTAGCTGAAGTATTCGGAAAACACTTTAGTAAGCCCCAAAACAAGTAGTTTGTATTGGTCGCTTAGTAGCTAGCTACTTAGATCTAGATACTCCGCTAGCGATGGCGGCTTCAAATAAAAATACTTGCTGATCTCGTTCCCACCGTAATAGCAGCAGTGGCAATTTGTGAGCAACATGCACACATTTACTAGCTTACCAATTGGGCTCTGGCGCAGTTTAAGCTTCTTCTTGTAGTCAATATGCCCACTGTGTCTTGAGAATAGAAAACTTCCACTCGACGGATTCGCGAACGGAGCTCATAGCTGCGTTGAAGGCTTGCTCTCCAGCTGTCAATTGCGCTTTCTTAAAGCCTGATACGATGAAGCGCTGTACCCCGTATGCGGGATCGCCGTACAGCAAGAAGTCGACAAAGTTGGACTCTCTAGCCTCCAAATACTCTGTAAGCTTGATTTCCCTTAGTAGTGTGATGTCGTGCCGCTTGCCCTCGATGGACCTCCAAAAGTGGATGGTCAGTCCATCGGGGACGACCACAGCCTGGTAGTTCAGGCAGTGTACTCGCTTGTGCCCCGAGTACACCTGCTTCTGCAAGTTTTCGCGGTGCCCGGGCCTCGGAGACGGGCGGCAGATCGGGTTCTTGGTCCCGTCAATGAAACCAAACACATTGTGCATTGGCGCACCCTTGTCATGGATTGCTTGCGCATATCGACGTATATTCTTGCTGCAAACGGTCTTCTGAAAGTAGATCAGCTCTTTGAAGCGCTCATACAACCAGATCACTAGAACAAAAACACACCTAACATAAATAGTCAGATACCTTATACATTACGGCTTTTATTAAGTCGCGTAGGTCCAACAAAGTATACGACGTACTCAAATGAGTGCAAATGCGGCTGATGGCAGCTTCCGAGCGGCCAAACTTGGTCAGAACATCGTAGTTCCGTCGTGGGTAGCTTGTGCGATAGAGGAGTATGCATAGTGCCTCTGTGCGGTGCAGCCTGTCGCGATAAGCGGTGATGACATACTCAGGTAGCGCAAATAGCTCCACGAGCTGGTAGATAGCCGCTCTCTCGAACCTAAAGTCCTTGACGCAGTTGACATCAGACTTGCTGCTCAACACGAAGCGGATTGAGGGGATGATGGGGCGCTCGGGGCGCTCACGGTGCTCGTTGTTCGCTAACAGCAGCAGCAGAGCAGGGCCGACGTCGACAGAGCTGCTTGCAGCAGCCAGCACAACAGTCTCCATTGCGAGGCAATATCGTGAGTGCCGCAGCAGCCATCCGATGGACATATCATTTTTGAGGGGCAATGCTTGTGGGAAAAGAATTAGAGTGAAATGCGTTGACTAGAGTTTTCTTCACCATTTCCACAGAGCTCTGTGGGGATGGGAAATGCAAACTGCGAAAACTCTCTATTCTATAATACCATCTACATGTACAAAGTACATGACTGTCTGTCTTGAGTTCGGCTGGAACTTAGGGGGTAGTTGTTGTGGTCATAGATTTTCTAATTTGCAGCTTCAAACTATTGACTTTCCACTTCCCTTTTGCCAAGTTTTGAATTTCGACGCGGGAGCTCAGCTCCCGCGTCGAAATTCTGTACCTCCGAGCTGGAATTCTGACTGTGGGCTTGTTGGTGAGTGCTTCTACGATCTCACTTCCTGCACAGAGAACACGGAAGCGGAAATACCCAACAGCAGCGAGTTCGAGATGAATCCTACCTCTTCTTGCCATAGGGCACCATCAGTGGGACGTGCCTGCCCAGTTGCAAGTTTGTTGAACAATGACCGAGGCAGCTCCAGCTGCAGGGCCGGGTGCAGTCGACATAGGTGCAACAAATACAATTACAAATGGAAGTGCTTCCGGTCCGGCGAAACGAGGAGTATTGAGGTATATCGAGCGGAAGTGGACCGATCTACAAGTCGAACGTCAGGGCGCGTACTCTATCGAGCATCTCGAGAGTCTGAACTTGTACTGAAAGACCACGTCACGCACGCGGGTTGTTCTGGTATGCGTCCTCTATCCACTTCCTTCGCTGCTGATAGCTCTGGTGGTGGAATGTTTGCCGTTGCGGTCGCCGTCAGAAGGGTGGAGAGCGAACTGGGTCTTCTGGATTCGTTTGTTGCTGGTTAGTGTCATTGTCGGGTTCGGCATCAACTCGATGATGGTCCGGTTTATTCCGGGTCTCAACTTCACAGTCGCCAAGAGATTGACTTGTGCAATCGGTTGTGGTGTCTTGTTCGTGGGGACTTGTATTCTGGCGGTGAGTGAGATAGCTTTCCCGGTGCCGCTTATGATGCAAATTGGCTCAATCCCCATTGCATTTTACTCTCTACTCATGAATTTGCTTGTTCTGGAGTCAGCTTTATTTGCAAAGGACTCGCCCTTAAAAACCCATGCCGACAGGTATAATCGCTTTTTCCCGTCAATCATGGCGCTATGCTATCTACAAGATGTTGTATACGCTCTTACCAGCAACATATTGAGTTGTCACCATTGGCATTTTGCCAATCTGGAAGTTTGCAGCCAAACACTTAATCGTGGTGGCTACGCGTGAACTGGAAGATTTTATTCCGGTGCTGGTGGCTTTCTCTGTGGATTTCTTTAGCACACTGTTCATCTCAGTCTGTATGTCCACCTCAAGATCCGCCATTCTCAATCTATCGTTCATTGCAGTGGACTTCGCTCAATCCCTGATCCAGTTCCGCGCCATGAAGGCGAACGGAATGGAATTGCTGACGCTCCTTAACGTACGCCAACAAAGAAAAGAGAATGGGCTTGAGATTACTGATCTTCTAACGATACTCTTTGACGCGGTCCGAAACTCAGCTTCACTCCCGCCTAAATCGCTGGAAAACGTTCGAATGTGGGCGTGTCTTCCCTATTCACTGACGAGTGAAGGGCTCGGTCGCCTTCATGCTCTTGATACAGCCGACATATACGCCCAAAAGGAGAAAGGGCGTCAAGCAGTGAGCTTCCGTCGTCCCCGCTATCGACCAGCACGCACTGTCCCGGTTGCACCGTCTCCAGCAACCATTTCAGAGGCCATTAACGACCACGCAAGCATCGGTCACACCGCTAACCAGAAGAAGACCGTGGTTCAAGGTGTTCAACTTCTCTTTCATTCCGAATATGTGGTTCTAGTCCAGTACATTGAGTGCATGGTACCGCTCATGTACTTGGCATTCAAGTGCACACTACAGAACCTTCCGAACGTTGTATTCTATCCGGGTGGTGCTGGGAATTGGGATGCCACCTCATGCTAACATTTTTGTGCTTCAAGTTAATCTTTTGCTTTTTATCAACAAGTTTATGCAGCGCAAGTTTGCTCTCTCCCCGTTGTATCAGCTAGCGTATGTGCTGGAGACGGAGGTTTACGCGGGACAACCTCTTCTTATCGGCTTGATCCTGCAGTATGAGCTGGAACATTTCGGTGGGTATCCTTGCCCCTCCTTCTCTGCTGCAGGTGCCGACCTTACTCTTCGTTTCCAATGGCTCGAAGCAAATAAATAACGAGCAATCGCTATTGAAATGACCGCCGACATTGGACCTTCAGCGTCAACCTGAACGAATCCAGTGCTAACTGTATGTGTGTTTACAGTAACAAGAAGCCAAGCTCGTGTGGTCAATAAAAAAATATGTATGCCACCACAAACTCACCACATCCCACAACACGATGCGTACAACCCCCTATCATAGCATTCTACCTCCTCCATCACACTCCTCTGTACGCTTGGGCCTACTGGCTCCGTGCGCTCACCGTTGAGGTCCACCCCCCCACATGTACTTGTAGATGGACGAAGCACCACTAGTGAGGGAGCTTGCGACGGTTGAGACGGTAGCTTCGACTGCCTCCACCCCGATCTTGACAGACGAACCCACAGAAGTCATGCCCTTCGACACTGTCTTCTCGTTTGAATGCGCGTGAACAAAGTCGCTGAGCTTCATACCGATGCGCTCGTTTAACTTGCCTTCCATCCGCAGCATCAGCGCAGTCGCAGCCTCGTCGTCGGACTGACCAGGCAGGAATCGCTCGATCACAAAGGCTTCGAGGTCGCTCTGCGTGTAGTTAACGCCGAAATCCGTGATCTCTGGAAGTGCCTTCACCACCAGCGTCAGCATAATCATGAACAGACTCACGTGCCGCCTCAAGCAGTTGAACGCAATTACACAGAGCTGCTTGAACTGCTCGAACTGCTGCGTCTGCGTGCCTCCGAGTGCCTCAATCATGTAGTGATCAAGCCGCATCGGAGGCTGCAGCGGCTTCGGGTCCTTGCCAAGGATGAAGCCGTAGTCGATGTGGAACAAAATGCCGTCCTTCGTCAGCATCACATTGTCAGCGTGACGATCACCAACGCCCAGCAGGAATGTGATCACGGTGTAAGCTGCTAGACTCTCCCGGAACGACGAGGAGATGTCGCTGAGGGTGCGGTGCCCGTTGTAGTGGTGCAGGAAGTTCATAATTGTGCCATGGTCGCGGATGATCGAGTAGAGTGTGTGAGCGTTCTCCACAATCTCGATGAGTCCGTCGAAGCTGCTCGTCGGGAGCACGCGGTAGGTCACCAACGGAATGTCGAGTCGAGTTTCTTGCTTCAAGATCAGATACATGACGTTGATGATGTTCTGAACGATCGAGTCTTTCCGAAGGTCATCCCGCTTGTACATGAGGCGGTAGTGGGGCAGCTTGTGCGTCCGCCGGCTCCACGTATTCCGTTGAGATTCAGCAGTACCATCAGCAGAGTCTTCGCCCTCTTCAGCGCGATCGACGCCCGTGCACGTGATGATCATGGGCGCCTCCGCGCTTCGCTTCACTTCAATCTTCTTGTAGTTGATACCACTTATCTTAACCTGCGGATCCACCGGCAGACGCAGAAGAGGCCATTCCTGCTCCCCGTTTGCAACCGCTTGAATAGATCCACCTGACTTCCTCTCGCCCGTAGATGCACCAAGAGACGACTTCTTGATCGACGCTTGCAAGATGCGTCGTACATCTTCAACAGGAATGCGCGGCGGGATCTTCCACATCAAGTCCACCAATTCTTGGCCTCGAAGAAGCTGCTCTGCGACATCGTCATTGGCAAACTTCCTCGACTCGACCATACGCCCACCCGATGACTTGTCCTTAAACTGCGCGAGCGTGAGTAGTAGTCGCTGCTTCATACCGTCAAATTTTCGTCGACAGCTTGGGTCCTCAGCCATGACCGTAAGACCCCAGTATAAATCATAGCAGAAGCGGATGCCACATTGCGCTTGTCGGATCAATGACTCCCCCAGCTTGCTTCCAGCAGCATTAGTCTCCACACTCAGACTGTGCAACAGCACCTGCAAGTAGCTCCACCATTCGTTCTCCGTCGCAGTCTTCAGCAGCGCGTCAACCGCCATTGCGCGCAGTCGATTGTTGCAAATGGTTTCATCCGCCAAGATCTCCAGGGCATCGACACTACCAATTTGCGGTTTGCACAGCCGCGAACACATGGTCAGCATGCATTTATGCTTGCGTTCTTGCTGCAGCAACTCCATCACCTCGTCGACAAGCTGCGAGTTTTTCTCCCGCCGTCTCCGCGCCGCCTGGGGGCTTTCAATGTCGCTTGCAGTCATGTCCACACCGAGATACTCTGCTTCGTTCTCTTCCGAAAAGTCGACGGCCTTGACGAGCTGCAGCAGCCACTTGGTATGTCCACCCAGGAACTTGCGGTTGATAATCAGCATCTTCTTCTCTCGCTCGGACAGTCGGTGGGTAGGCAGGTAGTACTGGATCTGCCGGAACATCGACAGACACATGATGGTCGCGCGGTGCCATTTGCGACACACTTGGCCCAGCGTCCGCAGTTCTTGCAGGTCGAACTCGCACAACTCGAACACCTTGACCGTGTTGTAGTGATGCCCTCGCTGCTGCAGCGCACACGCGCAGTCGTCACACACGCGCTGCATCACGCTGCCATCGGGTACGGGCATCGACCTGTGGGAGCTCGGCGCCGTCAACGCCCCACTGCTCGACAGCGACGACGAGGCACTGCCCGACCTGGATCGATTCGGCGTGAACTTGCTGATGACGTTGTTCTCCTGCAGCCTCTGTACGTCCTTCAAGAACTTCTCCTGCTGCTCCTCGGGCGTGAGTCTCAAGGACACGGAGTCCGAGAACGACTGCGAGTGTCTAACTCCACTGGAATCCGCCCCCGCGGACGCGTTCGGACTCGAGTACGACGTCAAGTACCAGCTGATGTTGCCAATGAGGTCGCTAGCATTGGTCGTCAGCGAGTTGTACGCCGGGGAGACCGGAGTGGCTTCATAGTCCCCCGGAATGACCACCCGCTGGCTCGAACACGCCGAGCAGAAGATGCGGCCGCACGCGCGGCAGTGGTGCTTGCGCACCAGCAGCGAGAAGACCGTGTGGCACTTGAAGCAGGCGAAGACCGCGTCGTCCTGCACCCAGGAGGACAGTCTGCGGGGCTGCACGAAGCGGTACATGTCCTGGCCGAGCTGTCCGTCGTCGCCGTTGGCCCAGTCCTCGTCCTCCGTGCTGCTGTCCATGTGGATGGAGGAGCTGCCGCCTCCTCTTGCCTCCTCCTCGCTCTCCTCCAGGATGTCCTCGCTGCCCTCGTAGACCGAGTCCAGCATGCCGCTGCCGTACGCGGGGGGTCCGGTGTCCTCCGACTCGAGGAAGGTGGACGGTGTCCCAGGCGGAGGCGGCGGGAAGCGTCTCACTACCTGCTGCTGCTGCGCCACGCGCCCATTGGGCGCTGGAGGCTTGCGCCGCCGTCGTTGTTGCTGCTGCTGGTGGTGGTGGAAGGTGCTGCGCGCCTCGAGGATCTGCGAGAAGGACAAGTCCACGGCCGCGGCGTCGCGCGAGGGGTCCTGGCTGTACATGGCGCGCCGTGTGCGGGGCAGTAGGCGACGCAATCAATGCGGAGCTTGAAGAGGGGAGAGGCAGATAAGAGGCTGGGATGGCGGACCCGTTACGCTCAGAGCGACGGATTTAGGGCTCCAAGTGCACGTGTGCAGGTGACCGCCGAGGAGACCACCTCTGAGTTGGTTGAGTTGAGCGTTTGGGTGTTGTTGAGCTTTTCTTCGCCAACCCGGGGAAAACGGTATTTGGTTGAAGAGGGTCTAATTTCTTTTGGCCAATCGGAGGTGAGGAATGAGAAAGTGGGAGTTTGAGGGGAGTTTGTGACTTTTACAGATTTGCTCAGGAGCACTGTCGGCAGACAGATCGAGTCAAAGTGGAGGGCGCTGCTGTCTGAATGAGGAAGGGACAATCAGGTGCCTTGTAGCTAGCCTAGCTGTTGTGTGAAGCCGCGCGATATGAGCGCACACCAGGATCACTGGTTGGAACGGTCGAGGATACATTGGGCTTGAAGCCATGCAAGTTTTTGGCGAACCTCGTTACGATAGACTTGCTTGGTACTGAACGCAGCTCTCAGTCTATGGTTCCGACACGGCACCAAATCCGTCAAGACAGCATGTTTGTTATGGACCGAAAGTGCAGCGTTACAACATCGTTCACTCTAGCACAAGAGTATCCACTATTACTCAGTGTTCCATAACGTACCAAAGCTTCTCCATGTCCTTTTAACATCATTCATGGCGCTACATGCATGTACCGCTGCAATTCCGGAGTGCCGACGTTGTTGCAACTTGCAACTTGCAAGAAAACCTTGAGGCAGATTTTGCTCGATGTGTATGGTCGGAAGAAATCCAGTGCCACTGCTCGGCTTTCGGGCGAATCACGGGCGGCCAGCGTGTCAGCGCGGCGGTTGGCTACAAAACGGGCGGACGGGCGATTGGCCGAAAAGCCTGATTTATCGGGCGACCATCACTCCTGGAGAAGGATCTTTTTGACCAATGCGATGACTTCAACATCGGCGCGAGCCAGCGGTGATTGGCTGAAAAGGTCCGTGGAAACCCATTTCCCTCCGACCAGCTTGGGGCCGTGCGAGGGGGAGGAATCCGCCTATGGTCACTTTCGAAAGAAGCCCGAGGCGAGCAGCCACCGTTAGCAGCAGTAAGAGAAGCAAGCAAGCATGGACAAGGTGCTCGAGTACAAGGAGAAGATCTCGGCCAAGCTCGAGCGCTACGAGAAGATCGTGGAGCTGGAGAAGCAGACGGGCGTGGACAAGTTCTACATCTTCTGCGTGGGCGCGCTGCTGGCGGGCATCCTGCTGTTCGTGGTGGGCGGCGAGGAGCTCGTGGTGGGCCTCGTGGGCTTCATCTACCCGGCCTACATGTCGTTCAAGGCCATCAACACGCCCGGCACGGGCGACGACACCCAGTGGCTCACCTACTGGGTCGTCTACGCCTTCTTCAACCTCACCGAGTCCATCACGGACCTCGTGCTCTCGTGGATCCCCTTCTACTTCTTCTTTAAGATTGCCTTCCTGGTCTGGAGCTACCACCCGAGCACCCAGGTACGGCGATGCTTGCAACTTCCCCTTCATCGCCTCCCAGTTGATGATAACTGGCGAGGTGTTTGCAACGGAACACCATGGATCTAACGGTATTTTGTTATTTCTATCTATCAGGGTTCTACTATCATCTACAACTCGCTGATCAAGCCGTACGTGGCCCCCCACGTGGGCCAGATCGACGCGGCGCTCAAGCGCGGCGAGGACGCTGCCAAGAAGGTGGCCGACAAGATCCAGGAGAAGACCCAGTAAGCCGGCGGCGTTGCCGATTGGTGGTGGTGGCGGTGCTTTGAAGTGAAGATCCCAGTCGGTCTAGCCGCAAGCTTCCCAATGGATGACGACAGAGCCCCCTCCCAGCTAGTAGTGACGTGGCAAGTGCTCGCCCTGCTCCATCTGGCAGCAGCGGACAGGTCAGCAGCCTGATCTATCGCGTCTGCTCCGCCGCCGGAGCGGCGAGCACCCCGCGAGCAAGGTCTTTGTATTTTCCGTGACCGGATAATCCATTTCGTACATGGCGAAGAATACACCATTCTACTCTGTGCACGGCCTCGCACCACCGCAACGCAATGCAGACCCATCCTCGGCATCGCATGCAGCCTAAATATCACACGGTCCCAGCTGGACAAAAGATCGGGTCGTCACAAATGAGTTTTTACGTGTCAACGTAATTACGCCGTCACGACCGTCAATAGGCTGAAAAGATGCTTCTCAATTTCATCGAATCAACACTAAGTATTACGTCAAACCTGCGTCGATTGGCCAAAAGGCGGGATGGATCCGCTCTGCGTTTTTACCCAACCCGCTCACAGTTGAAATCCTCGTGACCAAGTGAGTGGAGGCGATGGCGGTCAGCAAGCCGTTGCCTGCGAAGGAGAGCGCGCTCTTCCGCTCCATCGTGGTGCGTACCTCCTCCTTTATACGCTTCTCCATGTTCCCCTTCTTCTTCGCTCTCCATCCATACCCCATTCGCCCTCCACCACCCCCTACAAGCTCGGGAAAGTGGACAATACCTTGAACCATATTCACTAATATTTAATTATTTATTTACTATCCGCCTTAGAAAAACTATGAGATCAAGCAGTACAAGAAGGGCCTGAAGGCGGCCGACACGATCCTCAAGAAGTACCCGGAGCACGGCGAGACGCTGGCCATGAAGGGCCTGACGCTCAACTGCATGGGCCGCAAGGAGGAGGCGTACGAGTTCGTCAAGAGCGGCCTGCGCCACGACCTGCGCAGCCACGTGTGCTGGCACGTCTTCGGCCTGCTCTACCGCTCGGACCGCAACTACCCGGAGGCCATCAAGTGCTACCGCAACGCCATCCGCATCGACCCGGAGAACCTGCAGATCCTGCGCGACCTGTACTTGCTGCAGGTGCAGATGCGCGACCTCAAGGGCTTCGCGGAGACGCGTCGCACCATGCTCACGCTCAAGCCCAACAACCGCAACAACTGGATCGGCTTCGCCATCGCGCACCACCTCGTGGGCAACTACCAGATGGCCATCGACATTATCGAGAAGTACTTCAGCACGCTGGACGGCGAGCCGGTCGCCAACTACGAGGACAGCGAGATCCACCTGTACCAGAACCAGCTGCTGGAGGAGGCGGGCGACATTGAGAAGGCGCTGAAGCACCTGGAGGACACCAAGTCACAGATCACCGACACGCTCTACTGGCGCCAGAAGAAGGGACAGTTTCTGCTGCAGCTCGAGCGGTACGACGAGGCCCGCGCGGTCTTCGAGGAGCTGCTGGAGATCAACTTCGACAACTACGAGTTCCAGCGTGGCATGCAGTGCGCCATCTTGAAGCGTACGGACCTGTTCGTGTCCAAGCCGACTCAGCAGAAGAAGACGCCGCTGCCGTCCGAGGTGCTGGACTTCACGAAGGAGAAGAACGGCGCTGAGCAGGAGAAGGCCCTAGCCGAGTTCTACGCGGAGAAGAAGGAGACGATCGGCGCCAAGTCGCTGGTGTCGCTGCGTTTCCCGCTGGACTTCACGCGCGGAGCGGAGTTTAAGAAGCACGCCGACGTGTATATCAAGAGACAGCTGAACAAGAATGTGCCGGTGCTGGGATCGGACCTGAAGCCACTGTACGCCAGCAAGGACAAGGTCAAGGTGATTGAGGAGCTCATCCTTGGATACCTGAAGACTCTGGAGGCCAAGAAGCCTCTCGATGCTGGCGACAATTCTATTGCGGCGAACTCGACGGAGAAGGTGCTGCTGTGGACGAACTACTTGGCGGCGCAGCACTACGACCGTCTGGGCAACCACACCAAGGCTATGGAATACATCGAGAAGTGCATCAAGCAGGAGCCTACTCTGCTGGACTTTTTCCAGCGTAAGGCGCGCATCTTGAAGCACATGGGTGACCTGAACAAGGCTGCCGACGTGATGGTCGAGGGCCGTAAGCTGGACCTTGCCGATCGCTACATCAACAGCAAGACCACGGAGTACCTGCTGCACGCGGACCGCGTGGAGGAGGCCGATGCGACTATTGCTCTCTTCACCCGCCACGAGGGCGACCCGCAGCAGAACCTGTTTGACATGCAGTGCATGTGGTACGAGATCGAGTGCGGCAAGAGCCAGCTGCGCCAGAAGAAGTACGGCCTTGCGCTCAAGCGCTTCTTCGCCGTGGAGAAACACTTCAACGACTTCGTGGAGGACCAGTTCGACTTCCACACGTACTGCATCCGCAAGATGACGCTGCGCGCGTACGTTCAGATGCTGCGTCTGTGTGATGAGATCTACAGCCGCCCGTTCTTCGTGGGAGCTGCTCACGGCGCCATCGCTTGTTACGAGGCTCTGGCCGACAAGGAGGAGCTGAAGGCGCAGGAGGAGGCCAAGATCGCCGCTGCCGCCGCGAACATGTCCGCTGCCGAGAAGAAGAAGGCGAAGCGCGCTCTGGCCAAGGCTCGCAAGGCTGAGTTCAAGAGGAAAGAGGAGGAGGAGCTCAACGCCAAACTGCACAAGGAGGTCGAGGAGAAGGAGCGCGAGGCCACCAAGAACGGCAAGGCCAAGGCGAACCCGGGCCCCACGCGCCCGAAGGACGACGATCCGTTCGGCGAGAAGCTGGCGGAGAAGCCCGCTCTCGAAGAGGCGTGGCGCTTCGTGGCCATCCTGCAGCGCTACTCTCCGGAGGACGTCAAGACGCACGTGGCTGCGTTCGACATCGCTCTGCGCAAGAAGAAGTTCCTGCTGTGCTTGCAGGCTCTGCTGAAGGCTCAGAAGCTGGAGAACGTGTCGGCGGAGGCCAAGAAGGAGCTGAGCTCGCGCCGCGCAGTTTTCCTGGAGCAGGTGAAGCAAGTCACAAACCCCGTCGTGCTCAAGGTCATCAACGAGAAGAAGGCCGAGCTGACGAATTAGAGAGTGGAGGGGGCGAAAGAAACGGTAGTGCAGTGTGGGCGGGCGGTCGTGCAGCAGCTCGAGTCGATTGGGCGCGAGTATTAGAGACGAGGTAGAGACAGGAGATGCAGCGTCCGTCGACAGTCAATAGAGCGGCATCCTGCGTGCTGCCAGCGCCTGCCACAATGATAAGCCATGTCATGTGTCGTTCCCAGTCCCCATCGTTGCCACTCATTCCGCCCCGTCTATTGGCGCGCAAACGGAGACTTGTCAACTAGAACCACCACCTCGAAAGATGTGGCGCTGTCCTTCGGCTCGCGTGCTTCGGAGCCAGCTGTCCCTGTCCGTGTGTGGGTTCTCGAGTGCCGCTACTGGGGGTGATGGCCCCCTGAAGCTTTATGTGATCGCTGGGGAGGCGTCAGGCGACGCGATCGGCGCCAAAGCCATTCGCGCTCTGCTGCGCCACCAACCACCACAGTCGCTGGAGTTCCGCGGAATCGGAGGGTGCGTCACTATTGCAGGGGTTTTGAGTGGATGCTGGCAGATGCTGACGAAGGGATCTTTGGTTCTTGCAGGCCTCAGATGTGTAAGGCTGGAGGTTTTGAGTCGCTCTTCCCGATGCAGGAGCTGTCGCTCATGGGGCTTGTGGAAGTGGTGCCATATCTTTGGCGCTTTCGGGTATGGTTGGGCAATTGAGCAATGACTACTGAGGGGATACAAGGACGCTGTTGCTGAACATTTTTGTGTGTTAATGGAACAGCGGCGGATTCAAGATACTTTGCGAGATATTGAAGCTTACCAGCCGGAGTTGGTGCTTACGATCGACTCAAAGGGGTTTACGTTTCGAGTGCTGAAGGCGTTGCAAGCGAGTGAGCAGCAGAGTGGTGGCAAACGCATTAAGAAGGCACACTACGTGGCACCGTCGGTCTGGGCGTACAAGCACCGAGGCAAACGTGACTTCACGGAGCTTCAGCAGCTTTTGGATGCCATGTTCACCATCTTGCCCTTCGAAGAGGACATCTTCCGTGCGGGTGAGAGCAGTCAGAGATTGGAGAGTGGTGAAGAAGGCGCGACGCAATCGTGGTGTCATTTTGTGGGCCATCCTGCTGTCGAAGACTTCCTGGAAGCTCATGGAGCCTTCGATCGAATTCCTGACTACGAAGGCGCCTCCGCGGAGACAGACGCCCGGCAACTTGAAATTGGAGCAGACGCTCTTCTAGACTTGTCAAAGTTGGACATGAGCAATTTGCTCGAGCGTGGTCAGTTTTTCCACGCTTTGGCGGCGAGGGGACGTGAACCGAACTCCAGAGCCCAAGCCAGAAAAGAGTTTGGCGTCCCCGATGATGCGTTTGTGATCTGCGCCCTTGTTGGGAGGTAAACCTGCTTTTATCTTCGTGTCCGAGCGCAACGATCCTAACGGTTTTTCCCCCCTGTGTAGCCGAGCAAATGAAGTGAAAAAGTCGGCGCGGTTGGTACTTAATGCCATCGCTGAATTTAAGCAAACAAATGCCTCGATGCGGGAGAAGAATGTAAGTTCTGCTCAGTCTGCTTGTTCTGTTTTGCAAGAATGCTAACCTGTCCTGTGTCATAGATCCGTGTCGTGTTCCCAACTATTGCTGCAGTGGAGGATCAAGTGAATGCCTACATCTCCGTGGCATTTCCTGAAGTAAAGTGCCAGGTGCTTACTGATCTCGATGCAGCAGCACGATTTCGATTGTTTCAGGTGACTGAGATTCTTTGGTCTGGTGAATTGATGTTGCATTGGTAACACGCTTCTGCCTCGTTCATTTGTAGGGGTCTGATCTAGCGTTGGCCGTGTCGGGGACGATTGTGCTTGAAACTACGTTAGCGAACTTGCCGACCGTGGTGATTTACTGCGCCAACAAAGTGACGGAGTGGATCGCCCAGCGATTGGCTGCTGTGCGATTCGTATCCGTCCCCAATCTGCTGCTCGGAAGGTACGTTAGTGCCATCTTACTTAGCATTCATTCTCCAGAATCTAAAGTCACTTACCGCCTGTATGTGTAGATCTCTGCTGCCCGAGTTGCTTTTTAGTGAGTGTACTGCTTCGAATATTGCCAGCGCACTCGGGTAAGCCTTATCATTGACTCGTGTTTTGCTGCCACAGCAAAATTGTACACTAAAACGTAACTTTGTTTGGGTCGTAGTGCGCTCCATACACAGTCGCACGATCCAATCGACGCGCTACATCTGGCGATGGCTGTTGGCACGTTAACCAAATGGCGAGAAAAAAACGACAAGCTTGCTCCTGGAGCTAAACCCGCAGGTCTGAAGCCGATTCGAGCTAGTGACCTGGTCTCCAAGCACATCCTCAACGTTCTGAAGATTTGAATTGAATAAAAACAACGTTCTTCCTAGCCATTCGAGCTTTATTTGAATTCCTCTAACACCTACAGATCACCGCCCCGAGCACGAAGCCAACGGTGAACGAGTCTAGCCGCCGTTGCGGTCTTGGCGTAGTTTTTGAAACTGCCAGTACAACAATGAAATCGGGTAAATGCAACTCTCGATTGCATGTGTGCAGCGTGTGAAGGCATTAATGACTATTTTGTGTAAAAGTATCTTGTTTATCAGATTGTGCCATGGACCCACTCGAAACGAAGACTGAAATCCGCGCCTGCGGAAGCAAACATGTAGACAACAACGATCAGAACCATTTTCCGGGGGGTCTCATGCGACTACGTACCAAAGTGCTTCAGCTCGTATTGCAAAACACTTAGGATCAGACCAAACAGGATTGCTTGCACAGGATGAAACTCCGTTTCAAGCACGAACGCCAGCTGCTGTATTGGTGAAAATACGAACTTGCGTCGTACAAATGCTGCGAAAGACAAAACAAACCGACCTCCAGCAGTGAAAACAGCGATACGTTTGTCACTCATGTCCTATCCCAGTTGCCGCCACCACCAGGATAATACACAACATTCGGTAGATGCTCGAGAATCGACTTGTACACCAAGAAATGATCGGAACGATGCACTCAACGTACTGGACAAGCACCACGTATTTGGAATGGGATAGGAGCCGCACACCTTGAGAAACAATTTCTTTCGATCGATCTGCGTTGGCCAGGAAGGAATTACTCCGACCTGATTGAAGCTTGGTTGATGCTATTTTGCTCGGTGCAATTACAGCCTTTCGATGTCGCGAAAGACGCCGTAGCGAGGTCACCTGAAGATGTTCGTCTTTGTGGCTATACACACCCAGTTTTTCAAGAGCCTGCAGCCTTTCGAGCGCTCCTGCAGTGAGCGGGTACGGTAAACACGCCCAGTCTCACGTTCTCGAGCGAGTTCGGAGGGAAGAAAGCAGAATCTTGTGTCGACTCAAGAACAATCGTCAACAGATTGGTCGAGTCAGAAAAGGGATACTTTTTGCGGAGATGAGGTTGGGAATTTCGATGCTGGCCCACGAGCAGCAGCAGCGCTCGACTATTAGCACTTTAGACCGAAGCTCCAGCAACGATTGAGCCGTGCTTACTGCGACGAATAGGATCATCAACGAAAGGGACTTTGACGTCGACATACACACCGAAATCAAGAGCGAGGATAATTTAAATCCACACACAGCGCCACCTGCATCAGCATGATGTCCTCCAGTTCACGTGTGGCTTTCACCAAGAAATGTTTCGCCGCGAACTTCCAAATTGGTAGAATGAAAACTGCGATTTCTCGATTCGCCTCCGGAATATGCTCGTACAGGACTTTGTAGACCGGGTTCAGGGTGTTAAGCGTCATAAATGCCAAGAAAAAGCGGTTGTATCTGTCGAAGTCAGTCTTCAACGGGGAGTTCTGTGCAAAAAGAGCTGAGCCCAGGACCAACCGAATCATGATTGCGTTGTAAATTCCGGCGTGAGTTGCAGCATGAACGGCACTGGGAAGCCAATCTTGACTGAAGCTAGCAGACAAGCCCCCAAAAATGCGATGCTAAGTCCGACTGCGATAGCCACTCTCTTCACCATCGTGAACTGGAGGTCTGGGATCAGACAGATCATTTGAGAGTTTACTACAAAGCCCAAAACGAGATGAATCACGAAAAGACGAAGCCAGAAATCCCAGTTGGCCCTCCACCCTTCCGACGGCGATTGCAGCGGCAAACACTCGAGTAGCACAGCAATTGTTGATGCTGGAATCGGAGAAAAGACGCAGATGGCGACAGCCCTCCGGAACGATGTCGTTTTGCGATAGTAGTCGAGACTCTCGAGGCGCTCAATGAAGTAGGTGCTTTGGCTTTCGATCTGGATGTCGTTCCACACTTCCACAAGGCGTCTCGAAACGCGTGGTGGTGGTGAGCGTCGTTTACGCGATATCGTCGTTGCCGAAGAGCTTGCAGGTTGAGCTAACACCTCAATCTCGGACATTGTGCAATACGGCGAGTTTTGAGTAATGGTGAGCAAGCGCTCAGAAGTCAAGGAAACGGATTGGCAGACTGAGTCCAGTTTTATAAAAAGTGTTGTTCATATCACCGTAGGTAATAAGATTACTTGCACAACACTCTGTTTAATAAGTAAGCAGTACTACTTCGCATGACACCTGTAACCGCGTGTATATTTGTTATCAAGCAAGTCCAGGACCTCAATGGACATCATTGATGTCCATTGAGATCCTGGAATTGATGTCACGTCATGCATGTTTGCCAAATACGCGCTCCGCGCCGTCCTCCTCCTTCCCTTTTAAATACGCTCGCTTGAATCAATTCTAAAAGTGACGTCCAAGCTGTATGGCGATATGCAACCGACAAGTCCAATGAAAATATTCTCGTAGGTGTATGTCCACAAACTGGTTTGATGCTATTCCGGAGCTATGAAAAGAACCGCGTACTCGTAGGTATGCTTTTCTTCATAGACGACAAGTTGAGCTTTATTTGAACTCGAAAGCTTAAGTAGGATGCCCTAAGTATTTTGCGTAAGAAATCACCGTGAAGGACTCGATGCTCACTCCTTCGGGCGTTGCCTCCGACTCCATTTGGAAGAACCCCGTCGTTTCCAGTGGTGGCGAGACGAAAACGGGGATGCTGCAGCTTCCGTCGAGATAAAAGACACAAACTGCAGTCGATGGCAGGTGCTCCCACACGACTCGACTGGCAGGGCCCCAGCCCTTGCTCTTGTAGAAGGAGGTGCACACGGAAGTAGGAGCCTCGAACATGAGCGGAATCTGCGGAAGCGTCACAATTCCTGCCTTCGCGATTGCCATGCGTACACTTTGGTTCTTCAGGGCTTGAAACAATTCTAGAAGTGATGACCAAGCTGTGAGAATCGGTAAGCTCAATGAAAACCCTCCCGTACGGTAGTGAATCTAACCACGTTAAAAGGGTGAGGGGTTTGACACACGGTGATGACATCACCTACAATAACTCGGACGATATACTCGATATCTTGTTCAAAAAAAACACACACACACAAACAAACAGAAATAAGTAGGGGAATTATTCCTTGCAGGAATGAGCACAAGAGAAAACCGAAAACAAGGGATGATTTTCATGTGGGGGGGGTTAGTATAAAAAACGACACAAATCTTCCCAGCCCAAGGAATGACCCTCCGGAGGCTTATTCCTTGAAGGAATGAGCTCATGAAGAAATTATTAACTGAAACCCCCTATTATTGGCATGGATTGGTTTTCATGTTAGATGTTTTATGTTCTCGAGGGCCTTGTCATGTTGACCCCATCCTAGTTGTGCGGCAACGGTTCATGCCAGTTTGCCGAGATGTCTCCCGACTGCGATCCAGTGCCCGAGAAGTTGGCAGACGTCGACCCGTTAATCACATCGCTGCGCTCGTGATAGTCATTGAGGTTAAAGTAGCATTCGCTGACGACGCCACGCAACGGATCCATCGAGGTCCCCACTGCCATGAGCGACCTGATGGCGACCCCCGCGGAGCTGCTCGTGAGCACCGACGTGCCGGAGGCTTGTCCGATGGGCGACGCGAACACGATTTTGCCCTTGCAGTCGTCGTCCGAGTAGAACCAGATGCTCACCGCCCCGGGAACAACGCGCCAATTCACTCGTTCCGAGTTGGCCCAAGCGCTGCAGTGCGAGAACGTCGTACACACTCGTGTTGCAGCGTCGTACCACAGGTCCACGCCATTGACGGTTCGAACTCCAGCGACTGCCATTTCTTAAATAGCAAGATGGAAAGTGAAGGACGCCAAAGCAAAGCCGAGAAGCTCCACACGCATGAATTTTACTGGTAATCGGTGTTTGTGGGTGGTGTTCTTGTTTCACTTCTAAATATTTCATCCTTGTTGAGGGAAAATGAAAGGGTGCCATAAGCGCGGAGACTGCAGGATGGTAAATTCGCTCACCTAGAATGAGCGACTCGAGCGGAAGTGGAACACCATCCAGATTTAACTTCACCTCCAAAACCGAGAAAGCAGGGGTTCACTCAGGCGTGATGTCGGATGGATGAAATTTGTAGAATAGCGGTAATGTTGCCAATGCATCGTAACTGGATGGGATTAAGGTTCCATGTCAGTGAGCCAGACCAAAACTAAATTATCTTCGGCCTTTCGGGCAGACACAGTTCGAAACCGTGGATTGCACCATGTCTGTGAAAAACACTGTGTAAATTTTCTCGGCCTTTTGGTCATTTCCCGTTTTGTGCCCAAGAAGACCAACCAACCGATCTGTGATGGCGCTAACGAAGCTGACTGTCGATTTTGTTCCGAAGGACTCCGTGGCCTACAGTACGAGCGAGAGCACGTACCTGTGCATGACGCTGACTGCTTGCTCTACTTGGAAACCAGCGAATTCGGTCTCTTGGCAGAACCTGCCAGTGAGCAAGTTCGTGATGTTTTATACGACAGACACCTGCCGCACCGCAGGCAAGTTCTACTACATCTCGGAAGTTGGACAGGTGAACGGCACCCACAGCTTTCGGAGCCCGCAAGCGATTCGGTCGTTTATGATCGGGGAAAACGACTACGGACGTCGACCATCGTTCATCCGCAATGCCTGCAACTATGCCATGGAGCGCGTTTTTACCACGGACGATGAGAACAACTCAATGTCCAGTAATGAGATCACGTGGATCACTGGAGGTTTGTCCACAAACTGGTCCGATCCTGTTCCGACATAGCAAAAGAGATGGAACCTTCGTAAGTTTTGTTAGACGATAAAACTGGTAAAACTACGCAATCTTATGTTGCTATTCTCTCTGGTTGCTAGTGCAAAATGCAATCAAGGTATTATTTCTAAATTTTCTTCAGGACCCACGAAGCTTCAAGCCCAAATAATTATTTAGTGAGATTCACTTGAATTAGTATGTGTACTTTGTAGTCGCGTTCAGCAGCTCGGCTGATATTCATTGCGCGCCATATGCGAAGAACTCCAGCGCGCACGAGTCGCTCTTGAAAACTCATCACTTTCACTTTGGTTTTCTCTTTCAAGCTCCAACCTGACGCTGGCGAAATATCGAGGCCAATCATGCGGATGACGTTAGTGAATCCCAAGCCGTGGGCATGCGTGGAATAGCACAAGACGAGCTCTGTCTACCATTACACTTCGGACCGATAGGGCTGTGCGAATGGTTCGCTCGAGGTCACGAAGGCACGATCGATCAGCTACGATGATGGTCGAGAAGGTATCGCTTACATATGATCGGTCATCGTTCTCCTACACCAGCGCCTGTCCCAAGACCCCCCCCCCTCCGGCGGCAAAGAGGAGACGGAAGTTGCTGCAAATGAGCATGGTGGTGCTGGTATTGCCTGGGGTGTTGATGATGAGTCAGCCGATATCGCAGGACTATCATCAAACTGGAACGACGTTATTCCCGACGAATAGGATACTTCGGTAGTATTTTCCACGAACTCAACACGACGGATGAAAAACAGACCACCCGGAGTATTATGTTTTCCATTGTTTTTTAAAGGGTTTCTATTGATGTTTCCAAAGTAGAGTTGAGATTTAAGAAATGATTATACAACAAAACAGCAAACTTCGGATTGATCCCTTTATGGAAAAAAAAACTTCGATTCAGATAGTTTCGCTTGTGTTTCTACACTCAACGATATTTCGGCAATAGTGAAGATTGAGTTGAGCACCGCATAAGCATGGCATTTCGAATCTACTGCATAATCACCCTCGTTTCTGTATCAACTGCGTAATTATCCTGCTGCACAATCATCGAGTGGTACGGTTCAATCACACATGTACGATACGCGGCTGGGAACTTCGTTTAATCTAAAACAATATACGCTCCTAAGCGCTCTCAAGTAATCCGTGCATACCCGTTAACCTTGTAAACATCTGAGGCCAGCTGTGTTTTATGTAGTGTCGTGGGTAGCCCAGCGCTCTGAGTACGGCTCTAAGCAACTGCTCATTTTGAAATATCTTCTTCAGACTCCACCCAACTCGATAATGCAGATTTTTGCTCCCCTCTTCGCTCTTGCCGGCCTTATCGCCACCGTCAAAGGTGCATGCAGCGGACCCAACACTCGTATCCATCCTCCAGCGGATGCCATCGTCGTCGACGCCACGGGTGCATATAGCGGTAGCGACCGCACCGTAGCGGTAGTGTGGCCAAGCTTCCGAACACGACGGCGGAACACCCTCTCTTCGTATTTCTGGTGTGTACGAAGAGCAAGTGATCATCCCGAAACTCAACGGCTCACTGGTCGTGCAAGGCTACACGAGTGACACCACGTCGTACGCAGCCAATGAGGTGACTATCACCCACGCCTTGGCCCAGTAGGACATCCCTCCAACGATCTACCAGCATCGCAACGAACTCACCACCACGCTGCGCCTCGGGACGGACAACGTCAAGGTCTACAACCTCAATGTTGCGAACATGGCAGGCAAGATCGAGAGAGGCGGGCAGGCGCTCGCCGTCTCAGTTGTCACCACCAACTCCGGAGTTTACGCATGTGCTATCATGTATTTTTATTTTCTTTGTTTTGTTCATTATTGTCAGATGGGTAATAATGCTAAAACTTTTATTTTATCAGGATACGCTGTATGCGAACAAGGGCGCCAATCTGTATGCCAAGTCGTACATCAGCGGTGCCATAGACTTCATCTTCGGCCAGGTCGCGAATGCGTGGTTCGAATCGTGCGACATCGTGGCTCTCGATGAGGGTCATTTCACCGCAAATGGCCGAAACTCCGATACCAACCCGTCGACGTTCGTCTTCAATAACGCGCGCGTGTCCGGCTTGGCTGCTCCTGGAACGGTTTACCTCGGTCGCCCATGGCAGCCTTACGCTCGGGTCATCTTTCAGAACAGTGAGCTCAGCGAGGTTATTAATCCTGCTGGCTGGGAGTTGTGGGAGGACAACAACACCGCAAACGTTTACTTCAGGGAGTGCAACAATAGCGGGGTTGGTGCCGCTACTGAAAAACGAGTGGATTTCAGCGGAATGTTGGCGAAGCCTGTGACGATCGCGGAGGTCCTTGGCGAGAAGTTCAAGAGTGAGTGGTGGGTTGACACCAGTGAGGCAGCAGATCCTATATATTGTCTGCGTCGTGACTGGGACCTCCTACATGTTTTTAAAACTGCAAACTTCCAAGTTGACCACCCGCAAGCGTGAGGTCAAGATGAACTTGTAGGAGGAAATATTGTGCTACGTACTTTGCACAAAAAATACGACTGTCTTTCCAGGAATTACCGTTCAACGCAAAATTTGCGCTATCTTACTGTATGAATCTTTACGAATATTTTGCAACATAGATCCAACATCTAGGGGGAGGGGTTGTTGCGATCAGAGCTTCAGAAACTGGGGTAAGTCGATGACGACGGCTGTCAATAGCAGGATTGCTCCCAAATGGCCGGTGCTGCTTGAAAATTGAGTGGCAAACCCTCAATTAGAAGACACTATGATTATGAACAACCCTGTTCGATAGCGTGTACGCCTTGGTTTGCAATCTGATTGCCGATTTATTTCTTTCGTTGAGGTCTATAATTCACGGTCGTGTGAGTCGTGAACGAGACTTTGTTTTTGTTGTTGTAGAGCTACCCCGCCTCCGACATCATTCGCTAAATTTTGAGAAATGGTACATCCCATGGAGCAAGAGACCACAGAAACCAATTGGTTGGGCGCTTTATCCGGTAGTCCAAGGCGTTGGCTAGTTTACTTTTAAAGCTAAAACATAGTGGGGGAGATAACCTCATCATACGTGGTGACTGTGTCCATTCGGGCATTATAATCACCGAATGCACATGTAAAGGGATGAAAGAAGAAGAAAACCAATATTCGCAGCTTTTATCGTCTGTTACTACGTGCTCATACGAAACTATCAGCTGAAACAAGGAGCAGTTCGACCCGTCCATAGTCTTCTTCGTCCTACGACACGTTTACCGTCACCGTGGTATCAGGGAGAGCATCGGACCAGTTCGCCGACAAACCTCCAGATCCCTCGGTGCTCCACGTGACCTCGTACATATCGCCGGAGTTTGAATCATTGCCCATTGTCGTTGCGCGTTCCTTGGCAGTGACGCAGGCAGGGAAGGCAATTGACGGTGGACGCGCGTAGCCGTTGTTCTCCCCAAGCATGAACGACCGAATGGCCTGAGAGCTCTTGAAGTTGTGGGTGCCGTTGACTGTCCCCACGTCCGAGATGTAGAAGAACTTGCCTCCGGTGCGGCACGTCTCGGTCTCATAGTACGTTGCGAACATGTTCGCTGGCAGGTTCTGCCAAGAGATCGACGTCGCGGGCTGCCAGGTAGCGCAGTTAGGCAGAGTCAAGCACAGGTACGTGACGCCAAGCGTCCTAGACAACGGAGACCCCTCCCCTCAAAGTCCACCGTCAGTTTGATCGACAACATCACAGGCCGACCAGCTACTCAGCCCGCGAAATGGGAAATGAACAACAGCCCGACAGTTATTATAATTATATTAGTCACAGACGCACGGATGATGCAAGGCGTGAATCAATTGTTTCGAAATAAAAGTTAGTGCTTCGAAGTATTCCAAATGATGAGATGTCCTTCCTATCTTCCGCGCAGACATCGAACTAGAACGTTGTGAACACTACGACTGCGCGTTGTCGGGAAGAGCGTCGTTCCAATTCGATGATAGGCCTCCCGATTCATCGTCCATCCCCCACACAATACGCGTGTCCGTGTCGTTCGCCGTGATGCCTCCCGCCTCTTTGCGCATTTTGGGGCAAGCGCTCATGTAGTCGATGGAATGCCCACGGTACGCGGGCGTCAGTTCTGAGAGCATCAGGGAGCGTATGGACGGCTTGTCTTTCTTGAACTTGTACTCGCCAGCGTAGCGCTTGCAGCTCGAGATGAAGTAGTAGCCATCGGTCTTGCAGTTCTCGTCCTCGAAGAAGTAGCAGGACAGGTCGCTCGAGATGTTCATCCACGACACAGCGCTCGTCCTGTGCCAGTACGAGCAGGTGCCGAACCCGGCGCACGTGAACGGCTTCGGATTCATCATCGTCAGCGACTGCTGGTCCACGAAAGTCACGCGCATGTACGGCCTCTGCATATTGTGAGCGTTGAGGTGGAAGTCTGAAAGAGAGCAAAAAGGAAAGTGGTGTGCTGTTGAGAAGAACGTGTGAGGCTTGGCTAGTGAGAGGTCCTACTAGCTGTGATTAGATCCTCCAGCATTCACTGATTTCAATATCTCATAGTACAGGTAAACCCAACGATGGCACCATGCGCAGGTTTCATTATAGTTTGAAGTATACAACGTACAACTGGAAGAATTGGGCTGGTAGTACATGTAAACTGCACTAACTCTGCTAGAACTTTCATCGTGCTTGAGAGAATCAAATAGTTCTGCAAGCAAGAATAATGCAGGTCACCTAGAATGAGCGGCTCGAGCGAAAGTGCCACGCCATCCAGATTTAAATTCAACTCGAAAACTGAGATCGCAGCGGTTCAGTCAGGAGTGACGTCGAATAGCCACTCGCGGCAATGTTGCCAATGCATACTAAACGGGTAGAACTAATAAGGATTCCGTGCCAGTGAGCCAGACCAAAACTCAAATTTTGAACAGTGGATTGCAAGACGGATCTCTCGGTTATGAATGGCACGCCTGTGAAAGAAACTGCGATAAGTTATAGACATCTTGGACATTTCCCATTTCTTGCGCAAGAAGACCGCCCGCCCATCCGACCTGTGATGGCGCTAACGAAGCTGACTGTCGATTTTGTTCCGAAGGACTCCGTGGCCTACAGTACGAGCGAGAGCACGTACCTGTGCATGACGCTGACTGCTTGCTCTACTTGGAAACCAGCGAATTCGGTCTCTTGGCAGAACCTGCCAGTGAGCAAGTTCGTGATGTTTTATACGACAGACACCTGCCGCACCGCAGGCAAGTTCTACTACATCTCGGAAGTTGGACAGGTGAACGGCACCCACAGCTTTCGGAGCCCGCAAGCGATTCGGTCGTTTATGATCGGGGAAAACGACTACGGACGTCGACCATCGTTCATCCGCAATGCCTGCAACTATGCCATGGAGCGCGTTTTTACCACGGACGATGAGAACAACTCAATGTCCAGTAATGAGATCACGTGGATCACTGGAGGTTTGTCCACAAACTGGTCCGATCCTGTTCCGACATAGCAAAAGAGATGGAACCTTCGTAAGTTTTGTTAGACGATAAAACTGGTAAAACTACGCAATCTTATGTTGCTATTCTCTCTGGTTGCTAGTGCAAAATGCAATCAAGGTATTATTTCTAAATTTTCTTCAGGACCCACAAAGCTTCAAAGCCCAAATAATTATTTAGTGAGATTCACTTGAATTAGTATGTGTACTTTGTAGTCGCGTTCAGCAGCTCGGCTGATATTCATTGCGCGCCATATGCGAAGAACTCCAGCGCGCACGAGTCGCTCTTGAAAACTCATCACTTTCACTTTGGTTTTCTCTTTCAAGCTCCAACCTGACGCTGGCGAAATGTCGAGGCCAATCGTGCGAATGACGTTAGTGAATCCTCGAGAAGGTATCGCTCACATATGATCGATCATCGTTCTCCTACACCAGCGCCTGTCCCAAGCCCCCCCCCCCCCCCCGGCGGCAAAGAGGAGACGGAAGTTGCTGCAAATGAGCGTGGTGGTGCTGGTATTGTCTGGGGTGGTCAGCCGATATCGGAAGGGAACGAAGTTATTCCCGACGAATAGGATACTTCGGTGTGCGGTACTTATATGAAGCGCTATGGATTTTAATTCTTGAAAGAAACGCTCCGGTGATGTACTTCTTGGAAGTATATACGCTTTTTATCTAAATGATTGGGTCTCCACTTAAGCAGTAAGATAAAAAGCCAAAATCAAAATCATTGCGGATAAACTCATAAAAATGTGTTGCAATACCATGACGATCCTGCGGAACCAAACAACTACCCAAAATATATTTCAGAAAATACCCGCAGGGTTTTCAATACGAGCGCGTAGCGAATTAACGCCCATTAGAGAGGCTTTTAGAAGAACCGTTTTTCGTGAAAAACCGTATCCAAAAAAGTGGGGCACCCAGTGTTGCCACCTACGTGTTTCCAGCACCCGTCAAACGGGAAAAGTGAGCTCTCATACCGTTCATCTTATTTGAAAATCACGTAATGCAAAACTCGAGAAGACAACGTACACGAGAGGCAAGTGCACGCACAGTAGGTCTTGGGGATCGTGAAAACACGCATGTCCTAAATGCATCGCATGTGCTTCACAAGTCATGCATGCAGATTGATACGGGGTTTCACGACTTCTTTTTTTTAATAATATCCCTAAAGCAGTTCCCTTTATTCAAATGCACGTAACAAAGACGTTCCCACTTGTGGTATTTGTGCGCTCCTTGGAACTGATAGGACAACCACCCAAGAAAGTTGACGGTCGACGTGCGTAGTCGTTGTTCTCCCTGTCGGCTCTCCGGCCACTACGCTGCTCAAACGCAGAGTCCAACTAGAGGGAGCAGGCACTTTGGCGAGAGTAGGAGCTAGGGCAGAGGCGTAGATAGAGACCGGCTTAGGGAAGGAGCGTTCTTAGACAGCCGACAACCTCGGACAGGTCTGTGGGCCTGCTCCTACGCCTATCAATCCGAACATGTAAACATGCAAGAACGAGGACCCTTCCTGTTTACGCTTGACGCGCTCCAGGTCCACCGTCCACTCGGTCGGGGCGTCACCGATAGACACCTAACCACGCCCCAGCCACTCTAGACGCTACATCAACCCATCTTGACTCACTCCGTAACTACTCGGGCCGTACCTCGCAATTGCTCGCACGCTCCGCCGACGTCCCACGCAGTATAGGGCCACCGCCGCAGAACAGAACGCTGAGAGACCTCTTGTGTTGTTGGGAAGGGCCGGCACTCCTGCCGCAGAGCCCCTCGCGTAGTAGATTAGCTGTTTAACTTAGACTCTTCTCGTCCAAATCGCAACTGGGAGGTGGAGCGGTCGGCCGCACGTTCCAGAGCTCCCCTGGCTAAGCCTATACTAAAACCTAGACTACTGCGCGATCTTCAAGGGGACCCTCACCCGTCGCGGCCTTCCATCAGCTCGTTTTGGATCCAATGTCGCCTCTCCTTGCCCCCATAGTCTTCTTCTGCTTCTCTCCGCCGTGTCCTCTCTCCACGGCGATCTTCCACGGCCGCCGTCGACACTTCCAGCAACTTCAATAGCGTCGGTGACTGCAGCATCTCCCGTCACCAGCCGCACCGCCCTTGTCACCGAACACCATGCTGTGCGCCACACCGTGTACACCACGGTCACACTGCTTGCAGGTATCGTCGAACTCGTGCTTCTCCCGACCCAAGAAGAGCGGGTTGCCTACATCCCCAAGCATGAACGACCGAATCTCCTGGGAGCTCTGGAAGTTGTGGGCGAGAGCAGGTTTCGGTCGCGTAATAGGTTGTGAACTGGTTCGCTGGCAGGTTCTGCCAAAGAGATCGACGTCGCTGGCTGCCAGGTAAGATGAGCAGGCTGGTAGCGTCACGCAATAGTAAGTGAGGCCACTCGTGCTAAACGTCGCAGACTTCTATCCAAACTCGACCGCCAATTTTATCGGCGCCATCACAGGACGACCAGCTATATATATAATACTCAGCCCGCAAAATGGGAACTCCCACAGGGCGCATCTTTCAAGACGAGCGATGGCGGAAAGGGATCAGGAATTATTATTTTTATCTTCTGCACTGGCGTGAAACTCGAACGTGGTGATCACTACGACTGGTGGCTTACATGTACCTTCCCATTCGTATATTGCAGCGAATGACTGACAGTCAGGTAGAAGAAATCTCCGTGTTGTCGAGATCATCTTCCACACCCATTCGCCGAGATGTTGTCCGCCTCTTTGCCGCTCGAACTCTTGGGGCAGGCGCTCACGTAGGTGATGGTAGGCTGGCGGAACACGGTCGACATTTTTCCGACCATCATGGAGCGCATGAACCGCTCCTTCTTCTTGTTGATCCTGATAAGTCCGGCAGCGTAGCCCTTGCGATCCGAGATGTAGTGGAAGTACACCTGGGAGACGCAGCTCGAGCTCTCATAAAAGTTGGCGTACTGGTTGCTCGAGAGGTTCCACCACGATATGTTGGCCGTCTTGTGCCAGTACGAGCAGTTGCCGAACTCCACGCAAGTCCACGGCTTTGGATTCATGATGGTCAGCGACTGCTTGTCCACGAAAGTCACGCGCAGGTAGGGCCTCGGCATCTTGCGAGTGTTGGGAGTGAGTGAGTGCTTCAAAGAGAGACAAAGGAAAAGTGGCGTGATGGTAGGAGAGAACTAGTGAGGCTTGGTTAAAATGAGGGCTACTCACAGCTGTGATTAAGATCCTCCACCGCCCACTCTATGTTATGACAGGTAAACCCGAGTACAACACAATGCACAAGAACATGTATCGACCATAGATTTAACGTCCCATTCATTTTCATGTTAACATGGCTGGATGTAATGTCATGGCGACTTATTCGTCCGATAGATCGTCGTACCAGTTTGACGACAGTCCGCTGTCGCCCCACTCCACTTCGTATGTAGTGTTGGCATCAATTGTGCGTTCATAGTGTGCAGGACACTTTTGCGTTGTCGACACAGGGCGGTGCGTGCACTTTTGGTTCTCGCCGATCATCATCGACTGGATGGACTGCGGGTTTTGAAACCTCTTGATGCTGGAAGTGAGGCCTGGCGTCGAAACGAAGACGAACTTGCCATCCGGCTGACACCGCTTCGACTCGAAGAACATGGCGAAGTGGTTGGAGGAGAGGTTGACCCACGAGATGGAGCGCGCAGGTTGCCAGAAGTCACAGTTCTTGGAATCCAGGCAGCGCCAAATGCCGGGGTCGTTGTACTTGAGGTTGTCCGCCTGGGGAAATACCACGCGTAGGAAAGAATCCACCATTGAATCAATATGACCACGGTGATAAGCGCGTTCAAGAGTGCAAAATGGAGAATGAAAGGCTGGAACCAAAGCTACACTTCGCTTGAATCCGTTCCTTACCATCGTAAATCAAGTCTCTAATAACAGAACCCGAGACCGCGCATGTCGTAGTCGTATCTTGAGTCTTCTTTGCATTTCACGGCGTCAGATTTATTTACTAATGGGCTAATTACTGTCGATTCAACTTGGAGACCAATCTACACTACTACCGACTCGCAACATTCTCTGTCACGGCGCGGAAACCGATGCGCCCGCACCGTCGTAGGCGTTTGAACCCGCAACGTCGTCGCTAGGAAGCGCATCATTCCAGTTAGACGACGGTCCGCTACCTGCTACCGATGTGATGGTGGCCCCCACGACGTACGCACTGACATCGCTGTCGGTCGATCCGAGCCCCGCGCGTTCTGCATCGGGGCACTTGGAATAGATGAAGTGCGGTCGACGAGTGGGGTCGCTGGATTCAGCGATCATCACCGACCGGATAGGCCTTGACTTCGGGAATGTGTAGGTCCCGTTAAGCGCGAACAGGGCCTTCTTGGTGTCGTCGACTTCGTAGCACGTAGTCGACTCATAGAAGCCCACGAACATCGTCTCCGGGATGTTGGACCACGCCGCTGTCTTCGTCTTCTCCCAGTAGTCGCACCCGTCAAAGGTCCAGCAGTTCCACGCCGACTTGAGCGTGAACTGCAGGCTCGAGGTGCTGAGGAAGGTGACGTTCAAAGCCACATGCACGGAGGACATTGGCGCTTGTCGCCACGAACGCAAAATTTGGAGTGCGGACGAGCTGCTGGGTCGCGCCGCATGGAGGTGGCTGTATGCACTTGCTTTTCCAACCACTGCCAACCGCATCTCAAGCGAGGTCGACGGAACGTATCGGAGGTTGTCTGCGCTTTGTTCGAACAGCGAAGTGCAGTTGAATCGTTTTCGCGATCGGAAAACAGAATGGAACCGTATTGTTCAAAGTGCCACTTCTATCCAATGGTCGAGTGGATGAGCTCCTAGTGCTTGCTGGACGAGCGAGCTACACTGTACATGCATCTTATTATAGGCGTTGCTTGCGTAGAGCTCATCAATGGTAAGCTGGGGGCGAGTTGGTGGCAACCACAGGGGCTGCATGTAGGCCGGTAAGTTCTATAAGTAATACCTTAGTTAGTAATAAAATGAGGATATTAACGTTTGAAAGGTCATTAACTATGACACAACTACTGAAAATTTCAACAAACACTCGATTTCCTCTCCCACTTTCCGTATGTGTTCTGCCGCGCTCAGGGGCCGGGACAACACAAACCATACACGACACTATGGAAGGAGAAAAGAAAGGCTGACTACGTGAGGCCTCCTTCGGCCTGAGCTGAAAAAAGCGAAAGCGTCTTCATCCCTCTTGGTATCATTACCACATCCTTCTTCTTGTAATCATTTGAGCTCTCTTCAACAATCTAGTGCTAGGCGAATCAATGAATTCAGAGCCCGCTGTTACTGTACAATACTAATGCCAAGTGCCGATTATTTACTGCTTTGTAAGCCATGTAATACTAGTATCTAGCCTCGTGCACGCTGTTACATTATAAACAGGGTGGCCACACCGACGATCCTGTTCTCTTGCGGTCATTTAGTACTTGCCAAGCACCTTTTGCGTTTTAAAAGCAGTAAACATAACAGTGGCCTCAAACAAGTGTTTTTGTGTATTTCCTAGTTCTTGAAAAAAATGAAAGTCACAAATGCAAGCGCTCACCGCGTCGGATGCAGAAGACGACGTGATCGTCACTGCAGGCAGCTTGGTGAATAGTTGGTTCCAGCGGCCGTGGCGATCGAAACTCCAGCAGCAGCATGGTCCGCCGAAGCAGGAAGTTCGTCACTCCAGTTCGACGATAACCCACCAGTAGCGTTGACTTCGTTCAGCCACTCGATCCCGTCGGTAGTGTTGGCACCCATCGCGGTCGTCTCGTGAATATGAGAAAGAACCGGTGTCCACGACACGAGAGTTTTGGACACGTCGCAGTCGACGTACATAGTGGTGGCCAGGGATCCCGAAAAATAAATACGCCCGGAAATATATTTGTATTTTCGGAATCAATATTTTATTGTAGGTATACCTCCTCGGTTTATCCGGTATTTATTCCAGCTTAGATCAAAACTTCTAGATTTTATTTCTGCGGTTGAATATATCCTTCATGATTGAGAAGTTTTTCCCCCTAATTTTCATTGTGTTAACGCCATCAAATTTTCCCTTTATGCTAAAATGATGTTGTTCAGCAACCTTAACACGGATGTGGCGACCGTGGGCAGTGAATCACTGCTCACTGCCAGTGATTGTAAGAGCCCATGAGGTAACACGATTGCAGCAATTTACTGAATAATTTACTGCGTCAGCACGGGGTCTTCAGATTATTTATTTCTTCTCTCCTTGGTATACAAACAAATACGTATTTCGTTAACTTGAGAAAATAGATATATATCGTATTTTCGGCATGCCTGGTAGTGGCTGTGAGTGCCTCCCGGAGCACAGCATCTTCATTGCGCCCCAACATCATGGACCGGATCATCTGGCCAGGCTTCAGTGGATGCGCGCCCGTGACATGCGTTCGGGACGAGTCGGTATGGAAGGTCAAGTAGCCGTGGCGGTAGCTGCAGTCGGGACTCTCGTAAAACGCGGCGACTTTGTTCAACGGGAGATCGGCCCACATCACGAGCAAGGCTTCGGGCAAGTGGGGGCAGTCGAACGAGCGGCACACGTAGTCGGATGCGTTCACGTATGTGGCCGCCCTTCAAGAGCACTTCAATCTTTGGCAGATCGACGACAGTGGCATTCTTCTTGACGCCCGCAATAAAACGATTCAAGCCGCTGGGTTGTACGACAAATGGGAAGTGATGGAGAGACACGGGTAGAGTGAATGAACAGTATCTACGTATTACACACTACCCGAGTTTGTGAGTATGGATACTACCTAGAATGCTGCAAGATATTTTTTTTCAAATCCCTGCATTTGGGGTGGTAAAAATATGGTTCAGAAGAACTTCTATGATATCTACTTCTAGTAGATAGGATTGATGCACTGGATTCTACAAATTATGAAAGCCGACAAATGCATTCTTCGATCTCTTTGTGGAACCACTACAATGTCGATATCGCCAGCTAAACGTTCTACCTGAATGGTTCAAAATTCTCGAATGTGCATACGAGTCCCTTCTCCTGAGTTTTTGAACCAAAAGATAGATGTAACTACTTAAGTACGTGTACTACACCTTGACAAAAATCTAATACATTTTCGTTTCTTCGTAATGGAAGCGGTCGGAAACCACTTCAGTGGCAACAGCAAAATAGCTGCACTACTTTTGCTTCGGAGCGCAAACTGACGTGTGTGACCCCCTCTGCCTGAACGGGTGATGTGCGTTAATCTTCCCTTGGTCCGAGGTGTACATGTAAAATCCTTCGCCGCTGTAGAAGAACATGGCAAACGATAGAGAAGCATGACTGGCTTTCCGGATTCGGGTATTCCGTGATGGATGGTTTCCGTTGAGTAAATCTTGTACATGGCTGAGTTTTGCAAGACATCGGCGTTCACGCTGGCAAATTTGACAGTGAATTCGCTCGGAGTCGGGGAGGGCATTGGGTGGTAGCGCTCCGTACCTTAAACGTTGTTAATGCAGCTCTAAAATCGCCCACAATTAGGTAATTAAGGCCTGCGCCATCGAATGAGGCTTAGGTGGACTGTAATTTGTAGGTTCGTTGCGGATTCGTGGATAAATGGCTGAACCGTAGCAATCCATTGTGGAAGGTGACTTCGATCAGTGAGTTCGATGTAGCCTGCAAATATATAGCCGCACTAACTTGCGCTCCTTTGGAAGCAGCTTCGCATTGTTAGCGGTTTTCTTTAAATTCAACCGCGGTAACAATGTTGTTCTTCTTTTGCTTAACCCCAAAACGCAAAAAACAATTATTGCCTCGAGGCAGTAACATACATGAGGGCTAACACAGAGCTGGACGAAATATATTCCGTTTATTCCTACTTTTTATGCTAAAATGATGCCCACTAAATGCAAAGTTTTCTTCAGCTTCGACGTGCGTTGGGCCACTGCCTACAACTTTGGGGTTAGTCGGTTCCAGCGACTCGCGGCCGCAACTTTACCTTCATTAGCGTCACCAGAGAAGCCTCCCACCGATGAATCTGGAAGTTCATCGCTCCAGTTGGACGACAACCCACCTCGTTGGCCCACTCCATCTCGGAAGAAGTGTTGCCGCCCGTCGCGTTCCCATCGAGAGTGGCGCTGTCAAAACCTCAGCTGAGTGCACGGACAAGTCACACGTGTGAGACACCAAAGTGGCTGTGAGTTTGAGATTCTCCTTGAGCACGGCGTCTTCGTTGCGTCCCAGCATCACAGACCGAATCATCCTGGTCTGCGGTTGGAGTCACGGGCAACAAACTCGTTCCTGAAGGAAACCAGCATAGCTTGTAGACACTAGTGATGGTATACGAACGTGTTGTGGGTAAACTATATTGTAAAGCAACTACATTGAAACTTAGCCAAACCTCATGACACGCAACAGATTGCATTGATGAACCTGTCTTCCACTTCCACACGTGGTGGTGCCATCCAAGTACCCTTCTCATCCCAGTACCAAGTTCATGATCGCCCAATACTTCGACTCCTTAATCGGCTCGGACCAGTTCGATGAGGTGCCCTCATCCACAGACTCAACGACAGTCGGCTCGGTTGCATTGACGTCGTCACCCGCACCACTCGATGTCTCACTGCCGACCAGCGACGTGGCCTCGGCTCGCTTGGCAGGATGGCGAGGCTGGACGCACTGACGAGCGACACTCCAAGGGATACTGCACCACAACGGCCGCGCGTAGATGGATCGAATAGCTTGCGGCGTCTTGAAGGAGTGCGCACCGTCCCCTGCCTCGTTTTCAGTCCAGGAGTAGACGTCACCGTTGGTCACGCCGCTGCAGCCGTCTTTCTGGTAGAAGTCGACGCTCCAATGAGCCGGGAGGTTTCTCCATGCGACGGACTTGGCGTTGTTCCAGCCGGCGCAACCTGCAAACCCGATGCACACACTTTTGGAGGGGTTCTGGTACAAGAAGTAGTCGCCGCTCTCAAGCACCACGCGCAGCTCGAAGCTGTCGGCCTTTTCCATGTCGTCGAAGTGGGGAGATAGATGCTCTTGGTTGCAAAGCAAAACGAAATCTACTTAAAATCTGGTAACATCGATGGGCTTGTTCGTGCTTGTGCCAGTTCTTGATATATTGGATGGTAATATCGGCGTTGTCTTACTACGATCTATACAACGGCAATCCCTAGGAATTCTAGAACTCTGATACTTTCAAACAAAAACGCTTCTCCAAATCTTACCACCGCGTAAGTAAGGAAAAAACTATTAGGCCAGCAGGTAATAAAAAAGCATTGTTGTTGACATTTTTTCTTACCAACAAACGAATAAAGCATGGATTTTCGGTAGAACTTGTGCTCAATATGAGCGGTAGCAGTGCCAACCGCTAAAAGCCTACGCACTGCTATGTTTCTCCTATTCAACAGGAAGAAGATTCGTCCAGTTCGACGACAGACCTCCTTCGGCACTGCTCAACTCGATCGTGGACGTAGCGTTGGCGACAGTGTCGTTGACCTCGAGGCCTTCGAATGTGGCTCGAGCCTTGGCAACATTGCAGGTCTGAGCCGCCTCCGTCAGGTTCTGCACCAGCAACGCGTCCTCGTAGTCCCCGAACTTAAACGACCGAATGGACTTTGGCGTCTCAAACTCTTTCCAGCCGTCGACGCGGTCTCGAGTCGTCTTGAAGTTGTATTTGCCATCGCGAAACGTGCAGTCTTTGGTCTCGAAGAAGATGCCGACTTGGTGCGTTGGGAGATTCTACCACGACACCCACGTCGATGGCGCCCAGTGGGGGCACGTGTCAAGCCGCATGCAGTACTGCTCAGACGGGTTGTCGTAACGCAGACGCATGCCGTTCTGGTAGTTGAGCTGAAAGACCGGCCAGTTTGGCATGCTATATCGCCCCTTTCGCGGGCAAAGCAAAAACAAAAATGAGGGAAGATGGCCCTCCCCGCAACATTATCTCTGCCTTCGGCCTTGTTACTCGAAGCTTGTTGGATGGCAACAACTTGGAGCGTCCAGACCATCAAGTAGATTTAACTGCCGACCCAACCAAAAAAAAATGATACATTTGTCTTACGTATGTAGAAATCCTGCACGGTGGTGCCTCAGTCTTCGATCGGTTCGCACAAATTCATTGAGACCTCTTCCCCGAGGCTGCATACGGAGCTGTTGATCAGCGTAGACTCTGCACGTTTGACAGGATGGCGAAGCTGAACGCACTCGCGAGCCACACCCCCATGAGACTTTTCTGAAATTTGGTCGGTCGCGGATCGACTGTGTATATGTAGCGAAGGTGTGCACGCTATCAGTTGAGAAGCGAAGTACTTCGAAGTAGTACTCATCCTCGTCACTATGAATGCACGCATCGGTTCCAGTTCGCAGGGAGGTTTCGCAACACGATGGACTTGGCGGGTTGCCAATGCGGGCAGTCGGAAAGAAAAGGACTTTGGTAGGTGAAGAGAACTCTGTTCTCGAAAACAATTCAGACCACAAATGTATCCGATTTCTCCATTCTGCAATGTAACGTTAGAACACGTTAGTTGATATCGACGAATGGCACCTGGAATACTAGGAGAATGATTCATCGCTGGGCTATTGCCTGCCGTTAGGCCTTGACGTCTGTGTCGAAATCCAGCAACAACCTCAGATCAGCAATAGCGGGCAAATTCATAACACATACTCAGCTAAAATCCACCACCATGGGCGCTTTTAAAACCACGGTCTGGGGTTCTCTACTATCAAAATAGCCTGTGGTAAGTTTCTACGAGTAGTTTATTGAGTTCACTACCGCTAAGTGTTCATATCATCCTTCACTACTAGCCCGCAATGACCGGCTCAAACCAATTCAAGGAGATGTCTTCGCGGAAGTCAGATAGAACGACGCCAGAGCTGTTGGCCCCACTTCCATCGGTAAGCGTCAGCTCAGCTCGCTTGACAGGCTGCCGAAGCTGGACGCACTTGCGAGCCACACTCCACGATATTTTCCCGTTGGACGGCCGGGCGTAGATCGACTTGATTCCGCGGGGTGAGCTGAAGGTGTGCACGCCATCAATTGCTCTATTACGAGCAACCGAGAACACGTCGCCATCGTTGCCGACGCAGTTGTCGCTCTGGAAGAAGTTGATGTACCAGTGCGCGGGGAGGTTGCGCCACCCGACGGACTTGGCAGCCTGCCAGTTCGGACAGTCGGAAAGCTGGATGCACGTGGACTTTGAAGGACTTTGGTAGGCGAAGTACGCTCCGTTCTCCAAAACAACTCGAGCCTCGAAAGCGTCCGCCTTCTCCATTCTGTAGTCGTCCAGCCAAAAGGCGATTGACGGAGAACTCGGGAGTTCCATCCCGAAGAAGTCTGCACCATCGACGATATCTATGAATCAATCAAACCAGTTCGGCTGTTGTCGTTCGTCAGCCCTCATTCTCATCTGACGATAGCGCTGTTGCTCACAACTCCACACCACACCAGCTATAGCTATAGCTAACACCTTGATAAATTACATTCACTTAGCGAGCGCCGCGGCCTATATACAATCATCCTCCGAGCGGGGCGTCGTCGAGGTATCTGACGACGTCCACCTTGCCTGGGCTATAATCCACCATCTTGAGCGCCTTCAGCGCCCACGTCCACCTCAGCAGCGCGACGCAACACACCGCCGCTACGATCTCCAGCAGCTGCAGCACCCTCACGGCCAAGAACAAGCTACACGGTGGCGTATCGTACACCAGCAGCGTCTGGAACTCCCTGCGGTGCTTCCAGTAGGGCGAGTGGCCCACATCGTGGTCGGGCCGTCTCTCGGCCAGGTACTCGCCGCACCACTGCAGCTCGCCGAAGCTCAGCAGCTCCACGGCCGCCAGCACCTGCGCCGTGTGCTCAGCGCCGAGCTTGCTCTGGATCTGCTGCTCCTCGCGCGTGATGTTACCGCAGAGCCGGCAGAGCGCCATCTTGTCCTGGTAGCCCCAGAGCTGCACCGAGTCCTTGAAGCCCTCGCAGCTCGTGGCGATGCGGCGCCCCGGGGCGCGGTCCGAGTCCACGGGCCAGCTCTGCAGCGGGAAGATGTGCTTGGCCTCGGCGACGCTGCCCAGCTGGCAGACCTGCAGCCCCTTGGCGTGGCAGAAGACGTCGTTCACCTGCTGCTCGAAGAGCCCCTCGTGCTCGGCGTACGTCTCGGCGCGCCACGGGGTCTGCGGCCCTCGGTGCGACGCCACGGACGTCAGCAGCGCGGCGTCCACCAGCGCCGCCACGGCCAGGAATATGGCCAATAGCTTGGCGACCTTCATGGCGGCGGCGACGGGCAATTCCACCCAATGGAGAGCGAGCAGCGCGGCGCCCATTGCAGCCAATAGGCAGCTGAGCGCCACCGCGCTCTTGTCCAGCGGCGTGAGCGCCAGCAGCACCTGCATCTGCTCGGCGGACGAGGCGTGGCGCACGGCGTAGAGCACTTCAAGCAGCGGCAGCAGCCCCAGCGACGACAGCGCCACGCCGCCCGTCAGCAGCAGCACGGCGGGGCGCTTCGCGGCGGCCACGGGCTCCAGCGGCAGCATGGTGGCGGCAGCGAGGAGGAATGGGGAGTGCGCGATGCGTGCTGGTTTCGAACCCATACTCTCGCCAAGTCTCGCAGCACAAAAGCGCATCCCGGTGGCGATTGGCTGAAAAAAGCGTCAAAAATATCTGGATTTTTAGAATGGGTGTCACGTTGTGGGGCACTAGCCACGCGCCGATGATGCACGAGGTGCCAATCCCCGCGATCGCCTCGGGCTGTCCACAGCGCGAGGCTAGCGCTCTCGCTACAAAATGATGTTGCTCCGGCGGTGGCGTCCACGACAGCGACGACAGTTAGCCTGGAAGTGTACCTACGTACTGGTACCGGTACCTACGGTGCCAGGCAGGACCGGGCTTGCACCGACCTGATTCCGACCAGAGAGCGGGTCGGTGGCGCAGCGTGTACACTGCGGTATCTTTCGGCGACCCGACCCTTGGGGCATGCTGCCAACGGTCCTCGCTGGTCGCACTTCAGTCACTGGTGGTTGGTATCTAAAGATCTCTTCTTCAAGTCGCTGCTTAACGTCCGTTCATGTGCGTGCTTAGCCGTCCGTTCATCGCGTCCAGAAACGGCCACTCGATCAGCGCCAGGTTGGTGCTGGTGTCGTGGCACAGCAGCCTCGAGCTCCCGCCACCTCGAGCCTGCAGCACGCACAAACCCGTGACCAGCTGCTGGTTTAACGTCGTGGAGGAGGAGACAGCCGCCGGTGCCAGTTGCAGCGAGTGCAGCAGGCAGCCCGACGCGAAATCGTACATCTCCAGCCGCGACGTGATCGCGCGTGAGCACACCACAAACACGGGGCCCCAGCAGGCCACGAGCGTCTGCGCTGCTGTAGCAGCCTTGCTCACGCCAGCTGCGCCGCTCGGTTTTGGTTTGGGGTTCGCGCTGAGGTCCTTGCAGCTCGACAACGTCTGCCACTTGCCCGTGTCCGATGCACGAGTGAAGACGTACACGTTGCCCTTCCTCGTTGCAACCACGAGCTTCGTGCTGCATGCAGAGAAGCTGATACTGGTGACACGCGGAGCGACCAGTACCTTGGATAGCACGGCGGTGCCGAACGTCGCCAACTCTTCATCAGCTTGCGTATCAAGCCTCCGCAAGAACAGGCGGCCGTCCATTGTTCCCATAGCAGCCGTACTTCCGTCGTCAGAAAATTTTACCAAGCACACAGCCACTTCATCGTGGACTCTCGCCACATGCGTCAATTCCCGCTCAGCGTCATACTCTCCACTTGGCAGCTCCACCTTGTACAGCAATCCACCAAACGCAGTGCCCACTATAAGAAGATATTCAACTCTGTCATCACCATCGCCTGTGGATAGACACCGGCACTTGGTGATGTCCATGGAGACCACGCTGCACCGCAGCTGCAACCTGACCAAGACGCGGAAGTCCTCGCCGCTGTAGATCGCCACTCTGCGGTCATGAGCTGTGACAACAACAGATCCGTCGCTCGCCCAGCACTGGCAGAAGCTCGCGACCTTCTCCCCCGCAGACGGCAGCACCTTGCAGACGCGCAGGCAGCTGACCTCGCTATCGTGCTCGTCGTCTTTCCGCCGGCTGTTCTGCAGCACCACCAGCTCTCCACCAGCGCCCAGGACACTGCAAAGGCCGCGATCGTCTCCCGAGGGCGCAGCGACTGTCCCGTTCCACGTCGGAAACGGTGGGAACCCCTGCAGCTTGGCCGATCGCACGGTCAGCTCCGCGCCATCTTCCATTGCGAGGCACCCAAGTGTCAACAAATACGGTGGTCGTACTTAGTGCGCACTTAGATATTTTGTCTTTCTGTGCAAATTACAATATTTTGCTGACATATGAGGAAAAATACCGTAATTTACATCACTAGGAGGATACTCTGCCGGAAGCATCCATCCATTTAGGCATGGACTGTGCTTCAGTAACTTACAGTCCGCGCCTAAATGGATGCTCCCGGCAGAACAACGTGGTGTCTTAGTGTCTACCTTACAGCATGTAAGGTAGGCACCACGTTGTAATATACTGCAGACATGCATGCCTTCGTCATCACAAAAGGGTCTCGACTATATTGATGCACAAAAGCCTCAAACCAAGCCAAGTCGACGATAACTTCTCGAGTCGTGTATTTAGAGGTTTTGCATGGGAGCATTAAAATAATGAAACTGCGGGACGACGCCAGGCAGCAGGATAGGGGCGAGCGTAGCACGGAGGTGTCCGATGACGTAACTCCGATGGACAAGTCCAGATGCCGACGGCACCAGGGAACGCAGGCACATTTCCAAAGGCAAGTCCAGCCGGAATGACAACTTTGGCCGGGTTAACTTTCATAGCCTGCAGGTTGGAGATAACGGTTGGAGGATCAAGCAGCTTCGCGAGCGCCGGATACGTCTTGCTCAGTTCGTCAAGCAGATGCATAATCTTTCGACCAAGGTCGATCGCGCGACCGTCGACTTGATGGAGCGTGCCAATGCCCTGCATGAACGACAGCAATGGCCATAACTTGAACAGATCGTTGACAATAGTGCAGGTCATCCAGTCTTCAGGGAAAAAGTCTCGCGCGGCGGCCTCGATCTCTTCGCTCGTCCTTCAGACAACGCCGCTTGGTTGAAGACAGTCATCACGACTGAGGCAGTGGTATCGCACATCGACCTACAGAAAAAAGTTAGAAAACATCAAAAAACGAGATGGCGAAGATGCACTCAAATACCATCTCGAGGCGCTTGATCAGTTGGACGAATTTGCCTTTGATCCTCAGGCCCAGGTAGTTATTCGGAGGCGCATGCCGCATAAGGAAATTGCAGCGCTCGATGACATCCTCGTCAGTGAGCTCTCCAGCACGCTTGAGCTCGCTGAAAAACGTGAGCGTTTCGGCCTCGCCGAGGCCGAAACGCGGCCGCCTCGATGAGTTGGGTGTTTCGTGGGATATCTCTCCAGTTAGTGTGGTTTGGGAGCACACTTGCGTCTCGCGGTTCCTCCTCTTCCTTATCATCCTCCCCATGACCGGTGCGCGCTTGATTCATCCTCACGCTGTCGTCGTACTTGTATAATAGGCACAGCGGCAGCGAACAGCAGAAATGATCAGACTTTTAAAAAATGGCATTTGCTTGCCACTGTTAGTTTTGGCACTCGTACTTAGTGAATACATAGGTACAGGTGGTACAGTAGATTACCGACTCTGTGCACACGTACCCTAATTCGACCATGAGATTCTCCACCTGGGGTTTGCTGGCCAGCTTGGCTGCACCAAAAAGGAAAACGCGCGTCAACGTCTTCAAGGCATTCGCACAACAACTCCTCATTTTCGTCGGAAACGCGCGTCGGCGTCTTCTAGGCATCGTGCCCAACAACCAGCCCGTCGGACCAGTCGTCCCTAACCACTCGTTGCTCGATAAGGGGGCGAATTCCAAGTCAAGTTCATAGAACAGCCGTTGCGAGTTGCGGAAATAGGGGGCTGCTTCCAGATACACACGTCACTTCCAGTGCTTGCTTGGGAAGTGCCAGGCATTTCAAGCGTCGGCATTGGAGACTCTCCCTTGAAGGTGGGGCAGCCGTGGGCTGCAGCAGCGGAAGAGAACCGACCACAGTTCGACAGACAGCAGCAGAAAGCGAAGAGGAGAAGGCAGTCGACAACTGGGCTAGCACTCGTCGGACAGGAAACGCGGACGGCAACTTCCCAGTGATGCACGCGGTCATTGGCATTCGACGCGCGCTGCGAGTGGGTGGCAGCGGCATGCGAGCGCTACTACTGGCGCGCAATGCATTGCACTTGGCAGCGGACTTGGCACTGCCGGCGGATGCGTTGAAGCTGCAGGAGTCTCATGTCTGTCCAACGCGTCGCTTCGGCGGTGGCACAGGGGCAGGGGGCTACAGCTGGAGCGCCAAGGAGCTGCTTACTATTGGAGTCGCGGTTAGTGCCATGGCGGCAATTGCTGGTGGCGAAGCGATGTGCGAAGCGTTGGATGGAGAGCACGAGGACAATGGAGAGGACGACTCGGTGGCCCGACGCAAAAACTGCAACTTGTGTCACAACAGCGACGACAACGACACCATGTCCATGTACTTCGACGCTGAGTACGAACCGAAGAAGCTGCTGGGTTGCGGCACGTTTGGCGTGGTGATGCAGTGCGTGCACAAGGAGACTGGGCGCGTGGCAGCAGTGAAGATGGTGCAGGACATTGCAGGCAACCAGGAGGAGGTGGAACGCGAGAAAGAGGCGCTGGAAAGGTTGGAACGCGCCGGTGGGCATGAAAATATCGTCGGGTATGAAGGCTCGTACTATCACAACGACTTCCACTACATTGTGCTGGAGTACGTTGCGGGCATTTCGCTGCACTCCTTTGTCGAGAAACACAGCACCCTGGACGCCACGTGGGCGCTGAAACTCGTCTCGCAGCTGGCCAGCGCACTGCAGTTCATGCACGACGCCGATGTCATCCACCGCGACCTCAAACCCGAGAACGTCATGGCGCTAGTCAACTGTGACAGCAAAGGCCGCAGCACGCGCGGGGATGCCAATGAGAACGAGGACGTCACGCTCAAGATCATCGACTTCGGCTCTGCCGGACGCGCCTCGCAGCCAGAATCGTCCAATAAAGCTCGAGCTGCGACTCTATCAGGAACTCGCTGCTACTGGCCTCCGGAGGTGCTGCAGCTTCAGGGCATGACGTCCGCAATGGACATGTGGGCGCTGGGCTGCATCCTGTACATCCTCATTTCAGGCCGTCATCCGTTCGACCTCTCGGGTTGTTCCACAGAGGACGAAGTCATTCAACGCGTCAAGACCGAGCCCGTGCCGTTCGTGCTCCCAGTGTGGCACGACGTCCCTGACGAGACCAAGGAGCTCATTCGAGGCCTGCTGGAGAAGGACCCGCGCCACCGACTGACAGCGGATCAAGTGCTCGAGCACCCGGCCATCGTCGAGGCCACCAAGGAATTGTAAAGTAGTGGCTGCATCAAGCACCCGTGTGTTGTACCCGTGCGTGTGCGGTCGTCCATGTGCACACGCCTCCATTATCTATCAGGCACCTTGAAAGCCCCAGGCCCAAGGTGCAGTCGCAGTCGCAGTAGCAGTAGGTACAGTAGCGGTGACGAACACACCAACATGGCTTCACCCTTGTAACGTAAAATTTCGCATCCTTTTGTCAAACTCCATCAAAATAATGGCACTAAATCTCATCGCTCATTCGCTACTCTAACCAAACATTTATCATTGTTGAAAAGGGGAGGCGTAGGCGAGACCAATCCAGCGCTGAATGGTGCGTGCACACCTCGCTCTTGCTCTTGCTCCAAGCTCCACGCCGCCCTCATGACTCACCGATTGTATGTATGCACGCTAAGAAGCAGCAGACCCAGGCGTCGCTCGACGCGTGGCGGTACCAGCTCCGCCTGAAGGACGCGGCCAGCCACAGTCGCAACCTGCAGCGGGACTTCCCCGTGGACCTCATCAAGCCTCCGCTGGCGGCTGGCGCGTTCTACACGGGGCTGTCTGTACGCCAGGAGGTGTCGGACCCGGAGCAGATCAGCTTTGACAGGTACCGGCGGCGTCTGCAGGAGTTCGACCGCGAGGAGTACGGGCCGTCGCCCTCCAAGAGGCAGAAGGTGGCGTTCGAGAAGGTGGACCACGTGCGCGAGCAGAACAAGCAGAACCAGAGTCTGCTCAGGAGGCTGCAGAGTGAGCTCAGTGGACGCAGGGATCGCCGTCGTGTGGGTGGAGCTATTGGCTTCGGGGTGGTGGAGAGGAAGATGACTGCCAACGAGGACAAGAAGGTGGAGGTTGCCAAGCACGACGAGAAGGTCGAGAGTGATGCGGAGACGAAGGTACGCGGCTGCGTCATTGGTGTTTGTCGTAGAGATTGGTTCGTAACTGAGAGTGTTTTGGTATATCAGGAGGAAGTGGAGCCTACGCAGACTGACAACGATAGCAAGGATGCGGTCCCGGTGCCAAATGCGGTCATCAAGAATAAAGAGGAAACCAGTATCACCGTCAAGTCACGCGAAGAAGAAATTGCTGAGCTTGAGGGTAAGTGTTTATTGTATTTTACATTTGCCATGTGGAGATAGAACTGAGGTGCTGATATGTGCGACTTTTGCAGCGAAACTCCGAGCGCAGCATTTGTCACGGACATCGGAAGCTGATCGACTGTTCTACGACCGTCTTGCAGAACGCGAGGCTAGCGTACGTAGCTATATTCATTTTTGTGATGTTGGCCATGTCTTGTGTGCTAATTTTTGGTGATTGTGCTGCTTGAACAGACCCTGTTTGAGGAGGTTTTGCTGGATGAGCTATATGAGCTGGCTGAGGACGTGTTTGACGAAGAAGAAGAGAAGTCCCGCAATAAGGAATTACCGCCTGATCTGCTTGAGATTGTCGAGGATGCTCTGCACGACGGCCCCATGGAGGAAGTGCTTATCCAGAAGTACAATGTTGACATCACGCGGCGCCACCTGCAGGTCTTGCTCCCGGGGATTTGGCTAAACGATGAGGTTCGTGTTATGAAAATGCAACGAGAAGAATACTTTAGGGTTGCTGACTGTGCTGTGTTCGGTTGCAGGTGATCAACTTTTATTTCCAGATGATGAGCGACCGGGATGAAGCGCTCGTCAACGCGGGCGTACTGCCCAAGCGCAGCCATTTTTTCAACTCGTTCTTCTACACGAAAGTGTCAGAGAACGGATATAATTTCATCAATGTTCGCCGGTGGACAAGAAAGGTAACGTTCAAGCTACGATTGTTACTCGTTGCTCGCTATAACTAAGGTATTTGCTGTTTCTGTAGATCGACGTGTTTGCCATGGACAAAATCTTCATGCCGGTGAATGTTGGCAATGTAAGTGCTTCACCGTTTGCCTACAATTCCTTGGACCTCTGCTTATATCTTTGGGTGGAACTGTCAACGTGAACTCTAGATGCACTGGTGCATGGCTGTCATCTTCATGACGGAGAAGCGCATCCAATACTATGATTCTATGCACGGAAGCGGCGCAGCATGCCTGAAAGTGTTGTTCAGGTACGCTAACCCTCATTCAAACGGTCGATATTCCAAACGCTGACAATCGTCTTACCCATTCCGGTTGATTGTCGATAGGTATTTGCACGACGAGTCGGAGCACAAGAAGAAGCAAAAGTTCGATGAAGAAGGCTGGGAGCTCGTGACCTGCACGCCAGACACGCCGCAGCAGAACAACGGGTCCGATTGCGGCGTCTTCTCCTGCATGTTCGCCGACTACCTATCGCAAAACAAGGTCCGTGCCGCTATCCCAACAATGATTAACTCCCCTATCGATAGCGCTAACACGCATTGTCTCCTTTGCTGCAGCCGCTGACGTTGAAGCAGAAGGACATTCCATTCCACCGGCATCGCATGGTCCTCCATGTCAGCCGAGGCTACATCCCGCTCGAAGAAGAAGGGCTATAGAAGACGACGCGTGTGCAGCGACTCAACCCCGCCAAAGGCCTTTCATTCAGCACACAACGACAATACCTCGAACACGCCTTTTGATGCGTAACCACGATTCATGCTCTTTCGTAAGACGATACTTAGCCCCAGAATGCCTATCATAAGACAAAGCGTCTCACGTTTTCCGATCAACGCGTTTTGACTACATCTTGGTTTTTGTATACCAGTGGCTACATTGCATATAGTCTGTCAAAACATAAGATAGTTTGTCGGACACTAGTTTGCGCCATACAATTGGCCAAAAGTGTTCAGGTCACAGCGGCATCGTTGCCGCGGACGCGGTGGCAACGTTGAGCGCCGAAACGATGCAGTTGCATGGTGCGGTAGGTAAGTAGCCTCTTGTTCACACACGAAGCGATGTGCCTGTAGTTGGCCGCTGGCAGCAAGCTTAAATATCGGCATAATGACTGCACGAACGCGTGCATGCAGTCCGTGGAGCTGTTCCACTCAGAGGTGCAGCCGTTGTAGGGCACGGAGTTACGATGAAGTTGGCAGACGTAAACTAAGAGGGACAAATAGCTCGTAACGGTACTACATGTACATTTTAATGTAGTAAATTTTATGCTTGAGCGTACATCATAGTAGTTGTGAAGGCGTGGCAGCCAGGGAACGGTGTTGCCAGTGGGCTTCCCGAGATCCTCCAACCCCCTCTTACCTAATCATTACAGTCCAGCAACAAAATGCAACCACGTATTCTGCAACGGCGATAATACCTAGATCTTATACCTACGACGCTGAGGTGCGGAGGAGCTCCACACTGCTGCGCGGGCGCTCGGCGCGCGCCATAACGCTGCTGGGCTCGACCTTCGGCATCGGCGAGTTACTCAGTATCTCCTGCAACTAAGCCACTGCCTGCAGCCATGCTTTTTGTCGATGCTACAGCGTAGACTGGTTTGCGTATGCGCGCTCTATCCGAATCTCCATCTTCTATGTAGTGTTAGTACTTTACTGTAGAAAGGAGAGTTGGCGTGGTGGGGTGAACGACAACAGTCGTTCACCCCAGTAAAGCGAAGAAACATTGCTCCACTACGGGAACAAACGGTCGCATGATAACTGTGCTATGATGTCCTTACATTCCATTCCTGGCAAGTATATTTAAATCTTCTAGCAGGAGGTTAGTGCATGGCGTCAGGATCAAAGGCCCGGACATTTCAAGGGGCACTTTTCAAGTGCGCTGCCTCTAGTAAAGGGGGCAAAATGCGCACACAGATAAATCAGTCCAATTTACGAGCCGAGATGCAGCAACACTCGAGACTACATAATACAATATTAACCAATGAAATTGCTACATTTGATTTGTCGTCAAACTGTCTTACGAATGCTCGACACAAGTGAGTGGCAGCCAGCGGGTCGTTTTATTTAATGGCGGTGGAGTCGCTCGCGTTGTCTTTCATATGTACGTGCAAGGCCTCTACAGCTCTGCGCGTTGTGTGTGTGACGCTCTTGGCGCCTCCTGCTTACTTGATCGTGAAGCCCTCGCTGCGCAGGCAGGCCTTGTGCGCCTCGATGATGTCCTTGCAGTGCTCCTCGCCGTTGTTGACGATGCACAGGTCGCGCGCCTGCTTGGTGGTCGGGCACGAGCAGCAGATCTTCTTGCCGGACTTGCCCAGCACGGGGCCCTCCTTCACGGTCGCGGTGCACTCCTTCTCGGCCATTATCACACTTGCGCTCGGCGTCACTCGTTCAGTTCTGGTGGCCACAGTCGTCGACGGTCAGGCAGCGCAGCGCGTCTCTGCAACCACAGAACGAGAAGTACCGTGCACCGCAAAAGGAGCAGTACCGTAGGCCGCAAACCGCAAAACCCTTACGTAATCAGAATGCTGGGTGAAGGTGTCGACGAGATAGCGATCACGACCGCGCAGCGAGACCACCTCGCTCAATGGGAATGCTGGGGCTCTGCATGTCACCATGGTGAAGTTAACGATATCGCAATTGTTGACAAGCAGCAAGTGTGGCAAAAGAGCTTAAGCCGCTACTTTCCATTTCCTCGGCAAATACAAATATACACCCACAGGAGTCCTGTTGCGTGGGACCACACACCTCCGCCTCCAGCTTAAATATCGGTCCGTTTCTTGACTCTTCCTCCTCCCTTCTGCTCGATGGCCGCGCGACTAAGCGTCTTGGTTACAGCGCGTGCAGCGGCCGTCGACGCGACGCGTGCCGCAGTGGATGCAAAACGTCCCGGGGACGGACACGCGATGCAGCATCTCGCCGTGGCTGTCGCGGATGTGGGCGGCCAGGTCGCCCCGCGCGCGGAACAGCATGCTGCAGAACGTGCAGTTCTCCCAGATCTCCTCGTCAGGAGCTGACAGGCGGCCGCCAGAGCCACGGTCTCCCGTTGACGAGGAGCCCGACGCGGGCGGCGACGCCACTCGAGCCAGCGGGATGTCGTGCACGTTCTCAGCATCTTCTTCATTAATGAACAGCATCTCCGTGGCGGTCACGAAGGGCGTGGGCCGCCGGAACCTGGCCACCATCGCGCCGCGATCATCTCGCTGTGAGCGCTGCACCGCTCTGAACCGGATGGGGAAGAGCAGCGGGACCTGGTTCTTCCTCTTCTCGAGCGTCAAGAACCCGATGGCCTTGTCGACCTCCCGTCCGCCTCCGAGCGGGAAGTTCTGCGTGAAGCCGACGGCGCGGTCGGGCCAGAAGCTGCTGGTCAGCGTGAACTTGGAGCTCGACGTGAGCGGCTTGCGGTCGGCGATCTGGATCACGAACACGGTCTGCTCGTCGCGCGTGCGCGACCACTTGAGGTACTTGGACACGTGCGTGGCGCGCAGGTACTTGCCCGAGCTCACGCTCACGATCTGCACGCGCATCTCGTCCAGGATGAGGCGCTCGCGCACCTCCACGACGGGCACGATCTGCACGAACTCGTTGTCGGCGGATTGGCCGGCGCACTGCGCGTTGTAGAAGCACGGCGCCACGCTCTCCTTGTCCTTGCAGGCCACGTACGCGTCGTAGCCCTGCCAGAAGAGTTGCAGCGCGACGTGGTCGCGGGACGTCGACCAGGGCGACGTCGTCACGGTTTCCACCGACGACGACGACGGCTCGGGGCTGCGGCTCCGGCTCGGCGCGGGCGCGTCCTCGGGCGCCTCGCCCAGGCTGTCCAGCGGGAAGAATTCGGTCAGCTCGTCGTCGTCCACGCCCGACAGGCGGATCTCCATCTCGCTGCGCATTGCTGCCTCTGCTGCCTGCAGTCGCAGTTTGGTTCTGATTGATACAACCCGCAGCTCTTCCGCAACTGAGGACTTGGACTGCGCCTGCTCTTTCGGATGATGGCCGCGATTGCGCTGAGAGCTTTGGTGCGACATCATTGGCGGAAAAGAATGATCCAGAGCTAGGTGATTGGACAGAATGTCGCGGAAGGGACTCGAAAAACGCGCCCTATTCCACCCTTGGGTGCAACGCCGGGCCGAAACCCACAAAAGCGGGGGCCGTCGACTGAGACCATGAGGCGACAAACTTGAAGTGGAGGGCGGAGCGTTTCGCACACTGAAGATCTCGGCTCAAAGGAACGTGCTGGTGTTGCAGGTGGCAGCATTAGCCCATTGCGCTGTATCGAGCACCACCAAGCGCTTCAGTTCTCACTCCACTCCACCTAGGCCAGTGGCCATGGGATTGTGAAAGAGAGAGGTGTCCCCGTACTCATGACGGGGCTGACGCCGCCGCTCTCAATGCGTTGGCCAGCGAGGCTGATCTGGACGCAGGCAACCCAGAGGCACCCTATTGTGCCTCGACCACTGGACTGCGCAGACGTGTTTGCCAGTGTCACAACGCCCACCAGCTGCAGCATCCACATCTCGATCATATGAGCCCGTAAACTGACCTTCCACGGTGCTCTTTATCTCGTGTGCGCCACACCTCTCAATCCACATCGACCCCAAGTTGATACAGTACGCCGACCGCCATGAGCCTGACCAGGGCGCTGTACCGCGAGCTGGTGGCGGCCGCGCGGCTGCTGGACGGCCATGCGTCTCTGCGCGCGCTCGTGTCGACGGACCTGCGCGAGTCGCCGCTCGCCCCCGGCTCCAGAACGCGGCTGCCGCACGTGGACGCCTTCAACCGCTGCCTGACGCGCTACCTCGGGGGCGCCAACTTCTACCTGCCGGACGCGCGACGGCCGCCGCTGCTTCAAATCGTGCGCGAGGAGTTCCGCAAGCCGCCGCCAGCGGCTGCAGGAGACTCGGACGGCCTGGACACGGCCTTCGTGGCGCTGCGGGCGCTCAACAACACGCTGGCGGAGGCCAAAGACTATGAGCTGCCGCCCACGCAGCAGTCGGAGGAGACGCATACAATCGGCGGCGTGCAACTCGCAGAGTACGACGAGCTGTTGGCGAAGTTTCAGTGGATGCACATGTGTGTTGACCGGTTGGGTGTGTTCTGGCTGCTGTAGGAATGCGGCGTCGGGCGTGTTTCTGCTGGCGCATCCGCTGCTGGAGGGGATCTTCAGCCGCTCGGTGGTGATTCTGACCGAGCACAAGCCCGACGGGTCCAAAGGATACATTGTCAATAAAGTGATGGAGAAGCCGCTGGGACGTGTGTTCCAGGTGCCGCCCAACGTGACGAGGGCCTTTGGGACGAGTGCAGTGCACAGAGGTGGACCGGTGATCACGAGGAGCGCAGAGGTGACTAGGCGTTTGGCTGTTTAGAGGGTGTCATTGCCGATACTAACGTTATTATGTTGCTGGTGTTATACTAGGTGCTGCATGGTCGAGCAGAGTTTGGTGGCCAGCGGATACTCACGACCAACTTCCCCACGGCCGACGATCCGAGTCTCTTTGTGGGCGTGGATCTTGAGACGGCCGCGCGGGCGATTTACGACGAGACTGCCAAGCAGACGGATTTGGTCTTTATGAACGGCGTGTCTGCCTGGTCCCCGGGTCAGTTGGAGAGGGAGTTGAGGCAGGGCTCGTGGGTCGTGGTGAAGGCCCCCGTGTCGCTCGCGATTAACGCACCTGCAGAATTGTGGCAGGACTTGATGCGGACTCTCGGTGGGGAATACGCGGAGATGAGCTGTATGCCACCGATGGAGGAAGAGTGAACAATAAAGCTAACGCACGTAGAAAGTATCACCCCGAAGCTTGGCGCTGGCTTGCATAAGTTCTATTGATACAAGGTCTCGACATCTGGCATTTGCTTGAACTTCTTCCTTGCCACGAACAAGAAGAAGCGCGTCACGAAGGTGTGTTGGCGATCGGTCGGAGACATCTCAAGGCACTGCAGGATCTCCCACTCCATCGAGTCGTCATTCTCTGATGCCACCCAGTCGAACATGCTCACTCGGTTGCTCGGACTCCCAAATGTCAAGAAGAAGAGCAAGCCGTCGGGTTTCAAGATGCGCGCTAACTGCTTCATACTGTTCTGTGCGTCTACGAGATCGTCGGGCGAATCCGGGGTTACCAGCTTCCAGTTGGTATCTTCCGCCTCCGTCTCGGGCTTGAGTAACATTGCATCCAAACAGCCTTTGTCTATGACGCAGTCCACCGAGCTGGACTCCCAGCCGTTCATCTGGGTAAGATCCGCCTCCACGAAGCGAACGCCCCATGCATTTTCCTCCGAGCGAGCCTGCATTCTCTCGATCACATTGGCAGCGTAGTCCATGGCGACCACGTCCGAGTATCCGTCTAGGGCCATCTCACCCGGTAGGCGGCTGGTGCCCGTCCCCGCAATCAGCACGCGTGCAGTCTTGGAGATATACGACGCAATCAGCTCTCGGATGTGCGAGTACTCACAGTACCAGTCAAACTCTTCCTCGGATTCAAACCGCGCCTCCCAGTAGCTCTTCTTGCACAGCCCCATCAATGAGATCTTGCCTGCGTATGGCCGCACCAGCTCAGCTCCTGAGGCAACGTCCTTCGTCGTCCAAGCGACTGCTCCATACAGAAAATCGGCATCACCGTCAAGTTGCTTTCCTCGTCGTTCTCCCGTACCGCAGCAGCAAATATCACATTAGCAGGCGGCATATCGACCAAACCGAACTCTGCCACCCCGACGTACCTTGATCCGAGAGCATTGAGCACGTAGTACGACATGTCGTCCGAGTTCGCTCCAAACCGGATGGAGAACGCCAGCAAGTGCAGATGCCTCACCACGCTCTCGACCTCCTTCTCCACGTCGCTCTCCTCTTCGCTGTCCAGCTCGTGTTTGTCCTCCTCGATGACTCCTTGACCATCGTCAGCATCTTGCTGCGTAGAGCTCCGTCCTGTCGCAGCTTCGACTGCGCGTCTAGCACCGACTGAAATTCTCACTCGTGGCCAACATGCAGCACTTGCGACGCTGCTGGGAGCGGCATTGTCGACACCGCGCGCAGCTTGCGGTGGATGGCGCCGCCCCGAGAGGCCTCCGAAGCCGCCTCAGTGGATGCCACAGCGTCAAAATCGCTCCATTCTCCCTCAATTTCATGCACGCAGTCGTACACTTGCCGGTGAAGGTGCTGCGGCACGTTGTAGTGCTGCAGCTGCGGCAGGTGCAGCGCGAGCCACGCCTCGGAGTGCATGACGGACGCTATGATACAGGAATGGCATCGTTGGGCGTGCGTCAGCGGCTTTTGAACCATATGATTGGCCAAAATCGAATAGCTACGAAAGATGTTTCAGCGAATCATGAGTCGTAAAACAGGTTTCGTCCAATCGAATTAGTCGATAGTTGTGCTAGTCGCGTCAGGTGAAGCGACACGAAGCCATAGCAATGGAGACCAAGATCGAGATGGACGTCTGCGGCGCTGTACAGGGCGTAACTAAGCTCCAAGCTCTCTTTCGAGGCAATAAGAGCCGTCGTGTGCATGTGCAACGTGCACGTAACAACTTACGTGCGTTAAATCGTTGTCTTCAGTGCTCTAGCGGTTCATATTTAACACATTTTGCTGCGTTTTGCTGCAAATTCTGACGCAGCCTGGTCCCCGTTCGTGCCAGCAAAGATCGAGGCTGTCCGAGCAATGCTGGAGGTAGCAGGTTTGCAGTCTGGGGAGACGTTGGTGGACATCGGCAGCGGTGACGGCCGTGTGGTCATCGAAGCGGCACTGCGGTGTCCAGAGCTCAGGAAGGCGAGAGGCGTAGAGCTGGACGAGGCTCTGGTGGGGCTATCAAGACGCAGGATCGTTGATAGGGCAGTGAAGGAGGAAGAGAATGTAGGTGGTGGAGGACCTGAGGAGGAATGCGGTCGGGACAAGAGCAGCAATACGGCGACAACTCTGAGAGAACGAGTCGAGATTGTCCATGGAGATTTTATGGAGGTCGACATGCGCGATGCAGATGTCGTTGTGCTCTTCTTCCTCCCACACGAAGATATCGCGCGTACATTGCAGCAGAAGTTGCGTGCGGGGACGCGCGTCGTCACTTACGTGTTCCAGATTGCGCAGTGGAAGCCTCACAAGGTGGTTCCGACCGTGCCCTTCATGACGGAGAAAGGCTCGTCGTCCATCTACCTCTACCACGTGCCTCACTAGAGCTTTGAATGTTGTTCGCTGTTTTCCGTTGATAAGTACTTCAGATAAGACATGCATGGCGGGCTTTTTTACGAGATTGTGCTGGGGTAGACCCGCTATTTTGGTGATACTCCTCCTGCCATGGTCCTTTGAGGGAGTGCACAACTCAATCCGCTCTGCTGCAGACAGAAATCGGTAGACGATGGAGGTCGGCTATGGGATCTGTGGTCACAAGAACTCGTTCTCGACCGGTGTGAAGATTGGGAACTATGTGGAGGACCGCATCGGTGCGGAGCTGGCTCGGAACAGCTCGGTCAAGCCGATCAACAAGCATTCGGAACACTCCGCGAGCTTCATCAACCCTCGAGATATGCCCGACAAGTGCGCCCACGCTCCAGCTGAAAACCTGGTTGAACGCAACATGCTGCGCCAAGGCCTTTCGTACGACCTCATTTTCGAGCACGGCCGAGCCCATATTCCGAGCACAGCCGAGCAGAAGGCCAAGTTCACCCCGACATCGCTCGATTATGGCAGTCGCTTGCCGGACTACTTAAAGAGCAGTGCCCCGAGCAACGAGGCTGAACGGCGCAGGCAGCTAGATATCAAGAGAGCGCGGGAGGCACGCGACCAGCGAACCACATATCTTTCCACCTCGCAGGCCATCATTCCAACCCAAGCAGGTTATAGGCGTTGCCACTACTAACGTTAATACTGCGTAGTATTCTTTCAGCTTCGAACACAACAAATACAGCCCCGGTTCGTATGTAATTCTTGTAGATTAAAGATGTTGTACAATGTGCATGTCAAGTAGGATAATTGTACGCTGCTGGGGGCCCGCTGATAAGGCGGAAATGGCCTTCAAAATGCGGTTGAGACTACAAATTGCGATCGTTCTCCAAGTATTAGAGACACGTAGTTCCTACCAACTCGTCACGGTCAGAACTCCGAGCTTAGAGCGGAAGGCTGGGAACGAGGTAGCCACGAAGCAACTCGGGGTGGATCGTCCTGGTAGCTCGTATCATCAGGGACACCATTTCCAGCTTCTTCTTCGTCGCCATCAGCCGGAACCTGTTCGGCACCCGAGTTCGTGGGCATACTTCGATGCGTTCGGATCTGACGCCTCAATCTGGCCGCGTGTCGTTCTTCGTCGGTGTGTTTCAGTAGATCTCCGCTAGTGTTACTCCGCTTCCACAGCATGTCCGACAGCGTTGGGCTACGCTGCGCAACTTTGGATCGACCTGACAGACTCGGAGGATCGCGCTCTGCTTGCACTTCGTCCGGTTTGGAAACTACTGTGACCTCATTCCTTGGGGTCGGCATCCATCTACCGCCTGCACTCTCTCGTTTCGGACTGGTTTGGTCCGGATTGTCGTCTATCGCCTGGGGTTTACTCCTGATCTTCCGCAGAATTGCACGCGGGGTTTTGCTGTCGCTGCTACGATCGCTGAGCCGCTTGTTCAGCGCTGCGGTCGACCCGACCAATGAAGGTTTTCGGGAGGTTTGGTCCTGGAACTCCTCCTTCGTGACGCTACCAGCGTCAATGGAGACTCCAGACTGATAACTAAGCGCTGCCGGGGAGGCTAGCCGTTGGCTGCCGCTGTTGCCGCGGTGCAGACCGCATCCACATCTGGAACTTCGTCGGGAGTCACGAGCCTTGAGATCGCTTACGTCTTGCTGCAGGCGTGCAATATTGCCCGCCATACTCTCCACAAGCAGGAGAAGGTTCGCCAGCGTCTTGTCAGAATTCACTCCGCTCGGGGCTGCGGCTGCAGCTTCAGGCTCCGTGTCTGTGGACGAATTCCTGTCTGTTGGAACACTCCCGTCTGTAATAGCTTCAGTCAGAGGGGTGCCGGGTGGAACGTTCTTCCGCGAGCGAATGCTACTGCGTCGACGTTGAAGCGTGTCGCTGATCTTCACATCCGCTGCGTTGGCTTGACGTAGTGACGAGTCCTCGATGAACCTCTCGTCGAAGCTCTGGAAGCCGTACTTGATGGTCTCGTCCGGAGCGTTGATATCGATGGCTTCAACCAAGATCCGAGCCGCTTCTTTGGCCGTCATGGTGGCGATCACACTGGCGCGTGAAATGTCCTTCTTGCCGGTGCTGCGCCGCTTGGCCGAGACTGCCTCGATGATGTTCTCCCACGGGAACGGGATCACCTTCTTCTCGATGCAGCTCTCCAGCATCGCCGTCAAAACACGACGCCGGTCTTCCGGGTACCGCGAGATGATCTTCTGGAACTGTTCGCGCCCCAAGACGCACATTTCAACGAATGTGATGGCTCGGATGTTCGCCGTGCGCTTGTAGTTCATCAGCAGACTCATTTCCCCAAAGGCGTGGCCAGGGTGCAAGTACTCGCGGTACTTCTTGGACTTCTTCGCTTCCGTGCCATTCGGGGAACTAGGACACCGGGTGTGGGCGTTTTGAAAGCGACGCACGTCTGTGAAGTCGCTCATTTGATCATCCGGTATTCCAAAGGCGCTACCGGAAAACCTCCTCGAATCCCCAGATGCTCCAAATGTGCCAGTACCGAAGAACCCCTGCTCCTCATCATCCGAGCTCACGTCGTCGTCGTCATCTCCCGTGTCTTCGTCTTCCTCTTCTTGGCTGAACTGGTTGAACTCCATCTCACTCGCCAGGCCGAGGTCGTGAGAAGAGAACATCGTTTTGTGGACGTCCTCCGCTTTAACCTGCACGCACGGTTTGGATAGTTTGCAGTATCCACGGTTGATCATCATCATTTCGTTGCCGATCTCGCGACGACGAACCACGTAGTCGTCGGGCATGTACACGCGTACATCCAGGTTCAGCACGATCTGCGTCAGAAAGTCGGGCGTGCAGTCCTTCCAGAAGGGGGCCTTGACCAAGAGGTCCATGTGCTTGTAGAGCCCCACCTCGATCCCCAGAGTATGCGTGAGTTCCTGCTGGAACTTACTCACGTTGCCATCCAGAGCCTCGTACTCCAGCCACACGTGCTTGTAGTACTCGTTCACTCGATCACGTAGCCTTAAGGGGAGATCCATCTTGGCCATGGTTTCGTACACCGCCTCCATCTTGCGGTGGTAGTTGGTCGTATTAGCGTTGAAGTTCGACACCAGCATCGCCACGTTGCCAAAGACAATGGCGAGGATGACGGAACCGGTGATGATGACCACGCTTGAGTAGAGATTCTCAGCCCAGGTGCCGCCCGAATTACCTTGACCTTGGATTAAACTGATGGCGTAGTAGTAGTCGGCGATGTACTGTTCGCCTACGGTTGAGTAGTTCAGTTTGTGATCACGAGACACCACGTGCCAGAAGCACGCCATGTAGTGGGCGATCAGCAGCACGAACCACATGAGCTGAGCGATACCAAGCAGGTGAGAGTATCTCGAGTACCGAGCCCACTCGGTTAAATTGCTGGCGATCTTCATCACGCGGGCCAGCAGAAGGTCCTTCTCAAAAAGGGTCACTCGGAACAATCGTAGCGCCATGAGCGTGATCTGAATTGCCCTTACTGCATCAAGCGTCGAGTGGACGGACTGCGACATCATCCAGTGGATAGCCTGCACTGGGACAGCCGAGAGCAGGTCGAAGAGGAACCACGTTCGAATATATTTTCGCGCGATTCTCCTCCGTGACTTAACGAGAACGCCCTGCTTGACGTACGCCGTGTTGAAGTTAAGCAGCAAATTGAGCAGGTAAAACGATTCGAGCGAGATGGCGATCGTTGATGTTGTGAACGAGCCGTGGGGGAAATAGCAGGCGAATACGGGCAGATAAATCCACTGGAAGTGGTAAACCACGAGCATAATGAGCCCGTGGATCGTGGAAGCCCAGCCTTTCGGGGTGATCGCAGACATGAGCGCTTGGAGCAGTTTTTGGCGCGTCTTGGCGCTGGTCATGGATCGGATCGTGCGGTGGAGCGAGAATCGGCGTTGCTGTTGACCTCCGATGGCTTTGTCGATGACAGCGCGGGCGAACGTTGTTGGGATGCCTAAGCTGCTCGACATCTTGCGAAGGTTGAATTTCTTCATGATGGCATCGTGGTGGGCGGCTTTCTCGCCCAACTTGTACAGATTTCGGGTAGAGCTCTGGCGTTTGAGAACGCCAACGGAGCTCTGTCGTTTGGCGACTAGAGGTCTCTCGGCGATAGCTAGCGAAGGAGACGAAGCGGTTGTCATTTTTACTCGGGGGATGCGAGAGCGAGAGAGTCGATGATTGATGAATGCTGTGCTGGGAAGAACCGCTGGGGCGTGGAAGTCGTACTGTGGTGACTTTTATTGCATGGGAGGCGTCAAGATAATCCTGACCTTCTTTCTTGCCAAAAGCATTGATGGCGTTTCAAACGCACCGAGAAATGCTATTACTATCGATCAAGCGCCTTGTTTTCGATTTAGTCGGTCATAAGACACGACAATGCTGCTTCATGCTCTTTCGTAAGACGATACTTAGCCCCAGAATGCCTATCATAAGACAAAGCGTCTCACGCGTTTTGACTACATCTTGGTTTTTGTATACCAGTGGCTACATTGCATATAGTCTGTCAAAACATAAGACAGTTTGTCGGACACTAGTTTGCGCCATACAATTGGCCAAAAGTGTTCAGGTCACAGCGGCATCGTTGCCGCGGACGCGGTGGCAACGTTGAGCGCCGAAACGATGCAGTTGCATGGTGCGGTAGGGTAAGTAGCCTCTTGTTCATAGTTGGCCGCTGGCAGCAAGCTTAAATATCGGCATAATGACTGCACGAACGCGTGCATGCAGTCCGTGGAGCTGTTCCACTCAGAGGTGCAGCCGTTGTAGGGCACGGAGTTACGATGAAGTTGGCAGACGAAAACTAAGAGGGACAAATAGCTCGTAACGGTACTACATGTACATTTTAATGTAGTAAATTATGCTTGAGCGTACATCATAGTAGTTGTGAAGGCGTGGCAGCCAGGGAACGGTGTTGCCAGTGGGCTTCCTGAGATCCTCCAACCCCCTCTTACCTAATCATTACAGTCCAGCAACAAAATGCAACCACGTATTCTGCAACGGCGATAATACCTAGATCTTATACCTACGACGCTGAGGTGCGGAGGAGCTCCACACTGCTGCGCGGGCGCTCGGCGCGCGCCATAACGCTGCTGGGCTCGACCTTCGGCATCGGCGAGTTACTCAGTATCTCCTGCAACTAAGCCACTGCCTGCAGCCATGCTTTTTGTCGATCCTACAGCGTAGACTGGTTTGCGTATGCGCGCTCTATCCGAATCTCCATCTTCTATGTAGTGTTAGTACTTTACTGTAGAAAGGAGAGTTGGCGTGGTGGGGTGAACGACAACAGTCGTTCACCCCAGTAAAGCGAAGAAACATTGCTCCACTACGGGAACAAACGGTCGCATGATAACTGTGCTATGATGTCCTTACATTCCATTCCTGGCAAGTATATTTAAATCTTCTAGCAGGAGGTTAGTGCATGGCGTCAGGGTCAAAGGCCCGGACATTTCAATGGGCACTTTTCAAGTGCGCTGCCTCTAGTAAAGGGGGCAAAATGCGCACACAGATAAATCAGTCCAATTTACGAGCCGAGATGCAGCAACACTCGAGACTACATAATACAATATTAACCAATGAAATTGCTACATTTGATTTGTCGTCAAACTGTCTTACGAATGCTCGACACAAGTGAGTGACAACGCTGAGTCAACCCCATATCCTGACCCCAGACTCTCGTAAATTGTTGAATCATGAGAAGATACCGGGCTGCAAGTATAGTTCTCTCATGGGAAGTTGCAGGTGCTCTGACCACAGTACGGGCTTTTACGTAGATGTGCTAAGCCAACAGCTTGTTCAGCATCGCATGAATTGAAACGGTGAAAAAAATCAGTTTCAAATATCGTCCAGGAATGGCAGATAATGCAAGCGCAAGGCATCTTAGCAGCCTGTCCCAGTGCATTCGTAGCTTGCTGGGAATAATCTTCGAGGTCCTGATCGACAGACAGTACTTTTGGTGCAAGAATAGCTGATGAATCGTTATAGTAATAGCTACTGTACTCGCAGCACAGTTCTTCAATCATCATTCTTTTCTCTTGAATTGCACCTCGTCACCAATACGGGCAATCAGGTCTGCAGGTAGATCGCAGTCCCGCATCAGTTTTTCGAATTCGATGGAGTCTCGGTCTGACTCGTGAAAGGTATCATCGGGTCTCACAGAAGGATTGTTGCTGCTCGGGTGAGTCCACGTTGGCGCAGTTGTAGACGGTTGCGCTGCTAAATGATCTGTCAGTTCATGCCACTGCGATGAAAAACTAGTGAGCGTCTTCGACTCCATGAGATGGAGGCACATGGAGAGAGCGAGCGCGAGTCCTTCGGCTGAAAATGCATTATAGAACAACAAGCGCGTTAAAAAGCTTCAATTGTGCAGTAAATACTGCATCCCGTACATGTTGAGGTGCCCCGGCACAGATCTTCGATCAGGACCAGGGAGCTCGGTGTCATTGCCGAAAATATGTGGCTCATCTCGCGCATTTCCGCCATAAATGTCGAGTATCCATACAGTTGCTGGTCGTACGCTCCAGTCCGCAAGTAAATTGCATCAAAAACAGGCAATACGGCCTCTTTACACGGCACGAAACAGCCGAGCTGGTTCAGCATGACCACAATCCCCAAAAGCTGCAACAGACTGGATTGACCGGATTTCTGATCTCCAACCAGTAGCAAAAATGTCTTCCCATCAAGGACGGAGAGCTTGACAGCCACATCGCTACGGTCACTGGTGTCGCTCCTTGCGTCTTGCTCGAAAGGGTCGAAGATGTCTTGAAGTTGAAACGTAGTTTGGTGGTCAGGACTGTAGAGTGCACGAACAAATTTGTGCTTGTGCGACACCAACGCGAAGCTCACTAGGACATCCAGCTCAGCAACACGAACTGCGAGTTCGTCCATATAGCCATGACAGTTTGCTTGGAAATCTGACACCAGCGAGTCGACCAAACCCGCCTCAGCGTCTTCGTAGCTGCGCTTCAACGACTTCCACTTCGCCCCCAGGGAGTCGATCGCCGGGGTTGAGAACCAGACGCCTGATGCTCTTGACGCCCGAATAACGCTGAGCATCTTCCCGCTCTGTTGTTGGACTCGGTGGCTGTCTTGGCGAGAAACACGCAGAACGATCCCCATTCTCGCAATAGTAGGCTGCTCGTCGTGTGCATATAAAACTTTGATCCGGTCCTCTGCGATGCAGAGAAAAGTTGCTGCCTGCAGCAAGTATGCAACCAGTACAGAATTAAACGTAACAAACAATCAGAAGTATAAGCAAGTTACACGATATACGTACCTGCTTGACTGCTACTGCAACGTCCAACTCGCACTGTCGGATCTGAGTACGCAACTCTTGCAATGGTAATGTTGATGACCCCATCTTGCTTTCTGTCGCTGTGTCTTGACCACTGTCCTCCATACTGGTGACCACTTCTTGGATCACGTTGCAAAACGGTCTGAGTTGTTGAGAGCACAGGTCGTGAATCGGGCGCAGACGCGTGGAGAACAATGCATCTAGGTCAACAGCACATTCTGTATCACTCAAACAGTGCTCAGCTAGAGCATGAAGTTCGCTCAGCCACTTTTCAAGACCAGAAAAATCCTATGTACACCAAGCACAACAAGTGAGAACAAGAACATCTGCAGCTTAAAGCTAAAATGGCACAACCTACTGCCAACGAAAGCTTTGCGTCGGTCGAGTTATCTGCCGTACATGGCGTGATCGAAGTGAATAACGACAGGTCTCGCTCGTAACTTTGGACGTGCTGGAAAAGGCTCGAGAGCTTCCACAACACTGGACTATTTTCTGCTACCGCTGACATGACTGCTTCCACCGTGTCGTGTCGCTCCTTGAGAACTTCCGGGTCAATGCTAGGTACTGCCAGCCACTGCACACACAACAAATAAAATAAAATTGAGAAACTATTATAGCTACAAGAAAAAAACACTAATGTAACATACCTGTTTTAGGCACATTCGCCCGCGTTTGGTGCTGCAGGATGGTCCCAAGAGGTTCAGAAGCGACGGCGACCGCGCTTTCGACGCTGCTGAGGAAGCGAAAGCCTCCCGTGCAGAGTTATTGAGCCTAACATTGCTAGTTAGATCCTGATCAAGAATGGTAAAGTGAAAAGCGAGTTAGTACGCACTGCATCACTTTTTCGTCTTCTCGGTCGAAAACATTTTTTCACTGGGAATGTCAGTGTTTCGAAAGAATGACGTAGTATTTTACGCGGTGGACGTTGGTGGACACCCTGTTAGGATACCGTTATCAAACGTCCTCATAGCACTTCACTCAGGTTTATTCTTCTGCTGTTCTTCGCTCTCTGGTCTAGATGAGGTTCTGCAGCTCGATCTCGTGCCGCGCCAGCTCGCGCAGCATGGGCTCGTCAAAGTACTTGCTCACGTTCACGTCCTCGCTCAGGCCCTTGCGGCGCCGCGTCTTGACCATGAACTCGCGCGCCAGGTCGTTCACGGGCGCGGGCTCCAGCGGACGCAGCACGACGCTCGTGTCCAGCGGGTCGCCAGGGACCACGGCCCAGTGGTCGAACACTTGTGTGATGAAGGCTTGGCCCTGTGTGAACACGCGCAGGTCCGTCTCCAGGCCGAACGACTCGATCACCGGCACGAAGCCGCGCACCGTGTACAGCGGCGAACCAGCCTTGGGAGCGTCGTGTGTGATGTGGCCACGGCGGCGACTCAGCACCTGGTACAGTGAGGACACCGTGTCGGCGGGGCACTGGATCTCGAGCGCGTACATGGGCTCGAGCATGCGCGGGGTGGCGGTCAGGAACGCGGAGTAGGCCACACGGCGGGAGGTCGGGATCACCTGGCCACCGCCGCGGTGGATCGGCTCCGAGGCGATCGTAGCGTCCAGGATCTTGAACTTGGTGTTGCGGATCGGCTCGTCACACAGAGGGCCCTCGCGACAGCTCCACTGGAAACCCTGCACGATGCTATCCTTGATCATGTTGAGGGACGACTTGTTCACCTCAGTGGACAGAGTGTCGTCAAGCAGCACGTTGGGCCCGTTGCTTTCAGGTCCAAACGCCCATACGGAGCGAGCTGCAAGCGCATCCCACTTGTAGTTGGTCTGGAAGAAGCTGGCCACGTCCTTCTTGCTCATCTGTTTATTCGGGCACATTCATATTAGAACCACGAACGCGACGAAGTAATTCGAACACTGGGCTTCACTTACGTCCAGTTTGATAGCACCCGCTTCGATATCTTGTGCGAGACTCGCGTCCAGCGGCTCGGAAATCATGATGATCTTGTTCTTCTGGTTGGGCGTCTCCGCAAAGCACCTGGTAAACAGACAGCAGAGTATCAATCGGTCAGCGATTAGCGCCATGATAGCCTCAGTTCGCATGAATCACTTACTGTACAGAAGACGTCTCAGCCACAGTCTCGGAGAAGGCGACGACGGGGTCTGCCACCTTGATTTCAATTTCCGAGTACATTCTCCGCAGGTCGTGAAGGATGCAGTCGGCAGCCAGCTCGCCGGTGCAGAGGATCACGTGTTCACCGCTCTCCTCCACCTTCGTCCGCACAAGCGGGTAACTTTTGCTGATTTTACGCAGACCCTCGAGCATCTTGGGCAGCTCCGCCGGGTTCAGCGGCTCGACAGCCAGCTTCATCACGGACGTGGTGCCAAATGCGATGTTAATGGGTCGGAAGATGCCGACCTCCTCGTCCTGCAGAAGGTCCTCGTCGGCGTCTGTGATCGTGGCGCTCTTCGTAATCGACGCGTCGACGCCCTCGAGCATCACCCAGTTACCTGCCGGGATGCGGTTGACCTGGATTTTGTAGCGTCCCTGCGCAATGCAGACGCTCTCGATACTCCGCGTGCACATGTCCTCGTCGTCTTCAGCGCTGTAGGCTTCTCCCAGCACCTTCACATCCTGGTTATCACGGACTTCACCCGAGTACACACGGCCGAACGCACTGAACGTGGTGCCGTCAGGCGACGAGTACAGCTTCACAATGTTGACCATCAACGGCGCCTTGGGGTCGCAGTTCTGGATGCCGCGAACGATGCTCAATTCGGACGATTGGTTGCCTGTGTAAATATTCTCCAGCTTGGTCTTCGCCGTCACAAGCGGCGACGGGACGTGGTTCACCACCATGTCCATGAATCCAGTCGTGACGTTGCCGAAGAACTTGCCCAGCACCAGCTTCAGCAGCGGGCGCGGATTCAGGTTCAGTTCCTCCTTCCTCAAGCGCAGACCCAAGGCACGCAGCGACGCCGACAGCTCCTTCGGATCACCGTTCAGCACCTTCGAGTACATTTTGTAGAGCGGCTCAAGGACGAACTGGATGAACGACCGCAGAGCACCAGGGTACGGCTACAACAGACAAGGACAAAAGAACAGCGTTAACCACAGTTCTACCGAGCTTCATAATATCTGCACACAACGCACCGATTTTTTGGTGAACGTGCGCGTCTGCGGGTTGAAATACTTGTCGCCCCAGAAGCGCGCAGCCAAAGCCGACGGCGGAACACCCGGGTACGTATCTGCGTAGATCTGCGCGAACGACTCCAGGGTAAAGCTCCATCCATGCTGACCGGACGCAAAGCACACATTGCCCACTTCCGGCGACAACCGCTGCTTCTCCTGGTTCGCCGGCGTGTTGGCGTCGATGATGGCGTTCACCTCCTCGATCGTGTGCAGCAGCTTGAAGTACGCGTCGGCCGGCGGCAGCTTGAGCTCAATAATCAGCCGATCCACCTTGTTCACCACCAACACAATCGCCACATTCGCGCGCAACGCCGCCTTCACCAACCTCTCCGTCTAAACAATAAAAAGAAACAATGCAACATTAAAAAAAATCGCCACCACCTCAAAAAGCAACCCCCAGCAACACCGTACGTTCATCATGACGCCTTCAATGGCGTCCACGACCAGCACCGCTCCGTCCGCGACCTGCAGCGCCGCCGTCGTCTCATCCGAGAAGTTGACGTGACCCGGACAGTCCAGCACATTGAGCAGGTAGTGCTTGCCCCTGGCCGTGGGCAGCACGAGCGACACGGGCGCGCTCTTGATGCTGAGCTTGCGCTCCTGCTCGTCCTTCCTCGTGTCCGTGTAGCGCTTCTCCGTGGCGGGGTCCCACCTGTCCACGTGCGTCTGCTGCACCAGCAGGTCCGTGAACAGCGTCTTGCCGTGGTGGAGGTCTCCAACGATTGCGACGTGGCGCACGAGCTGCGGGTGGTCCATGAGGCTGGCGAGGAACTGGGTCGAGTAGGTCGTTTGGGGCACTTTCTGCTCCAGCACCGAGAAGGATTTGGTCTTGACGGGCTCGATGATGGGCGTCTCGATGGTCTGCGCGTCCTCCTCCATCACGAGCGTCTCGGCGTCCCCGAAGACCTCGCTGGCCTCCGGGTAGTACTGCTTGTCCTCGTGGAGGACGATGGCGGACTCGCCGTCCTCCATGTGCGCGTCCTGCAGCGTCAAAGTGTCCACGTGCCGTCCGGCGTCGTCCACGTCGCCGTCATTGCTGTTGTCCTCGTCCTCCTGCTCGTGCTCCTCGCGGTCGGACGGCGCGTCGCTCTCCGAGTCGGACGAGGACTCGTCCTCGCTGCTGCGCAGCTCCGGGCCGATGTAGTTGCCGAACTCGTCGTACAGAGACTCCTCCATGGTGCGGCCGATAGCGATGGGTTAGCTTGATGATAGATAGGGGGCCAGTGGATATGTGACGTGTGATTGGGTGGAAAAGGGAGGCATCAAGTGATATGATTGGAGGATATTAGATGGACCCTTGGAAGACGCTTTGGAGGACAGGTTTCTAGTTTTTAGGATCTAGAATTCTAAACAGTACTGCGCCTCCGCGAGTTGGGCGGTTGGGTTGGGCGCGTAGACTTTGGCGCGGCGATGCGAGGTGGACGTCTTTTGTTTGGCTGGTGTTGGTGGGGGTGTCTGGATGGACCCATACTGCAGTGTGAGTTGCTGTCTTGCTGCTGTGGAGGACACTTGGCTGTGAGACAGGGGTGTCCTCTTCTGAAGCTTCCAGACGTGGACGCTTCCGTCCACCGCCCCCGAGACGATCGTGGAGCCTGAGCAACTCACAGACAGCGAGCTGATGCATGCGTCGTGAGCTTGCGGGATCTCGAAGACCAGCTCGGTGCCTGCCTGCTCGTGCAGCTTCCAGAAGAGCAGCTTGCCGGCGGTTGTTCCCCCCACCGCGTACTTGCCGTCGCTGTCGAAGCACCGGACCTGGCCTGCAGTGCGGATCTCCATGCTCCAGAGCTGCTCGCCTCGCAGGTTGAACTGCAGCAGCTCGCTCTGCACCATCACGCAGACGTACGACTTGTTGTCGGCGGCGAAGGCTATCGACGCGATGCCGCCTCCGTGCACAGAACTCGCGTCTACTCGGTTGTGAAGAGCTGCAGCGCTCAAATCGAAGAGGTACACAGAGCCATTGCGAGTTCCCGCAGCACCGAATCGGCCGTCACGGCTCACGTCTAGACACAACACGGACTCCTCGCAGTCTAGGAACGTCCGGATGGGGGTCGCGACGATATACCGCGACGTGTAGCGCCACAACTTGATGGTTGAATCCCACGAACTTGTCAGGAATCGATCTTGTAACACGCGGATGGCGGAAATCCCGTCCGTGTGCGCCAAAACCTTGTCCAATACCAGTCCCGTAGACGCCGAGTGCATGTACACGCAGTTGTCCCATGACCCAACGAACACGACGCTCTCGTCCGGTGAGATATCGCAACACGAGAGTGCCGACTCGCTCGATACTCTACGAAATTCGCCCACGTCTCTGGTCGACGACAGCTTCAGAGAGCTGTCCTTGCTGGTCGTGAACAAAGTAGTGCTGTCCTGGGAGAGGATGGTGCTCGTGACTTCCCGTTTGTGGAGCTGAGACGCTGAAATCTGCTTCCAGCTCCACGAAGTCGACAAACTGAACTTTGTCCTTAGTCGTAACCTCCACCTCCAATTCTTGGGTAGCTTTCCAGAGCTTATACTCCCCCACAACTGCGAGGAGAGGCCTTCAATAGCCGTCGGGAGGCGCTTCCACGGGGTCTGACAACACATCAGACTATACCGGTGGCGATTTCGTCGGTGACGGCTCAGCAGGTCGTCGTCCTCCGTCTCATCGTCAGAGTCATCGTAGTCTTCGAACGCACTCAGTGTGACTTCTCTCCGCTGTTGAAGAAGGGGTTCAGACACACTAGTGAGAGGGTACGAGACTCGGCGGACACGGGGAACGATGACTCGCGGTGACAGTAGCAAGTCTGACGTAGCCACTTCAATCTGTCCTTCGCCCTCGTTTCGAGACGGGTGAGGCGTCGAGAACAACAGCTTCGGCGTCTGTCCAAATTCCTGGATCTGCGATTCTAAAGAACATTTTTGCACGGGATCGTCGATGGTTTCGAGGTCCACCGATCCCTCATACGATAAATAATAAAATACTGCAAAGCACGTAACAAACAACATTGCCAACGGTTAGTGAGCTGAAAAATGAAGGGCTTCATCCCATGCAATTACTTACAGTTATTTGCCTTGACAGCTTCCTCGCCTTGCTGCTTGTAGCCAAAGATCAGGTCAATCCAATGATGTAAATGGTCTGAAACGTAGTCGCTCTCAAGCGCAGCCCTGTTCTTCCGGACAAACTCAGCTGCATCGTCATGTGCCCACGGCGGGAGTTCCACGTCATCGACCCGGTCGAACTTCTGCGTAGTTCCCAAATCGAGGTGTTTGCCGTTCTGCAGCCATTCGTCCGCTGGTAATTTACAATCAAAGAACTCGGGAATGAGCTCCTTCACGTCTGTATGGTTCGTCACACAGCCGTCCCACGTGACTTTGATGCTGCGGAACAAGCGGTCCGGCGTGTCAAACTTCCCACTCTGTAGACACAACATGTACTCGGGAACCTTACGCACCAGGAAGTACAGCACGTAGCCCGGGGTGGAATAGTGCGTGCCATACAAGAATGGAGGCGGCATTCCCTCCGCTTCCTCGCCACGAGGCATCACCTCATACCTCGCATTGAAGTACTCTAATCGCTCCTCATTCAGCGCTCCGATGGGCTTGGAGAGGTCTCTATACACCCTCGGATCCTTCAAATTCAGCTCCGAGCTCGTGTAGTCACGTAAGATCCACGGGAAAACGGGGTACTGCGTCAGGTCGTTGCGAGTTCTTCCCGACGCGTTGTTCAGGAACAGCAAGTAGTCAAAATTGGAGAGCTCGCGACGCTGCCACTTGCGCATCATGTACTGTATATCCTTGCGTCGACAGCGCTGGAGCTCTGGCTGCCCCACCATGAGCGCGTAAAAGTCGTCGCGCTCCTTGCGAGACCGGAACGAGAAGAAGAAGCTCTCTCCGTTGCGTAAATACACTTCCAGTCCGATCTGTTGCAGCAGATATCGGCGCTTGTACACTTGGTCTACGCTCGTGTACTCCCAGTTCAGCACAGGTTCAAACACGTTATTCAGCATCGCAGGCTGGAAGTACAGGCGCAGCGTGGTGAGCATGAGGCAGCCCGGGAACTTGAGCAGTGGCTCGATGCGGTCGGCGACGCAGCCCGCGTCTAGCAGCGGCCGCTCTCGGAAGTCGATCAACAGACTCGGATCAAACTTGTCGGTCAGTCTCGTAGCCAATACAGGCGCTAGTAAGCTCTCCTCTTCCGCCTTGGTCAGCATGCGGCGCGGCAGGTTGGACACCTCGTAGATGACGTGGATGCTGGCCAGGAACGCCTCGAGCGTCACGTGTTGTAGCGTGAAGATGAACTTGGCCGGCATTTCGGCTCCCAAGCTGCTGCTACTGCTGCTCCGACTGCCGTTGGCACTGCTGGCAATCTCCACGCCTTCTGTAGTGTCCTTGTAGACGTACGGGTGGTCGATGCCTCGCTCGCGCATCTCGATCACCTGCTTCGTCTGGAACGTCAGGTACACCACGGGCACGGGCAGCTCCGCAGCTTCAGGATCGGACGAGCTCCGTGGCGGCGGGTGGACGAAGCACTCGGCCACGGGCTCAGCACTCATGCAGCGGAAGGGGAAGCGCAGGATCGGCAGCTGCAGGTCTTTAGGCACGAAGAACAGGCCGCGCGTGCAGACTTTGATGCGGCCCGAGACTTTGCGGTGCGTCCGCGCATTCGGCTCCAAGTATCGGCACGCGCTGTGGTCCTGCAATGAACAGCGTTAGTCTATGGGCCCAAGATATATAGCTCCTCCTGCGCGTATCCTTGCATTTCTTACGTCTAGGAAGAGCTCGCCGTCTTCGAGCAGCAGGAGGCTGAAGCGCGCCGTCTGGGCGTTCTTGTTGCTGCGGCGACGTCGGTGCATGGCTTGGGGCTACAGTGGAGCTGGAGCTGGAGGAGATCGGGAGCGCGATGGGTTGCGACGCCGCACCACGGCCAGTTCTCTGCAATCGCACGTAATATTGGCGAATTAGTGGCGGGCGATAGGTATGGCTGCCAGCGGCGTCGACCGAGTAGTGTATGGATGGAGTTGGTTGGTTGGGTTACAGCTCTGTGGACTGCTAATACATTTGGGTCACTTACTTACTTCTTGCTCGTCCCCGACGAAAGATACTAAAACTGGGGGCTGGCTATAGCTACTTGGATGATGGTGATATGTACCTGTGGGCAGGTCGGCTCTCTTCAGCCGAAGACGGCGGTGCAGCTATTCCTCCTGTCCGCCTCGATGGCTCCGAAGGTCGGGATGATCTCGTCGTGCATTTCCTCCTCCGGCTCGGCTTCTGGAACGGGCGGGAGCATGCACGTCGGCGCTGTGGGCGCTGAGCAGGAGCGCGTGCGCAGCGGGGGCGTGTTGGTGTAGCACTCGCCTTCCCCCACGTACGTGAGTCTCGTGAGCGAGTGCAACCAGTTCCGCTTGGAGCTCTTGCTGTCCGCCGTGAATATGACGCGCTCCCCGTTGGCCTTGATCACGTAGAACATGAGGCCGAACTGCGTGGGCAGCGAGGCCCCGAACAGCGCGAACTTCTTCTGCATGGACAGCGTCTGGCAGTCCTGCACGCGCAGCACCGTGAGCTGCGCCTTGAGCCCCGAGTTCCTGGCCGCGTGCGCCGCCGAGTTGAACATCTGCAGCCTGTGGCCGCGCAGCAGGCAGTAGTAGCGGCGGTGCTGGAAGAAGGGCGCGTTCACGGACAGGCTGAGGAAGCCCTGCTCCAGGATCGTGTCCTCCGGCTGGCCGGCGAAGCGCGACTCGCGGTGCACGAGCTGCTTGGCCAGCGTCTCCATCTCGCCCAGCTCCTCGGCCGAGTAGTGGTAGCAGGCCTTCTCCTCCTCGGAGCACACGGGGCGCTCGAACTCCTCCGCGTCCTGCTCCGTGAAGCGCACGCGGCGCTGCTTGGCGCTCGTGTCCTTGAGCCCCATGGCTTCAATGTAGGAGCTCCACTTGACGGCTAGAGGGGACTGCGACTTCTTGAGACTCGGGGCCAGAGGGGACACAGTGGCGGCGCGGCGAGCTACGGAGAGGCCGAAGGGCATGGAGAGGTGGCGGTTCTGCTGCTGCTGCTGCTGCTGTTGCTGTTGGTCCTCGCCCTGCTGCTTGTGGTCCTCGGGGGTCTGATCCTCGTCGCTGCTGTTGTGGCCGTGGCTCAGGTCGAGCCACTTCTTGAGGTGCGAGCGGCGCGACTCGCGGCGCTGGTTCTCGCACTCGAGGCGGCGCGCTTCTCGGATGAGGCGCATGGCGGACTGGGAGATGGAGGGCAGGTGGAGTGAAGAGGAGTGGAGTGGAGTGGGTGTGGATGGAGCTCAGGAGCTGCTGAGCTTCTACCGGTAGGCTGCGTGCGATTGGCGACTGCGACGCCCGGGCGAGTTGCGGAGAGATGCGGGCGGCGTCGTGTGCTCGCGCGTTTGACTGCGGGCGCGGCTTTGGATGATTCAACCGGCCGCACGCAAGGCGAGTGAGGCGAGTCGAAGGCGGGTGTGAGTGCGTGAGGCTTGCTTGTTGCTGCGCTGGACCAGTTGGCACTGTCGTGACGAAACGCCGAATGAGCTGTGGCCGCGAGCCGGCTGCTGTTGAAGAAGCCGGGGCATACAAACTCCAAGTGTCGCGTGGCTCTCCCAAGTCGGTTGAACTTTCTGCTAAGAGTGGGACGACGAGAGTGGGACGACGAGTCCCACTCTGATCCGAGCCCAGCAGCTCAAAGCCTCTGTCCCGAGCGAACTGCCCCGACAAGAAGGCACGAACATACATGTGTGTGGCTGCGGCCCCAGCTGCAGCAGGTGCTTGCTTGGGCTAACTGTAGATTGTAGTGCTGCAATCCCCTGCGTCGGGGATAACGTTGCTGCTTGGATACACTGCGGCCGTTGTGCAATGCTAGCCCTACCCGCGCCGTACCACGCAAATTTTGTCCAATAGGAGATGAGACATTACTTGAAAATCCGGCGCAATAGCGGCAAAATGAGGCGGGGCGCCATCGTGTTCGAAGCAAGCAGGAGGCCGCTGCGAACGCGGTTTCGCTTGGCACTTGCGGCAAGTGAGAGGCATGGATTCTAGTGGCGAGCGTGAAACCTTGGCCGGTGTTCTCACGGCACTTTGTGGAGAGCGTTTCAGTATGAAACTTTTCATGGCAGAAGCGATTTATGGCCAATCGCGGGCCGGTCAAAAATAGATGCACATGACTATGAGGATCAAGTGATGAATTTCAAGCCTCGGTCGAAGTGTGGGATACGAAGTCGTCGTTGTGTGGACGATCGCAAATAGCTCCGCAGGTGTAGAGCTTTCGTCTCCTGTGCTTTTAAAAAGGCAAGCACTAGCTTGGATAAGTTCTTGAATCAAGAGTCTTGATTCTCATTTTGCGGGTCATGAGCGCATCCCTTTCGTGTGTGACACACAAGAGCGGGCAACCATGCAGAAATACGCGTGGCACCACATGTCTCCGCTGGAATCAGGCCCATACAGGGGCCAAGTCAAAGCGGCCAACTTCAACATCTTGGCATCCCGTTAAACGCATCCATGTGCCTCACCCACCTTCAATTCTGAAGCTGTCAAGTGCTGATGCTCGTCCTGCCCCCCCCATCGACGTCTTACGGTAAGACTCTTACCGAGCAGCATTGCCACCACAGCCCGATGCCTTGCTGCTGCCAGCAAGGTACCGACGGCAATGCCATCCTGAGGTTCCAACTATGGATTCGCCTAGTGTCCATTGATGCCCAGCGTCTCTCTGCGAACGGTGTGCGCAGGATTGCAATGCACCACCAGCACGACTGTCGACTAATGGTAAAAGGTGCTGCTAGTTGCAGGGCATGACCAGTAGTGCGGTTGTTGCGCTGAGCTAAAGCCAAGGAGCACAGCTCCTCGTAGTAGTGGTCACTCGCTAGTCGTCATTGGCAACGCCAACGAGCTTTCGAGCCTCGAACACGTGACTTCTTAACTTTGTTTGTTACATGTATTCGACAAAGGCGTTGGCGTAGGACGTGTAGCTATCTATCTGCTGGTGTCTAATGTTTTCCACTAATCTGCTGCACCCAGCGGTTTGATATATCTCGCTGCGGCACGATTCACCAGATCATTGAAACCTCGATTGCCCGTTTGGCGTCTCCTTCCACAGATCGCCTGGTCTCGACGTCCTATCCGGATAGGTACGAATCGCTGGCTGCAACATACTTAGTATTTTGAAATATATCTACACCGTCTCGCTAGCTGATGATTTCGCGTGCGAATTTGACCCTCAGACGGCAGCGCAGCTCGGCAAGTTGGGCAGGAAGCAACTGCCATTGAAAAGGGGCGAAGCTGTGTGTAGGGACACAACTAGCGACTACGAGCATCTGGAGAGACGACGACGAACTCTCGTACTGGACCCCTGCGTGCCACGACTTCCCCAACATCGACAGCACAGTGAAGCTCGAGTCTCCGGCTGGACCGAAGACGAGCAACGTGGCGTATCTCCTTAGCATCTCCTCGGTGAGAGACGCCAACGACCAGGAGCTGATGAACCTGAACAACATTTTCTTCCCGGATCATGTCGTGGAAGCCGAGCCGCCGATGTTCGTGGCGCTTTGTTCCGATTTCGCTTCGTGTCAAGAGTTTGTGCTCACGTCTGCACCCGAAATTGCTCCCGCGCGGCGTGCCCAGGTCGATTCGAGTGTTTGTGGAGTACAGCTTTGATTCTAAGGTGTTTTGATCATGCATGGACATTTAGTACCATGCTTTGCCATTCTTGTTGAAGTGCCCATTTTCGAATAATTTTGTCGAATCATATTTGAATTTGGGCCAGCGCGCCCATTTTTGTCAATATGGCAGCTCCGCCGCCGCCACCCGCCGAGCTGGAGCCTCCTCTGGGGCCGGTGGTGGTGAGCCACGTGAACGCCGGCGTGGAGTTCATCGACGACCTGGTGCGCACGTGCATGCGCCCCATTTCTCGTACCAAATGTACCCATTTTTGATGCTCTCTGTTCAGGCCAGCGACGACGAGCGCGATGAGCTCGTGGAGCAGCTGAATCTGCACGGCAACTCGATCCAGTGCATGGACGGCCTCGAGGCCTTCACGGGGTATGGGCGACTGGGGTACAGACTATATGGGGCTGTGTACTGATGACTGGCTGCTGCTCTGTAGCCTCGTGGAGCTCTGTCTGTCGAGCAATTGCATCGAGGAGGTGGCGTTCCATGCGCTGCAGCCGTTGGTGCACCTCCGCGTGCTGGATCTGTCGGCCAACAGGTTAGTTAGATTTACTCAATCATAATTATTCTGCTGTGGAGAGGCTGACTGCGTTGGTGTTGCTGTTGCTGTTGGTGCAGCATTTCGTCGACGCTTGGGTTCCCGCAGCTGCCGCGGCTGGAGGAGCTGTCCATGGCCCATAATTGGTGAGTCGGGGGTGCTACTCCAAGTCTTTATGATTCATACATTGAACTGTGTTTTCTTGTAGTTTGAGTGGCTTGGAAGGTCTGACGAGGCCAGTCAAGTTCCCAAAGTTGCGGTACATGGACCTCCGAGGGAACGAGATCGCGGAGTTTAACAATTTGATCTCTCTGCAGCGTTTGAAGGTGTTTTGCTTTTCCCTAGGTGCTAGCTTAAAGTTTTATTTTTTGGCTCATTGTGGATGTGGATTTGGCCAGCGGCTTTCGCATATTCGGCTTCAAGCGGCTAATGGCGACCAGGCGAACCCAGTCTGCGATCTGGACGACTACCACCACGTCATTATCAAGGTGAGGTAGGCGGATGAATCGCGTGAAAAGGTCGGTTTGCTGTTCCAATTAATATTCGCTGCTGTTTGTTGCACTTGTAGATGCTGCCGAGACTGGAGTTGCTGGACGAAGAGGAAGTAGAGTTCTTGAAGGAGATGGGGAGTCTGCACATGCCAAAGTACCGCTCACTCATGCGGCGAATTGCCGAGAATAAGCGCAACGAACAGCATCCAAGGAGAAGCCCTCAAAGCATGAAGCAACTGCCAGCTACTCCGGAACACCACGGACGCGACGGAGCACGACATCCGAGCAATCAACTCCACCATGGCCAGTTCCGTGCGTCACCTCCAAGGATTCAGACTGATTTTGGTGTGACTGGCGAACCGAAGAAAGCACCAACGCTCTCTCCTCCTGGAAACCAATCACTTGAGCCAACTCAGGACGACGTCGAAGAAGCTAAGCAGCAGTCACGGCAGCGGCTCGTCGTGAAGGATAGCGGCACCAACACCGACGTGGATCTGGAGAAAGATGTCCTCAAACGCGAGCAGGCTGTCGCTGCCAAAGAAACCGAGTTTCTCGAAAAGGAGAAGTCTTTCCTCTTCAAGGAGAACGAGTTCTACACCAAGGAACAGCGGTTCAAGTCGCAGATTGCCGATCTCCAGGAACAACTGAGCGCTGCTGAGTCTCGAGCGGTCAAAGCTGAAGCGACTGTGCTGGAAATGTCCAACCACCTGATGCAGAAAGAAAAGGATCAAGCGGCTGCGACTGCTGCATCCGACGAATCGGCCCACGCCATCCAGCAGTCCCAAAGTGACCAGCAGAGCGAGTGGGAGGCCAAGATTTCAACACTAGAGTCTTCGCACCAGAGCGAATTGGAGAAGCTCAACACCGACAAGGCCGATCTACTGAAAAGAATCACTTCGTTGGAGACAGACGCCGCTACTAATACCCAGAAACTCCATGAAGCTGAGCAGCTATTGCAGCAGAAGTTGATCGCACTGGAGAAAAGTGAGACCAAGGAGGATGAAGCAGTTGGAGAGCTGGAGCTTGCTCGCAAAACCCATGAAGCAATTGTCACTCAGCTATCCGATGAGGTAAAGTACCACAAAGACCACTCGGAACAAGCTGATAAGCGGAATACTCAGTTGGAGAGGCAAGTCGCGGAGCTGAAAGCCAACGTCGAGACCGTGTACAACAAATGCATCGAGAAGGATGACGCGATTCAACAGCTGAAGAAGAATCTATCCGCTAGACAGGACGAGATTGAGACGCTGAGGTTGCAACACGTGAAAGATTCCGAGCGCCAAGACAAACTGCAGCAGCAACAGCAGGATCTGTACGAAAGACAGCTGCAAGCTTCCATCATCCAGGTGGAGATGGAGTTTCGCAAGGAGTATCAACAATCAGTGCAGAAGTTTCAGCTGTTGCAGCGCAAGAACCAGGAGCGGTTAAAGGATGTCAAGAGGGTCCGGGAGGCGTATCAAGCTAGTCTCCAGCGTGAGGCTGCGGCCAAGGCAGAGGTCGACAAACTCCAGGCAATACTCGCAGACGACAAGCAGAAGCTTTTCGTGGAAGATGCCAAGCGCTCGGACGCCTTCAAAGCTGAGATTCGTGCGGAGAGAGCGAAGCGCAAAGATCTGGAGCGAAAGCTCGTTGAAGAGCAGCAGAAGAATGCTCAAGTGGCTACATTGCAGGCAGAGCTCGATGAGAGACATGTTGAAAACTGCAAGCTTCGGGAGGAGGTTAAAGTGTGTGGAGAACAACAGGAGTCCTGGAAGAAGCTGGAGGACGATCTACGAGCTGCGCTGAAAGTAAAGGACGTCATGCTCGCGGACCAGCTACGGCAGATTCAGGAGCTGAGCAGCGAACGGCAACAAACCGAAGCGCAATTCAATAACGAAATGAACGAATACCAGACACAAATCGAAGACTTGGAAGCCGCGCTCGACGAGAGTCTTCAGAAGGCTGCAGAGGAGGAAGTGAAGGCGGAGGCGCTGAGTACCAAGCTCGCAGCGTTGGAGAAGGAGGCGCCAAAGAAGGACGAGGAGCTGAGCTCCCTTCGAGCTGAGCTGGAGCAGAAAGTGTCGGCGTTGGAGTTTCTTGATCAGGAGATGCAGCGCATGAGAACAGTTCTCGAAAAGCAGGACGAGCTGTTCCAGAAGCGCATGCAGAAACACCTCGAGCAGCAACGTGAAGAGGTGGAACGTGTCCGGGTTGGAGCAGAGGAGGAGAGGGAGCATCAGCTCCACGGATGGGAGGCTGAGCGTGGTGGAATGATGCACAAGTACGAGATGCTGGCTACCGAGATGGAAAGCGTAGCGGCACAGAACGGCAAGTTGCGGGCGGCTCTGGACCAAGAGCGCCGCAAAAATGCCCAAAACGACCGGGATATGCGGATTTTGCTGGCACAGGTACGACGCCAGCTATTATTCGACTGGTTCTTTTGAGATTGTTGCTGACACCGTTCATTTTACTGCGTGTACTGACTGAACAGATCGACCGCGAGCGTCAATCCAAGAAAGAAAACCTGCGGCAGATCAAGTCTCTATTCGAGCAGTTGCAGAGAGAAGCGTCGTAGTTTTGTAAGGTATCTGTATGTGTTAGTATTTAGACGGTGTGAATTAGAACGAGTCCTCGTCACTGCCGTCCTCTGAAAAGTACTCCAGCTCCTCGGACTGAACGTCCTCCTCGCTCACATCCGACTCGCTTCTCAACGCCCTTGTCCTCTTCGCATCCTCCTCTCGTTCAGCTTCGGCGTCGCTCTGTTCGTCCTCCTTTTCAGCTTCTGAAGCGGCAGCCGGTGGGGAAGTATCCTCACCGTAATCACTTTCATGTTCCGAACCACTAAGTTCATCATGGCTACCTGGTTTATCTATCGGCGGAGGTGCTTCCTCTTCTCCATCTTCTTCGTCTCCACTGCCATGAGATACAAACGCACCGCGGTTCGGATTCTCCTCTAACGTCGTCGACACCACCGGAGGTGTCGGTTCTTCACGCTCGTCCGACCGCGACGCCTCAGCCGCCGAGTTCCCCACCACGCTCTCCTCCATCACTGATTCCTCCATCAAACTCTCCTCCAGCTCACTCTCGGACGCTGCGCCCTCTCTCCGTTCGCTCTCAACCTCTCGTGCTATCGATATCGGCACGGGCGAAGGTTGTCGGACTTCCGCTTCGAAGCTCGTCGGTTGATCCGGCGGAAGGTTCTCCACCAGTCGGTCCAGCAGCCGCTTCAACTGCGTCTCGCTCACGATTCCTGGCGCCAAGAAGCGGCCGTTGTCCTGCTGCAGTTGGCGCGTGATCTGCTGCGTCTCCGACGTCCGCGTGAGCATCGGCAGCTCCACCACATGCAGCTTCAGCTTCCGGGTGGGTACTGGAGCACTGTCCCCATCTCGATACACATAGAGGGACGAAGAGCTCTGGCCCGTTGCATCCACGACGCCTTTGAGATCGTCCTCGTACTCGAGCGCCAGCGTCGGGATCGGCGCGTACTTGAGCCCGAAGCGCGTGGGCACGATCATACCAAGTCGCAGGTTGAAGAGGCTCCGCGTCGTTTCGCGATCTCATGGGGTTACAGTAGGGTTACACTCACGTAACCTCTTCCTGCTCGACCCAGCAGCGCACAGACCGACCAGGTCTGTTGCACTGACAAGTGTGACTATTTCTGGTCTCCTATACACTGGGCAGTGTTGCTCCAGCGCTGGATGGAGACCCGACACCTCGGCGTTTAGTTGTGCGCGGGCATCAACAAAGTGTAGCCATCTTGCGATGGCCGCGGTTCGACCCATCTCCCTGGAGCAGCGTAACCCTGGCGAGCAGCTTCGTAACCCGCTCCAGCCAGCCCTAAGTCCCAGCAGGAAGTTCGCCGACTCGGACTCGGACGACGACGGCGACGTAAGCTCGGGCTATAGCGACTCGGACTCTGAGTCGGAAGGGTCCTCCTCCGCCCCCGATTCGTCCTCCGAAGCGTCCAACTCATCGGCATCCTCACGTGCTTCGAGTGACCAGGAGGACGACTTCGACTCCGATTCCGACTCGGAATCCAATTCCTCGACTTCCGACCACGAAGACGACGACATCGGTGGACACTATTCGTCCGACGAAGGAATAGAAGGTGGACGCTCAGCTGAGACCGTCTACTTCCATCACCAACCAACTAAAACGCTGACTGAGAGCTTGGTGGACACTTTGGGGGACATGGCGCGCGCCGACAACCTGGGCTACATCGCGTGGCTCGTGCCCTTCACGGGCATCTGCACCATGCTGGGCACCGAGTTGCTGGCCTGCACGACCCACTTCAGCTGCTCGGAGAACTTCCCCACGCTCTCGTACGCCGCCACCTTCAAGCCGGAGGGGTACGCCTTCACGGGGGGCATGTGCCTCACCGCGCTCTTCATCTTCGCGTCGGTCGTGCTCTTCTTCTGGTACCTGCGTCTGCGCATGGCAGCGCAGAGGCACAAACTTGAAGACAAGAGGACTGAGAACTTGGCGGCGGGGTACGCGTGCCTGGTGTCCGGGGTTACGGCGGCGGTGTCGCTCTTCGGTCTGGCCGTCATGGACATGCGTAACCATCACGACGCGCACATCAACTTCACCATCGCCTTCTTCGTCGCGGCGTGGGCCACGATGATCGCCGTGCAGGTTGCCAGGAAGAGCGTCTTGCATGAGGATGAGACGGCAGGAGGGGACGGGAAATCCACAGCAGGCGCGACGGGACTTCTCGTTGTGCTGCGGAGGCGCTCCTTTTGGCTGTCTCTGCGTCGGTGGAGGCGGTTAGACTTCTTCACGGCGTACACTCTCGGCCGCCTGCTGCTGACTATTGGACTGGCGTCGACGTTCCTGTGTAAGTTTGTTGAGTTGTAGAAGCTTGTGGTGATGAGTTTGTTATTGATCGGTGCTTTGCATTTGTTTTAGTTGCGCTGTTTTTCCTGTGCGCCAACGGAGTGTGGCCGAACCCGCTGGGCTTTACCGCAGTGCAAGAGGCTTTCTTTGAGGCGCTTGCGATTGTGTGCCAGCTTCTCTTCATGGGGACGCTATCCTGTGAGCTGGCACGGCTAGCGCGCCTGGTTGAGCACAGCGACTACACGGAGCTGGAGAGAAGCGAGTAGAGATATAATACATGTCGTTTGATACACTGAACGAGTTGACTCACTTGCTTATTCATTAGATGCCAGCGGGTCGGGTGCTTACGCTTGCTGGTTCAGGTACTGGACGAAGAGGTCGCCAATGGTTGCGACAGAACACGGCCTCAACCGCGTGATCTTGATGTATTGACGGCGGTGGCGTCGAGTCTCAGCTGTAGACAGCGGTCTGGTAAGTCTGAGCTCATTGTTGACAGTATGCGGCGGGATACGCAGACCGTCAGCCACTCCGGCATCGCGCTGGTGAGCCAGCAAGGCGTCCACAACAGCGCTCGTGACCTCATCCAGCGCCTGGAGGAAACTCGTCTCTGCAGCAGGAGCCGCTTGCGTGGCCAGACCCGCCTTCACCGTCTTCCCAAAGCGAACAGCGTCCGTGATAGCGTCCAGGGGCACCCCCGTTCCGTCCGCAGAAAAGTCCTCAGGCGTCAAGCGGAACAGCGGACTGTCCCATCGGTTCTTCTCCACCGGCGCCTCAAATCGAGCTGCCAATTCCTCCAGCAACTTGGAGTCGATCCGCTCCTCCCGCGCCGCATTACGCTGCAAGGCCACCTCCACCGGAGTATCCACGTACACCTAACAATGAACACTCGCTTCAGTATAAAACAGTACTCACCCCAGTCATCAACCAACACCAACGGCTGACGCACCACGCAGTACGTCGTGCTCTCCGCTTTGGCCTTGCAGAAGAGTTCGTAGCGCTCCCCTTTCGTGTAGTTGAGCGCGTCCAGCACCACGATCGTCTGCGTGTTCACCACCTTCTCCACCGCCGCTTTCAACGCACTGCGAGTGTTCTTCTCCTCCCTGTTGTCTGCAATGCAATAGAGATGTATAGTGCACGGTTAGAACTTGTGTGGAACGCCTGTGCTCCACCCATTCCATTCCAAACGTCCACTTACCAGCATAGCCCTGCGACTTGTCCACATTGACAGTAGCAGGCGAGATGCACACGACCTCTTGCTCTGGAGACTGGCGCTGTAGATGGTCGACCAACGCAGTGGCGACTGTGCTCTTGCCAGCCGCAGGAATTCCGCACACCACGACGAGAGGCATGATGCTTGTCAATCGACCAAAAAACGCACTTTGGCTGTGTAGCCATCTGGCAGCATGGATGCAGCCATGTGTCAAGAGCACGTAGCCATATCTTGGACCAAAGTTGAAGTGATTTTTGCGTGTCGATACTGCTGATCTCGTGGGCTCAATTCTGTGAGGCTTCCGCGGCACGGCCAGCGTCACGGGCTGTAATTTTAGCTTGATCGCTATCATCGGCATCGAAACGGTCTGCTAGTGGACTTGTCTGCGTCTAGTGGTCACAATCGCCTACTGTATCGCTCCGAGGATTTTGGCTACCTCCACGACATGCCGAGCTCCACTGGCAGCGAGCTCAACATCCTGCTGCGTCATGTACCCAAGATCGTGGTCTCTCGCTTCCTGAACAACCCCGAGCGGCCTCGAGGGCCCGAGAGCTTCTCGTTCTTGGCTGCAGTGGCGCTCTTCGACATCTCCGGATTCTCCTCCCTCGGTAGCAGACTCAGCGAGGACGAGCGACGACAAAGCCGAGATACCCACAACAACAGCAGTAGCAACAGCACCTCATCGTCCTCATCTACTACCGCGCCTTCATCTCCATCTGTGGCGGCTCTAGGCCCAGCTCTAGGTAACAGACCACCTCTATCAAGCACCCCACGCAGCAGCAGCGGCTCAATACTCCACAATAACGACTCTCCAACGAAAGTATCCAAGTCTCGCAGTCCTACGGCTGGGAACATCTTCAGCTCCAGCTATCGAGAACTATCCAGACGAGAAGCATCATCACGACGAGAAGTATCCTCCAGACGAGAATCATCCATGAAGGCCGAGGATGAGAAAAGTTTTGAAGACGACGACGACGAGCTCAGTCCTAGCGATACGATACGGAGAAGACAAAGTGGCGCTCCGTACTCTTCGTCTTCATCTTCCAGTATGAATTTCGTCCACGGGCCTAAAACTTCCATTGCAACGCAAGGAATCGCCGTGGAGACGCTCACTACAGCGCTGAATAAAAGTCTGGAGCCGGTCATCGACGTCATCCTCAAACATGGAGGCGACATCATTAAATTCGCGGGTGATGCACTTATCGTAATGTGGGAGACTGAAGCTTCTCGAGGGAAAGTTACACCAAGTGGGGAATTGGTATATCGAGCGGTTTGCTGTGCGTTAGAAGCCTTACACGCCCTACAGGTGGCAGTCACTAGTGGAGGAAACGACAGCGAGAGTTCTCACTTACAGCTGCTTGGGATGCACGTGGGTATCGGAGTGAGCGACATGACGGGGAACCACGTTGGTGGGGTGCTCAACCGGTGGGAATTCTACCTCAGCGGCGACGCTAATCGCCAGATGAGCATCGCAGAGGAGAACGCTCGGAAGGGCCAGGTGGCGCTGTCGCCCGAGGCTTTTAATGCGCTGGAGTCACGGTTCGAATCTCTTCCTGAATTGGACGTGGTCTGCCACATTAGTGGGAATTATCTGGTGAACGAAGTACCGGGAGATTTCCCACCGTTTGAGCCCCATCGAGCGAGTTTCGTATCCCCGCAACTTGAGCCGACTGCAGACTTGGTCGGATTTCTTCGGTGCTACGTGCCTGGAGCGATTGTGTCCCACCTGCAAAAGGGGCTCACCCTCAGTCCGTGTCGATTGAATGTTACTGTCGCGTTTGTAAAACTGGAGGGCGTGATTGAGATTAAGGACGAGCAGAAACAGCTGCAGACGATTCATCAGAACTTGTGCACGATTCAAGAGTGCGCGTACAAGGCTCAGGGAATGTTGCGGCAATTTGTTATCGACGACAAAGGCGCTATCGCCATTGTTGCTATCGGACTGCCGCCATTTTTTCACGAAAACAACTGTAAGTTTTTGCTATTGAATCCAATAGTTGTGCATGAAATCCAACATTTCCCATGCTTGATAGGCTTCCGCGGCATCAAGTTTGCGTCCTACGTCCTGGAAAGTGGTGTTAAGGCGTCGATTGGGTACGTTTATTATGTTTTTAGTCCAAGCGAACTTGTACTGACGGTGTATTTGCCCATCGTGGATAGTGTAACTACCGGTTCTGTTTTTTGCGGCTCCGTTGGCAGCAATGCCCGTGCCGAATTCGCCGTCGTAGGCGACTCAATCAACTTGGCTGCGAGGTTGATGGCAGCAGCTCCTGTGGGGGAGATTTACTGCGACGATCGGACGCACAAAGAGACCAAAGACTCGGTGCATTTTCGAGATGCGATCGAGATGATAGTGAAAGGGAAGACCGAGCCCATTCAGGTTTTCCCCGTCCAGCAATACTCGCAAGCCGAAGTATTTGCGACCGATCTACCAGACACGGCCTATCCTGCACCCTACCGGTGTAGCAACATTCTGGACGCAGTGCCGCTCTTTGGTTCCGTGCCCAAGTCCAACATCAGTGAATCAAATGCACTGCACCGAGCGCTAGTCGTGTACGGCGACAGCGGTACGGGCAAAACCATGCTCATCAACCACGTCGTGCAGCGCCATTCACTCCGATGCTTCAGGGGATGCGGCGATAGTGTGGACACGGCTGTGGATTTCCACGCTTGGCGAGGTATCGCTAAAGTTATGGCAACAATCATGGTGAAAGCCTCGCAACGCAAGGTTTCAATACCGACAATCGATGCAGCGGGGATCAATCGCGATAGTTCCTTCACTACTGAAGACCCCACGGCTCTCGATCCTGTCAAAAGCAGCAACTTGACAGTACATCGACCCAGCCAGCACGGACGACCTTCGCGGGCCAGCACCCTGACAACTCATGACGAGAACAACGACGATCCTGAGGGAGAAGTCGATCTGGATAGCAGCTTTGCCCGGCGTATAGTCGATAACGGCAAACCTAGTGTTGTGGAGGCGGCATCCCCGAATGGTCTGCGAGTTACAGCGCTGGAATACTTGGTTCTGCACCAGCAAGTCACGAAAGAGACGCTGAAAAAGCTGCGACACTGGTTCCCGTACGAAGACCCGACGATGACAGCGCCGACGGAATCAACTGCGGAGAAGGGGGAAGGAGTGTTGAGGTCTTTCCGGCAAGTTTTGTTCTCTGTAATCGCAGTGGTGAGCGCGGCAAAGCCCATTATGCTGGTGTTTGACGACGCCCAGTGGATGGATAACCGAAGCTTGGGGCTGGTACTCAAGGTGCTTGAAGAGTTGCCGAATGTTTACTTCTTGATCACTGTTCGGGGGATATCCAAGCATACCGCTAGCGCCAGATCGATGCTGCTCGCTCTGGTCATGAGTCTGCCGACTGTGGACACGCGTCAGATGGACTGCTTCACGTACCAGGAGACGAGTCTCTTCTTGTGCCAGCAGTACCATATCACCATCATGGATACCCACGTGCTGGACTTTGTGTTCGAACGCACGGAAGGGAACCCGGGGTCGCTGATCAAGCTGTTGAACTTCATGCTGGACGCGAAGTACGTCGCCATCCAGCCAGAGAGCAACAACATCGTGATTCTCAAAGATCTGGACGAAATGGATACACTGGTGCCGCAGCACATTCGAGCGCGGGTCATGTCGATCGTCGATTCACTGGACGCACTCGCCCAGACAGCGTTAAAGCTGCTCAGTATCAATCCACAACCAAGCGAAGAGAGGACGGTCAACGGCGTACTGACGCTCCTGTCGACAATTCATAAGGACGGGAGCATGAGCGAGGCTAGCGGCATTGGAATTGGCCTCAAAGTTCCACGTCCAACGTCGGAAGTCTCGCTGCTTCGTCAAGTGCGTGAAAGCCTCATCCCGTGCGAGAAAGCGCTGCTGACGATCGACCCGCACAACAAACTGTACTTCTTCAACACGGAAGAGATGCGTCTTGTGGTCTACGACACGATGCTACCCTCCCAGCGTAAAGTTCTCCACGGTTTGTACGCCGAGTGGCTCAGATACGCAGCCACTAAGTCCGGTCGAGACTCGATCGCTCCCCCCTCCCTTGCGACGGGCTCCACGACGTCCGAAGCGAACTTGACGACCGCAGCGGAGAGCCCCAACGCTCCATCCACTATCCGTCCAATGCCGTACCAGCAGTACGCTCTGCTCGGCTACCATCTTTCCCAGTCCGACAACCCGAAAGAAGCGTTGGAGGCCTATTACCTCGCAGCGGAGGGAGGGATGGAAGCCAAAGAGCTGGGCTTTGCGGAGGAATGCATGCACATGTCCAACAAGATCGTCAACACCCACCCTCGAATCAAAGACCTGTGTGAGCTGGATATAATCTTGCTCCGGAGCCGTATCGAGTTCATCCGCGGCACCATCGCAGTCGAGACCAACGACTTGACTCTAGCCGTCACCCACATGGCCTACGTCACCAGGCTGTTTAACCGCAAGGGCAGCGTCCTGCGCCACTACACCAACAACGTCCAGCGCGAGGGGCTCCCGAGACGCTCCTCCCTCAGCTTCACCGGTAGTCGTCGTACAAGTTTCCCCATGTCCACAACAGTTGAGCCCGTCCCGTCAACGAAAAAGTGTCTCAGTTTGCTGTCCAAGTCGAAAGGCCTGGAGACCATTCAAGCTCGATGTATGCCTCGCTTGTTCACGTTCAACAGTATTTTCCCGTCCGGTCTGCGAGCCGCTGGCCCACAGGGGCGACAGGGTCTGAGGAAGATGTCGACACGCCCCAAGTCGAATCGGATCCAGGCCGAGCAAACGCTGGAAGCTCTGGACCAGATCAACTTCTTCAGGCGAAAAGCATCAGCCCTCATCAAGCAGATCAACTACGCCAAGAGGAAGGAGGAGGAAATGCACCGCCACATCCAGAAGTTTGCCCAGCGAAGCCTGCAAACGAAAGACAAGCGTTGACAACAATTTTGAATCGTCTTGGTCCGCGACAGAACTGTATCAATGTAAATATGACGTACAGCGGATCAATACTCCTAAAAACTTGAAAATTATTGAGTGTTAGTAGGAAGCGGGAAGCGAGCGATCTGGGTACCGGTTCCAAGCTAACCAAAAATGAATGCTTGATATACACCACTTACACTGTCGCCCTAGCTTTCCAGCTGGAGCAGATCCATGATAGCACCAATTTTGCTCTTGTACTCGAGGTGTCCACCGATAATCTCCGACAGATCCACGTTCTCAACGCCAGCAATGTCGATTGGAGCGATGCCAGCCGAGTTCAGTGCCCAGCCCTGGTACCGGTACATGATCCCCAGCATCCAATCCTTCTCGGAGTACCCGTTGATAAGCCTCCCAGAGACCACGCGACGCGCGTTGGTCCAATCGTCTCGTGCCAAGGGGACGGGGGATCCGAGCAACACTGCGTTTTCCACAATTCCGCACGCCTCGTCCAGCGACTCGCTCTTGGCGAGCTCCTTCAGGCACGAGAAGATCAATCTGGCACCCATACCATAGCCGATCAACGTAACAGGACGCAGGCCCTGCTCGCGCTGGCGCAGTGCATCCGCCAGTAATTTCCCCGAAGCGTCTGCAGCGTTCATGGTAACTGTCCACGCGTTGTCGATGATGTCTGCTAGGCGAAAGATGACTCGCGGGATCGCCACCGCAGCGAATAAAGCCGCGAGGGCCGTGTACTTGACGAGCTCAGTCGTTGCGTATTGTGAAACTTGCTCGGCCGCAAACGTGCGCATGGACTTGCCAAAGCGTCGAAGCCCTGCTTCCTCCCACGCGAGGCAGTACTGGTCACCCTGAGGGAAGCGGTCCTTCCATCGCCACGCGCGCAGCGGCTCGTGTTTGGTCCCCAGCTCCCACACTGAGCCGCCACTGCCACTGCTCGTCCTTGCGGTAGACGTAGTGCTGGAAATCGCGTTCGAGTCGCTGTTCAAACTCGTAAAGTCGCTGTATCGTGCATCTTGGTCTGCTATGGACATCCGCGACAGATCTGCAATACCCAACGGGTCGTTGTCGGGGCTGCCCGCTTCAATGCCGTATTTGCGTCGCAAGATCCCGAAGAACTCGTCCTCCCGTCCTTTATAGCGATCCATGACCTGGTCCACCTGGTCCACCTTCTCCGGGTTCCTCTGTCTGTAGAACGCGCGCAGGTACTCCCTGCTGTCCCCCCACGCTCGCCGGAATCCCCTCACAGGCGGGTCATCGTCATCCAGCCACCCAGACACGCAAATGTACACATTCATGCCGTCACCAGCCGACACGAGATCAAAGCTGAAGTCGTGAACTCCTCTCGTCCTCGTATCTGCCTTCATGCCCATCACACCGGCACCTGCAGTTCCAAACAGCACCGTCGTAGCAGTGACCCCCACCGTGGAGCCCACCGCCGCTCCAATCGTCACTCCAGCTCCTCCTAGTGCCGTCAAGCTCGCCGCAATGGCGGGGGCAGCCAGTCCGCCCGTCACAGCCAGCAACGCGCCTCCAGTCACCGCCGCCGCGCCGATCGCAGCGTTGCGCTTCCAGTCCCCCCAGAGCTTGGGCTTGGCCGCCACCTTGTCCAGCGGCATGGCCGTGGCCTCGGCGAACAGCGTCTGGCCGATCTCGACCTCCTCGCGGGTGACGTCCCCCCAGTGCAGCTGCATGGCCAGCACCAGTCGGCGCAGCAGCGTGCGCGCGCGGGCGTCGTAGCCCACGCTCTTGACCGTGAACCACAGCAGCCGCTTGACCACTTCGAGGCGGAAGCGCTCGGTCGTGAGCAGCTCCGCCTCGAAGGGGGCGTCCATGGACCCATTATTACTACTACTATTGTTATTACTACTGCTCATAATGGGTCCATGTCTCGTCGTCTTCTGCTTGAGCTTCTTGGTCCAGCGCTTGAGCCCCCCGGCGGCTTCTCGGTCGGGCACGATAAGCGCCAGGAACGGGGCCGGGTCCAGCTCCTCCAGGGTGGCGCTCGAAGGCTGGTGCGCCCTCTGGGTCAGCTCCAGGGACCTGGAGGTCAGGATGGGCAGGTAGGCCTCGGTCTGGGCGCTCGAGAGCCCCACGAAGTGCTCGATGAGCAGCCGCAGGAAGGCCCTGGACCAGTTCAAGTCGCTCGAGCCGTCGGTGACCGCGGGCAGCAGACACGCGACCACGCCCGCCACGCCGCGCTTCTGCGACTCGGACAGGAAGTCCATGGCGAACTCGGAGGCGATCGACACGGCGCGCGCGCGGGGCTGAGCGGGCGGCGAGGAGGCGGCGCGGGAGCTGCGGGAGCTCGAGTGCCGGGCGAGCAGCTTCTTCATCTCAGTTTTGAGCTAGTCGTGAGATGGATACTTATGACTCATATAAGTTGACAATGGATAGCTAAATGAGATATAGTGGAGATGGGATACTTATGTGTGGAATATAGCTATTTAATGGGGTAAGTGAAGCCATGTGGGACTTAACTAGAGGTAAATCTTGAAGCGACGTGCGGTCACAGTCGGCGATGGGGGACAAAGGGTTCCTGGTGGATGCGGTGGCGCAGTTCGTGCAGGGCAGCGAGTGGCGCGATGCGGTGACGCACTTCCTGGAGTCGCACTACAAGCGGTTCCTGTCGGACCCGGAGGACGCCAAGCCGCAGGGGAAAGTGACGGGGTACTCGCTCGAGCAGTACGACTCGTTCATGGCGTTCAAGGACCGCGTGGAGCGGCTGCTAGAGAAGGTCGTGGGCGACCTGGGCTGCTCCGGGCAGGACCTGGTGGACGCCATCCAGGTGAACCTGAAGTACGAGTCGGCGCTGTCCACCGAGAAGAGGTTCTGTATCCAGACGCTGCTCACGTTCGACGACTACGACGCCTTCTGCTCGCGGATCAGCGAGTACGCGGCCGAGAAGCAAGGTGCAGTCAGTACTTGAGCACTTGAAGGTGGCGGAATGGCTGTTCGTTGACACTTTTTGCTGGAGGTTTAGTTGTCGGGTATGATGCTACCCCCAGTGGTAACGCCGAGATCTCCGAGTGGGCCCTGCAAGAGGCGATCGCGAGGTCGATCCTTGAAGCCCATGTAAGTGGCTACTCATGAGTCTTCGGGGTAGGAGGTTTGATGTAGGATGGTGTTAAATGCAGGCAAGAGGGCAGCTTGACGAGGCTGAAGCGAGCTGGCTGCCCTGGGCGGAAGCGTTCGTGCAAATGAGCCAGGCGGCCGCACCAGCTGACGTAGGCACCGCGGTGGAGGAGTACCCTGATCAAGGTGGGAAGAATTGCGGACTCGAGCTCGCGGATATATGAATACTGATGGCGGTTGTTGTGTATTTACAGCGAAGGGTGTGCCTGACGAAGCCAAAGCGGAAACAAAGGACGCTGCAGAAGATGACCCCGAGGAGAAGGGAGACGATCGAATGCACGAACTAGAGAAAATATTGATCCGAGAGGTGAGTATCAGAGGCTTTACAACAAATCATATTCGCTGCCGCGAATGTGTGATCTAACTACGGTTTCCCATGCTTGTTTTTCAATGGGTAGAGGTTCAAAGTGGACTTACTCGTCGCGCAGCGGATCGCGGATGCTAACGCCCAAATGAAGAAGCAAATGCTGAATCTTGCGGCAGAGGCTGTGGATCAAGACGAAAACACTGACGGCATGTCTACCGAGAAAGCCGCAGAAGAAGAGCTGGCAGGACTCTTTACGCAGATCGAAACGATCGGCGAGCGTTTAAAAGATGTAAAGTCTCGCTGCTTCAAATTCGAAAGCGTGACTCAGCAGCAAATGGACAACATGTAAGTGTGCCGTGGGTTTACGTCGATCGGTGATTCAAGCAGCTAACGACTGGTTTTGTTAGATATCTCTTTCTTAAGGAGAAAATTCACTACAAGCAGGACCTTGTGGCCCAGGAAAGAGACATATCGACCTTCATCTTCACGCAGATCCACGAGAAGGACGAAGCTCTCATCCCGCTGATGCTGGAGTGGCTGCTTCTCGAGTCGGAGCAGCTTCGAACGCAGAACCAGATCCAAGAACACCTCGCAGGTCCACGTGACGAAGGCTACTGGACGCAGGTATGGGATGAAACCTCTCAGGCGTTCTACTACGTCAATTCGGCGTCAAAGGAGAGCGTGTGGGAGCCTCCTTCTGTCGGATACTATGACATCAACCAGGAGTTCCAAGTCCCGGGTCTCGAAACCGAAGCTGGTCCAGCAGCGGATGCGTGGACGGCTGCTACCAATGAATCTGCTGAAGAAGTTCCTTACCCTGAGGCGGGTATAGCGGCCGACTCGAAAGCTTGGGAAGAACCGCCAGCACAAGATGCATCGGCTGAAGGTGACCTCCATAGTTCTGAGACCCGTACGGAAGAGAAGGCTCCAACGCTGGATCAAGCGTCATCTCAGCTGGACGCGACGTTCGAGCTTAAAATCGACCCGAACGCAACTGAAATGGTTCGATCGCTCGTCTTTATATGAATTGCTTCACGGTGCTAAAGGTTTGTTGGTTTGACTGTGTAGATCGAGATGGAAAGCGTCCTTGAGCGTATTTCGAGAGAGCACGAGCAGGAGCGCAAGCGCTTGGAGCTGGTGTTTGAGTTGGAGAAGGCTCGACAGAAGGAGGAGCTGCGCAAACGCAAAGAGAAGAAGCGTCGAGAGAAGCTGGCAAAGAAGCAGAGGCAGAAGGAAGAAGCTTTCCGCGACGAAGCTCCGAAGGAGGACGGACAGGCTTCAGCGCAGCCATTGCCAGCTCCTGTGACTTCGCGGAAGGCGGAGACAAAACCTGAAGAGAGATCGCCCCTGAGTATCAATGTACCCGGCCACGGTCGAGTCGACCTATCACACCTGCTGAGCGATGCACACGCTACTCGTCATCGGCAGATGAAGGGGATCACGCCTGCTCATGAGCGTGCTATGCTCAACCCGGCAACACTACGCTACCTCACGGAGCAAATGGTGATTAAGCAACCGGAGGTGTTAGGCCAGCAAGTTAGCCTACGCAAGGAGATTGTGCTAGACGAGTTTGCGGATGAAAAATAGGTTAACATTTACTGCTAGTATCTTGAGAAGAATGAGTTTACTCACGCTGATGCTCTTAGCGTTGGCAGTCAGTGACATATTTTTCTTTACCGAGCAGTATACCATAGAGCATGGTGCTTCAGCACCGTCCAACATGAAAAAGCTCAATCATTTCAGCATTAATGAATACACGCAGAATAGAGTTGGTCTCGATCGGACGTACACTTGGCGCAAAATGGGAGCGCTTTTTTCAAGGTGAGAGACGAAATGACCTCGTTGGATTTTGATGGGAACAGACGATCACGGGACGTCGTTATGCTGTAGTATGCAGTAGCGACAGCCAGAATTACACCCAAGTAAGTTGATCCAGTCCGTGTTTAGTAGTTTATCTCCATCCAGGTTTGCTGTAAGAGAAAAAAGTCGTACTCACGGTTTGGGTCCAACTCGGGTGTCCTAACTCCACTCGCTCCCTTACAGAATGAAGGGGATGATGGCTTTGCGACGCAGCTTCTTGTACTCGTCTCCGTACGTCTTGAAGTATCCGCGGTGTTTCTTGAGCGCCCAGTCGGCCATCTGCAGGAAGCCCACGACCGTGAACACGTAGCTGGCGGCCACCTGCGTGAAGAGCGAGAAGCCGACCCAGCCGAGCACCTCGAACGTGTAGTTGGGGCACGACACGAGCGCGAAGAGCGGGCCCTTGGGGATCGGGCGCAGCTTGGAGCCCTCGGCGGGGCGCATGTTGCGCAGCTGCACGTGCACGCACAGGTTGAGGAACTCGGACACGCCCATGAGCGCCAGGCCGGCCTTGACCTGCAGGTCCGACGTGGGGCCCGCGTACTGTGGGTGGCACAGCGGGTAGCCCACCACGGCGCCGAAGCTCCAGTAGTAGACGCAGTTCTTGAAGAGGTTGAAGAGCGGCATGGTGGGGCGGCTGAAGCGGTGCACGAAGAAGGTCTCGAGCTCGCGCTTGAGGAAGTGCAGCGACCAGGCGGCCACGCCCAGCAGCGCCGTGTGGCTCAGCGGCTGCGCGTTGGCGTCCGCGCCGTAGATGAAGGCGGGGCGCGCGGCGTAGCCCAGCACGAAGAGCAGCGGGCCCAGGTACTCGGCCACGAACACCGTGCGGTAGCCGATCTGCGGGCCCAGGTCGCGGAACACGAGCGTGCAGCCGCCCTTGACGCCGTAGTCCACCAGCAGCTTGGCGTCGTCCGTGAGCGCCACGAGCGAGCCGTCCGCGGCCTGCAGCTTGAGGCTCTGGCGGAAGCGCGACACGCGCGCGTGCTTCTCGAAGGCCGCCTTCAGCTGCGCCACCGTGGGGGCCGAGCCCGCCACCTGCACGGAGCCGTAGTCCTTGGCGCGCTTGCCGGCCTTGATCACCTTGACCTGCATCTTGAACTGGGGGTGGTTCTCGTCGGGGAATGAAAATGACACGCAAAGATCGGACGAGTGACGTAGGTGTCAATGAGTTTTGGGGTGTGTGGCCCTGGTGAAATGGTGCAGTCATTTCAAGAAATGTATCGGACTATTCGATGGACTATTTATTAAAAGCGCGGAAAGTTGCTGCATGCTCTCATTTACGAGTGCTGTAAGGGGTGGTGTATTGGTCCACTTGACACTCTACGTTTGCTTCGCTTTCTAGGGATAGTGGCAGCGAGTGCTGCCGCCCTGCTCTTTCGTTTGCTTCTTCAAATGACGCAAGCTTTCGAGCTTGACCCGGTATTCCGCTTCTGCCTGCTTCTCCAGGTACTTTGCCAGCGCCTTGTTGGTCTCCATCGCCGCATCACGCTCAGTGGCGCTGATACTATGATCTCTGCGGATGGTCTCACTGTAGGCTTTGACACTTTCGGCGGCGTGCTTTTTCTTCTGTTTAGACAAATATACGAGCATTGCATTGATTAGTGCATCGACACTCCCCCAGTAACGTCTCGTTGACTTACTGCGTTATGGTCGAGAACTTTACCCCCGTACTGAACCAGCAGCTTGGCGACGCTGAGAGACTTGACGTAGTGCATGGGCGAGCACGCAAACCGATCGTGACTGGAGGCGTCTGCACCGTGGCTAAGCAGGAGAAAAACAATGGGGCGGAAGTTGTTCGTGACCGCCAAGTGAAGAGGAGTGCAGCGGCCCTGTAACAGAGAGGTTTAGTGCGAAGGCATCCCATCATCACCTCTTTCTAACGCCCCACGCGCTCACCAGCATCGTCCGAAGCATCAAGTCTGCGTCCGTCTTCTGCAGCAAGAACTTGACAACCTCCATTTGTCCTCTTGCGCAGGCTTCATGAAGCAGGGACCTCCCGCTTTTGGAGTCTCGCGCATTGATGGCGAAACTTGGGTCATCCTGCAGCAGTTCTGCTAATGCATCCACGTCGCCCTCAATCACCAAGTCCAACGCTGAAGCTTGTGGCTGCAAGTCCTCCTCACTGCCCTCCTCAACACCATCTGCAGCAACCTTCTCCTTGTTCTCACTCGGGAACGCGAGCAAGTCATCCACCAGATCTGCGTATCCGTCCATTGCTTTGTTGAAGGCGTCGCTTCAATGCGCTCACACGTCGCATATTCCATGTCCACCACATAATATGGTGTTTTGACGATGTGCAAGCTAAAACAAATTGTGGCCATCGTCGCCGATGTTAATGATGATGCTGGCTCGACGACTTCAGCAGCTTCGCACTGGGTCACGACTCAATGTTGGAGCCATTCCCAACCTCCAAATTGCACGTGGCTTGGCTATCAAAAGTGACACGGAGGATTGGAGCGATTTTAACAGCGTCATCAAGGTGAAAAACGAGAAGTCTCCCATACTTCGCCGCAATGTCACGACTGGCTGACTGTGTGTTGAAATGGTTCTGCAGGAGCTTCGCAACATTTCGAGGGAGAACGAACTGGAGGGCGACATGCCCGACACTAAACTCCTGAAGGATCTGGGCTATGGGTCGCTGGTGATGGCCATTCGCAAGAAACACGGAGGCATGGTGGCTGTGGCGGCCAAAATGGGCACGCGCAAGGACGACCACGTCTTCGACGTGCACAAGAAGACGAGCGCTCGCGCCAAGCGCCGCCAGAAACGACAGGAGCGGATCAACATGCACGATTTCTATTGAATACACTTGAGGCACACTTACCTACCTAGATACTTTACGATTACAAAGAGGTGTGTTCACTGGGTCACGATCCACGAGCTGCCGCGGCTTGCTCTGCTCTCAAGAACTTTTCGAACACGCTTGTCGAGTGCCGAGACGTCGGTGTACAGCACTAGTCGGCCGATGCGGAGGACGTCACCTTTAATCCATGCACGGGCTAGAATTTTCGCGATTACTTCTTGCTCGACGCTTCCGCTGGTGCTGGATCGGAGGCCAGTGTCCTTGTCCTTCTTCAAACTGAAGACAGCGAAGCGCAACTCGCCTTTCGGGTACTTGGATTGAAAAGCCTGCTGCATCTCGACGAGCCAAGACCGCTCGAACACGTAGCCTCGTCGGCTCGACAGTGATATTGCCAGAGGCATTTTTACCAGCATTTCTTGATTTGATGTCTTCGCTAGATCGCTCAGCACTCCCTGCACCACCTCGCCAAAGCAAACTCCGAGCTCTCTGAATCGTACGCTGCAGGTTGAAGGCCCTTGAGAAGTATTAAAGTCCGTGGTCAGGAAGTCCAAGATCGCGTCGGGAGAACACCGAACGTCTTGGATGTCAATGTGAGCGAGATTTGGAGCGCGCCACAGAGCTGCAAGTCCTCGATCCGTGACGGTGTGAAAAGTCGATATGCCGCTTCCTTTTTTTACTGCGCTCGAGGACCCCAGCTCGCGGATTCTCAACGAACGAAGCTGCGGGCAATTGTCCGTCAAGGCCATGAAGAAATCGTCCTTGAATACGCCAGGGTCGATCATTTCGTCGATCTGCGGGTAAATCAGTGCGTCGCACGGCTGCAGGCGGTGAAGAACAACGTCCAAATGCTCCAGCGCCGGGCAACCTGACAAGAGTACATTCAACCCACCTGTGGAGTATTCGTGCCGTCGGATACGGAATGGTGCGCGCGTGTTGTACGTCAACTGCAGCCGCGTCAGCAGCGGTTTTGTTGTCTGACCGAACGGGAGGAAGAACTCATCAGAGAATGGCACCACAACCCAGCTGAACTCCCGCAGCGCGACGCACGACTTGCAGAACGTTTTCCAGACATCCCGCGAGACACACAAACTCTCATCACACGCAACCAGCCTCATTCCTTCATGATACGATCGTTTCCACCCATCCAAGTACTCCAAATTCGGACACAACCTCTGCACCGTCGACAAGAACTCGTTGGACGTTCCTTCTCGATCGAACTCGCTTCTTGACGGCACTGTCAGCTGTCTCAACCCTCCCGAAGCTTCGTTCCACCTCTGCAGCGCCGAGTACAGTCTCCAGAACACAAAGTCCATATTGTCCGCCACTGCATCTGCATACAGCCGGTCCTTCTTGGGCAGTATCAACGCCTCCAGGTGCTTGCAGTACGTCGACGCGGCATCCAGCAAGTCCCCCATCGCCAAATGATGCAGGGGCACCCCGCTCAAGTCCAACCGGAGAAGGTTGGGGCATAATTTGAGGGTATTCCTCCACTCCACCCACTGCGAGAGCTCAGCTGCTGCTGCTTCGGCTTGGTCGGGAGTCGGCGTCTGTCCCTGAGCGTCCAGGTCCCACCACAGAGCTCTCTTCTCGGCGGTGATGGCGATCCTCAAGTCCAGCAGCCTCTCACCCTTATTGCCACTTAATAGCTGCATAATGATCTCCTTTTCCTGCTCCTGTTCGTGGCCAGTAGTGAAGTTGAGAGTCAACACGCGCGTGGCTTCATGGTCCGCGCAGAATTCCGCGACGATATCGCGCCACGAGCGACAGACGCGCGCCAGACGCTGCAAGTTGATAGTGGACGGCTCGGTCAAGAGCGCGGCAAAGTCGGGGGCGCTGCGGCCCTCCACTTCATGCGGAATGAGCTCTGGCGCAGCCGCGAACGAGCAGATCTCCCGCTGCAGCGCTAATGGTAGCGACTCCATGGCAAATATCCGACTGAGACGAGTTTCAAGTTTTTGGAATGGCTTTATTGAAGTTCAGGGCCAATGAGAGGAGAGGAATACGCTGTTTATTTTATGAATTTTGGGAAAACATGACATGGCTACATCGACTTTGACTTGGTATCTGGGATCAAGTCTCTTTCGCTCCTCTCTCTCTCCTTGAACGCACTTGTTTCTAGCTGGCTTTGTGTTGATTTTAGGCTCGACAATCGTCAGCATTTGACGACCCAGTCGAAGGGCGTCGATATGGCGATATCTCCTCGGTAGAAAGTGCCCTCGATCACGTCCTGGTATTTCCAGTTGCTGGTGAACACTGCGAGTTTCGAGATAAAGAACTTGTCGCCGCCTTCCGCGACGTTGGTGGTACCCGGGTGAGGCTTCTCTTGCTCCATCGTGAGCTGGAATCGCAGGGTCGGGTGGTTGGATTCGAGTTGGTGTTGAATCTCTTGAAGTTGGTCTTCCCACTCTCGTGGGTCACAAGTTTTCGGCGTGAAGTCACGCAGATGGCCGATGTTCAGCAGCATCAGCGCGAAGGATTGATCTGAGAAGGTGCCAGCCGGCTTACCCGCCACGAGCTCCAGAAGTGGCAGGATGATCGAGTCGAAGTCCCGCATGACGCCGATCCTGACATTGCGCTGCTGGATGATCGACGACTTGCGCTGGATAAACGGGAACACTCCGGCGCCCGACGTGCTTGACAATGCTGCGATCGAGATATCCGAGAGATGGGTCATGCTCGCAAGCGACAACAGGCCTCGGTCGCTGACACATTCCAGAGCTTGCGGGCCAGCGTACCTACCGGCCTCCGCGAAGCTGAAGTGAGTCAGGTACTGCGCGGACTTGGACAACTGCTCTAGGAAGTCGTCGTCGAAGACGTCCAGGTCGATTCGATGCCGCGGATGCAGAAACACTTTGAATGATCGCAGAAATGGCAGGCCGCGCACCAGGGAGCAGAGCCCCGCTGACGAGTACGGACGAGTGGTATCGTCTAAAGCCGCGATCTCCGCTGCCGTCACCGCTTCAACTGGAACTGCGGCTTGGAGAGACCACGCACGTATCAACTGCTCTGCCAAATTGCTGCTCGTCGCCACGACTCGAACAGCTCCAGAAGACCGTTTTCTCCTGAGGAACGCGTCGGTAAAGTCAAAAGCGAGATCGGTAAGTCGGCACTTCCGCGTGGCGCCAAAGGGTTTGAAGAACGCATCGGCAAATGGGACCACGGCCCAGTTAAACTCGCGCAAGTCAGAACAGTTTGCGCAGAACTTCTCCCACACGTCGATAGACACTCGCCACTCTTCATCGCATAGCACAGCTCCCCATCCGTCGCTAACGTACGTGAGTTTCCAGCCGTCCAAGATTTCCACGTTCGGGCAAAATTTACTCACTGCAGTCAAGAACTGGTTCGATAACGCTGGGATATGTGGAATCACCAGTTGCCGCAGACCTCCACAATGGCCACGCATGAACCACCGCTCCAAAGCTGCTGTAAGATGCTTGACAAGAGCGACATCATCAATGTCATTCCGGTACGCGCCCACAATCTTCGGCGCGCGCTTGCTCCATCTCATCGGAAGCGGCAGTACGAGCGCCTTCATCTTCAAGCAGTACTGAGACGCCGCATCCAGCACTTTGCCGAGATCCCGCCGCGTAAGATACGCCATCTTGGAGACATCGAGGCGCTGCAAGTTCGGACAAGCACTGAGCAACGCTGGCCAGTCCACCACCTGCGTCATCTCGGCGCCGACTCGTCTGGTGGTGTGGCCGAAGAGTGCAACTCGGAGCTCAATCACTCGTGGACCAGCACTGGTCACGTGCTTCAGCATGGCTGTCTGCTGCTCCTCGGACTTGTGCGAGAGGTTGAGCTTGACGGTCCGCTGCTGGTACTGGGCCAGGATCTCGCCCAGCAGGTCGCGCCAATAGTGGCAGACCAGGCGCCACTCCGCTATTGTGGCCAGCGGCGTCTTGTCAGGCCGCGACAGTCGTCTCCACCCCCTGCGCTTCGTAGGCAGCACCTTGGCCTCCGACACGTTCTTGACGGCGAAGGACAGCACCAACTCCATCACGGCGCGAGGCAGCGTCGTCATGTCCAGCCGCGCGGCCACGCGTACGCTCGGTACATCGCAGAGCTTCGGCTTGGGTTGCCATCGAGCCTCCTCCGGAGCTTGGACGGCGGGCGGCGGCCGCTTGAGCGAGGGGCTCATGGCAGGGAGGAGCTACTCTACTGGTCGCATGTGGGCACTAACACTGGCGACGTCAAACAGTCGGATCTATGCACAGGTAGTCAGATTTGCCCCATCGACGAGCATAATAGAGTCAGATTGGGGCCTATGATATGGCATATATACACTTGAAGTGATCTAATATTTCGGGCTATAGTTATTGTGCCGAGGCGATGGAAGCAGAGCTCTCTAGCATGGACACTAGAATTTTATAAGACGAGATCAAACAGTGAGTTTCGAGCTGACCAACAGCATTCGGCCTTATTGTGAAATATAGACGTACCCTCCTTGGGAGCCTGCTCCTTCTTGCCGCCCTTGGCGTTGGCCGCGGGCTTCTCCTCCTCCTTGGCCTGCTGCTGCTACTGCTTCTTGTCCTTGCGGCCCATGGTGGTTGAAGAAGTGGTGAAGTGAAGTGGTTCTTTGAGACTTGGCTTGCGGTGCTTGAGGCGAAAACCAGAATGACCGAGAGGTGAAGCAACAAGGCAATTGCCTTGATCGCAGTCGTACAGCCGGTTGCAAGCACGAGCGTGAGGAGGTTGGTTTTTCTCGGACGGTTGGGAAACGGTTGCACTCGGTGCGGCGAGAAAATAACTTGCTTTGAGAATAGCGCAAGTTGAAGTGGGCTGCCCAATCGCCGCTTCCGTTTCGGTATCCGGCACCGAGCATTCAACTGCCCGCACCAGCCGAGGGTATCCTTGGCACCGAGACCGTTATACGAGTTCAAAAGAAGTCCCGCGCGCGTCTACGCATTGCCAGCGTCTAGACGTGCCTTGGAGCTAGCGTCTTAGCCAGTGAGCCAGCTGAACTAAGTACCGACTAAGACGAGGTACTGTAGTGAGAGCACCACTAGCCAGGCGGTGTTGAGCCCTACTGGTAATGGACAGAGAGCACTCTGCTTCTGCCCGTGCAAGCCGATGCCCAAGTAGCAACTGACGGCCAAGGTTTGTGTAATAGCTGCGACTGCCGACTGCTGTGGTAATATGCGGTTGTGCACTCTAAGACGCCTAGGTAGCACTACGGAGTCAGACCTGAAAGAGCCAAAACCATCCTGTTTATATTTTATGCTGCTTGTAGCAGTGTGGCTATTGTGTCGGATGGAGATGACTTGTTATCGCAACCGCGACATTGCAGCGGTGGATTACTTCTTGCCCTTCTTGCCGCCCTTCTGCTTCTCTGCTGCAGTGAGTTGGTTCATCACAAAGGAACGTGAGTGAGTGACTGGGATACAGTACAACGAGTCAAGGAAAAGCGTGTCTTCGGCGGGTTTCCTCACCTTCCTTCGGTGCCGGCTCCTTCTTGCCGCCCTTGGCGTTGGCCGCGGGCTTCTCCTCCTCCTTGGCCTGCTGCTGCTGCTGCTTCTTGTCCTTGCGGCCCATGCTTGCTGTAGAGGTTGTTCTTGGAGGCTTTGCTTGCGGTGCTTGAGGCGAGTTTCAGACTGAACGAGCCAAAGAAGAGCGAGCGCCGGCAGGATCCCAGTGTGCCGCAGCTGGCAGAGGTTTCATCGACGAGCTCTAAATTAGAAAACAGCTTCGGCTGTTGGAAGGCACCAGTCGAGGGCGTTTCAGTTGGAGAGGCAACTCGGTTGTACCAATCGGATATTCCTCAGCAACGTAGTCATTCAGTCAGATAATAACGGACTAGAATTGCGTTTAACGAAGGATCGATGTACTGCACAAGATTGCTACGCGGAAGGCTTGGTGCTGGCAGCTCAGGCACGCTTTTTAAATAAATGACCAATAACGAAGCGTTGAACGCCTACAGCTCGGAAGCAAGCATGTAGCTACGACAATTAACCAGACGATTTCAAGTAGCAATCAGTGGATCTCATTTGTTGCGGAGTTGGTGGGAGATACTTGAGACCCAGATCGCATCAATTGGTTACCAACCACATCGCTTAGGACGGTGTCCTACCGGCAGTCACTCTACCTACTACACCGATACGAGGCAGGATTCCACAGGCACTCGTGTCAATAGGAATATATTTAATTCATTTTGCCAAGGCCATCCGTGTTGATATTTTATGTTACTGGCTGCATGCTGCAGCTAATGAAGGGGATGGCAATGACTGGGCTGCAGGCGCGATTACTTCTTGCCCTTCTTGCCGCCCTTCTGCTTCTCTGTAGATGACAAAGCACAGAACGAAGATAATGAGTTTCCAAGCTCAAAAGAACAAAAACGCAGTTGGCACTAGTGGCTGGGTCGGGAGTGACAGAGCTGGACGTACCCTCCTTGGCGGGCTGCTCCTTGTTGCCGCCCTTGGCGTTACCGGCGTTCTTTTCGGCGGCAGGCTTCTGCTCCTCCTTGGCCTGCTGCTGCTTCTTGTCCTTGCGGCCCATGTTAGCTGGCGAGTGTGGTTCTTGACTTGAGGTGCTTGAGGCGAAATCCAGAATGAGAGAGAGAGGGAGCCAAAGAGATGCTCGATCTCCATCTCCAGCTTCCCTAGGTTCATCTTTAGACGGTTTTGTCTACCTGTTTTTGAAGGGGCGTCGCCGTTTGTTATACTTGGATTTAGTATGCGTGTTGTTGAAGTTGCAGTGACCCGCATCAGACGCGCAGGATCTCATGTCAAGTGCATGGCACCAGTTGCAAGAGAAGCCTCAGCCTCTTGCCCTTATCACGAAACGGACGCGTCGTCTGTGATCTGCCAGTGGCAATCGCACTTGCAGTTGTCGAGATCCATTTATAACCGTCCTATCTGGCTAGGTATCTTTGCCTTGTGAGTGTCTCTGCAGCCGCAGCGCTTGAGGATCTGTTCATTCTGACTTTCGCCTCAAGCACCGCAAGCCAAGTTCCCGAGCACCACCTCCTCGTCAACCATGGGCCGCAAGGACAAGAAACAGCAGCAGCAGCAGGCCAAGGAGGAGGAGAAGCCCGCTGCCAACGCCAAGGGCGGCAAGAAGGAGCAGGCTCCCAAGGAGGGTACGTCGAGCTGCTATCTCATGACAGATGCTAGAACTGAACTATCTCGCTGCGTTGATGTTGGTCAGCTCGAAACTCACTGTGTGCGTTGTGGTTTTGTTGCTACAGAGAAGCAGAAGGGCGGCAAGAAGGGCAAGAAGTAATTGAGCCTACGCGGTCATCGCTGTTCGACCCAGCCACTATTAGCATAAAATATCAACGGATAGCTTTGGCCATTAAATTCTGTGATTGTGGTGAGGGGTCATCTTGAGTGCAAACTGCGTTGCATGTTGCATATGCAAACTGCGTTGCAAACTGCGTTGCATGTTGTTTTGGGGTTCCTACTAGCAACAGTAAGTCGTACGGCCCAGTACTCTGCTTGGCAAACTTTGGCGACCTCTATCATCACACAGTAGAGCTTCAGCTCACTGTAAACTGCTGTACTGTAAATCCGCTCAAAAATCGTCTTCTTGGCACTCAAGATGACCCCTCACCACAATCACAGAATTTAATGGCCAAAGCTATCCGTTGATATTTTATGCTAATAGTGGCTGGGTCGAACAGCGATGACCGCGTAGGCTCAATTACTTCTTGCCCTTCTTGCCGCCCTTCTGCTTCTCTGTAGCAACAAAACCACAACGCACACAGTGAGTTTCGAGCTGACCAACATCAACGCAGCGAGATAGTTCAGTTCTAGCATCTGTCATGAGATAGCAGCTCGACGTACCCTCCTTGGGAGCCTGCTCCTTCTTGCCGCCCTTGGCGTTGGCAGCGGGCTTCTCCTCCTCCTTGGCCTGCTGCTGCTGCTGTTTCTTGTCCTTGCGGCCCATGGTTGACGAGGAGGTGGTGCTCGGAAACTTGGCTTGCGGTGCTTGAGGCGAAAGTCAGAATGAACAGATCCTCAAGCGCTGCGGCTGCAGAGACACTCACAAGGCAAAGATACCTAGCCAGATAGGACGGTTATAAATGGATCTCGACAACTGCAAGTGCGATTGCCACTGGCAGATCACAGACGACGCGTCCGTTTCGTGATAAGGGCAAGAGGCTGAGGCTTCTCTTGCAACTGGTGCCATGCACTTGACATGAGATCCTGCGCGTCTGATGCGGGTCACTGCAACTTCAACAACACGCATACTAAATCCAAGTATAACAAACGGCGACGCCCCTTCAAAAACAGGTAGACAAAACCGTCTAAAGATGAACCTAGGGAAGCTGGAGATGGAGATCGAGCATCTCTTTGGCTCCCTCTCTCTCTCATTCTGGATTTCGCCTCAAGCACCTCAAGTCAAGAACCACACTCGCCAGCTAACATGGGCCGCAAGGACAAGAAGCAGCAGCAGGCCAAGGAGGAGCAGAAGCCTGCCGCCGAAAAGAACGCCGGTAACGCCAAGGGCGGCAACAAGGAGCAGCCCGCCAAGGAGGGTACGTCCAGCTCTGTCACTCCCGACCCAGCCACTAGTGCCAACTGCGTTTTTGTTCTTTTGAGCTTGGAAACTCATTATCTTCGTTCTGTGCTTTGTCATCTACAGAGAAGCAGAAGGGCGGCAAGAAGGGCAAGAAGTAATCGCGCCTGCAGCCCAGTCATTGCCATCCCCTTCATTAGCTGCAGCATGCAGCCAGTAACATAAAATATCAACACGGATGGCCTTGGCAAAATGAATTAAATATATTCCTATTGACACGAGTGCCTGTGGAATCCTGCCTCGTATCGGTGTAGTAGGTAGAGTGACTGCCGGTAGGACACCGTCCTAAGCGATGTGGTTGGTAACCAATTGATGCGATCTGGGTCTCAAGTATCTCCCACCAACTCCGCAACAAATGAGATCCACTGATTGCTACTTGAAATCGTCTGGTTAATTGTCGTAGCTACATGCTTGCTTCCGAGCTGTAGGCGTTCAACGCTTCGTTATTGGTCATTTATTTAAAAAGCGTGCCTGAGCTGCCAGCACCAAGCCTTCCGCGTAGCAATCTTGTGCAGTACATCGATCCTTCGTTAAACGCAATTCTAGTCCGTTATTATCTGACTGAATGACTACGTTGCTGAGGAATATCCGATTGGTACAACCGAGTTGCCTCTCCAACTGAAACGCCCTCGACTGGTGCCTTCCAACAGCCGAAGCTGTTTTCTAATTTAGAGCTCGTCGATGAAACCTCTGCCAGCTGCGGCACACTGGGATCCTGCCGGCGCTCGCTCTTCTTTGGCTCGTTCAGTCTGAAACTCGCCTCAAGCACCGCAAGCAAAGCCTCCAAGAACAACCTCTACAGCAAGCATGGGCCGCAAGGACAAGAAGCAGCAGCAGCAGCAGGCCAAGGAGGAGGAGAAGCCCGCGGCCAACGCCAAGGGCGGCAAGAAGGAGCCGGCACCGAAGGAAGGTGAGGAAACCCGCCGAAGACACGCTTTTCCTTGACTCGTTGTACTGTATCCCAGTCACTCACTCACGTTCCTTTGTGATGAACCAACTCACTGCAGCAGAGAAGCAGAAGGGCGGCAAGAAGGGCAAGAAGTAATCCACCGCTGCAATGTCGCGGTTGCGATAACAAGTCATCTCCATCCGACACAATAGCCACACTGCTACAAGCAGCATAAAATATAAACAGGATGGTTTTGGCTCTTTCAGGTCTGACTCCGTAGTGCTACCTAGGCGTCTTAGAGTGCACAACCGCATATTACCACAGCAGTCGGCAGTCGCAGCTATTACACAAACCTTGGCCGTCAGTTGCTACTTGGGCATCGGCTTGCACGGGCAGAAGCAGAGTGCTCTCTGTCCATTACCAGTAGGGCTCAACACCGCCTGGCTAGTGGTGCTCTCACTACAGTACCTCGTCTTAGTCGGTACTTAGTTCAGCTGGCTCACTGGCTAAGACGCTAGCTCCAAGGCACGTCTAGACGCTGGCAATGCGTAGACGCGCGCGGGACTTCTTTTGAACTCGTATAACGGTCTCGGTGCCAAGGATACCCTCGGCTGGTGCGGGCAGTTGAATGCTCGGTGCCAGATACCGAAACGGAAGCAGCCCGCTTCACAAGCCTGGAACGAACCGAACACGAACACGACTTCCCCCGATTTGTCGCGAACCGATAAAACCTCGCGAACCAGGTTCACGAGGTTTTACAGGTTCATTTGCCGTCGTTCCTATGCGAAGGAACCACTGAAACGGCCCAAATGCGTTCGTTTATTGGCATTGTGGTTGGATAAAATTCTTTGCTATTGAAACTACTCAGTGCGGCTTTTTGCGAGCATCAAACCACGCCCTTCCTTCACCACGATGTACGCCCTTGCTCCTTTCGACGGATCTCAGCATAGTGAGGACCACCATCCCGGCACGATGGACCAGCTGACTCATCTTCATCGTCGCCGCCAAGTCACCCTTCAAGAGGACTTTGTCCAAGTCAATGGGAAGCCTGAGGAGCTCTGCAGCATCCGCCATGACGCCGAGCAACAAGCGCTAGCTATCGTTGAACATCGCGTCGATCCGATTGTTGCAAGCACAAGATACGAGTTCGAGCACGCCGCAGCCTTGATGGAGCAAAAAATGCAGCTTCGCCTTGAGGAGAGTTTTAGAGCGTCTCACGCGGCAGCACAATCGACAGTGTGCGATGCTGTTCAAGCGATCTCTGGTCGCGTAGACTCAGCGGAGGCCATCCTCGTTGAAGCTCGCGCTCGTCTGGATGAGGCTCTCGATATTCATGTAGCCAACTCACAATTGATCGCTCCGGAAAATATAAGGCAACAGATTGCTGAACTCTGCGAAGAAGGTGTTCATGAAGCTTTACGGTCGGCGCAGGTATCGTTTAACGCAGCCGTCGAAGAGAAAGCGGAGCGCCACGCGTCTCTAATTGAGTAGCGGCTTTGGGAACGGGTCGACGACACTCAACGCCAAGCGCAAAACGCAATGACAAGTCAAATGAGGGCTAGCGAGGATCAAATGCAAGCACGACTTGAAGCATTGTTGGCTGCGGCCTCCTCACACACGGATTCGAGTGTCACTTCGCTCGAATCAAAGTTGGGCAAGAAAACTATCGAGTTATGCAGCACTCTGGAGCGCTCCATGAGCAAAACGTCAGTGCGAGTGTGAAATGACACGATGGAAAATTGGATTTTCATCTGGGCGCAGTGTGATTGGCTGAAATTGGATGATTAGATGACATGGATTGCGCGACAAGTACAAGGATCTGGGCCCCGACGAAGACTCGCCCAGGATGCATATCGACCAGCGACCCTGGCCGAGTCGCTAACTCATTTTGCGACTCTGGCCGGGTGTAAGTCTGGGAGATACGATCAAGATATACTCAAGTCAAGATGTTTCCGACCGACCAGGCAGACCGACTACGGATGGGCAAAGATTCCGTGGAACGTTGAAGGAGGTGATTTGTACCCACGACTCTACACTGGATTTTGGCTCGGCCGGGATGTCGACGTCAACCGCAGTATAGTGAAATCAAGTGAAAAGCAGAATGCATGTCTAAGTTGCAGGAAGATAGCCACAGAGTAAAAGATAAACAGAGTTCGTTTTCCCCCGTCGGTGACAAGTCGCTTGGAGCAGCCTGCCAGCGGAAAATGCCTGGAGGACCGAGGGATCAAGATGAAGCGTCAAGCTACCATGGAGCTGCTTAGAAGTGCCATGCCTGGGGGACCATGGGGTCTGTCGTCAAGTCTGACCGAGACTGAGCTGTGGTGACCGGCTACCATGGAGTTGCCTACCGGAAGTGCATGCCTGGGGGACCATGGGGCCGGAAGCCGCGTCCGGGAGGAGGAGTATTGGAGTGCCTTGGAGCAGCCCACCGGAAGTGCATGCCCGGGGGACTGAGGGTCTGATGCTGCGAGTCTGGGCGTACGGAAGAACACGACTCTCACCGTGCATATAAGAAAAAACAGGTTAAATAAGCCCTTAATAAAGAGTTCGTTTTCCCCTGAAACCCGCAAGCCACCAGGAAGAGCAGGAAGCGCAGGACAACCGGGCACCGCGGCTAGGTACGACCGTGGTTGGATCTCTCCCTGAAGTAAGTACGCCAAGTTAGGTAAGGGGACTGGGGCGTACAGGCGTCTCAGGGTGATCCACCTATTTCATTTCCTAGTTGCAGCTGCATTCTCGCCCAGAGCGAGGTCCTGCATTTCATATTATCGATTACATCTCGGGCGGAGTGAATAGCGCCGCCTGGGACTTGGCTGGAAGCCTATTGTGTGGTAGGGTATTGATATTGGTTATTTTTCGTTCAGTACATTTGGGATTGGTGCGCGTTTGAAGTCGCCCAGGGTTGACCAGTACCCTGGATACGACTCGTTAGTTGACTGGAGTAGTGACCCACCGTCCGAGGGTTCGAAAGAATAAGTGACGGATATTTGTATTTGTGTATAACTCTGTATTTGTGGTTATCGTCCAGAGTCGTAGGGGCTACGTTTGGAAGTACGTATCGCACCCCGCTCGGAAACCCAACAGTGTACAACAACTCACCAACTCGGCCGAGCTCCTTGGTTCGAAGACAAACGACCCGAGAGGGATTGTCACAAGGAACACACACCATCTCGGGCGGACATCTTCTGGTGTATCCGCCTGAGAAGTTCTAAGAGACTTTGTTCTCCCGGAACATTCGCACACCTGGGCGGAAAAGGCGTTCACCCGCCTCGCCTCAGAAATCACTCGAGAAAAAAGTTAATGACCGACTTGATGCAGCTAAAGTGCAGATCCTGGGCGAAGCGCACAGTCAGGTGCTAGCTGCTGTTGCTCAAATGGAGACTCGGGTATCAAGCCTCCAGCATCTTGTTGAAGCGCAACAGCTAGTAGAAGCTGATAAGGATGAAGTGAAAGAGGCTCTTGCTGCTCAGATGGAGCGGGTGCTTTATCACAAAAACTTAGCGCTGAGGGTTTGGATGATCCAATTCAGCGCGCGATCCGCGATCTGGAAGTACGGGTTGAAGGTACCACACGGAAACAGGTGAATGAAGCATTATCAACAGGAATGCAGACAATTGAGCAAAAGCTGAGCGATTTTAAACGCCGCATGCTTACCCAGCGAACGCACCCGACAAATTGTATGTGCTGTAGCACTACATCAGCCCAGAAAGCTAGCTTCGAAGCAAGCTGTGCTGGTGTGCACTGCACCACCCATGATTATGGAGCATGTCGCTCTGTTCCTGCCCCTGTTAGGCTTTCAGACAACGAACTTGACGCCAACGCTGAGGGTGGTGATTGGAGTGGCTTCGATGGTAACAACAACAAGGGTGCGTGCTAGATCAAGGCAGTGGGAAGTCAAAAAGCTTCGGGCAAGTCATGTCGCCGTCGTAGACGTCCGGAAGTTCCCCAATTGAAAGTAATGACCCCGAATGAGTCGAGCGTGCGAGGAAGATAGCACAGACAGCGGTGTCGGATCGTGTGGTCGCGCGTATTCGAGAGTTAAAAAGCAGGATTGTCAGGTAGAGAAGTAATAGTAGCCTCCAATACGGCAACTATTTGAAGTCTTTTGCGTTTTCGAGACAAGAATGCCCGAAACATCAACGGCATCATAGTGTAACGTGATCCTAGCACGGTCACCGATTACATGGCCCGAGTTGACCTCCTTCATGATGAGTAGCTGCGCGTTCCTTTAGCAATTGGCTCGATGGTAAACGGTGCCCACAGGAGTTGAAGATATCCATGTTTGTTGCACAGTTTGTTTATTTGATCGTCAAGTGATAGTGTGCAACATGCAATGTTGAGCAGAATATAAATCTATGCATGCAATGCTACCTAGCATTCCTTCGGTCGGGGATGCAGCAGGACTTGAGTGTCCTTAGGCTAGCTCAGTCGACAGAGATAAGGCACTTGACAGCGCAATTTCCCACTCACTTTCAAACATCGCCATGGGGTTCAATGGCCCCAAGTCGATCGTCACGTTCGAAGGGATAGCGTTCTTGGCCTCATCTGGCGTGAGCTTGAAGCACTGCGTGACGTCAATAAATCCCCGATTTCGATTCAGGAAAGAGCACATATCAATGTTGGCTCCTGAAAGCGAGGCACGTTGCGATGTCACCATCATTCAGCTGACCCCGAAATCTAGCTCAATTTGAGCCGACGAAGCTGGAACAGCGAACACGATACGCGCGACTTGAGGTAAACAGCGATAGGTACCAGTCTCTAGCATCCGCTTCCAAAAGTTGAGAACAGTCTCAACATCGGTCGCTGATGTGGCTGCCAAAAGTTGTGGGTCGCTGAACCACCGGTCCAGCTCCTCATCAACCCGACCTTCGAGCAGCATCTGTGGGGTTGGTTGCTCAGGTGCCCGGGGCATCGTCAGCGGCAAGAAGTCGCACAGATCCTCTGACAACCCACAATTGTGATAGAATGCCGCCGGTACTTTCATCGCAGGCTCGGCTTCCGGAGGTTGAAGAGACATCATGATCGTCTTGAGTCGCTGGAGAACAAGTTGCTTCACGGCGCTTTTGTTGCGCTCAATCACGCCATCACTTAGATGCTGGGATCTTCCACAAGCACCCACTATGCCCATGAGCATGCCGTCGATATTTTTGTGGGGGTGCAGCAGCAACTGCATTTCCCACACAAACGAGCACTTCTTCATCGCTTCACGGCAAGTGTACCGAGAGAAGAACCGCGTTTGAAAGGCTTGACTCAGCAGGTTCCGTGTGGTCTCCGCTAACGGCAGTAGCTCGGTGGGGTGATAATGAACAACGTGCTCTTTTGTCGAATCAAACTTGACGAGCGGTTGGTCCACAGCCACCCGGCTTGTACACAGACAAGAGGACGTCTACTTGGCTGGCCTTTTCGGCTTGGCTCTTGACGTTCACAGCAGAGATGGGGACGAGCAGCGACAAAAGCTGCTCCATGAGCTTCTTCTGGCCGGATAGCGGAAAGGGGTTCGGAGGAGCTTTTCCGTCTCGCTCGAATTTCCTTGTGCGCTCCTCGTACCACAACTCGAGCACGTCCCAGTGTTTCACAATACGGCGAAATACTTGAGTTAACCCCATAAAGCGATGGGGCTTGTAGTCGACTAGTTTCCTTTCCTTGCCGACCCCAAGAGCGTCGACCTACTCAGCGTAAAGGCTCCCCATCACCTCCACCGACCGAACCTGATAAATGGTGACTGTCACCTTGCTGAGCAAAGAACGCATTCCAGGGTTTCGATCACCTGTCATGCCAAAAGCTGCCTTCGTAGCGGCATTGGTAAGATGGGGCCAGCACCACTCCCACTGGAGGCGTAATCCAGACTCCATCATCCACTTGACGTCGGGTCCGCCGTCCGTCGTCGCCCCAAAGAAATCTGCAGTTGTTAGACCGAAGTCAGCTAGGATCTGCTTAAGCCATCGCGCATACGGTTCCCGAATACCTTAGTCTCGTTCACCGTAGAGCGGCTTGAAGTGACGAGTCCCAAGGAGAATTGAACCAAACTTCCAGTCGTTGTCAATGTAGTATAGGCGGAGACCGATGAACTTCATCCCCGTTGTTTACAGGTCCAAAAGTCGGCCACCATTGTGAAGAATTTCACACCAGGGATCCGATTCACGCGAATGACGTGTGTCATTTCCACCACGCCGGACGCGTACAGCTCCACAACCGCATGCGTTATGGTCTGCCTGTTCACAACAGCTCGGAACTCTTCCTTCGTGATCACGGCGCGCAGAAGCTGGGATTCATCCCATTCCCCGACAACGAACGGCAAATTGTTGTGCACGACTTGTAGAGTCTGGAGTAGCAGACGGATTCGTTGGCAGTTCTCCTTCGACGTTGCTGACGCTAGGATTCTGGTTACTTTTTCATCCCTTGTTCGTTTGCGTGTGTCCTCGGTTGCAGTCTTTCCCGACGTGATACCGTGCACTTCCTTCAAGTGTTTTGTAGCGCGAGACGTCTTCCCACCGTACAGCACCTGGATGGCTTCTGCATCTCGGCAACTGTGTGCTGCTAAGCAAATCCATCCCACCAAAGCTGGGTCATCGGCTGGGTGGACGCGTACCCCCCCCCCCCCCCCCCACTTGAATATAAACGAACGTTCATTCGAAGTCGGAGGGACGAGCACAAATCCAGGCTTTGGGCGATAGCCTTCGACAGCTCTCTCAACTTCAGCAGGGATTCCTTCCGGCGTGCTTACCGCTGTTAGCCCTGCTGCTGCCGTCAGCGATGGTTCGACAGGCTGCACGCGTTCCCAGCTGTAGTGAACAACGGAGACGCCTCATATCTTGCCCGACGAGTAGGCGGTCCTTCCGTCTCCACCAGTTGAGCCGAGGGGAAGCTAGCGCTGCGCCGAAGAACTGGTTGGGAAAGCACGCGTTGAGCCAGTGTCTGAGACGATTGTGGTACACTTGTTGTTGATAGTATGCGCGTGGGCGTATGAGCACGTTGCAGCTCGCTGGATTGGCGATACATGATACCACTGAGACCAAAAGGAGTACGGGTTGCATGTGTAAGTTAGCAGGTCGTAAACCTTAATGAAAACCAAGAGTGCCATACCTTGGAACTGCAGCGGCCAAGTGTGCAACAATTGAAGGCGGTTGAGGAAAGGAAATTTAGGGCGCTTGTACAAGTGCTGGAGTGAACTTGTGTGCTTGCAGGTGAATTGAAGACTGCTAGTCAGAAGCTACCGCGCACAAGGAGGAGCGCTGCCTCTCCGTTGCCTGAGCCGTAAGCGGCTCTTCGTGCATTGGATCGGGTGCGGCTGTTCAAGAAGGGAAAGTACGCATCCTGGTGGCCCTTTCAGCCAGTTAGAGGGAGGTTTTGCGTGAACACGCCACTAGTGTACCCAAGGACAGGCATGCCAAACGAACATGAAAAACCCGAACCTGCCGTTTTTCTTCACTGCTTCCTGAGGTTTTTCAATTGAAGTCGGTATATCGGTATACCGTGTTCGGACGAAAGGTCACGTGTAACCGCGAACCAGAAAAGTTGCGTACCGTGGTTCGGTTTCCTCAGGTTCGTTCCAGGCTTGCCACTTCAGCTTGCGCTATTCTCAAAGCAAGTTATTTTCTCGCCGCACCGAGTGCAACCGTTTCCCAACCGTCCGAGAAAAACCAACCTCCTCACGCTCGTGCTTGCAACCGGCTGTACGACTGCGATCAAGGCAATTGCCTTGTTGCTTCACCTCTCGGTCATTCTGGTTTTCGCCTCAAGCACCGCAAGCCAAGTCTCAAAGAACCACTTCACTTCACCACTTCTTCAACCACCATGGGCCGCAAGGACAAGAAGCAGCAGCAGCAGCACGACAAGGAGGAGGAGAAGCCCGCGGCCAACGCCAAGGGCGGCAAGAAGGAGCAGGCTCCCAAGGAGGGTGCGTCGAGCTGCTATCTCATGGCAGATGCTAGGACTATCTAGCTGCGTTGATGACTCACTGCGTTGTTGTTTGGTTGCTACAGAGAAACAAAAGGGAGGCAAGAAGGGTAAAAAGTAACTCTTTCTACATCTCTGCCATCGCCATCCATGCCACATTGTGCCACTAGAACATTAAAGTATCAACACGGATGACTGGCATATTCAGGAAGTAGCAAAGTCTCAGCTTCGCTACCTGCTTAGGGAGCACTCGCAGCCTTGATCCTCGAATCCTCACGCAGTTGAAGTTGACGACGCAGAATCTTGCCTGACATGGTCTTGGGGATCGCGTCCACAAACTCGACCTGGCGGACGCGCTTGTACGGCGCAACCTTGTCGCCAACAAAGTCCATGATCTCTTCAGGCGAAGCTGAAGCGCCTTCGCGGAGCACCACGAAAGCTTTGGGGATCTCCTCGCCAGACTGCAAGTCCTTGCCACGCACACAGCACGAGTCCACGACTGCTGGGTGGCCGTGCAGCACGTCCTCGAGCTCTGCGGGGGCAACCTGATGCCCCTTGTACTTGGTCATCTCCTTGACTGGATCCACGATGAAGATGAAGCCATCTTCGTCGATGTAGCCAACATCGCCCGTGTGCACGAAGCCGTCCTCCGTGATCGACTTGTCCGTCTCCTCTGGGTTCTTGTAGTACCCGTCCATCATAGCCGGCGTGTGGATGAGCAGCTCGCCCACCTCGTTCGGATCCAAGTCTGCTCTATTGCTGATTGACAACACGCGCAGCTTCGAGTTCGGCAGCAGCTGGCCGACGGACCCGGGGCGGTTAATCTCGTAGGCCGGCATGGTCACGGGGCCGCACAACTCGGTCATGCCGTAGCCTTGGCCCACCTTGACGCCAATGCGCTTGAACACGGCCTCCTCCACCTCGGTGCCCATCGGAGCTCCCCCCGCTCCGATGTACTTGAGAGAAGACAGGTCGTACTTGTCCACGAGCGGGTGCTTGGCGAAGAACTGGACGATCGGAGGCGCCACGTACACGTTCCAGACCTTGAACTTGGTGATTGCGCTGAGGTATTCGTCCGGAAGGAACTTGGGTAGGATGATCGTCCCCCAGCCTCGGTAGAAGGCCATGTGGAACAGCAGAGTGGACATGATGTGGAAGAAGGGCAGCACCGTCATGGAGTACTCCATATCCTTCTCGGAGTGGCTGGCCATCATGGCACCGGAGAAGAGAGCGCGACCCGATAGAAGAACGCCCTTCGGTCGAGCAGTGGTGCCACTCGAGAAGGGCATAGCGACGATAGCGTCCGGGTCGACAGGAGGGAGGTTCGGGAAGGGGACGTCCTTGGCCAGCATGTCCCTGGAGTAGCAACGAATTAGCTCCTGGCGTGGAGCAGTAGATTCTGTACGTACTCGATGGGCATCAGTGAGGCGGAGATGTCGGCGTGACCGATGGTGTACACACGGTTCAGCTCGATGCCACCGAGCGACGCAGCCTTGACTGCAGTGTCGACCATCTTGGAGTGGGTGATGATCGCAGCAGACTTGAAGACGGACACAATCGGCAATAGGTTAGTTGAGTAACACAAGGATAACTAGGTTATCGATTCCTACCTCCGAGTGCTTGAGTTGATCAGCTAGTTCCTCCTCGTTGAAAAGTGGCGACGCGGTGGAGCACACAACCCCAAGACGTGTAAGCGCCAAGAAGATGACCGGGTACTCGACGCAGTTAAACGAGTGCAGCGTCACAACCTGTAGCAGTGAAACCAAAACAATGTTAGCACGGTTATCACCTACTTCTCTGGCCCACATAAGACGCCGACATGTCGTGGATTCGCGAGCAACACACACGAACTTGTATCCATGGAATACCATTGGTTTGTTTAGAGCCGACTCCGCTGCATCTTGACCTTCCTGTCCTGAACCAACTGCAAATTGCGTAGGATTTTACCCGACAGGCTCGTGGGGATCTCGGTAATGAATTCGACCTCGCGCACACGTTTGTAGCCGGCCACTTTGGCAGCCACGTACTTCATCATCTCTTCACTGGTCAAGGTGGCACCTTCCTTGAGTACGACAAACGCCTTGGGAATCTCTTTGCCCGTTTTCAAGTCGCGTCCTCGAACGCAGCAAGAGTCTGCGACTAGAGGATGCGAGTTCACTACGTCTTCGAGCTCTGCAGGGGCCACTTGGTGTCCTTTGTACTTGATGAGCTCCTTCAGTCTGTCCACGATGAAGATGTAGCCATCATCGTCGATGTAGCCAAGATCACCAGTGAGGAGGAACCCGTCCTCGGTAAATGCAGCCCGGGTACCTTCGGGGTTCTTGTAGTAGCCCTTCATCATCGCTGGAGTGCGGAACAGCAGCTCTCCCGTCCTGTTCGCTGGTAGGTCTTCTCCTGTTTCGAGGTCTTTCACCTTTAATTCCGTGTTGGGATGTAAAGTGCCTGAAGAACCACCACGGACAATATTCGGGTACGATCGACAGCCGCAGCCCACGAACTCGGTCATGCCGTAGCCCTGAAGCACTTGGATCCTGAGTCGCTGCATGACTGCACGCTCCACCTCTTTGCCTAGTGGCGCTCCTCCAGATTTCACGTGGTTGACATGAGAGAGATCGTACTTCATCACCGTTCTCAGGAATGTCTCTGGTGTGAAGCCTGGCAGTACGATCATCGGTTTCCTGAGGTAGAGCGTGACGTGGAAGTTCATAGTCATCATGATGTGGAAGAATGGCAACATGCCCAGCACACACCCGGTCTTGCTCACCCTGTACGCTGGGCTAACCCCAGACGCGTACATTGCCCTCGCAGTCAGCTCCACCCCCTTTGGTCGACCGGTAGTGCCGCTGGAAAATGGTAGCGTCACGACTTGGTTCGCGTCGATGGGAGGGAGGTCGGGGAACGGCAGGTCTTGAGCAATTAAATCCCTGATCAACAAGAGGTTAGCATCTCAACGGGTACTTTTGTCCTAGAGCACCTGTAACGTACTCAATAGATTGGAGATCGAAGGAGCATCTGCTCCGCCGAATGAGTACACCCGCGAGAGGGGAATCCCACGCATCCCAGCTGCCGTCACCGCCACCTTGGCGAATTTCTTGTGCGAGATGATAGCAACTGCCTGCAACAGCGTCACAGGGTCAAAAAGCTCCTCTAATTGAACTCCAGCCTCGCCGAACTCACCTCTGCGATCTCGATTTGGCCGGCCAGCTCCTTCCCGTTGAATAATGGCGACGATGGCGAGCATATCGCCCCGAGGCGGTTGAGCGCCAGGAACACCACCACATACTCGAGGCAGTTGAACGAGGGCAGGATCACCACCTGGAATCGACAGAAATCTAGTAAACCATTATTAACCACGATACCCAGTCACTTTTCCACGTACATCGCCCTTCTTGCTCCCGTTGGCCACAAGACCCGCGCACACTTGCTTGGCCTGTCGAAGAAGCCCCGCGAACGTGAGCGTCCTCTCCGTCAGTCCGCAGATGAACGCCGGCCGGTCGCCAATATCCCGCGCGTGCTCCTCCACGACGTTCCAGATGCAGGCGTTCTCTGGAATTGACAGCGTCGGGCACTTGGACCGGAAGATCATCTCTCTCTCTCTCTCTCTCTCTCTCTCTCTCTCTCTCTCTCTCTCTCTCTCTCTCTCTCTCTCTCTCTCTCTCTCTCTCTCTCGCTCGCTCGCTCGCTTGGCTCAAAGGAGCTCGACACTTTTGTCACCAAGAATCCGAGTGACGCAGCAGGTTGTCCTTTTTCAACACCAGCCACCCGGCAATGACAGCGCTCGCCATTAGCAAGCAAGCGCCACAGAACACCGGCGTCGAACTCATCAACACGAATTAAATGGCATACATTTGGGAATGACTACAGTGTTGCAGTGGTGCCCCACCTCACTCGGATCAGGACGCGAGTCACAGGCGGCTCCGAAGCGACCGAGCAGCCTCAATCTTCTCGTCCTGTTGGAGCTGCAGCTGGCGGCGGAGGATTTTACCGGACAAGCTCTTGGGGATGGCGTCGATGAACTCGACTTCGCGCACGCGTTTGTAGCCCGCCACCTTCGACGCCACGTACTCCATCAACGCCTCCGCCGTCAACGGTTCGTCCCCATTGAACTTTAGCACCACGAATGCTTTGGGGATCTCGTCACCCGTAGCCAAGTCGAGTCCGCGGATGCAGCACGAGTCCGCGACCTGAGGGTGCGAGTTGACCACATCCTCGATCTCTGCGGGGGCAACTTGGTGGCCCTTGTACTTGATCAGCTCCTTGATGCGGTCGACGATGAAGATGTAGCCATCTTGGTCAATGTAGCCAACATCCCCAGTGCAGATGAAGCCATCTTGAGTGAAGATCTCGCGAGTAGCGTCCGGGTATCTCTTCATGACGCCCGGCGACCGGATCAGCAGCTCGCCACGTTGGTTTGCACCCAGATCAACTCCAGTATCAAGGCATCTCACGCGCAGTTCCGTGTTGGGGAGAAGTTTCCCCGACGCACCGTTGCGAAAGACCGTCTCGGACGAATGGGTGGCGGTGCCAGCGAGCTCCGTCATGCCGTAGCTCTGCAGCACTGGGACGCCGAATCGACTGTGGATGGCGTCGACAAGCTCGTCACCCAGCGGTGCAGCGCCCGAACCCAAGCGGTTGATGGCCGAGAGATCGTACTTGTCCACGAGCGGGTGTTTCGCCAGGAACTGGATGATCGGGGGCACGACGTTGACCGTGTCGAGTTGGTACTTCTCGATGGTGCGTAGGAAGCTCCCGGGCTCGAATCGAGGCAGCACGATCGTCGTCATCTTCTTGAAGATCGTCACGTGGAAGATCATGATCGCGGCGACGTGGAAGAACGGCAGCACTGCGAGCATGTAGTCGGTGTCTCGCTCCAGAGCAGCCACTCGAGCGCCACAGGCGTACATCGCACGAGCTGTGAGCTCGACACCCTTAGGACGACCGGTTGTTCCGCTTGAGAACGGCAGCAACACGACGTCGCCCGGGTTGATGGCGGGTAAAGGTGGGAGGGGCAGCGTCAGAGCCATCAGCGCTCTACGATACATGGTTAGTGGTTTAATGTACACAAAATGAGGAGTGATTTATGGCACTTACTCGATGGTTTGCAGACCAGAGGTACCTTTAGGATGGCCAAGGGTGAACACGCGCTTGAGTGAGACGCTAGTGAGTGTTGCAGCTTGGACTGCCACCTCTGCGAACGCGACGTGCGAGATCACCGCGGATGCCTGGCGAGTTATGAATGGTTAGTAGTTTGCATTTGGTGGAGAAGTTGATGGTGCTGAGTGTATGCCTGTACCTTGGCGGATCGGATTTGGTCTGCGAGTTCGTCGCTGTTAAAGAGCGGAGAGGACGGCGAGCAGACTGCACCCAAGCGATTGAGTGCGAGGAACACCACGGGGTACTCCAGACAGTTGAAGGAGTGCAAGATCACGACCTGTTTCAGTAGAGAAGTGAGCATTGTATCTCAAAGGCCAAGCAACGGATGCAAGCACGTACGTCTCCTTTCTTGATGCCGCTTGCCAGCAGACCGGCCACGAGGAATTGAGCCATCTTGAACACTTCCGCGAAGCTCAGCGATCTCTCTGACATCCCGCAGACAAACGCTGCCTTGTCGCCATTCTCGAGCGCGTGCTCCTCCAGCTTGTTCCAGATGGCTGCGTCCTCCGCGATGTGGACGTCTGGGTACGGCGACTTGAAGATGATGGTCATGGTATAGCACAGTAGACGAATTCACTAGTCGAGGTGAGAGAGGCCACTAGGGACTGAAGGAGGCAAATTCAGAAGTGACGATGAGTTGGCACTATATAAGCCATTGCCCTTGTGGTGCTCAGGACTATAGTGGGAAAACTTACTGTACGACCTTCGATGGCACAAGAAGTGTTGCATTCCTGACTGAAGAATTCGATGCAGTCTAGATACCACTAACACGGGGTGATTTCGAGCCTGGCGATGCAACAACTCAGCACAATACCATACTACTACGTGTGTTCAACCTATCCTTGCGGTAACCTCCAGTTGGGGTCATATACGGTACAGATCTGAGATTGGATCTGACGTGCTAAAAGGTGTTCTGGGGGTTGCACCCCCAGACCCCCGCAAAAAGAAAACTAACTCCGAGTTGCGGCAACGGGTCCGTTCGCTGGAATGCTCGTCGCTGGGCCCGCCTCCGCAAATACCGCGCGGGTTTGCTATGGCTACGCTCCTCGCAACCGCTCACTGCCGTAACATATGTTTTTCAATACAAAAATTAGTATTAATAACCGATCCATTCTCTGATCTGTACCCTATATGATCCCAACCGGGTTTTACCATCCTTGCCATACTCTGCTTCACCTTCCAACTTACAGCCGACTCTGGGTCGCCTTCATCTTCTCGTTCTGTCGGATCTGCAGCACGCGGCGCAGGATTTTGCCCGACAGACTCTTGGGAATCACGTCGATGAATTCCACCTCACGCACGCGCTTGTAGCCCGTCACTTTGCCCGCTACGTACTCCATGAGCTCCTCCTCGCTCAACGTTTCGCCCTCCTTCAGCACCACGAAAGCCTTGGGGATCTCCTCACCCGTAGCAGGGTCAAACCCTCGCACGCAGCCAGAGTCCGCAACCTTCGGGTGCGAGTTCACGACGTCCTCCACCTCGGCAGGCGCCACCTGGTGGCCCTTGTACTTGATGAGTTCCTTGAGACGGTCGACAATGAAAATGTAGCCATCTTCATCGATGTATCCGACGTCGCCCGTGCGGACGAATCCGTCCTCGGTGAAGGTAACGCGGTTGGCTTCCGGGTTCTTGAAGTACCCCTTCATGAGCGCTGGGGTGCGGAACAGCAGCTCTCCAGTCTGGTTCACGCCCAGCTCCTCTCCTGTCTCCAGGTCCTGCACCTTCAACTCCGTGTTGGGGTGCAGCGTACCCGAGGCACCGTCACGGAACGTGGATGGGTACGAGCTGCTCGCACAGCCAGCGAACTCCGTCATGCCGTAGCCCTGAAGCACTTGGATCCCCAGTCTCTGCAGGACCGCGTGCTCCACCTCCTTGCCCAAAGGGGCCCCTCCAGAGCCCACGTGGGTCACGTGAGAGAGGTCGTACTTGTCCACGATCGGGTGCTTGGCCAGGAACGTGACGAGCGGCGGCGCGAGGTTCAGCTTGCTCATCTTGTACTTGACCACGGTCTTCAGGAACGTCTCCGGGTCGAACCCAGGCAGCACGACCATGGTCACGCCCTTGTAGATGGTCACGTGGAAGATCATTGTAGCCATGATGTGGAAGAACGGCAGCATGCCCAGAATGTACTCTACCTCGGCCTCCCGGTAGGCCGGTAGAATGCCACACGCGTACATGGCACGCGCCGTGAGCTCCACGCCCTTGGGGCGGCCCGTTGTGCCGCTGGAGAAGGGCAGCGTCACCACTTGGTTGGTGTCAATAGGCGGGAGGTTGGGGAATGGCAGATTCTGGGCCACCAGGTCCTCGATGGACTTGAGACCAGCGGGGCCCTCGGCTTGGCTGAGCGTGTAGATCTGCGACAGCGGCAGGCGCCGCAGCCCCGCGGCCTCCACCGCCACCTTGGCGAACTTCTTGTGGGTGATGACGGCCTTGGCCTCGGCGATCTCGATCTGGTCCGCCAGCTCCTGGCCGTTGAACAGGGGCGAGGACGGCGAGCAGATCGCGCCGAGGCGGTTGAGCGCCAGGAAGACCACGACGTACTCGAGGCAGTTGGACGAGTGCAGGATGACCACGTCCCCCTTCTTGAGGCCGTTGGCGGCCAGACCGGCGCACACCTTCTTGGCCTGCTGCAGCAGCTCCGAGAAGCTCAGGGACCGCTCCGTGATGCCGCAGATGAAGGCCTTCTTGTCCGGCATGTCGGCGGCGTGCTGCTCCACCATCTTCCAGATGGATGCGTCCGCCGGAATGGGCAGCGTGGGGCAGCGCGACTTGAAGATCATGGTGGACGTGATGGAGGTGACGGGGGTGGAGGAGACTGACGGACTGCCACCGAGGGCGCGAATGCAGGAATGACACCAAGGCAGTTGAAGCCCGAGTGTTAAACGGAGGGAGGGTAGTCAACCCGGATTGGCTGATACCAAGCAGTTGGGGATAACTTCAAGTTGAGAGGGATCGGCGCTTGTCGACTCAACACTTGTCCGGGCGGAAGCTGTAGTTGAGACGACAAGAATTTGGCAGCTTTTAGGGCGAGGCGCCCCATTACGAGGCGTTTGATCGGCCAAGGAGGAAGCTGCCGGTGCCAGCTCGCGTTGAATGGATAGATCGAGTCGATCCGCAGGTAGATAGATGTCCATGCTTGATCTGCGATCAACACTGCACTGGGGACTCCTCAGCACGGTCCCAACTGATGCGCAAAGCTGATCGAAAAGGAAACAAGCTCGAGGGTTCTGCCCAACTGAAGACGGCCAGTGAGCAAGGCCAACGCGTGCTGGTGATCGACATCCCAGTGCATCTATCTCCCACAAAGGATTTCCAAGTACATGTACCTACGATTCGTAGGCTACGAACCGTGGCACGATAGCATAGCAATGCGTGCCCAGCAAGCTGTAAAAAGTATATGGCACCTTTATACAGACCTCAGAAGTATTACGATCCCAACACTCTGGCACATCTTGGCGAAAACCCAATGACACAATTGCGCAGAGAAGTTTGAAAGTTCCGGCTCACTGAAAGTCTAGAGCTGTGGCCACACATTACTAGTGCCAGGAACGGCGACAGAAAGAACACACCACATCCTTATGACGTCCTCGTTAAGATGGAGGGCCGAACAGGCAAGTCGCGAGCGTGCAAGCCCTGCGAGAATGTAAATAACTGCACCGAAAACTCACTCTCAACTCACGACCTGAAGCAAATCCATTGTAAAGCGCCATCTGTGCGAACTGAAGTTGACGACCGACACAAAGGGTGAAGCTGCTTCGCTGAAGAATGCCCCCGCGTCCTTGCGGTAAGCAATGATGAGCAACGGGATCAAGCGAACGCGTTCCGCACGACCACAACACCCATGCTAAAAAATACAATAAGCTCGTAAAAAACTAAAATCCAAGGGGCCACGGAGCTACAATTGTAGCTCCGAGAGATCCCCATTTCCCTCTCGTTGCTAGAGAATGTAAACCGGTTGCAAACGGAATCCGGATTGCACAACCGACTTGAATCCGGATAATCCGGATTGAGTCGGATTATAAAAGTATGCATTTCTACAATGTACTCCTTAAACTTAATGTATAAACGGTATACAAGACACTGGATATCAAATCTCAGGGGGTAGAATAACGACGCCAATTGGATGAAAGAGGAAAGATTATGTCCAATTAGAGTGCTAGTATGCGTCGGTGATTTCTAATAGTTTTGGTCAAAAGCATTTAGATTCGATATCAAAGTTTGCGCCGTTCTCTGACGAAACAGTCGAAGCCGAGCCTGCGGAGGGAACGTCGAGAATGGATGTGACTGGCGCTGCCAAGACGACGGCGAAAACGGAGAGCACCCTCCGCATCGCTACTGTACACATCTAGCTGTGACTGTCACTCGTCATTTGCGTGCACGTGCGCCAGCAGAAGCAGAAGCAGAAGCGCGGCGGGCGAGGCCGCCCAGGCCATCGTCGACGATCTCAAGAAGCTCAAGTTGGGCTTGAGATGACTACGGTGCTGCAGACCTCCGCCGAGGACGGTCTCAGGAAGAGCAACAACAAGGCGCTGGACAACCTGTTGCTGCGCAAGATGATCGTGGTGCCAAGCTCCGAGATCTGCGGCGGCGTGAGCGGTTCTATGTCTTTGGCTCGCCGTCCTTGCGCGCTCAAGAGCAACCTGCTGTAGATGACGCTGCTGTGCAATTTCAAGAGCGGCAACCACAAGAAGTCGGCGGTGCTCAGCATCCAGACGGCGGTCATGGACTCAGACACTCTGGACCGACTGCTGGCGGGCATGTCACTGCTCGAGATCCTGGTAAACGACAACTACAGCACGTTCCAGGAAGACGTGGCGCGAGATGTCAAGCCGTACAAGGTGCGTGAACATTGCAATGGGTGTGGGAAGAGAAGGAGACTTACGGATATTGTGCGTGGTAAATGAATGGGATGCAGGTGAACCTGATCTACCCCGCGACGGAGCAGCATCTGCGCAAGCACACGGACCGTGCTAGTGGAGACCAAGGAGGTGTAATGGGCCTACCTTGGCTCACTACTACGGCTTACACGTATGCGCACGTGTATGAGGAAGCGTAGGTTTCTTTTACTTGAGTTAAGTATACTCGAGATCCACGAGTATACTTAAATAAGATAAAGACTCCAAGTAGCGTGTTTTGGTAAAAGATGAGAACTGCTATTTGTGTTTTATGTTTCTGACTTCCTCTAAATGTAATATTCTAAACTAGGAATCTGCCAACGGCTGGAGGGCAGAATTCCAATGCTATGCATGTCACTCATTGGCTAAAAGATGCTGCTCTCAACCAATAGGAATCCTAAGTCTCTATGGACCACCCGTCCTGGTGATCCTAAATGTATGTAGCCTTTGGTGTGTCTACACCAAGGACGAGAAAGTCTTTCGAACCTCTACCAGACGTCGTGTCTGTTAGAGTTACAAGTGACTGTAGCCACTTGTGCGTGTAACCCCGTTACACCATCCCCCCATCAAGGTTAGACGTGCCGGTCCCGGCACGTCAACTACCATTGACCGCTTGGCCAATGCGTGACGTTGAAGAGAGCGCGCTCGTAATGGAACGAGCGCGTCGAAGTTGAAGACCGCTGGCGCAGCAGCGGATAACCTCTCTCCTACTGAGTAGCATGCGCGGCAACGTGCGAAGCGCGTCGCTGCCGCGGGGGCAGGTATCTATGTCTGCCCTCGAAGTGTCTTCGGGTGCTGCTGTTAACAGCAGCGCTCGCATTACGTTCCAGTGTGCAGCGCATGGTGGACTTCGTACGCCCTCACCATGTCCGGGACGTCTTCGAGCAAGACGTTCTGCGGCTCCCATGTATCTTGGTTGGGAGGGAATCCTCTCCAACGGATACGAAAACGAACTAGTTGCCTGTTCGTTCTCGGGATACTGTGATCAACAATCCGCTCAGCAATCCATCGAGTTGAGCCGTGTGCATCACGAATCGGCGGCGGCGGTGGCGGAAACACACCCCGTGTGTGGTCAACTTGGTGTTGACCCTGATCTCGTGTCTCCCCACGACCAAGTCCCGGTCGTGGAGTAGTTCCAGAGCGCTGCGTTCGGCGCTCTGAAGTATTCGCAGTTTGCGGCGGCCTCCCAGACTGCCTCGATCGTTCCGACCGAGCTGGACCATTAGCTCGACCCGCTGCTCCAGCGCGAAGTCGCACTGGAGAGGACGATGGCTTCCGCCGAGTCTTCTGCTACGGTTCATCCGAGCTAGGTAGCTCGTGCTGCAGGTATGGCTTCAGCCTTCCGACGTAGAACGTTGGATGGAGACGCATGCTAGACGGAATGTCTAGCGTGTAAGCATTGCCATGCCGTGCCAATACTGTGAATGGCCCGATGACGCGCGGAGCGAGCTTGCTTGCCCCGAAGTCGGAAACTGCATGTTTAGGCAGGTTTCGCGTAGCTAACAAAACCAATGAACCCTTCTTGAATTCATTTGTGTTGCCCCTGCCAACATTGTCTGCGTTCAGCTTCTGTCGGTCGACAGAAGCTGCAATAGCGTCCTGGACAAACCGAATGACGGCTTGTCTGCGCGGTACGAAGTGAATTGCGTCCGAGCTGAACTCGTTCAGCTCGCTTCCAGCAGTAGGCCCTGCCTCTGCGTTGGTCTTCGTGGTGTCTGTGCCCTGCACAGACACGCTCTTCTTGTTCTTGTTCTTGTCAGTGTCTGTGCCCCGCACAGACACGTTCTTCTTCTTCTTGTTGGTGTCTGTGCCCCGCACAGACACGTTCTTCGTGCGCTTGTCGGTGTCTGTGCCCTGTACAGACGCGCGGTTCTTGGCTTTACTTCGTGTCGTTGCGGCTGCTGCGGTGCAGTCGGAGATCCTCCCCCACTTAAGGAAGGAGCCACCATCCCGAGTAGACTCGGGAGGCGTGGGTGTCTCATGGCATTCACGTAGAAGGGTGTATGCCCGGTCGAGGCATGCACCGAGTTGTTGATGGCGAACTCCGCCATCGGCAGACACTCGCTCCAGTGTTGGAACGAGTGAGCGTACCTCTTAAGCACGTCTACGAGCACGCGGTTCACGCGCTCGGTCTGCCCGTCCGTCTGCGGATGGTCCGCAGTCGACATCGAAAGTCGACTCCCAAGAAGTGTAAACACTTATTGCCAAAGGTGCGCAGTGAAGCGCGGGTCTCGATCCGACACAATGTCGATTGACATGCCATGGTGTTTGAACACCATGTCAACGAACAGACGAGCCGTCTGTTTCGCAGTCACTTCAGCGGGTACCGCAGCAAGATGTACCATCTTGCTGAAGCGGTCAACAAAGACCACAACGCCCGTGTTCCCCTGCCTGTCCGGGGAAATACCGAACACGAAGTCCAAAGACATGGACTGCCAACACTCCGACGCAGTCGGCAGTGACTGCAAGGGAGCTTGCGCGAAAGGCGCAGGCTTCACACGTTGACAAACCTCGCAAGCACGGACGTACTTGCGCACCCATTTATACTGGTGGGTCCAGTAGAAGTCCCGCGTGAGAAGAAGGTATGTCTTCTCACGGCCCGGATGCCCCGCAGTTGGTGCATCGTGATACTCATACATGATCCTGAGCCGCAGGTCATGGTCATTGGGCACGACAACGCGGTCCGCGTTGTCGTCGACTGCACGGTAGAGAATAACCCATCGTGCACCCGATAACGGTGTGCACGAGCACGAAGATGCTTCGGCAGCTTCTGACGAGATTTGTCAGAAGGTGCTGAGCCATAGGCCAGCAAGAGCTTCGCGTCCGCGTCGTGCGCGTACGCGACCTTCACGTCGTCCAACAGTGACGACGTTGGGGTGCTCGATCACATGGCGTCAATGGCATTGACGTCGGCATCAGTCGTGGCGTAGTCAGGTCGACGCCTGAGCGCGTCGGCCACCACATTGAGTCTTCCGGGTTTGTACTCAACCCGGAAGTTATACTCTGCGAAGAATGAGAGCCATCTCGCCATCAGTAGCGAAATGTGCGGCGACTTCACAGCCATCCGCAGCGACGCGTGGTCCGTATAGACCACGAACGGTTTGCTTCCGAGTAGATACACTCGGAACTTCGCGAGTGCGTACTTCATGGCAAGGAGCTCCTTGTCATGTACCGGGTAGTTGCGCTCAGCTGGCTTCAGCTGACGCGATTGGTAGTAGACGACACGATCACGGCCCTCGTGATCGTGCTGCATCAACGCACATCCGATTGCGAAGTCGGATGCGTCACACACAACGTGGAATGGGCGATCTTGGTCGGCATCCGCCAAGATCGGCGCCTCAGTCAAGCCCCGCTTGACTGCATCGAAAGCCTGCTGACACTCAGCAGTCCAAATCCACTCGGCGTCCTTCTTCAGGAGCTGTGACAGCGGGTGTATCATGCCCGCGTAGTCCTTTACGTACTTGCACAAGTACGTGGCCAAGCCAAGGAACTGCCGCAGTTCCTTGACGTTCGACGGCGTCAGCCACTCATTGATCACTCTGACATCCTCAGGGTCAGGGCGGACACCGTTCTTCCCAACGAGACACCCGAGCACGGGTATCTCGCTCGCCCCGAAGATGCACTTCTTCAGGTTCGCGTAGAGCTTCTGCTTGCGCTCATGCGCAAGCAGCTTCCGGAGATGCACCTTGTGCATCTCAACATCGCTCATTCCGTCTGCAGCCCGGCTGTGGACGAACACATCGTCGAAGTAGCTCGGTGCGAAGTCGCGCACCGAGCGCAACAAGTGCGTCACGCACCTGTTGAAGGTCGCAGGGGCGTTCTTCAGACCCTGCGGCATCTCTAGCCACTCCCAGAGCATGCTCACGCATGAGGATCTGATAGAACCCATCGCGCAGATCAAGAGCACTGTAGATAGTGCTCCTGGTCATCGAATCGATGATAACATCTTTTCGAGGTATCGGTGTCTGCGCCGGTATCGCCGCATCGTTCAGCTTGTTGTACGCATGAATGATGCGCCAACCGCCCTGTGGCTTCTTGACACAGAACGTCGGAGCACTGTGCGGGGATTTCGATTCCCGCACTTGTCCAGCTTTGCGACGACTTTCGAAGAAGTCGTCGATCGCTTTGACCTGCTCTCGCGGCAGTGGCCACTGCCGCGTGACACAGTACTTCGTGCCCGGCACGAGATCAATCTCGTGCTGGATTCCCTTGTCCTGCGGAAGCTCCGCAGGAATCTCTTCCGGAAGTACGTCCACGTACTCCCGTAAGATCTCGTAGTAGGGACTCATTTTCAACGAGTCCCAGCTCTGCTCTTCAAAGCGCTCCTTCTTCGTCTTCGCACTGAGAGTGTCCTCGCTCTCAGTGGTGGTCTCCATGAAGAACTGCATCAGTTTCTTCATTCTCGCTCTTCGTTCTCTCGGCGTCCGAGAGAATGCATATTTGCTCGATGCGTCCATCGTGCAAGTCACGCGCGAAGCGCTTCCAGCTCATGACTGGAAGCGAAGTCAACTCCGACGCTTGCGTCGGAGGGTTAGCGAGAGTCATCTCCCTGTACCGGAACCCGGAACAGGTACGCGTCAAGACGTTCAACGTCTCGACGTCCGGCCTGTCAGCCTCCGTCTGCCCGGCAGACATTCCTTGTAGCGTCTCGGCCCCAGGCCGAGACTTGCGCAGCGACGTTCGCATGCGCCGTCTTCTTGTTTTGCGGAGCCCGGCTCCGCTTGGTTCTTGACCTCGTCCAGGCCCAGCCGTGGACGGGTGTTCTTCTTTAGTACCGCCGGCGGGTTCATCCCGCGGGCGAGCGACTTCAAGCCCGGCTTGGTCGCCCGGCGCTTCGTCGTGCAGCCCGGCTGCACGACAGCATGCAAGTTTTCCCGGTGCGGGACGTTTGCAACCGTCCGCACCGCCTGCAGCGTCGGCTCCCGGAGCCGACACGCCATCTTCACCTCGACGCCTGTTATTGGCGGAGCCCTCCATTACGGAGGGTGCGTCGGCTCCCCGAGCCGACGAATCAAATTCGTCCAAGCTATCGACTCCCGGAGTCGATGCGACTTCAATACCTCGACGCCAACCATTGGCGGAGACCCCATTACGGAGGGTGCGTCGGCTCCCCGAGCCGACGAATCAAATTCACCCAAGCCATCGACTCCCGGAGTCGACGGCGTTACGTCACCTTGGCTCTTATTATTGGCCAAAATTGATCCAATCAGATTCGCGTCAGCCTCCACGGCTGAGGCGTGCGACTCGTCTGCGTCATCCGTGCCCCCTGAGGTCGGAGACTCTTCCTGATTCGCTGAAAAGCGGGTGTCGATCTCCGAGATCAACACATTTTCTCCTTCAGCCGTCGGCGGCGACGCCGACGCTTGCTGCTCTTGCGCGCGTGCTCGCGCGCGCCCAGGGCGCTCCGGGACAGCGGCATTAGACGCTGTCTCGAGTGGGGAGTCGCACGCACCGACAGGTGCGTGCGTAGCGGCAACAGGGCCATCGCTCACTGTTCCGCTGTCGCGACCGAAGCGCACGAGAGTGCGCTTCTCCCAATCGATGACCGGATCATGCCGTGCAAGCCACGGCATGCCCAATACAATGTCAAACTTATCGTCCAGATCCAGGACGATAAAGGTCTCGACAAACTCTTGATCTTCATACGTGAAGCGCACGCGTACCATGCGCTTCTCGGTCTTCACGACGGCACCCGTTGGCAGTCGTACTTCCAACATCATCGAAGACAAGCCTTGATAGACTTCGCAGTCGAACAAAGTTCTTCGACGCGCCAGAATCTACCAAAGCACGGAGAGAGCCGCTTGCTCTCATCGAGTTCACATTCAGGATGACAAGGTCAGGCTTGTCATCTTGGTTCTTGTAGTGGGGATGAACCTCACTGGGGGCTGCAGTCCTCAGTGTCGCGTGTCCAAGGTCGACACGCGGAGCTGCATTACCAGTAGGGCGCCCCGCGCCTACTGGGTTCCAGCGTTTTTTGTTTGTCCGCGACGATGCCCGGCATCGCCGCGTCGACCACCATCTCGGTGCACGGGTGCCGTGCACTCTCGGGCATAGTGACCGATCCTTCCGCAACGGAAGCATCGTACGTTACTTCCTTGTTGCTGTTGATAACCAACAGCCGTTGCATTCGAGAGGTCCATTGGTTCCGGACCTCCCGCTATCGCGACCGGAGGCGGTTGCAGCCTCGGCGCATTCGCATGTACTTTAGCCTGCCTCAGACTAAACTCCTCCTGTATCGCAAGAGTAATCGCAGCTTCGAGAGTACCTGGGTACTCACGGAAGAGATAGGTCTTTACAGGCCCATCTCTCAGACCCTTCATGGACGTGACGACCTTGGTCGCCTCGTCTATCGGGTTGGTCACAATGTTCGAGACCAAGTACCGTGCTCTCTGCGCGTAAGCATGGACATCATGCTTACCCTGCTGTAGGTCGAGGAACTCTGCCCTCGACCAAAACTCATTTTGCGGGGGCTCAAACGCTTGTCTGAATTCCTCCTTGAAACCCTCATACGTGCTGAAGCACGTAGGATCAGAGAGTCGGCGTCCATACGCCCAACTTCTCGCTTGTCCGCCAAGACATGACATGGCGAACGCAACCTTGGACAACGGGTCGACGATACGTCGAGCCGCGATGGCAGTGTCGAGTTCGACAAGCCAACGGAGGAGAGGCTCGCCCTCTCTTCCGACATAGTTGCTCACGTTTAGCTTCAACGTTTGCTCGCGCGGTGTCGTCCCCGACGCCACCGTGATAGAGGAAGCAGCATCACGCTGCTCCTTCATGATGAATCCCAGAGCAACACCGTGTTGCTCCGTCGGCGATAGTGTGCGCAGCATTACAGCTACAGCCGCTTCTCCAATGACTGTTGACAGTCGTTGGAGTGCCTCCCACTCTGGATCCGACAGGTGGAGGCAGTTAGCGCGTGCAACATGAGTTGCAGGCGAAGTGGAGCTTTCCATGGGCACCTCCGCCCTCATAAAAAGGTTCTCGGCTCCTCGTTCGTACAGCTCCGTACGAACGTTCAGGTAGTCGGTCGTTGGACGGACTACAAAGTGCTACCAGGTGTAATGGGCCTACCTTGGCTCACTACTACGGCTTACACGTATGCGCACGTGTATGAGGAAGCGTAGGTTTCTTTTACTTGAGTTAAGTATACTCGAGATCCACGAGTATACTTAAATAAGATAAAGACTCCAAGTAGCGTGTTTTGGTAAAAGATGAGAACTGCTATTTGTGTTTTATGTTTCTGACTTCCTCTAAATGTAATATTCTAAACTAGGAATCTGCCAACGGCTGGAGGGCAGAATTCCAATGCTATGCATGTCACTCATTGGCTAAAAGATGCTGCTCTCAACCAATAGGAATCCTAAGTCTCTATGGACCACCCGTCCTGGTGATCCTAAATGTATGTAGCCTTTGGTGTGTCTACACCAAGGACAAGAAAGTCTTTCGAACCTCTAACAGACGTCGTGTCTGTTAGAGTTAAGTGACTGTAGCAACTTGTGGTGTAACCCCGTTACAGGAGGCGTACAGGTTCTGGCGCCGCCAATTCGTGTCCGCCGACAAGCTGCTGGAGATTGAGTGCACGAACATCATGCCCGAGGTGGTGCTCAAGCGTCGGGTCAAGTTGACTGCTTCACGGACCTCATGGTCAAGTGCTCCAAGTCGGGCGCGCTGAGAAGCTGCTCTAGGACGATATCTGGGCAAGTACCCAGACCCGAGCCAGGAGGAACGCAAGAAGTACGAGATGCAGGCCACCATGGCCGAGTCATACTCGCCCGAGGCAATCCACGAGATCTTTCAGCAGTATGACATCAAGGCGCATGCATGGACGCGGACTGGAGCTTCCCCATCTCGTTCAACCTCATGTTCAAGTGCACCAACGGCTCCCAGAGGGGACATACTCGCTACCTGTGTCCCGAGACGACCCAGGGCATCTTCCTCATCTTCCGCTGTCTGCTCGAGTATAATATCAGCAAGGTGCCCTTCGGCTGCGCACAGATCTACAGTGCCTTCCGTAGCCGAAGACTCGATCCGGCCTCCTGCATGTGCGCGAGTCCCAGCATGCCTGTTGTCAACGAGGAGCCGCCACCACGGCGATGAGGAGCACGTACGCGCGCTGCGCCCGCAAGATCAGCAGCGTCAAGAAGATGGACCTGACTGCCATGCGCGGTGAGACGACCGAGCTCAACGCACCAATAAACAGGTGTGCAAAGGTTGCTGCGGACACGGACACGCAGTACAAGGCGAGCCAGGGCCGCATGGTCGCCGGTGATATGATGTTCACCACACCGTGGAGCTGAGCCTTGCTGAGCACGTGCTCACCATTCGCAGCGTGTACATGCGTCTGACGCCAGGAGCTGCGCATGCGCATCCAGAGCGTAGTACTGCCAGATGCTTTTGTTGGTGTTTGACGCCACAGAGGTGGAGTCGGAGAGTCTGCGTCTGCGTCGGCGTCTGGCCCGGTGGCTACTGCTACTGTGAACATGTCGAGCTGATCTTCTGTTCATGCTGGCACTGCTGCTGTGAGCGGTGCTTCTGCTGCTGGTGGGGCAATTCGCGCTGGCGCGTCGGTGGAGAGGAGGCGAGTATTATGTCGAGCGCTGCAGTAAGACCGGCACCAACAGCAAGACGAAGAGCGCATTCAGTCTGTTTCTACTGTGACGGCGACAATGAGCGAAAAGGTGATCGCTGCGCCGACACCTGGGTGATGAACAGTCTGTACGCAGCTACGGCCCAAGATGAGCTGCGTCAAGGCGATGACGTTTTCTCCTGATATCGATGCGCATCGCTGCTGCTAGAGAGACTTTGGAGCAGCGCTTCTTGGCGGTGGAGCAATCACAGCCAGCACACACAGAGCCGGATGATGTGGGTAACGAACACGGGCGACTACGGCGCTTTGGTGAATATGCTCCCAAGCTCGCTGAAGCAGAGCCCAAGATCCCACACATAGCGATGTTAGATCAGGGCGCGGCGGGGCAGCGTCTGTCCACGCTAACACGCTGCTGGAGAAGACGTAGGATAGCGACCATGGGCAAAAGGCAGGCCAACAGGTGCAGCAGGAGGACGAGGACCCGGTGATGATCATCGCGTCGGACGACGAAATGTCCAGTGTCGAGGACAGCTCGGACTCGGAGGACGAGCAGGAAGGCGCGGGGCTCAAGGGCGCCGTGCGGAGCTGCCAGTAGCAGAAGGAGGCGCAACAGCAGCCGAAGGAGAACGAGATCGCCGAGGACTTTAAGTTCGACGACGGCGGCGCCTTCCACACGTCAGGCGGCAGCTCGTGGGACTTCACGGCCACCATCTCGCGCATCGAGAAGATGGCGACCGCCACCCCCGCGGCCACCAGGCGCACGCCCATCCAGGCCAAGATCGAGAAGCGCCGCAAGGAGAAGGAGACCGAAAAACCGGCCACGAGAACAGTGACTCCGAGGAAGAAGAAGAGAAGGAGGAGGTGACGGCGACAGCGAGAGTGAGGACGAGATGGAGGAGGAGTCGGAGTCCTCTGATGACGAGAAGGAGGAGCAGGATGTAGAAGAGGACGACGTTGTCGTGGAGGAGGTGAAGCGTCTCCAATCGCTGCTGAAGGACAGCAAGAAGGATCAGCAGTCGAGTGAAGAGCTGGTGGACGCGTTGGAGAAGAAGGCTGCCAAGTTCTTCGGGATGGACCCTTTCGCTGCCGAGGAGTTCGGCAAGACCAAGTTCAAGCCTTTCGCCGACTTGAAGCTGTCTCGCCCCATTATGCAAACCATCTAGCACCTTGTCTTCGAGAAACCGACGCCGATTCCGATCCCCATCGCGCTCACGGACAAGGACATCTGTGCCCAGACGGGTAGTGGTAAGACCGCTACCTTCTTGCTGCCCATTCTGGAGCGTCTGCAGTTGCGTTCGCGTCGTGTGCAGTCCACGCGTGTCGTGATTATTTGTCCCGTGCGTGAGCTGGCGACACAGTGTCAGTCGATGTTTGAGCAGCTGGCGTGGCTTAATGAAGATCTCACGAAGGTGTGCTTTAGCGTGTGGGTTAGTGAACATGTGACCTCAAAACAGTACGAACAACTATATAAACACACATTATATTGTGAATGAGCTTACTCATGAGCACAAGTCGCTGCCTCATCCGTGATCGAAAACGCTTGGTCACTCAGACGGCGATTAAAGTTAAAGAATGACTTCAGCTCGCAGATTGCCCTCACCGTATCATCACCCAAGCGAGCACGGCGGGCGTTGAGAGCTATGCCTGCTGCTGAAAATGCAACCTCACTTGGAACCGACGTTGCCGTGACCGCCAAAAAATCTTGAGCCATTTGCTTAATACGAGGATAGACGTCCCCCGTAACTTGAAACCACGCGCACACTTGCTTGCTTTCTTTCATCTCACTCATGCCTTCATCAGCTGCTAGCCACCTGTCAAGCTCTTTCGCGAACGACGAATCCTCACGTTGCATTTCCCGACCGCCTAAAACCCCGCTAGTTTCAAACTGGCTGTCGCCTATATCGTCCACAGGGTGCCATCGGATATACTTTCACCATTCTGCTTGGAAAAACGCGCCATGAGGCCCTTCAGCTCGCTACCTCGCTTCTTTTTTGCTGACGGCGGACCGGAGGCTAGTTGCTGTTGGGCCAGAAATGCTTCGCGGTAATTCTTGTTGAACTCATCTTCAATTTCCTCCTTGACTTGATTGACACCTTCCACCAAGAGGTGCAGATACCGCTGAGCACGAGGATCAAGGGCTAGAGCTATCCGGGCTTCTCTTGTATTTACCTTCACCGTGTACTCATCCATCTTGGACTTAACAGCTCCAGCAAATTTCAGTGTCTGCTCGTCTTGTTCGGTTGCTATAGTTTCCGTTGCGTGAAACTGGATCAAAGAGTACGCGTAGAGCAGGATCCCGAACGTAGGATACGTCGATGCAGATAGCATATCAGTGGCTTCTTTGATGGGGCTGAGAAACTGGTAAAGAGCGTCCACAGCCGCCCACGCCTCCACTGAAATCTCCTTGGCCAGCGAATCACTTGGTCGAATACTGAAATCCGTATACTCACGGACCTTACCACGAATTCGGCGAAGCAACTCGTTCAGGGGCTGCTTTAGCGTTAGAAGGCTCTCCATCATAGTCCACGTACTATTCCATCGTGTCGGCACATCAAGCTTAGGGGTTATAAAGTTTTCGTCCAGGTCACTCCACACCCCTTGAAGCGCTTCCGAGAGCTTAGTTGACTCCGAAATCTTTTTCACGATGTCACGCAAATGGCCAATTGCAGAATCGACAAATGGACACTCCTCGAGACCTTCCTTTACTGCCAACTGCAGAACATGCGCGGTGCATCGTAGCTGAACAACAGTTCTTGAAGTCGAGCTGGTGGTTTGCCCGCGTGGCGACCCAGAGTCGGTCAATTCTGCTAGAGCCGTTCGCGAAAGCCTTTCAATATCGCGCTGCAACCGTTCGTTGATCTCAGCTACCATGGTTGTGTTGTTGGTGGCGTTGTCGGCAGTGATCGTCCAAATACAGCGTAGAAGTGAGGCATCCATGTCTTTCACTGCGCGAATGAAGTGGTCGGCGAGCCGTTTACCAGTGTGCGGATACATCACGCGTGTAAACGCAATAATGACAGACCTCATCACCCAGTTGCTGTCAATAAAGTGCATTGTAACTACCATGTAGCCTCTCTTTGACGGGGAAGTCCACATGTCGGTCGTGAAGCTGACACGGCGTCCAGTAACTTCGCGACAAATCTCTACGCGAGCAACATCCTTCTCCACTTTCCATTGGCCGAGGACTTTTTTGCGGATAGTCTGTTGGCACGGAACACTGTTCTCCGGACGCAACTCCTTGCAAAACTCCACGAACTCCTCTTGGTCAACAACCGCAAACGAGTGTGAATTCATAACAATCCATTTAATCAGCTTATCGTCGCAGCTTTTTACAGCGTCTGGGGTCATCACCGCGGCGGCTATGCGGATGCTGCCTCGAGCATTCGATGGTAGTGCGCTGGAATTGCCGTAGACCTCAGGATGATAGTTAACGAGGTGTTTCGGAAGTTACCAGTGCTACGACTGCTCCAGATCTGCTCGTCAGCCGTACACAGCATGCATTTGTAGATACCTGTATTGAGCTCATCAACGTACTCGAACACATCAGAAGCGTTCTTGCGCTTGCGTTTGTGACCCACGGAGCTAGCAACAACGACGAAAGAGATGGACGGGCCGATAGAAGAAACCGTAGAAACGCTGTCGGTGTCGTCCATGCTAGGCAGCGATCCTTCGGTTCGTAGTGATGGGACTTGTGTGCGGCAGTGCACCGCCGGACTTGACTTGTGACCTGAAGGGCGTGGGTTGGTGCCACGTACTCCGTGGCCTTGGAAGCAAAATGGAGAATGAACGTGAGGTAGAAGTACCGTGGTTTCATCCGGTTACCTCCTTGAGGTTGGCGGCTCCCGCGTAGTGGTCAAGGCTTGACCGTCAAGCCCATCCCGAGTCGGGATTCCCGACTGCGGTTTGCCCTCTACTGGCCGATATGCTCGTATCACGTCAATCAGGTACAACAAAATACACAGAGTAACATTGAAGCACGATTGGTCAATTTCTGTCCAATGAACTCCCACGCCAAACGGATTCGATCCGAAGTTGATCCGTTTTAAATCCGGTTGCCGCGGACCGGATTCAAGTCTATTCAAAACGGATTGGCTCATCCGTTTACATTCGGGAAAACGTCAAAAGGTGTATGAATTTGAAACGTTTTGTCAAAAGCGGTTAACTCGTGTCATTAGGTTGTCGGTATGACAGTATGTGTATGTGGTTCCAAGCGCACTAAGGTGCATGATAAAGCTGCATCAGCAACGAATGCGGTGACTGGTGTGTGGGCTTAGATCCAAATCCATAAAATCCGGGGTTAGGAAGGCAACTAGCCCGGTTCGTGGTGTCCATGACTTTGATAGCGAATTGTACGGCCGAGGGACTACAATGAACGTCGTTATCCATTGTAGCCAGGTCAGTGTTGCCACAGTTCTACAATACCTACACTCTCCCCCGGTTGGGGGCTCTCACTAGAGCTCCTTCACCTCCGAAATTCAGATGCAAAATCTACCTAGTATAGCCATGCTATATACGCTTGCGGTTTGCGTTGGTAGTTCCTTGTAGCTGCAATAGCGAAATTGTCGAGTACAGTTGCTCTATATGCTATTATTAGTTGACCGTGTTCGCTACGAGCGTGTTGTTAATAAACTACTGTGCTTGGAAGCTCGATCCTGGGTCTGTATGACCCGACCTCGGCCGATATACCGCGGCAACCAAAACGTGTGTCAGTACGTGTATGATGCGACGTGACGCCCACGACCACTACACCTATTGACAAACGTTTTCCCAACGCATACACCTTTTGACGTTTTCCCGTTTACATTCTCTACTCGTTGCTAAAGATGCGGATAAATGCCTTCGCGCTTTGCCTTTGCAGGCTTCGATAGGCCTGGTACGCTGTTGCATTGTCCGCCCCTGCAATGAAGCCAGTGTGCACCTGGCAATCTGCTCAATCCGCCTGGCAAGTGGCGGCCATAAGTACCTCACAGATGCATTACAGTTTGAGTGTGCAGCTCCCTAAGCGTCGGGGCTCGAGTGTAGTGTCTTCCAGTACATGTACCTAAGCACTACCGCGAAGAGCAACGAGGAAGCCCCCAAAAATCGCGGTGTCCGCGGTGTTAGTGAATCACTAATAGTGATCGTTGAAGGCATTACCGCGGCTCAACTCAATACAACCACACGATTACAGTACAGGTTTTATGCGCGTTTTTCGCGAACGTCTGGGATCGCCAGGCAGGATGGGGTCCGCCCTATTTCGACAGTCAAACCGCAAGTTCGGCGACAATTGGCCACTCTAGCTCACAATTCTGTACGAAATCCTATCTTCCGATGTGCAGCGAGGTTACGGTGCTGCCCCAGCCTGAGGCTGAGCCTCCGCTGTTGTCATTTGTGCTCACTTTGGAAAACACTTTACCGGGACGAAGGAAGGCATGAATCTCCGTCGATTAGCCGCCTCCGTCTTCGTGGGCGTATTGGGCCTTGCGTCCACCACCCCTCGCGTCCAAGTGCAGGCTCAGGAATGCACAGCAAAAGACAACACTTTCGGATTCCTCGTGGATAAGCTACCGACCGCCTACGGACTCAACACTTGCGTGGCCAACAATGTCGGAACGATTGCTCTAGCGGTTGCTAGCACTATCTTCAGTAGCTGCGGAATGTTGGACGTCTACGATGTGGTCAAGAACGATGACCTGAAGAACCTCTTCACACTGTTCAAGGACATCGCTGCGAAGCCTGCCGACATTTCCCCTATCGTCTATAACTACATGGCCAACGCCAACGACGACTCGGTGGACAACCTGTGTGACGCCTTCAGCGACGCCCTCGGACCGTGTGGTCAAAAGGTGCTCCCGAAACTCATCCCCGCCTTCCAGAAGGACAACGTGTGCTGCGGCCAGATCAGCAACCTCATCGACCTGCTCAACATCGTCGTGCCGCCCGACAAAAACCAAATGTTCTTTATCCTCAACGAGCTCATCGACGGCTTCAACAGGTTCCTGTGCTCTAAGAAGGGCGATGACTCTTGCGGCCTGGATATGTTCCAGCAGTTGACGAAGATGTACACGGTCGAGACGTTCGACTTCTTTGATGACCTGGTGTTCCCGTTCATGACTATCGGTCAGGGCGAGGAGTGCTCGGGCCTTTCGGGCAACCCGTACAAGAACACCGCGTCGCAGTCGCCCGGGAAGACCATCAACTTCGGCTGCTGTGTCCACCAGATGCGGCCGCTCATTCAGACCATTCAGAGTGCTGTCAAGAACGTGGTGAGTGACGAAACTTGGGACATCCTGAGTGGAATGGTGGCGTTCAAGAACCCGAAGGGAGGCTTCGTTGACACTCTCACAGGAACCAAGACTTGCGAGTTTGACGGTGATTCTTGCGAAGACCCGAAGGGTATCACTGACGACGTTGAGATGACGCGGGAGCCTGGTTCGAAGAACCCCGGCAAGAACGACCTCATTGACACGGATTGCACCTTGGAGGACAAGTGCAGCGGAGACAAGTCGGTGTGCAGCGAAGTGTGCAAGAGAGGCTCTGTCGCCGTCCCCGAGTGGCTCAAGTCTACTCTGGCGTATCAGCGCAACTTGGCCAACAGCGGTCCGTTCTGCTACGCGCAGATCCCAGCCTCCCACAACAGTGCTATCACTCTCGCGGACGGCTTCGGCAACCGCGACCAGCTCTTCAACAAGAACCTCAACCCGGACAAGTGGTATTCGTACCTCAAGACCAACAACCAGGTGCTGAGTATGACGGACCAGCTCGACATTGGTATCCGCTTCCTCGAGGTTGACACCCACTTCTTCCTGAATGACCTTCACACTGGACACTGCGGTAACCTTGGCTCGGACGCTGTTGCGGGATTCTTCGGTGCGATTGGTAAGACGCTTGGCAACTACGGCACGTACAACTGGGGTCCGGAGCTGTTGGGCTGCTTCCCTTCGATCTCTGGAATTAAGGCCTCGGAACAACCACTGACAAAGGACTCGCTGGATGAGATTATGGCCTGGCTCAACGCCAACCCCACCGAGTTCGTGGTCGTCTACTTGGACACCGGTTCGGATATTAAGCGGACGGACAAGTTCGGCGCTATCGACACACTATTCACCGACACATTCGGAGACCTGCTCGTCCCGCTGACGGCGTTGGATGATCTGGCCAAGGGCAAGTGGACGGGCGGCAGCATCAACGAGTTCATCAACGCTGGCCACCAAGTCTTGGCTCTCACCAACACCAAGACGAAGGTTGCCTACAGCCTGTACGATATGTGCACGAAAGAAAAGAAGCTCACGGTTGAATTTATTGATGATCTGCCTGACGCTAAGCGCCAGATCAACGGGATCACGATCTACAGCGAGACGAACTGGATCCGCTCATGGTCGGAGCAGCTGCGCTACATCTCGCTCGCAGCCACGGGCGCTCTTACCAACAAGTTCCCGGTGTTCTTGGACGCAGAGAGTATCCCCAATTACCTGCGGTGGAACCTGAACCTCATCGCTCTCGACAACGCCGACGTCGCCAAGATGGCGGCTCAGGTCTGGTCGTGGGCGGAGAACGAGCCCAGCACCACCGCGGCTGGCGCGTACGTGCTTATGGACAAGGACGGCCGGTGGGTAGCTAGCACAAAGGCCAAGAAGGGCACCCGCGCGTGTTGGGACAAAGCCAAACTGGCGTGGTCCATCGTAAACTTCGCTAAGGACTGTCCCGCTGGAACGACCTTTACGGCTCCGACGGACCCGTACCAGAACTACCTGCTGCACGAGGCGCTCGTCGCCCGGAAGATCGTGGGCACGTCGCTAGTTATCAACGCCACCTTGACCGCGGTAGGCGCGCCCACCCCCGTGCCGTCGGAGGTTGCGGTCATTACGGATGATGGCCCTGCACCTGCTCCTGCTGCTAATAGTACTGCCGGCAGCGCTGCCACGGCAAGTACTGCTGCAAGTGCTGCAGAGACCATAGAGGATACGAAACCCGATACTTCGTTGTGTAGATCGCCAGGAGCTTGCGGTCCGAGGTAGAGCTGACATTTTCTCCTATGTAGTTGGGTCCATTAAACTTGACGTTAGCGTTCAACTTGACCAGCTTCTGCTCACACATCGCAGGAAGTTTGCACGTCACAGATTTGTACTGGAATCCCCTCCTTTTAGTCTTTGGTCGCATCTTCTGGTGATCAAATCCGCCCTTTTGGCTCACCAGCAAAACGAGCCCATTTTTAGAACGGTCTAAATCTAGAACGGAGACTTGCAAAAATGGTTGTTACCGACACTTTTGATGTGGCCCCGCCACTGCCTGCTACTGCCCTGGATCTTGGTAGGTAGTTCCGAGCTTTTTCTGGGGAAACCGATGACAACAGCGCCTCTGGTTGAGCGCGGAAAAATAGATTTTTAGTGCCGAACAAACATATTCAAATCAGCCCTGATCGCAAGGCATACAAAACAGAAGTAGCGCCGGGGTGTGGGGTGTCAACATAAATGCTACACAATGGGGCTCGGAACACAAACACAGTAATATCTAGAATTTGAATGCTCTAAAAAGTGGGCCTAATCTGCCGGTGAGCCGCCCTTATAGTCTTTAGTCTCAGTTCCCACTTGTCCAGCATGGAGCGCGTGCCGACACTGCCGTTGCCGCTCTTCTCGAGCGTCGTGGGCTTCGCCGTGCCCGACTTCTCGGAGGAAATCGTCTCGGACAAGCGCAGCTTCTTCTTCGCCTCGAACCACCTCAAGAACTTGGCGCTCGTGTCCAAATCGTGGCACAATTCCGTGCGCGAATTGGTCGCCCAGTGCCAGCGGTCGACGCTGACGCTCAAGTTCCACACTGCGAGTCGCCCCGAGCTGCTGGAGATGAGGACGAAAGTGCTGGCGAGAGGCCGACACGTCACAGATCTGAGGATCTCCATGGGCCAGGTCGGCTCCTTCGGGGAGTATTTCAGTCTCGGACGGCGTCTACCGGAGACTTTGGACACTCTGGAGCTCGGGTGGGACGCGCTGATCGCACGGATGCCAGGGCTGCGTCGGCTGGACTTGTCCGAGATGCCGCTGTGTAGTCCACACACTGTGAAAGTCGTGGAGGCGGCGACCAAGTCCTGTCGGGAGCTGGAAGCTTTGATTCTGCCTGGAAAAGAGCACTATGAAATGCACCCGGGCGCTGAGATTGACCCTCTTTTGGACGCGGTGTACAAAGGACTGGAGAGTTGGAGACCGGCGGGACATCGACGAGGACTGAGGCAGTTGAAGGTTCCAACGATTAATGAGAAGACGCGGTTCCAGTCGTGCAGGAAGTTCTTCGACAAGCTGGTGACGCTCTGTCCGCAGGTGGAGTATCTGGATGGGTACAAACAGTCGTTGTGTGAGATGGACAGACTTACGTGTCAGGACGTCTGGCTGCTGAATTTGGAGGACTGGAGGAAGTTCAACGCGGCGTGTACGAGTATTCGAGAGTTTAACTGGGTCGTCGCTCCGTTTGCAGACCCGTACTTTGAAGTCTTTGGGGAGTACGTGAAGCCTCAACTTACGAAGCTCATTTTCTGCATTAACATGCTCTGGGACTGGGAAAAGTACTTCGTTGAGCTGGATAGGGAAGCGGGATTGCTGGCTAGATCCAATATCGTCGATGTTGGTCGTGCGGGCTATGGATGGTTCGCGAGAAATCCTAGTAGTGCACTATTGGGCTGTCCAGGCTTGCAGGAGCTTGAAATCGCGCTCTACGGCCCACCGGATGAGGACGAACTCGATGATCCGTTTACTTATAACAGAGACCAAGGTTACTTTCCAGACGATGAAGTTCTAGAGAAGAGCATTTTCGGCGACGAGTTTTGGGAGACGCTGGCTACCAACTGTCCACTGATTAATCGCATCGCATTGTGGGAAGTCGTGGAGGGGCTTGAGCTCCATCACATCCATTCTTTTACGGACCGCGGACTGATAGCACTGGCGCAACTGAAATACTTGGATTTTATGGAGCTGCGCCCCATAAACTGCACTGGAAGCGGGCTTTTCGAGTTCTTGAATGGCTTCTCCGATGAGTTTACTGGACAACGCACGTTTCAAATTTGTGTGGGAAGTAAATCCATTATGCCGGAGCACGAGAGGACAGATTTGAATTTCTATGACGCAGTCATGAGTTTGCTGACGCGACTCGCCGATACGCATGCAAGTGACCTGCGGATGTCACAACAGAGAATAGTACTTCGCTTGAAGAATGCCATCGCCAGTTCGGTGGAGAGGGACTGGGGTGTCGATTACCTCGAACGGCTGAAAAAGGTTGTGGATCGCGTCAAGGAAACCCACCTCTCGCTTCGACTGCGCATTACGGCACACGGCTACAATGGTGTAAGCTTCAGAAGTATCAGTGAGTTGGGTCTCTACGCTGCGCACGCTGAGCCCAGCGTTTGGTTCGGCTGGGACGAGCAAGAGAGCAATCGCGATGTAGTCTTCGTGAACCGCGGCGGTGTGCCATACATTGATGAAAGCTCTGAAGCCGCAGCTGGCGATGATGACGAAGGCGATTCCGGCAGCGACTATGACATGGAGCGCGACAACGATGAGGACTTTGCGCTGTGATGTGATGAGTAAGTAGTGCCTCGCATTGCTCGATAGTGATGCTGCCCAGATAGCGTTAACGTTACAGATTTGTAACAAGAAGATAAATTTCTAGCAAGTTGAAGTGCGTTTTCACCGTTCACGCTTATTTAGTCGTTGTTCGCAATGGTCGCAGGACCTTGAAACATCACAAAGACGGCTGATTTGGACAGATCTCGTTGAGCCAAAACCAATCATGGTCTCTGAAATATTGAATATTGACGCCACTAGAACATTTTGAAATTTCAGCGTTTCTTCTCAAAAATCGTCCACCACATTTAGCCAGGGTCCGACTAAATAGCGTGAACGGTGTACACAAAATCACTTGCCAAAATCCATACAAAACGGAAAGAAATTTAGTGCAAAAGATCTTGGTGTTGGAGAAAAATGGAGCGTCTCCCGGCGCCGCTCTTGTCGTCCATTCTGGCAGTCGCAGTGCCCGGATACACTGAAGACTTGGTCCCTTACAAGCGCAAGCTTCCCGGCGAGCTCCTGAAAGCCCTCGCGCTGGTGTGCAAGGCCTGGCTGGCTGTCATCAAGGATATCGTATCGCGCTTCCAGGCATCCACGCTGACTTTGCACTTTCAGACGGGCTCCGAGTCGGAATTGCAGGAAATTCAGCGCCAAGCGTCCGACAAGGGTTCACAAGTGGTAGACCTGCGTATTTGCATCGGCAAACTCGTTCCGCGCCCAGGATTCTACCGAAATTCCGATGCCATATCTCTATGCAAGAGGGACGCCCCGCCCCTCGACGGTGTAGATCTCAGTTGGGATTCGCTTTTCCAAAGCTTTACCAATCTAAAGCGACTGGATCTAACTCTAATGACTTTGGAGAGTCCCCACGTGAAAGGGATTGTGGAGGCAGCAGGAAAGCATTGTCTACATCTGGAAGCTCTGGTTCTTCCGAGTCGTTTCCGAGCGATTAGCCAATTTGTTCCTCCGGACCCAATCGATTTGGTTGACTCGACACTATGCCGTTTATAAGGCTGCAGAAGATTGGTGGCGTGCTGGCGACCAAAGGGGACTACGACAGCTCACGATTCCAACGCTGAATTATGATAACTGTTTCGCCTCGTGTGCCGAGTTCATCAGAAATGTGGTGAAGTATTGCCCTACCGTGGAGTATTTGGATGGATACGTGCACTCGGTTCGTGATACAGACGTTCTAACTTGTCGAACGTTCTGGCCGCTTACGGTGAACTTGTGGGGGGATTTTTGCGCTACGTGTACGAATCTACGTGAGTTTAACTGGGTGATTGCTCCATTTGGAGACCCGTTCTTTGAAATATTCGGGGCAACTGTCAAGCCCCACTTAAAGAAGTTGACGTTCGGCATCAATATGTTTTGGGACTGGGAATACTACTTTCGCTGCTGTGACGAAGCCTCGGGGGTGGAGAGAAATGCCGCAGCTTCTTCAACGAGACCAGGTTACGGTGTTAACGCTACTCGAGTTGCCAGCGCTCTGGAGGGATGCCCAGCGCTGGAGGAGCTCCGTGTGAACTTGTATCACCCGGTGGATCCCGAGCACAGAGGTTTTATAATCGCTGCAAACAACGATCAGAGGCTGTTTCCTCTCGATGAGGTTGTGAATATGGACGCATTCGATGACCGCTTGTGTGAAACGCTGGCCACGTATTGCCCATTGGTGTCGTGCGTCGAGATTAAAGAGGTTGCGCCTGGTCTCAATCGTTCACTGTCCCCTATCCAGACATTCACGGATGCTGGTCTAGAGTACCTGGCGAAACTCAAATTCCTGAAAACTCTGCACTTGCGCCCGATCAGCTGCACCGCTAAAGGATTGCTCAAGTTCCTAAACAATTTGTCCGACGAGTTTGCTGGGCAGCGGACGTTTGAGCTTGCTGTGGCTGGAAACACCAGAGCGTTGTCAATGGACTTTTACGTGTTCCTTCAGGAGCTGTTACGCCTGCTAGGCGATGCAACCCCCCATGAGCTGGCGTGCGCGCAGCAGAAATTCGTGCTTCGAGTAATTAACTCAGGCGAGGCTGTGATGCAATCCGTTTGGGGTGAAAGTTACCTCAGCTCTTTGAAGAGCATCATCGAGAAAGTCACGAGAGTACACGAGTCATTGAGGCTACGGGTTGTGAGCGCGAGGGAGCGTGGAACTACAGAATTCGCGACTATTCTTGAGTTTGGGATTTACACACTGTCTGGCGAGCCTAGTCCATCGTATGGCTGGTGTAGGAGCGAAAGCAACAAAATATTCGTCGTCAAGACCTATGATTACACTTCAGACTAGTGCCGAAGCGTCAATGCGGAAAGAAGACGTTCATTTATCTTCGGGTGCTGACATTAAAGCTGATGATGCTGTCACTGCATGAGCTCACAAACAAGGTAGCCGTTGGAACAGGAACAATACGGCATCGCCTTCTTGACTCTTATCGGTGGGAATGCAGAAGCTAGTGTAGCTCTGACGAGTAAAGAGGCGGGCGGGCATTTCGCATCGATACGGCGACTAAAGGGAAAGAGCGAAAATTGTAGGCCCTACAAAACTACGCAGTCAATTCGATTTTTTGTTTGTTTTTTGCTTACTGGTACTGTGATCGAAGTGGGCCCTGTCGTCCCTTCACTAGTGTAGTGTGCATTGTGTTGTACCTTTCCACCTGGAAAACTGCGTCGTCATCAGTTCTACCTTCAACTTTGCTTTACGAGTTTTGAGGTGTGCTAGAACCAACAACAACAACACACGAAGCTTAAGGCCAAACACCACCTTTTTTTAGAGAATCAATGCTACTAGTAAACCCACCTGAGGGCCGACTACAGGCGCATCGTCGTGCTTCTTGTCAGCTTGTTTTTCGCGTGGGACACCAGGGTAAAATCTCTGAGGATTTTGTAGGCTGGCTCGTGCGTTGATGTCATGGTGGGCGCTGTCCAGATATTAAACAGCTTCGCGACGTGCCTCTCATCCCAACCTTTCTCGATCCAAACTTGATATCGATACTTCTGCATTCTCTCAGCGAGGTTCTTGAGGTCTGGGATGTCTTTCAGCGCGTTCACAATTTTGGCCCACCTTGTCCTCCGGCAAACTCTTGATCAGCACCGAGCACAGTTGATAATTGGGAAACCAATTGATTCCCTTGGTCGCTCGGTAGTACTTTGCGAACCAAACCAGCCGACAACATAGGTCGACGTGTCTGGCTTCTTTGCGATCCGATCAAAATGGTAAAACTTAGCCAGCTTCTCGGGGTCATAACCCAGTTTGAGCCATATCTTCGTTGACAACTTCTCGTCCATTTTCGTGAGCTTCCACCTTCCGTCGTCCAGCGTTGCAAGTTTTGACACGCCCGATAGATCTCCGCGCTCTTCGTCATGATCCCTCGCCTTAACTTCCCCAATTGCGGCTTCATGCGATCGGAGAAATCGTTGCATGGTTCCCACACGACCAATATGCAGTAGGCGTTCAGCCAAAACTTCTGGGGCTGGCTACATCTTGCAGACACTACAGTTGCTGACCCCAACGAGAAGCTGCACGAGCCAGTGCAACCAGTCCCTGAACAACCACTGCTTTCCGAAACACAGCGTTGCCCAGCACTACGCCATTCTCCGTGAACCCGACAAGAGCTCTACAATTTCAAGAGAACACGTCGGAAACAAACATGCAAATGACTGGTGCGTTGGTGGTGGTGGTCACCATCACGTGTATCTTTCTGGCGCAAGCTCACGCATCAGCCTGCGAGTCAAAACAAAAAAGACCACAACGTTATGACAGACTGGATGTCTGCATCGGTCATCAGCTTTTCGTGCTGAATGCTCTTGTTATCTTGTCTTAGTATTTACAGGAACCGTTGATTTCCGAATCAGTTCACGTTGAACGCCCCCCCCCCCCCCCCCGTACTGTTACTATGCACAAAAAATGATTCTTGAACGGATTTTACAGGACATTACCAGGACACACAAAATTGTAGTATTTTGTCCAATCAGAATTAAATTAACATAGCATCGCAGTTTTGCCTGTGTTTGGCCTCACCGCAACAGCAAACATGCCATAGGCTGCCCCACCTGCACAATAGTATAACTTTACCTCTTCATCATCAAGAAAAGCTGGCCGAGACTGGGCCGGCGTAGGCGGTTGTAATTTATTGCCAAGTCGGCGTTGAAGCACGCTAATACGGCCAGCTCTTCTTCGACAAGGACATCGTCAGCGATATGGCGCTCAACAAAAGTCTAATTCTATGCTCACCACCCACGCCGATGACTCCGTTCTACTCGTATCAGGAAACAAAGTGGCCGAGGGCTTCGAGTACAGGTGATTCGGTCTCGGGTGGCATGCTGGCCTGGATCTCGACGGGCAGGAGATGACGCGCGCAGACCAGCAACCATCAAGACTGAGGGCTCGCTACGGTAGCGTCGTGGGCGACTTCGTTGAGGACGATCACGATCACGACAACTAGCTGGTACGGCAGCTCTGGTATGGGCGTTCGGCGGAGGCTCAAACGTGGGCGGCTTCAGCGGGTCAGACCCTAAGGGAAGGTGCTGCAATTGCTCTTCGCTATCCAGGGACACTACACATACAACAGTCATGGCAAGCGTCGACACAGCGTGTGCCCCCGCAATTAAATGTTGCGATTAGCACTGGGTAATGGAGAGCTATTGTTTGTACATCTTTCAGCGTTCATATACGTACTGGTTCGACTCGGCGTTACTGCTGACTTAGTTAAAAAAAAAAGTGTTGAGAATGTATGAAATGTATGGCTGAGCTTAGATTTCTTTAACTGGTACGACTAAAATGCTCCTTGGTCTACAAAGCGAGCCATGAATACTGTATCTTCCTGGTGGGCACGCTACGCTAACGGACACCACGTGTGTGTTATATTCTGCTTGGCGCATTAGCTCGGAAGTTTGCTGCATTGCGGGTGCGGCATCCGCAATGCAGCAAATCTTGCAGGACATGTTGTCCTTGAAAAGCACAAAAGATTGACTTTGCCAAGCTTGTGCCAATAATACTAGATTTTGTGTAGGATTTGACGCCGGGATGTTTCGATTTGGAAAATACAGGACATTCTATGCTCGTGAGCCAGATCGATGTCCTGCAAAATCTGGAGAATGTGAGTTAGCATCAATACAAAAATTGACCTGGACTAAATCACATTCCAATATGGAGGCGCTACCAGCGCTTCCGTTGCCGCTGCTGCAAAGTATCTTGGCGTTCGCCGTGCCGGGCTACGTCGACGACCTCCCTGTCGATCGACGTAATGGCATCACGTTCGTCCTCAAGGAACTCAAGCACGTGTCGATGGCGTGGGGATCAGACCGTAATAAAAATTACAATTCAGCAAGGAGAAATAAAAAAAATGGCGCAATATAAATATACTGCTCTTCAATTTGAGGCATTTCTCCAGAAGAAATAAACCACTTTCTGTGCGTCATATGATTACGGAGTCGTTTAGAAACACTTTTTGGGGTGTTGCTTTAGAAAACTTTGCATGGTGGATGCTTAAAGAACCTACCGGTAGTAATACGTGAGCGAGATATATCTGGATCTTGCTATATATCGTTAATCTGGTGTAGTGGATTCCAGGGTTTCACCTTGGTATCACCGCAGTTAAGGGCTCGATAGCATGTCGCGGCGGTGACCCACGCCAGCCACAGGTAATGGGTTCACCGCATCATGACCAGTCAAGCTTCACACAGACACACTTCATAGTGTGTGCACCTGATATGAGGTTACAGACTAAGCATTTTACATAAAGCTCAAGTCCCTAGTGGATTGCCATCCGCTGCCGTCCCTTGATGTGATGTGTTCGGCGGGATTCACCACATCTGGACGTCATTGATGTTCTGACTTGCGTACATATTGGTTTCTAAAGATGTTGATTGCCCATTGTAGACCTAACTATCATTTTATGAGTACTTTGCTATGTTTGGCGCCCGTGAAACCTTTTTTCATATTAATTGTCAATAATTGGTACAATACTGTATCGTATTGGAATCGTTGATCTCCAATAATAAAAATTAGTATTGCAAAACCCAATTATTTATTGGATCGCAATTATTATTTCGGACCTCTGGTGCAAAGATCCTTGGCCAGTCGATGGTGACCGTCTCCACGACGTCCCTGAGCCCAGGGTTCACAGTAAAGTAACCCGAGAAGCGCTCAAACGTGCCCATGACCACATGAAGTTCTGTGATTTGGTCCCCCTTACCCGCTGCTTTCGTGTACAGTTGAAACAATCGGCGGGAACCCGGGTTCCCGCTAATGATACCAAATCGCGAATTATTTATTTAATTTTTGGCCTCCATATTGGGGCAAGTTAAACCCTCATACCTAAGTGCTGTCGATGAAGGACTACCCTCAAAATATGCCACCGGCACTGAATAGACCCAAATAACATACCTTACCATGTCCAAGTTTATCTTTCATGAACAGGAGGATAGCGATGAGACCGGGAAGCACTGTACCGCTGCACCAGGCAAGCGTCTGGATTTTCGTGGAGACACACAGGACGAGGGCGAAGGTGAATTAACCTTCCGTTCCCCCTACTGAGCTTTAGCTGCGTTCTATGTAGGTCATAGACCAACACTTCAATACATTTGCTCATACATGTGTACTGGTAGTTTTGAGGGAACCGGGGTCCCGATGGGTACCCGGGTTCCCGCCAATATTTTCAGTTGCTGCAGCTCTTGGTCCGACGCCGTCTCAAATTTGAGCATTAGTGTCGAGTCTCGATACTGGTGGACTATTTCGCGCATGGGCGCTCTCGTACTCAATTCAATATAGTACTGTATTTTCGGACCTCTGCTTTGCACCTCTGAAGAAGCTCAAGACTCTGAACCTCAGGGCAATACAACTGGAAAGCTGCCATGTTCTTGGCGCAATCGATACCGCAGCTACATGTTGCCTCAATTTGGACAAGTCGGTGCTGCCCTTCAAGCGAGATATGTACAATGTACAATGACACCATTCAAGCTGTGATGCTGAAGTTGTACAACGCGTTGAAGAAGTGGAACGAGCAAGGAAACCGTGGAGGGTTGAGGCATCTGACCGTTCCGACGAGGAACATCAAGGACAAAGTCCGGGCTAGCAAGGAGTTTTTCGAGAATGTGACGAAATCCTGCCCTCTGATAGAACATATCGACGGGTACAAGGTGTCCTTGTCGACTTTGGATAGTTTGTGGTGCAAGATGGCTTGACTTCTGACGGTTGAAGACTGGGAAAAGTTCAACGCCGGGTGTCAGAACTTGCGCAAGTTTAACTGGATCGTTGCTCCTTTCGGGGATCCGTACTTTCGAGTCTTTGGTGAGCATGTCAAGCCGCAGGTGAAGACGCTCACGCTTGGGGTGAACATGTATTGGAAGTGGCCGTGGTACTTCCATGACAAAAGCAGCGCTGCTGGGCCGCTCCCTAATATTGACTGGGGAGAGGAGGACTACTGTGAGCGCCCTGGCTACGGGTTTCTTGCAACTGACCCTGGAGCTACATTGAAAGGCTGCCCCAAGCTGGATGAACTGATTATCCAGCTGTACCATGCAGTGGATCTTGACATGTACATTCCCCCGGACATGGGCGACATCCAGGATTTTCCCGAGCAGGAAATGGTGAACCAAAACGTTTTTGATGACCACTTTTGTGTGACTTTGGCCTCGCAGTGTCCGTTCGTAACTCACTTTGTGATTAAGGAAATAGGCAACTATTTCAATAGGAAAGAGTTGAAGCCAATTGTGACATTCACGGATCGAGGGCTGATGGCGCTGACCAAGCTAAAATTTCGTCGCTCTTTGGAGCTTCGCAGCATCAACTGTACGGGACGCGTCTTGCTCAAGTTTCTGAATTCTCAGTCGAACAAGTTTACTGGAGCCCGGACGTTTGAGATCACTGTCGGTGGGAGTCCAGTCGATTCGAGACTCGCATTCTACGACATTCTAAAGGAGCTGCTTGTCCATCTTGCTGAGACCTCGGACCCGCCGTGCGCCCGCCAGAAGTTTGCGCTACGACTTCTACGACGGCGAAGGTGCAAGTGACGAGGGCGAGAGTGATTTTAGTAACGAGACCGACAGCGACTTTGAGATGTAGGCGCAGCCACGTCATTATGTATAGATAAATGGAATTCGTCGTGCAAAGTGAACGAAACAAAAACTAGAAATATTTCTATGCTATTTCGATACAGTTTCTATCGGCAAGAGCCAGACTCTTGCACTCTTGCGCGCTTACTTAAACTCGGCAAGTAACGATGGAAGCTCTCGATGCTCGCGTTGAGCAAGTGCTGGGAAGTATCACCTCTGACAATACCAAGTACGTCTATCTACGAACTTTATCTCGCTTCATAGACTGGCTCTACGAGAATACGGAGGCGGATCGACGGCAAGTCCTGTTTACTAGTACGTTTCGTGAGCTGGGTGCAATTAATGGGTAGAGTATCGCGCAGTGGTTCTCTATCGTCCCTTTACGAAGCCCTGCCAATCTAAGTGTATTAAGTACTATGGAGTGTATGCGCTACTTGACCTCGATGGAGCAGCGTGGTGTCACCGGAAAGTCGACTTTTGGAAATGTTCGCTCGGCGATAGTGTACCTTCACACTCAGACAGAAAGTCCTCGGTGAATGCTACTGCAACGATGCACACCGAGCTTAACACATGGGGTGGGGGCTTTCATCGAGTGCCAAGAGAGTTTGTGCTACCCCCAAGAACCGTTCGCGTTGTGTGGCAGCAATGGTGTGCTGGGCAACCGCCACTACAGCAGCTATCAAAGCACGATATGGCTTCAAGACTACAAAAGATCCGGCTTGCAGAGCTTCAGCGGCTGATGCGCTTCGTTGAAGCACTTCTGACGAGTGATGAGGTCCTGCGAGCGCACAGCTCTCTCGATTCGGCTGGCCTTCTTTTTGAGCAAGTAAAGAATCGTTTACCGTTCTCATCGACGTCGAGTAAAGGAAGAGCGCGTAGACTTGACCAACTATCGTGGAGAACACTCGCCCGTGAGCAGGCAAGGCACAGCTCCAGCTAGACTAGCTACCATTACGTAGGTAAGTAGCGGTAAGCTTATACAATACACATTTACTTCGAAGTAGTGGTGTTTCTATTTTCACACTGTGTACCAAATGTGCGGCACAATATGCTTCGTGCAAACTGCACGATGAATTCCACTACATCTTGAATTATGGACATTTTCATTTGATTTTTGTACAGCTGGCATTTTTGCATTCGTGGAATTCGCCGGTCAATTTGCACCCCGAATTCTATACGAAGTGGCAGATTCGCACGGCGATTTCCGTAGAAATAGCCATTACGAGATGGCTACATGCAAATCTAAGATTTTTTTACAACATTTTGGGTTTGGCCTAATAAGAGACTGTACCCAAGATGGAGCGTCTCCCTCCGCCGCTCGTTTCGTCCATCGTGGCCTTTGCCGTCCATGACTACAGCGAAGACCTGGTCCCGAATAAGCGGAAGCTGCCTGTGGACAACCTCAAGCAACTCGCGTTGGTGTGCAAGTCCTGGAACAACCTCGTCCAAGACGTCGTGGCTCGCTTCCAGTCGACCAGACTCAGTCTCAGTTTTAAGTCAGGCTCTCGCTCCGAGTCGATGGAAATACGTCGACGTATTTCACAAAGAGGACCAAAAGTGGTGGACCTATACGTCCAAATTGGTGACGCCCCGCCTCGCGGCGGTGGAGTTCACTTCTTACGCACTGGAATGGTGAGGTCCTGGACCCATAAAGACTTCAAGATCAATTGGGACGTGCTGTTTGCCGGGCTCCCAGCTCTGCAGAGACTGGATCTGTCCGGAGTCCAATTACTCAGTGGTCACGTGGAGCTGATCCTGCAGAGCGCTGCAAAATACTGCAAAAATATCGAGTCCGTGGTATTGTGCGATGTGGACGAAATGCTGCAGGGACGAGTGAACTTCGACTCAATTTTTGGTGCACTATTTGCTGCCATGGAGGTTTGGTACTCGAGCGGGACCAATCGAGGATTGAGACAACTCAAGGTCCCGTCACTGAACGAACGAGAGCGGTTCCAGTCTTGCAAGCAGTTGTTCGACAACTTGGTGAAGTTTTGTCCCGGAGTGGAGTACGTCGATGGGTACAAGGCGACGCTGTGCGAGCTGGACAAGTTGACGTGTCGCGTCGTCTGGCTGATCACGGTGGAGCAGTGGGAGGAGTTCAACGCCAAGTGCACGCAGCTGCGGGAGTTCCATTGGGTCGTGGCTCCTTTTGCCGACCCGTTCTTCAAGGTGTTTGGCCAGCACGTGAAGCCACGCCTGACGAAGCTCACGTTTGGTGTGAATATGCTGTGGGAGTGGGAGGAATACTTTGATTGCTTGGCTGAAGCTGCTGGGGAGCCTCTTGACGAAGATTTTTCACGGCGCCCAGAGCGACCAGGGTACGGATTTAAGGCGACGGACCCGAGCAGCGCCTTGAAGGGCTGCCCGGCGCTGGAAGATTTGGAGATTGCACTGTACCATCCTGTTGACGGGGACGAGATGGGCTACGACGACTTCGACGAGGCCGAGGCCGACGAGTTTCCGATTGATGAGGTGCTGAACATTGACATATTCGGCGATCAATTCTGCGAGACGCTGGCGAAGCATTGTCCTCTGCTGACCAGCTTCTCCATCTGGGAAGTCGCCGAGGGGAAGAATGGCAATCTTACGCCAATTCGAACGTTTACGGACCGAGGCCTTGTAGCTCTGGCACAGCTGAAGTATCTGACGAGGATGGAGCTGCGCACGATAAACTGCTCCGGCAATGGTGTCTTTGAGTTCCTCAAGAACCTTTCAGACGAGTTGACGGGACTTCGGACGTTCCAAATCTGTGTCGGAGGCCATCCCAGTGACTCGCGCTTAGCGTTTTACAACGTGCTGTCGGAGTTGCTGATGCAGCTGGAAGCATGGACGCCAGAGGAGCTTTCGTGGGGACGTCGAAAGTTTGTACTTCGCCTGATGAACTCGAGCCTCCAATCGGTGGACTCAGCGTGGAGCCAGCAGTACCTTCGCGGGCTGGAACCTTTGGTCAAGAATGTGAAAAAGTTGCATCCGAACCTGCGCTTTCGCATCACAACTTCCGGGCGCCGTGGACAAACTTTCAGAAGCATCATCGAGCTGGGGGTCTACACATCCAACGCGGAGCCTAGCGTGTGGTATGGCTGGGACGACGAGGAGAGCAACCGCGACATCACCTTTGTGAATCGAGGAGGCGGGACGTCGAGTTTTGGCGAAGGGCGGGGCAGACTGCCGGTCGAGTTGAGGCACCCTGAGCTGCTTGATCCGGACTCGCTACCAATCGACTACGAGCTGCCAGCGGGCTACTTCGATGACTACGGAGGCTACGGAGGGTACGGCGACTATGAGGACTATTACGACGAGGACGACGATGGCTTCTACGATGCCAATGCTGATGAACTGTGGGAATAAGTCGTTGACGCTGTGCTGACGCACCTTCAAAATGCGGTGATAATCAACTTCTTCTACCAAGCGGCATCTTGCACAAGACCATCGAGCCAGGTAGGTAAAAAACACTTTCATTTTCACAAGTGCATTTCGTTGTACTCGCTTGTAGCGCTGATAGTACGCTGCATCGTGTCGGTCCTTATGAGATGGTTTCATTGATCACGACAGAAGTGGTGGTGATGCCCTTGGTCGAGATGGCCGTCATGAGCAGGTAGTTCTGGTATGGATCGGCCGGCGCAGAGTAAGTGTATCCGCTTGCACAGGAATCCGCGTACGCGATAACCGACCACGCCAAGCTGGAGCTGCTCCAGCATGCCTTGTACGTCTTTGTGGCTGAGGTGCTTGCCACCCACCGACCACTGGTGTTTATAAGCACGTAGGCTCCAGAAGCTGTGGTGCTCGGCTCGTTCTCCGCCCACGACCACGCCTGCGCACTCATCTTCGCGCCGTCAACCATGTCCGTGGCCACGAGGTTCATGTTCCAGCGCACGAAGTTGCCAATATTGCTCGAGTTCAAGAACGTCTCGAAGTCTTCCGTCAGAACGCCTTCATCTGACAGCGAGATGTAGCGCAGTTCCGCCTGGTACGAGCGCAGGAAGTAATCGTTTCCGTAAATCTCCAGCCCGTCGATCTCACGCGATCTGCCCGGCAAAGTGTCAATGTAGTCGGTCGACAGAACCTCATGGCCGCCGCAGAAGTCGTACAAGCTGTATGCAGTGTCATCATTCGCAAGGAGAAGAACTCGATATCCAGCCTCCAGGAACTCGTTGACGCTGCCTCCAGTCCAGGAATCCGACGCCAGCGACTTGAGAACAGACTGAGGGACGATCAAGTCGCCGAAGACGTCAGTGAGCAGCGTATTCAGTTCGTCGTACTTGTCCAGCCGCGAAATGTCCGAGCCCGTGTCCATGTAGACCACCACGAACTCCGTCGGGTTCTCGTCCAACCAGTCCTTCACTTCCTGCATCGAACTGCGAGTGGTAACCTCGTCGGTTGTCTTGATACCCGACACGGAGGGGAAGCAGCCCAGAAGCTCGGGGCCCCAGAGGATCGTGCCGTACTTTGACAACTGCGAGTCGAACGCGTCGAAGAATGTCGTGACGGAGCTCGACCCGAGGTTCCCGCAGTGGCCCGTGTGGAAGTCGTCCACGAAGTAGTGCGTGTCGATCTCGATCCAACGCATGCCGATGCCCAGTTGGTCTGTCAAGCTCAGCACCTGGTTGTTGGTCTTGAGGTACGAGTACGACTTGTCCGCGTTCAGGTTGGCGTTGAAGAACTGGTCGCGGTTGCCGTAGCCGTCGGCTAACGTAATGGCGCTGTTGTGCGTCGAGGGGAGCTGCGCGTAGCACAACTTGCCACTGAAGGCCAGGTTGCGCTGGTACGCGAGGGTCTGGTTGAGCCACGACGAGACGGACGCCGTCCCCTTCTCGCAGACGCTGCTGCAGACTGTCCCTGCTGAATTGCACTTGTCCACCATGGTACACGTGATGTCTTCAATGTCGTTCTTGCCAGGGTTGTTGGTGCCGGGTGTACGCGTTGCAGTCTGCTAGGTATGAGGTACGATGGATCCGAGCACGTGTCCGTGAAGGTGCAGGACGTAGTTCCAGGCACCGCGTCGACGAACTTGCCCCCACTAGCGGAGAAGTCGATCATGCCGTTGAGAATGTCGACTGTGGTGTCGTCGAAGAAGTACTCGAAGCCGCTTTGGATCGACTCGATCAGTGGACGCATGTGGTCGATGCAGCACGAGTAGTCGATGGTTGTAGCGGACGTCAGCGAGGCTGAATCCGTGTAGGACTCCCCCTTCATGGCGGCGCACTCTTCACCTGACGAGATGGTCACGAACGGCATCACCACGGACTCAAGCAGTGTGAATTGGGAGGAAGTGTACGTCGACGTCATCTGAGAGAACATGTTGTAGCCGCACGTGGTGTCGCCGATACTGGAGCAGAAGAACTGGTTGACGCCGTTGGCGAGTTCGTTGAGGATGAACGAGTTGGTGGTCACGTTCGGCGGCACGAAGAAGTCGACCAGGTCGATCAAGTCGCTCACTTCGGAGCAGCACGTCAAGTCTTTCTGGAGGACCGGCAGCAGCGTCGGCAGCAGACTCAGGAGACATGGCGAGATGACTGTGTTGAGTGTCGAGCAGAAGTCGTCCATGTCGGACGAGGAGGTGTCCGCCATGTACGAGTACACGAGGCTCGACATGCTGCTAGGGGACGCCACGATGCTCTCAACGAGCGAGACGAGGTTCAGGATCTGGGTGTTCGACTCCAAGGCGAGCAGATCCGTGAGCGTGCAGGTGCTGGACGAGGCTGCGAGTGACAGCAGAACCGAGTAGAGGTTGTTGCTCACACAGACGTCGAGGTTGTAGGTTGACGGCAGGATCGAGAGCGCTGATGCAGTGCACGTCGCGGCTTGAGTTGTCAGCTGAGAACCCGAAGCTGCCAGGCTCACGACGCCCAATGCGAGTGACGCAGTGAGTCGACCGAGCTTCATAATGCGTCGAAGGATACTCGAGCTGTTCGAGTTGGAAGGGGTTGTGTCCGAGTAGAAGGCAAGTGAAGCAGACCTGGTGAATTGCGAACTGACCGATCTCTCCAGTCGCTCATGACCAGGATGCCATTGCATTACATTGCATACTGGGCAGCAGACGCGAGGTGAAGAGATTGACAAGAATCGTCAATGAGTCAGAGTGACGCTGTGGTTCCACCTCTTGGCCGATCGGATACCACGATGGATCCGATCGCTCTGATCTCGGAGTGGGAAGTAACTACCAGGCGTAGCTACGGACTGCAACATGTGCACAGCAGCACTGTGTTACAAGCGATCATTTCGGTGTCAAAGCTCTCCGGTGGTAATTTATTGTACGGGTCGCACTCAGTTGCGGTGAATGCTTATTGTTTTCTCGTTGTCTACGTGTTCGCCTTAGCATTCACTTACTTGCGCGGTGTCGAAATGACGCTGTAGGCGCTCTCGCACGCAGCAAGTGCTGCGGCTTCGTTCTTGTATCGACCGAGATACAGCGGCTTCTGGCCGTGCAGATGCAGCTTGGCCGAGTACGTGGACTTGCGCTGACGAGTGACGACGAACCGCTGGCTGTCTTCCCCTGCGCTGGTGCTTTCACCGCTGCTGCGGCCTTGAGAGTAGTCGCTGCCTCGCCCAGAGCTGTCGGATTGCATCGAAGAGGAAGTAGCCCCCTCTCTGAAAGACCCCGTCGATGTAGTAGCCCCCTGCGAAGCTCGACTCTCGTGGTATGAGCTCGGTATGTCGCTGCCACGCCCGGAGCTCTGCGCGTCCCCATCAACACGCACTGGTCGAGCTTCGTCGTCGACGGGCGAAATGGTCTGCAGTTGTCTGGATCGACCCGCGCGGTTCTTCCTCCACTGATGCTTCTGACCCAGAACAGTGTACTTCTGACCGGCTTGAGCCCCGTTACACGCTTCCTGCTCCTGGTTCGAGCTGCCCCCGAAGAGCTGCCCCATTCCGAGTCGGCCCAGCATGCCGACGTCGCCTGAGAGGCTGGCGCTCTTGCGTTGAAGCTGGTACTCGGAGTCCTCGGGGACGTCGTGGATCTTCAGCGCCACCGCTGCACCTTGCTCGATCCCATTGTTCGAGTTGCGACGCAGAGAGCCGAAGCCGTTGCCCTCCTCGCCTCTGGACAAGTCTCCGTCGTCGAAGACCTCCATATCGTCCACAACGGGGGAAACAATCGCCTGGCTCTTCGTCTTGGGGTAGTTGCTGCCTCCGTACAGACCCCGCAGCGCCGTCCTGTGCATGTTATGCGGGCCAAGTGCGCCGGTGTTACACAACTGGGCGTGCTTTTAGACTGTGCTTTCAACCCTCGATACCTCAAGGCAGGTTTCTCTCCCCCTCTTGAAGCACTATCTTTAGTGGGCACAACCACGTGGGATGAAGCGATACACTAGAGTTTCAACGTTTTCGATGTATTATTTGACAAGGCCGGAACTTGCCTTCGTTCCGACTGCTCTCATAGAATAATGAATGAACGCACTGCTGGACTCGACATTGTTACGCAGGCAGAGACCTCGTGGACGACTCGGTTGAATCCGTCGAGAAGCTGCTATTGCTCGAGCCCCACCGCGACCAGCGCGAGAAGCGAGACTGCTTGCGGCTGGCGGTTTTGCAGGCGACACAGACCCCGACCGTCGTATTCCTCGCTCCAGGCACGTCGACCTCCTCAACGTGATGACAGGCGTGGCAAATGGCGTCTCCACACACCACGCAGTTGTATCGCCTGGTGTCCAGCAGCTTCACGGCGCCGAAGTGTTTGCTGCAGCACTCGCAGATTTGCACCGCGCGCTTGTCGGTCCACTCGGACTGCGGCACGAACGTTGACGGGTCGAGCTGTCGACGTCGCAGGTGCGAGACGACCCGCTTGAGCACGGCACCGAAGCGCGGCATGACGTAGCGCGTGGCCAGTCTCGGAGCGAAGCCACCCGCTTCAATGCCTACAATGTACGCGACCTTCGTCTGCGCGTTGGGTTCTCCTGAATTCTGCACGAAGTATCCCGACCGGAACATGCGACTGCGGATGAAGCCCTGCGGGACGTCGAACTCCGAGACCTCGGGCAAGTTGAGCGAGTCCCAGACGCAGTAGCCCACGGTCGAGCCATCCGGACACTGGATAACATCCGTCGCCACCACTACACACATGTCTCGATGGTTGCGCAGCAGCGCCGGCGTCTTGAACGCCGTGTAACGCACGTAAGAGGAGCGCAGCGGGTGGTCCTCCGACGGATGCTCCAGCACGCTCAAGACGCGCGCGTCCATAATGTTGTCGTACATGATGCGGCACCGCTGCAGCAGCATGTCCGTGTCGGACACGACGAACAGGTTGACGACGTCCTCGACCGAGGCGTCCGTCGCTCCGACGCAGCAGAAGCGCGACTGCCCCTTGGTCACGCTCTCTTTGTCCTCGAAGTACATGATGTCGTCCTTGCGCATCTTGCCGCGCCAATGGGCGTCCTCGGTGCCCTCGTGCAGCATGCTGTCCAGCACGTTTTCCACCGCGCTGGAGATCTGCTGGGACAGCAAGTCCTTCACTTCGGTCGAAAGCTCTAAGTATTCAGGCTTGCCCTCCGAAAGCGGCACCCCCTCGCCGTTGTAGCTCGACATTGAGGACGACGCCGACTTCAGACGCCGAGCAACCGGAGCTGAGGCGGAGCGCTTAGTGACTCGGGAATTTGCCATGGTCTTCCTCCCCTTCCGCTTTAGTCGATGGCCTGTCCAATCTGTCAATGAACGTGCACAAGGGTGAGGAATCGATTCGGCCTGCGCTTGGTGAGACTGTGTCAATCGAGTGTTGTCGTCTGCGGGTCGGGCGAGCCGGACCAAAAGGTCCGCTAGCCACGAGAACTGCAGGTTGCACATGCTACGCATCTTTCGCCAGCATCCCCCGGTCCTGTAGCCACGCCGAGCGTTTTGATGCTCGGGATGAGCGTGCAACTCCGTAGAAGCTGAAGCGACAGCAGGCGCGTCGCAGGAAGAGAAGAAAGGAGGGGGCATTGCCGGTGGGAACGTGGGTGCATTCGCTGACCTGGGGATGGCAACCTTGGTATCGTTGATATCCATCCCGAAACTCACTCTCACACCTGGTCGGATCACGTGAATCCAAGCTAACGTTTTGTTTTGCTTGAAGATGAGCGATATACACATTAAACTTGCAGGTTCGGGACTCCTTTATGCGGATGACAAAGGAATAAGCTGCGCCTTTCACGGTGCAGGCATCACGCCGTCGGTGAGGACTGCAACTTCGTCCTGTCCACGATCGCGATACGGATCTGCTAGCGAAAAACTGCGCCTGTTTTCGAGGAGGAGCATCGAAAAGCGATTTGCGCTTCCTCAACTTCATCTCGCGAAGAAATGTTTTGTTTCGTGAGCCCTGGCAGCGAAGGTGAGGGCGACGGCGCTCGCACGAGTTTTCTGAACGCCACCGCCCGGCTCTCGATGTCGACTGCGTTGAACTTGCAGGGGGCGGAATGCACACGCAAATATTTTCTCGCTCTTTTTCAAGGCTCAAGAGATGAGGCCACAGTATCTCGGTGCGCGTTCTCCCCCTTGTTTCCTACTACTTAGTACGTCGGGCCAGTTCGGTGCGACCCGCACACGCAAGTTGCGATAGCTCAGCGTAGGTGGCGTTGGTTTCCCGAAGGTTACATGTATCATGAGTTTCGTGGATTTCCAAGACTTGAATCTATTGTACATGCAGATCCCAGGATATGGATCGCTATGCCGCTCATGTCCTCGATTGACACTCGGGATGGAGGAGACCGACGACGCCACGGTTTGATTTCGCGAACATTCGACAACCTCACGCACACGTGTGCAGGCGTTGGACAGCGTGGGTTAACTTTGCGTGGGCAGCGTTGGCGTCCCTCTCGATGCGTTGCTTGTCGTGTCCGATCATCGGACTCCGATGAAGTCGACAAATTGGAACACGAGCAACCTGAGCCCAGATGTATCTCTAGAATGCCTCGAGCACTTCGTTTCCATTGGCGGTCGTTGCTTAGTGTTCGCGCACGAAAACGCGTTGGAAACACGCGCTCGCTTCGACTGCAGCTGCAGACACTCTCGATGCAGATGGCATTCAGTCACTGCCCACGTTGAGCCGCCTGAGTCGAAGAATTCTTCCCATAAATTTCATTTGGCACGCTGGTGACGCAAAAACAATAGACAGGAATGTTGATGATCTGGTACAGTATACTCCCGCACAGAAATTAGAGTTGAGTAAGTGAGTCAACGAATATATTTACAAGTGGAGATCCTTGGCTTGTGGAATTTCTAACACGACCTAGAATTGTTTTAGTCTTTTAAATAATGGGCCTCATGGAGAGCAGTTCAAGGTTGGATGCGTTTGGTGCAGCCACAGCACTCGCGACCTAAGTGTTGTCACTACATTGTCGTATCACGGAGTTTTGTATGCTCAACTTCGGCAAGCGAGATCGCAATTTTTCATGAACCGCAAATTTTTTTAGCTTACTTCTAGTACTTCGCACGTGTATTTTAGTTTTGCCGACCCGAATGCTGTAGTTCCCAACGACACCAGCAAACTCGGCTACGAGTGCATTTAATACTGCCGTGACAGTGTCCCAGTGACATTGCCACGCCCAAAACTTTCATAGAATATGGCTCGCCAGCCAACGTTCACACCGGCAAAGACCTCGTCGACGATTCCGTTGAATCCGTCGAAAAACTGGTCCCCCAACTCGACCAACGCGATAGACGCGAAGACTTCGTACGACTCGCAGTCTTACACCCAACGCAGATCCCCACCGTCGTGTTCCTGGCCCCAGGTACCTCAACTTCCTCAACATGATGGCAGGCGTGGCAAATGGCATCGCCACACACCACGCAGTTGTATCGCCTGGTATCCAGCAGCTTCACAGCACCGAAGTGCTTACTGCAGCATTCACAGGTCTGCACGGTCCGCTTGTCGGTCCACTCGGACTGAGGCACAAACGTCGACGGGTCGAGCTGTCGACGACGAAGGTGCGAAATGACTCGGCTGAGCACTGCCCCGAACTTGGGCATGTAATACCGAGTCGTCAGTCTCGGAGCGAGCCCGCCCGCCTCAATGCCCACAATGTACGCGACCTTCGTCTGCGCGTCCAGCTCCCCTGAATTCTGCACGAAGTATCCCGACCGGAACATGCGACTGCGGATGAAGCCTCTGGGCACGTCAAAGTCCGAGATGTCGCACAAATTGAGCGAGTCCCAGACGCAGTAGCCCACGGTCGAGCCGTCCGGGTAATGAATGACATCCGTCGCCACCACTACACACATGTCGCGGTGGTTGCGCTGCAGCGTCCGCGCCTTAAACGCCGTGTAGCGCACGTAGGACGAGCGCATCGGATGCTCCTCCGACGGATGCTCCAACACATTAAGAATTCTGGCGTCCATAATGTTGTCGTACATGATGCGGCACCGCTGCAGCAGCATGTCCGTGTCGGACACGACGAACAGGTTGATCACTTCCTCGACCGACGCGTCCGTGACGTCCACGCAGCAGAACCGCGTCTGCTCCTTGGTCACGCTCTCCCTGTCTTCGTAGTAGACAATGCCATCCTTCCGCATCTTGCCGCGCCAGTGGTTGTCCTCCGTGCCCTCGCGCATCATGCTGTCCAGGACGTCGTCCACCGCCGCCGAGATCTGCCTCGAAAGCACGTTCTTGACTTGAGGCGACAGCTGCAGATACTCTGGCGTTCCTCCCACTGATAGCGGCACCCCCTCGTCGTTGTAGCTCGACATGGAGCTCTGCGCCGTCAATTGGCGCGAGAGCGACGTCGAAGCGGAGCGCTTAGCGACTTTGGAACTCGGCATGGAAGGCGTGCGAAGGTGTCAGTCGACCGGCAAATCTGTCAATGAGCTACGGACGCGGTGGAGACCAACGAGTGAGAGATCCGGACGCTTTACAACAGGGTTGCAGCCGATGCGAGATCGTGTCAATCGAAAATTGAGTCGCGGTTTGCTCAAGCCGGACCAGAACGGGCGCTATGTTGACGGACGGGGCGGATAGCCATCCCAAGCCTCCATGCGCCACGAAAAGCGCAGGTTGCATATGCTACACATCCTTCGCCAGATCCTCCACGCGATGTTCGCTGTCAAGGGCCAACGCACCCGTGGCATGCAAGTTGATCATTTGTTTTGGTACATGTTATACATGTACTGTAGCTCTGCTGGCACAGTAGCAATGCACTGAAAGCCATCCACGGAGCTTTGGTCAAATGGACTCGGGAAAGAAGCCGGACGCTACGTGTTGGCGATAGAAGTCGGCATCGTCGGCATAACATGCTAAATGGCTTGGACTTCCTTCATAACGGTACCGACGTCCATGTTCTCGCCCTGGAAGTCGCGAGCATACACTTCTCGAAGGCCTCCACGATCTCGAGGATGTGTTTTACAGATCCGGATTTTCCAAAAAGTGTGTTTTTTTCGGTACGATTTGCTTCAAAGTCGGCAGCTGAGCGAACGAAGAACCAGGAAAACGTCCTCCTCGAGACTTTGGCCATTGATCTCGTTGATGATGACAACCGACAGGCACATTTCTCAACGACGCGCGTAATGCCCGACGTCTTCTCTTTGCGTAGTGCCCGTTGAAGTCCTCGTGTGAACTAATGCTCCCGGATGTTGCACACCAAGAGAAGGTCTTCAGGATCTCGCTGCGCGAATTTCTTCTCCGTCACTAAATCCTGAGCACGTCCACGGCCCAAAAATCCTGTACTTAAGTAAGAAATACCTGATCGCATTGGATACTTTTTCGCTGTCGAAGTGACTGTACCATGAAAACAATCAAGACGTTCGTGAGCTTACATCCATGAACTGCTGGAGTTCGCGAGTGTTCGACAAGTTGTCGACGACAACCGCACGCGTCCGTTGGTGAACTTTGGAGTTGGGGCGGGGCGGGGCGGATGATGTCTGCAGAACCGATTTCGAAACACGTGCAGGTCGTTCCCAGCTGGATCCCTAGAAAGCTTGATATCGCTTGTCGTGCAGTGCATTGCACCATCGACCCAACATGAACAGTGCAAGTGTATGGTGGTCATCGTCGTCACCTTGAAAGGACGCAACGATCCCCAGGGTTAGTCGAATTTGGGAGGACGCGACGGATCATCCGAGGAGGCGGGGGAAGGGAGGCAAGGCAACATGGGGGAAGAGACCGGAGCTGCCTCGGCGCGTGGTCGACCGGATTCCAGCACGGCCAAGAACCGAGATGCCGCCAAGAAGCGGGCGGCTCTGTGGAAGAAGCAGATCAAGAGCTTCAAGCTCAAAGACGTCGGCAAGAAGGTGGACGCCGTGCGCTTCTGCGCCCAAGACGAGCGGTTCTTCCGAGAACAGGCGGAGGTGCTCCCGCTGCTCGTGGGGTTCCTGTCCAGAACGAAAGTACGCAAAGTTTGTATGGTTCGCATATCCAGGGCTTCGACTTACAGTGCCCTTTACCAACTTCACATAGACCCCGGATCTAGTCGTGGAGACGCTGAGTGTGATGTACACACTGCTGTCAACTCCAACTGCCTCTGAGAGCAACGAGTCTGACGCTGAAGCCATTCATCCAGAGTTGAACGGTAAGATATAGCTACGATTTGGGTCATACTTCTGTGCAAGCTTCTGACGTTGAATATTTCGTATTTCAGCTGCGTTTATCCTCAATCGCAGTGTGAGCGCCGACTCAGCGTGGAAAGCAGGAGAACCGTTTATCAACCTCTTCAACTTGGCTACATTGTCTCCAGACATTCGAGTAAGGATTTCCTGGACAATGAGTTTGGGCACGCAAGGCACTGAGTTGTTTATTTTTCTTTACAGATCAAAGCAATTGAAGTGTACGACCTTCTCCTTCGAGCCAGCATTGCACACTCTGAACCAGCAGCTGAAGCCACCACGACGTTGCTTCAGTTTCAGTCCGTTGGATCTCCTTGCTCGGCGTTGCTCAGTTGTCTGGGAGTCGATAACGGCGAGTTGCAGTTCGCTGCTTTGTTGTGTCTCCGCTCGCTAATGAAAACCTCTCCGAACGAGGAGTTTCTAGAAAAATTCGAGATGGAGACGGGTGTTTCTCGCACATTGGAGTTTGTAGTTCATTCGGAACGGCGATTCCACCGCCCAGCGCTCGACATTCTGGAACGATTATCTCATTTCGGTAAGTCGTGAGTTGGTTTGTTGTCTTGATAGTTGGATGCTCACTAACACTGTTGCGTTGTCCTTTAATCAAGAGTGCGGGCGAGAATACTTGAAGAATAATGATGCAGCAAAGTTTCTGCGTGATGCGATCCGGGAAGCTCAGGAAACAATTGTGAAGACGTCTACGATTGTTCCTGTAAGTGGAATGGATTCGAGTCCGTTATCGTCTGAGGACGCTCCGTTATTATGCGCCAATATCGAAATTATTTGCCAAGTCTTCGCTCGATTGACTCTCGCAAAGGAACAAGTGGCTGCAAACAACTACGTTGCAGGAGACCAGACTCTGTTCATGGACTTCATCGATGCTGGGGTCGCCATACTTCTCTACGACATCAACAGCGCTCTAAATCCCGTACCAGTCCCAACGGAATCTCCACGGACGACTGGCGGCGCGGCAGCGGCGGCAGCAGCCACCGCTAATGCAGCAGCAGCTAACGCCGCAGCTTTGGCGTCATTGCTCCCGTTCAGTATAGACCGTTGTATGGCCGTCATCTCCACTGTTGGTCGTTTGGTGGAGCATAGTGAACTATGCAAGGCGCACGCGAAGTCCAAGGGGATTTTACCGGTGCTACTGGACTGCTTCAAGGTGAAAGGGGCGGACAAGCTTCATCAAGTCGGGGACAAGCTTCTTCACTTATGTGTGCACGTGGGTGACGCACCCGAATTCCTTCACCGTCGTGCTTCCCAAGAGCATGACAACGATGCCGCTGAAAACGAGAGTGACAAGCAACAGCAAGAGGTGGAAAGGAAGCGAATTGATCCCAACATCCTCTGTGCAGTAGCTACTGGCGTGGAGGCTGAAAATGAGTTACCAGACGCTCCGTCGACGGGAGAAAGACCTCCTCTGGTGGCGGTTGATGCTGTATTGACTCTACTGGAAGCTAGTCATGCAACTGCCAACGAACCGCTGGTCTTTCGCCACCTCCGATGGATCGCAGCTTTAGTTGATTTGCCAGGGAATGCCAACGCCTTGGGCGAGCGAGCCGTCTCCCTCTTTCTTCAGATTTTGGCTGATACTCCGTCAAGTGAAGAGCTGCGCTTCGCATTCTTGGCGAAGTGCATCCGCGCGATTGTACTGCAGAATTCCGCTGCTCTGGAGGTACGTTGCTGTGCTTAGTGGTTTGTTCCATGCTGGTGGTACCCTCTAACTTTTCAGTGTTGTTTAGCTTTGTGGAAGTGCGCACCTCGATCCGTCCGCGCCCTTCTTCAGCTTCCTTCGCAACGAATCGGAGCCGATCGAAGCCGGTCAAAGTTTCTCGGCTGATGCAAACTCTACATTTCTATCGCAGCCTATTGATGAAGATCCATCCAAACCTGAAGAACTTGACGCCAGCAAGGATGAGTCAGAGCCAGTTAGCGATAGCTGTCGGCTGGAGTGGATTGACGAGTACGACGAGCAAGCAGCTTTTGATCCAAACCCTCTAACTGAGGCCTGCCACGATGTCGACGTTTATCTTTCGGTCGCCGACGCGCTGACCGCGTTGACTGGTGCGTTTCTCAGGTGGAACTCGACCAGTAATGGGCCGACCACAACCGACTTCAGCGAGCTCATCGCTTCCAAGCTCGAATCGGAGCACGCCGCATCGGGAAAGGCCGGAATTGCCACAACGGCTGGGAGTAAGAAGAAGTTGGCAACAGATCCGGTTAAAGCATCAGCAGTGGGGGAAGCAGTGATGCTGGCGGTCTTGGAGAAGGGCATGCAGGTGCCCAAACTAGTCTCGAAGTACGCTGCAGTGAACCCCTCCGTGTGCGTGACTTTGCTGGAGCTTTTGAACAATTTAATGACTGTTCCTGGAGGACTCAAGGTCCTGCTGAATCTGGCAAAAGCTGAGCTACAGACGCACGCCCAAGCCGAGACAGTAACACCGGGTGAAGCCGTTAATGAGTGGCCTCTGTCAGCTCAACTATCTGCTCAGTCAGAGCACGCTCGCTTGCTTAGCCCAGTTCTGGGCGTTCTTCAGTCCCCTGATACCTCCTTTATCGAGATCGAAGCTGCCGTTCGGACGATTGCTGTGCTGACGAGTGACTTGGAGACTACGGACAAGGAACCACCTACATCGGCGCCTGACCCTGTTGTTGAGACTGCGAAGAGCCCGACTAAAGGTGCAGCTGCTGCCGCTCCCCCTCCTCCTGCCGCTCCGACTGTTCCAGAACTCGTGGTCAGGGAGAGCGACCGCTTCATCAATGCCGCTCTGGGTTGTGGAGCGCTAGTGCTGCTCCTAGCCTTCATGGACCAAGCTCGACTACCAGTCGGATCGGGAGATTCACCCGACCGAGTGAGGCGAATGGAGACGCAAATTGAGGAAATGGTGATGAAGTTCATCACTTTGGCGCAGATGAAGCAGGAACACATCATTACCAAGTACCGGGAGAAGCTCGAGCAAGAGCAACCACCAACTACCGAATCTCCATCCTCAACGCAGCCTTCAAAGGACCCAGAGTTGCCTTATCAAGCTCGGTGGGCTCAATTGCTACTTGATCACAAGTTCAGCGTTCCTCGCTTTGGCTACGAGTCATACAGTGCGTTACTTCTCGCTTCAGAGCTCGCCCTCCCCAAGCTCGTCTCGACGCTCCTGAACGCTGGAGCTTCCTCGAAAACCGCTTCACCTGAGGGGGTGACGCCGTTGATGATCGCGTTCCTCGTCGGGAACGAAGAGATGGTTATCGACCTGCTCGACGCCAGCGCTGACGTGAACGCCATAACCAAAGACGGCCACGATCTGACGGTATGGAACTGCACGCTGGCCTCTCCGGTGAAGGCGCGCGTGAGCAGCATGATCACAAAAGCGTACAGCAGCTCGGACGCGTCAGATATGGGGATAAGCATGAGCTCTAGGATTCAGCTGGACTCGATCGAGGGGTCTCTGCAATTCCTCGACATGTGTCTAGACGCTGGCGTGGACGCCAACGTATCGAACGCCAACGGAGACTTCCTCCTGCACGCGCTTCTCTCTAAGTCCATCGTACGTCGCAAACTACGTGGACTGGACTTGTGCTTCCGCTACAATTCCTACTACGAAGACCGCAGACGCCTGCAAAGGGCCGTGACTGAGCTGGTCGAGGCGCATGGAGCCAATGTCAACAGCTGCAATCGACTGGGCCAAACTCCGCTCCATTTGGCGCTGTTGTACGGCTTCACGGGCATCGCGAAGATCCTCTTGAAGCGTGGAGCGAACCCGAATGTCCAGGGCGTCTACGGGCACTTGCCATTGCACTACGCGTGCCTCGGATTCTGCGGTAGTCTCGACGGGAGCGACGGTGAAGCTGTTGAGATAGCGCGTCTACTGCTGGAGCAAGCCACGAAGTACCCGTGCACACTTGGAGTCCACTCCGATCGACGCAAGCACAAGTCTGCAGCTGAGAAACAGGCGCTGGCGATTGAAAACATCCTGGAAAGCGGCTTGCAGAGTGTCGTTGAGCCCCAAGCGATCGTCCAGAAGCTTGCCACTGCCCAGCAGATGCTCACGACGCCATCGTTTGTAGGGGAGTTTCTGCCCTGGCACTTTGCGTGTGGAGCGCACGTGCAGCTCTCGTCGGTGTTGTGCCTTGATGACGACATGCAGAAGTGGTTTGAAGCCAACGGACAGGCTCGAACTGGGATTGTAAGCTATTTAGTCAGCGAGTGGGAGATCGACATCAGAAAATGCGCTAGTGAGGGGGTGACAGCGCTGCACTTGGCAGTGAAGAGCGACGTGAACGGGAACAACCTGCCGGTGGTCGACTTGCTGCTGGAAAACGCTGGCTCCGGGCTCAATGTGAACGCAGTCCACGAGCACATTCTCATCGACACTTTGCCTGTGATCCCGAGTGGAGCGCACGTGGTGTTTGTCGACGAGGATCAAGATATGAAGCAGGCGTTCGTGTCTTCCCGGTCCATAGACAGCAAGTATCACATCATTCTCGCGGATGGACAGCACGTCGACGGCATTGCACGCGATCGTCTGCAGGTCATCAGCGATCCGCACCAGAGAACGTCGCACAACTTCCACCACCACTACAAGTATCTGCTGCCGATGGAGAGCAGGTTCGCAGCTTTACACTACGCGCTGCAGTCGAACCAGGACACGCTGGCACTGCGATTGCTAGCGCTGCCGAACATCTCCCTCGACCCTGAAGGCAGTGACCTGCCGCTTCTTGCGCTCGCGTGTGCTGCTCGCCAGACGCCGGAGGTTGTGAGGCGGTTGATCACCCAACAGGCGAACATGCGCGTGCATCTCCCACTGCGAACGTCCAAGTGTGAATTGACGGTGGTAGATGCGGGCACGTCGCGTACCATGGCCAAGAGGAAGCACGCCGCAGCGCTGCATTACGCTGTCATTTATGACGACTTGGGGATGGTCGAGGCGCTGGTGTCGAGCCCAGAGGGGTATGTGCAGCCGAATGTCCGGCGGTCGGGAGATGGCTTCACGCCGCTGCATTTGGCCTGCGAGATGGAGAATATGAATATTATCAAGCTGCTGCTCGGCCGTGACGCGAGTTTAACGCAGTCGTCGAGTATGTCGGCGCATGGAGTGTCACCTCTGGAGCTGTTGATGAAGTTCGACACCGTGGAGAACGAGAGGATCAAAGAACTCATCAATGAGCACTACTTGAAGCCGGAAATGCTGCTGGAAGGGTCGATTACGGCCCTCAACCCGGCGGTAGGCGACAACAATGAAGCGAATGCTGGAACGGAAAGCCAAGCGAACGAAGTCGATGACAGCGATGCACCGTCGTGCGCCTTGTTGCGTGCGGAAGAGCACAATTTTGACCTCTTCGAGCGCGTTCAAGGCCTGGTTGGCGACAAAAGCGGCTCCCTCGCTCGACGGCTGCAGAGGGAACTCGATAAGAGCGACGCAGTGCTCGGATTGTTCTTCGATCTCCTGAAGCAACCGGTTGACGCTACTGAGGCTGAAGCAGAGTCGCAGCAACCCCCGACACCACTTATGGCGATTTTCCAGAAGCTGCGCCATCCTCACGAATGCTATCGGCAGTATATGACTCGGTCTCAGTGGAAGCCCCCCAAGAACTCCAAGATGTCCCGCATCGTAAGCAAGACGGCGCTTGCACCAGAAGAGGCTCCAACCGAGCCTACATCATCACAACAGTATTCGTAGCAGATAGGAGGATAGCTACTATTGGTAAGCACCAGTATGGTTTGGATTGCATCTAGCACGTTTCGATCTTGCCTATACATAGGAAGGAGAACGCATCGACAATCAATCTCTTACCCAAAGGCGATGAAGGTTCTCGTCGAGGAAGAACGCGGTGAACATGCTGATTTCTTGTTAGGCGGACCGCCAGAGGTGCCTCAGCTGGATCTGACTATTCTTCGTGAAGCAAAGCAACTTTCCAAAGCTGACTTGGTTCAAGCCCGACAATGCTCCTTCGAAGACAGAGCTTCCCATTTGCTGCCTCCAGTGCACGCCAACACCACTCGAGAGCAACGAGATGAAGATAGTAAAGCGGGATTTCGTGGAAGTCAAACAGCTCGAATTCGCTTTGCTCCTCCTCCACGATCAAAGCCCAAGGCTGCTGCATATCCTTCCCGCCCTAACCGAACCCAAAGCTGCGAACTTCCTACTGATCTCAGCGAGAAACAACTGAATACAGCTCGATGCTTCAAGGCATTGGAGAATTGGCAGCAGTCGATGGAAGCTGGTGTCTTGAAAAACCTCCTGGGTGACGTCCACGACGTTCTCCACGCAGCGATTTATCAACAGCCAGAAGCAACATTCGAAGCCACAGCAACGAAGGAGCTACCTCTGAATAATGTCCCTGAGCAGCTTGAATATTTCTCGTTGGTGGCGGATATGCAGGAGAAAGTGAAGTTGCAACAACAAGAACGCAAGCGGCTGAGGTCCCAACTCGCCATGGAGCAGTCCCTGGAGCAGGATTTATCCACGCAACTGCAGCAGCTCGAGCGGGAACTGACCCAACTGCACATGCGCCACGCCCACAACCGCGCAGAGATTGAAGGAGAGCGCCGTGCTGTTCAAATTCTCGAGAGAGACTACGCGTCGCTCACCGAGCAGGAGCAGGAGTTGCAGCGCGACTGCGAAGTGTTCGAGCTTCAACTCGACACCCAGCGAGCGCAACTGAAGGAAATCCGCAGCCAGCAGCTCTACCTGGACTTTGTCTCGAGCGCTCCGCTTAAGCGGCACATGGAGGAGAAGAAGTGGCAAGAGCAACACGCCGCTGTCGCTCTGCAGGTTCAGAACGCTGAGGCCGAGAACCACGCGCTCGAAGCTGCGAACAGGAAGCTCGAAGAAGAGGCGGCCAAGCTGGAGACGCAGTACGCGCTCGACATACAGACCAAGCAGCAGTCCGAGACGGCGTTGGCTGAGATCCGCGCGAACTATGAACGACTCCAGGACGCCTTTGAGCGAACACGAGTGTGCTACACTCCGAGGCCTGACTGGGACCGCATCGTGGACGAAACACCCGAGCTGTCCGTGCAGAAGTATCAGTGGGAAATGATCGACACCAACAGCTCTAAAGATTTAACCGTCTCAGTCAGCAACAACGCAGATGACGATGAAGAAGGAGGAGTGCTCGAGCATAGATCACTCGGTCTGGCGATAGCAGAGGAAGAAGAACACTCACACAGCAGAGGACAGACGAAGACACTCGTGAGAGAGATGCTGCACTGGATCGAGCGTCTGCAAAAGCACTGCGGGGTCAATCTACACCTAAGCCGGGTAAGTTTTATCGTTCTCTTGTCATTGAATTACTCTAACTAAGGTTTTGTCTTGTAGATCTGGCATGACGTTGAGGAAGCGCGTGTGGAGCTCAACATTCTGCATCACCAGTTGGATCGAGCGGTTCGGAAGTCGTCGATGCTTTCGATCGCTCTTCCGAACGCGTCGGGTATCATTACCATCGCCGCAGCGACGTCTCCAACGGGGTCTCCACCCAAGAGAAGGCAGGACTATATCATGGCTCTGGGTATGCACGAAGGCATCCCGATGTTCCTACGTCACCGTGGAAAGCTAAAGAGGAGGATCTTAAAGAAACTGGACGTGGAGAAGGTTGTGCGTAAGGTCTGGGTCGAGAAGCGCAAGCGCGAGCAGCGCAACCCGCTCGGACGGTTCCCTCTTGAGCAAGTTCTGTACGAGAAACTCCACCGCAAGTACGGATTCCAGCCGTTGATCGCCGAGTGGGGGTACAACCTGCTATTGGCGCTGCAAATGTTCAGCTGGGACTCGGAGATCGAGATGTTCCTGCTCTGCCTGACTGGCGCGGTCTCCGACCTCGTGTACGTGGACCAAGAGCAGATGATTCAAGGCTGCCAGCACCTACTGCTGCGACTGTGTGAGCTTTACAACGTCGAGAGCTTCGTGACGGAGAAGCGAGTGCTGCTGAAAGACGCGCTGGTAGCGCTGCGGACGTTCTTCCCTCTGAAGACTTCGGGCCAACTGCAGGCGATAGAGCAGGCGATCATCCGAGATATGCACAAGATGAAGCGCGGGGGAAATGACTCCATCTTGTACATTGAAGACATCCTCCCGCTGGACGTCAAGTATCCGCTGGGATTTTTCGTGAAGACAATTCGGACTCAGCACTTCAAGGAGATCCAGGATTACTACGCGCTGCTTTTCAGGTGTGTACACTTTTGCCGCAGGATTTCGGGGTGAAGTGTCTCTAACGTGTATTCGACATTTTAGTGAGCTTGAACAGCGCGACACCGAACAGAGAGGGATTCTGCCACTTTCTGCCGTGAAAGATGTAGGTATTTTGACTGAGGGGAATGGAGGTAACGCAGATAGTGACAATTTTGTGGCGGTTTGATGTTGTCAGGCGATTCTGGTCATTGATCCTCTGGCCGACCCGACTGCGGTGCAGAATCTCATTATGAAGGCTCTGCACGTCAAGGCTCGTGCTCATTTGCACATGCGCGAGCCTGTTCATTACAAAGCCGTACTGAGGGTAAGTTTGACAAATGCTACATTTTTGCAGCGGGGCAGCGAGCTAACGAGGACGTGTGTGAACTCTCAGAAACTAAACTCGACGTGCTTGATGAAGTTCGCGTTGAACTTTGATCAGAACGCGGAGGTCAATTGGCGACGTCGTCCTGGTGCAGGCTACATTGACTCCGCTACGGATAGCACGAAGCCGCACAGAAAGGCATCCCAGTAAGACCAACACAAGCAAAATGCTTAACGATATTTGCTTGTGGCGGGTTATGTTGTTTTCCACGCGTTGCGTAGAGAAAAATTCCACTTCGATTAGCCCCACATGATCGTGAAGTCCGAGGCGATGGTCTGGTTGACATCCTCCAGACTAATTTCTAGGCGCCGCGTTGCAGAATCGTACTTGGAAATCGCGCCAATTGATACTCTGGAGGGCGATGATAGCACTCCCAGAACAATCACCTTGCTCACCAGACTCACACCAGCACTTGTGTAGTCATTTTGCAGTACTTTCGACGTGAAGGTACCGGCTGACGCAGTGAACTTGGCAATTGTGGCGCTCGGGTTGCTGATAGTCTCGCCATCGTCCAAGTACAAGTCTCCGCTCGCAATTCCGTTCATTGGTAGCGCGACGAGGATATCGAAGGGTGTAAGCCGAGCAGACGCGGTAGTGAGAGCTGGCTGGTGCATCGCCACGATTAATCCGCCTCTAATGTGCACCGGCATGTCGAAAATGGTAACGTTGATCGTCAAATAGACGCCAGACGTGCGAACCTGCGAGTAGTCGAAGATGTTGTACCAGATCCCACGAGGAAAATACCCTGTCACGCTTGTTGCTCCCTTGTATATAACTGGAGTCACGAGTAGAGCGCTGCCTAGCATGAATTGGTGGTTGATATTGTGCGTGACGGTGTCGGTCGGGAACTCCATCAGAAGTGGACGCGCCATTGGCAGGCCCTCCGTATGAGCATGATAGCCAAGCGTGTAGAAATACGGTAGAAGCTGGTAGCGCAAGCCGATGAACTTCCGCCCGACAGTCGTGACTTCAGGCCACACGTATGTCTCCTGCGCAGATGAGTCCAGATTGTTGTGGTTACGGGCGAACGGGTAGAACGATCCCAGAGCCGTCCACCGCGCACACAACTCCATGTCAGAATTGCCCAAGAACCCGCAGATGTCAGCGCCGACCATGGGGATGCCGAAGAGCCCGAACTTCAGAAGGGCAGGGATTGACCAGCGCAGATCGTTCCAAGTAGCGGCGTTGTCCCCCGTCCAGTGAGCCGCGTGGACGCCACTACCAGGAAAAGTTGATCGAGAGAGCACGAAGGACCTCTTGTTGGCCAGCTCCTCCTGAACGGCATTGGTCACGATGGACTCGGTGATGCCGTACAGGTTGTGCGCGTCGTACTGGCGGATGTTGCCGTACTGTAACGCACTGGTGGAGATCCCCTTGTTGTAGATGGCGTCGTGGCTGTTGACGTTGTTGATCTTGAACGGCGGGTTGTCGTACTTGTTGCCGTCACCCGAGCAGCTCAAGCAACACGTCGTGATGGCATTGATGCTTCCAGTGTTCGGGCAAGTTACGCCCGACTGACGCACGCAAGTCGTTCCAGGGCAGAAGTTCGCGAGCTCATTCATGTCGATCCAGAGGCCATCGAAGGCGAAGTTTTTGTACATGAGCTGGATCTGCTCACCCCAGTAAGACTTGGCGTTCGGGTGGAAGAAGTCGGGGAACACCGTCGGCCCAGGCCACACCTGGCCCAGGTACGGCTTACCGCTCGTGTCCTTGATGAAGATATCCATCGACAGGCCCTTCGTGTACGCGTAGTCGTTGGTGTCGTCCGGGATGCCGGGGTCGATGATCGGCACGAACTTCTGGCCGGCGGCGTGGATCTCGTCCATGAAGGCGGCCATCTTGGCCTGCGGGAAGTTGGTCGGGTCCAGCGTGAAGTCGTGGTAGCTCCTCATGTAGTCGATGTCGGACCAGATGACGTCCAGCGGCAGCTTGTTGCTCGCGTACTTGCTCACGACCGTGCGCAGCGCGTCGACAGAGCCGTAGCCCCATCGGCACTGGTGGAAGCCGTACGACCAGTACGGCATGAGCTTCGGCCGGCCGATGAGCTTCGTGTACTGCGAGACGACGTTGGCCGGCGTGGGGCCCACCACGATGTTGAAGTCGAGCACGCCGCCGATCGTCTGGTACACGAGGTGGCCGCTGTCCATGGTCACGTCCATGCCGTTGCTGTTGAGCAGGAGCACGCCGTGGGCCTGGCCGGCGCTGTTGACGCCGAGGAAGAACGGGTGCGAGCCGTACGTGTTGACGTTGGCGGACGCGGATCCTTGGTCGCGGGCCCAGAGCGTTTGCTTGTCGCCCGACGCCATCTTGAAGTTCTCGCGCGTGCTCTCGCCGATGCCGTAGACGCTCAGGTCGCTGCCCAGCACCGTGGACGCCTGCAGGTACTGGTCCTTGACCACGAGCGAGATGCCCGACGAGTCGAACAACGTGTAGCCGTCCGACTTGCGCGTCACCTGGAACGTGAAGGGGTTCTGCGTGTAGTTGAAGGTGTACAGCGGGTCCGCTGCGGCGGCCGTGGCGGTGCTGTCGGCCCCCAGCGTGCCGGCCGTGAAGATGCTCTTGGGCACCTCCCAGCGCTTGTTGTTCTTGTCCACGATCTTGACGCGCACGCTGTCGCTCTCCGTCTTGGCGACCGTGACCACGAGCGCCGACAGGTCCGAGCCGTACGAGGTGGCCGTGGCGGCCGAGTTCACCTGCAGGTTAATGGTGAGCACACCGGCCGACTCGCTGGTGGACGTGACAGCGTACCCGGGCCCATTGACGTAGCCCTGGACGGACGGGGCCGACGTGGGCGTCTGCGTGTTCTGGTTCACGAACGCGTAGGCCTTGTATTGGTTGTAGGACGCCTTCCAGGTGCCCGTCTGTAGTGGAATGCGTGAGCTATTGCTGCTGGACACTTGAGCCTTGACGCAGGGGCTGTGGAGGCTGGTAGCAGCCACCAACCAGGTACCAAGCGCGCCATGAGGCATAGCGCGTCGGAATGATGACTACATGTAGATCGCGAGATTTACTTCGTTAGGTATCCAACTGGTATACCTATACAAAACATTGTGTTAAGTTACCGAAATGTTATATTGACAATTTCAGATTTCATTTGACATAAATGTTTGTAGAAAATCACTTTAACTTGGTAAAAAAAAAAATGAAAAGTAAATACACGAGCATGCAAAAGTTCTCAAGACAGGCAAAAAATAACACCTCTCGCTGTTTTGCTACTGTTCATTGACTGTCCATCTATGGTTCCGAGCGTTGCCAGGCTTTAGGTTGTTTGTTACATGAAGTGAACTATAATAGCTGGATCGGGTCTCACTTCAAGCTTTTGAAAGCTAAAGGTACAGGTAGAATAGGCAGAATAGTTGTCAGACTTACACTGCTCAACCCTAATAGTTCGCTTCGCTAGTCCAGCGTGTTTGGCTGTGCAAAATGCCGCTATGATGACGAGTAGTGGTCCAGAAATGCATGTCTGAAGCGAAGTAAACTTGCACGCTAAACGCCAACACGCTCCCCAGCTTGCACGTGGCCACTTGATTCATTTCTCGCGGCGGCAACGCTACTGCCCAGCTCCGCTTCCCCGTCTGTAGATACCGTGAACTGCGCTGGCGATGACGCTTCACTCTCGTTATCAAAGCGGCAACGATCGTGCATGCATTGACAAGGCCGATCTTCCGTCTGAGCTCAAGTTGAAGTAAATCCCTGCGCGTCTGCGCCATGAGCCGAGACCGAGTCTGATTATTACTGGATTTATTTTGCCGGCCCGTCGAACAGCGGGAGGGATCAGCACTGCGGGAGTTGACAAAACAAACTCGCCGTCTAATAACGTTGGGATGCTGTATCTGCCGGGTAGCTAGCTAGCTCTTCACTACAACATCAGCTAAGTTCGTGGCGCGCATTCCTTTTCAGTTTTTTTATCATTCCAATACAGGCGTAGTCTGCCAAAATCGACTTTCAACCTTTGCGTACCCGATCTGAAGTTCGTTGGCTCATGTCACTTGCCTGCCAGGAACAATTCCTGCTTACAACGCTAGCCGCAATTTGCACCGTGAACAAAGGCGGCGTCCGCTGTTCGAATGCGTACGACCAATGGAATCCGCTGTCCGGTCCAGCCGTGGGATGACCGGCAAAGCTACCTCGCACCGGGACAACTTCAACTTGGCCAGGCAGCGTGGGCCTCCAAAGACACGTAGCAACAGCAATGTACATGTATTGCGCCACCCCACCCTTGCATGCACTACATGTACATTGGAGGCTACCCGCCCTCTTCGGGCCAAACCCAATTGCTTGGCCATCAACGGAAGCTGGAGCCTAGTACTCCAGGACCGACGAGCTCCACCAGAACGATCGCTCACTTCTCAATTTGCTTCCTTCTCGACAAGGCACGGCAGCAAGACGATGACGTTCAAGGCTCGACTGCATCACGCAGTGGCGCTCTTCGGCTGCATCGCGCTGGTCTCCACTCTCGCTTCCTTGGCTCATGCGCAAACCACCGTCTCCGCTGGAGGCTCCGGCGTGCACATCCTGTTCCAAACCGACAAGTGGGTGACGCCCTACATCCACTACAAGGCCGGCACCGGCAGCTGGACCACGTCGCCCGGCGTGGCCATGGCCGCCAGCACCAACTCCGCGTACCCGGCGAAGGACGGCTGGTTCCAGTTCGACGCTGCCTCGGCCACGTCGCTCGAGTTCGTCTTCAATGACGGAGTCGGCATCGTCTGGGACAACAACAACAACGCCAACTACAAGGTCTCGGCGGCCGGCTCCTACTCGGTCGTGAGCAAGGTGTCCGGCTTCAAGACGGGCGATCTCGTTCGCCCGAGTGATGGCACGGGCTACCACATCCTCTTCCAGCCCGTCACGTGGGCCAAGCCTTACATCCACTTCAACGCCGGCAGCGGCTGGACCACCGTGTCCGGGTACGCCATGACGGCCAGCACGTACGCCGGCAAGTTCTCGGCTGCCAACGGCTGGTACCAGTACGATATCTCGTCCACGTCGTCTGTGGAAATCGCCTTCAATGACGGCAACGGAGTATGGGACAGCAACCTCAACGCCAACTACGTGCGCTCATCGCCTGGCGCCTACGCGTTCGTGAACCAGAACACGCAGACGCCCACGTCGGCCCCGTCCGTCCAGGGCTACGTCAATGGGCCCGGGTACGCTGTCACGTCCACCAGCGAGTCGGCCGGTGTGCTCACCATTAACCTGCAGGTGAACTCGGCCGCCACGGCCACCTCGTACGGCTCGGACCTGTCGGCGCTCGTGGTCACGGTCGCCAAGACGGAGAGCGACAGCGTGCGCGTCAAGATCGTGGACAAGAACAACAAGCGCTGGGAGGTGCCCAAGAGCATCTTCACGGCCGGCACGCTGGGGGCCGACAGCACCGCCACGGCCGCCGCAGCGGACCCGCTGTACACCTTCAACTACACGCAGAACCCCTTCACGTTCCAGGTGACGCGCAAGTCGGACGGCTACACGTTGTTCGACTCGTCGGGCATCTCGCTCGTGGTCAAGGACCAGTACCTGCAGGCGTCCACGGTGCTGGGCAGCGACCTGAGCGTCTACGGCATCGGCGAGAGCACGCGCGAGAACTTCAAGATGGCGTCGGGCGACAAGCAAACGCTCTGGGCCCGCGACCAAGGATCCGCGTCCGCCAACGTCAACACGTACGGCTCGCACCCGTTCTTCCTCGGCGTCAACAGCGCCGGCCAGGCCCACGGCGTGCTCCTGCTCAACAGCAACGGCATGGACGTGACCATGGACAGCGGCCACCTCGTGTACCAGACGATCGGCGGCGTGCTCGACTTCAACATCGTGGTGGGCCCCACGCCGGCCAACGTCGTCTCGCAGTACACGAAGCTCATCGGCCGGCCGAAGCTCATGCCGTACTGGTCGTACGGCTTCCACCAGTGCCGATGGGGCTACGGCTCTGTCGACGCGCTGCGCACGGTCGTGAGCAAGTACGCGAGCAACAAGCTGCCGCTGGACGTCATCTGGTCCGACATCGACTACATGAGGAGCTACCACGACTTCACGCTGGACCCGACCAACTTCCCGCAGGCCAAGATGGCCGCCTTCATGGACGAGATCCACGCCGCCGGCCAGAAGTTCGTGCCGATCATCGACCCCGGCATCCCGGACGACACCAACGACTACGCGTACACGAAGGGCCTGTCGATGGATATCTTCATCAAGGACACGAGCGGTAAGCCGTACCTGGGCCAGGTGTGGCCTGGGCCGACGGTGTTCCCCGACTTCTTCCACCCGAACGCCAAGTCTTACTGGGGTGAGCAGATCCAGCTCATGTACAAAAACTTCGCCTTCGATGGCCTCTGGATCGACATGAATGAGCTCGCGAACTTCTGCCCTGGAACGACTTGCGTGCGTCAGTCGGGCGTAACTTGCCCGAACACTGGAAGCATCAATGCCATCACGACGTGTTGCTTGAGCTGCTCGGGTGACGGCAACAAGTACGACAACCCGCCGTTCAAGATCAACAACGTCAACAGCCACGACGCCATCTACAACAAGGGGATCTCCACCAGTGCGTTACAGTACGGCAACATCCGCCAGTACGACGCGCACAACCTGTACGGCATCACCGAATCCATCGTGACCAATTCCGTTCAGGAGGAGCTGGCCAACAAGAGGTCCTTCGTGCTCTCTCGGTCGACGTTCCCCGGCAGCGGTGTCCACGTGGCTCACTGGACCGGTGACAACGCCGCTACTTGGAACGACCTGCGGTGGTCGATCCCCACTATCCTCAAGTTCGGACTCTTCGGCATCCCCATGGTTGGTGCCGACATCTGCGGATTCTCTGGTGCTTCCAACATGGAGCTTTGCGCGCGTTGGACGGCTCTGGGCTCGTTCTACCCGTTCTCGCGTAACCACAACAACCTCGAAGCTCCTTCGCAGGAGACGTACGTGTGGCCTGAGGTGACTACCGTGGGCCAGAAGTTCGTTGGCATGCGCTACCGACTCCTGCCGTACATCTACACGCTCGGATACCACGCGCACGCTGAAGGTCTCCCCATCGCTCGTCCGCTGCTGATGGAGTTCCCGACCGACACTGCCACGTACAGCATCAACTACCAGTTCATGCTGGGCAACGCGTTGCTGGTGACCCCCGTGGTGAACCAGGGAGCGTCGTCCGCGACCGGCTACTACCCGGCCGGTGTCTGGTACAACATCTTCGACTACTCCAAGATCACCAGCACCGGTGGATCTGTGACGACGGCGGTGACTCTGTACGACATGCCGGTGCACATTCGCGGAGGAACCATCTTGGCCATGCACCAGTCGGCTCTCACCAGCACGGCCGCTCGCCTCACCCCGTTCGACATCTTGGTCGCTCTACCGGCCAGTGGCAGCGCCAGCGGAGACCTGTACCTGGACGATGGCGAGACCGTCAGCAACCCGAGCGCCACCATCGTCAAGTTCACCGCCTCGGCCGGTACGTTCACGTCCACGGTGTCGCAGAACGACTATGCGGGTGCTCGCTCGAGTCTGGTGAACAAGGTGATCGTTCTCGGTGTGACGTCGGCGCCCTCGAGCGTGTCGGTCGGCTCCATTTCCAAGTACGACTCGGCCACGCAGCGCCTGGAGATCAGTCTCGCGAATGTGAACCATAGCATCGCCTCGGGCTTCACGATCACGTGGAAGTAAACGGAACTCGTCCGAATCCGCAGGTGCTTCGGGCAGTATCAGTCGTTGCAGCTTTGGCTCCAAAATATCGCTCTTTCGATGAGGTTTAGCTAGCTTTCGAAGTAAACTAATGTTAGGTTGGACATGTCTTATGAAGTTTGCAGGCGTATTCACGTGAACTTGTATTCACCTCCCAACCCGTCCCAGGAATACACCAAAAAGCACAGCAGAACCACTTGGGCATTCATGGGAACATCATCGAAATCGTCGACCAGCTCGTAGATTGGCCACAGCTTGATTGCAAGATCGGGAGGGGTTGGCGTCTGGTCCGTGTTCTGTAGTAGAGCCCCCGCAAACAAGTCGACCCCAGGAATCGTGACGAAATCATCGACTCCATGCCACGGGTTGGCAGGAAACAACTCGTCGGGGGATCGGACGGGAACAAAAGCTGCAGACTTCGTAGTGGTTGGCCCACTTCCCTCGCCGAAACTACAGATCGAGCGGGGCGCTGCCGAAGCTCACCGCGTCGCCAATCACCACCGACTGACCAGGCGCTTCTCGAAGGTAGACGATGGCCACGCACGCAAACGTTCTGTCTTCTTGGCGGCGAAAGAACTTCACCAAGAGCACAGCGCGTAATTCTGGGAGCATGTCGAAGAATCTGCGGCAATGGCTCTGAGCTGCCGGTAGGCTTCGCTGTGGAAATTCAACCTCAACAATCAATCGAGGCTGAATGGGGCTGTCTCCAGCAGTTGAGTGTCTCGGGCGAAGAGCAGTTTCCGGTCGAATCATAACACGGAAGTGACCTCCTGGGAGACCTCCTGGGATCTCTAATTCCATGGTTCCTCCCCCAACAGCTAAGATGCTGCCCGTGTTTCTCGTGTAAACAAGTATTTGGCCAGTTACTTCTGCAGCAGCTTGTGTATGGGCTATTCCTTGGACTTTAGTGATGAAAACGTCAACCAAACTTGGATCTGCTTCAGTGTACCGCGCTTCGAAATACACAAACGGAATGCTGCCGATATTGCTCCGTCGCCATTGCTCCAGAGGCACACGCTGCGCCACGAGCACTTCGACGTCGTGTTCTCCATTCCTAGACGACGTTCATACTCACGGATAGCAGAATCACGCTGGATGCCCGTGACCTGGCCAGTTAGTGGCTCGTATTCTGTCGCCATCTCCAGGAGGATTTTTCAAAAGTACAGGAAGTCAACATTTAGGCACACTCCAATGATGCATTTTGACTGTTGTAGAGAGATATCTCCTGATCAATCGCATGCAGCCCCTGATGATCTCCGCAAGCAGACTCCACAAGCGGATCGAAAACAACCGTGAGCTGGCACCCATCGCCGTTCAGAGCGATGCAATGTAGGTAGGAGGATGGTGTTTGTGTGGCCAGTCGGTTGATGATTTTCCAGCCAAGCGTCATTTCTGACTCAACACCCGGAGGCTGAAGCAAGATTCGCCACGAACTCGCATCAAAGCTGCCAGAGCTCGTAAACGGCAGCATTTCCTCCCCCTCCATGGCCCAAGTGAATGAGCTGGTGTATCTCGAAGCTGTTGTGAAGGAGGCGATGCGCCTAAATCCTGCCGTTCCGTCCAATATCCGAGAAGCTCTTGAAGACGTTGTGCTGTGCGATGGGACTGTCGTAAAGGCCGGCGAGGCTGTGAGCTGGTCTTCGTATTCCATGGGACGGATGCCTCACGTGTGGGGTCCCGATGCGAAGCAGTTTAAGCCGGAGCGGTGGATTGACGCCACAACCGGAAAACTTATGGCTGTGTCGCCCCTCAAGTTTCCCTTGTTCAACGCAGGCCCTCGCGTGTGTCTCGGAACGAAGCTCGCCATGATGGAGATCAAAATCACCACCGCTAGCGTACTCAGCAAGTACAATCTGACCGCTGTTCCGGGACACCAAGTCACCTACAGACTCAGCTTGTCACTCGCTATGAAAGACGGATTCAAAGTCAACGTCAGGAAGGCCACCGCAGCGTCCTTCGACGGAGTTGCCTGAGCTGGACTTACATTTCTTACTCGCTATTGTCGTTGGGGCTTCTGCTAGCTTTGTACTCGATTGTCGCTTCAGCTTGAAGATAGTCGTAGCAATCTAAACTTCGGTGTTGATTCACGCTTCAGCTTATTCCATGCCGGCACATAGCGCACCTCCCACACTGTTGACGCGAGGTAATTCTGCGTATATCGACTTACTCGAACGATGAACGCTGGGAAGTTGCTAGATTCAGCCGACAACAGCTGCTTCAGCAAACTCATGATAGTTTCGTGAAAATGTGATTGTAATTCAGGCGTACCGTCGTGGCCAGGTGGGTCGTTTTCAAGCCACGAGCAGTGTCAAGCTCAACGAAAACGAAAGATTTGGTACGAACAGCTCTGAGTCTCGTAATGGTCCTCCCTACACATTCAGCTCGTCGGAAGCCTGCTGCTGCTTGTAGCCACGGCATCTCTCGTGTTGCTCTACCATCAATTGGGGGATGCGGTCTCGCTTTCGCATACGCCCTGAAGTTATCTCGAAACCGTGAGAGCCCTGCCACAGCTAGAGCCAACGATGATAAGCAGGAGGCCCCGTCACGCCTACTACTTGACCTCCAAGTACATCCACCTTGAAGTATGACCGTCGGATGGAATTATCGATTTCAAACACGTGAGTTTTCGATAGGTACAAGGATCGAGGCCAGTTAGTGCTGCGCGATTTGAACTTCTCCGTCCGTCTTGTTCAAAGGTACCCTGCGCAATTAGCTGGGCCCGCTTGGTCATTTTAGCGACGCTCAACTATGGACAGGCCTGTCAGGTGGAACTTGGACCGCGGGAGATGGCAGGCTCGATGTGCTCGTAGAAGACAACGGCAAGAGCTCCAGCGTTGGTTGAGTGACAGATGCTCTGTATGGTTTGCCCGTTGCTGCGCAAGTCGCGTATCGTGATTTTCGACGAAGTTACCGACGCTGTAGGCCACGCCACAGATCAAGCACTGCAAAGAGTGATCCGCGAGGTGTTCAAAACGTCCACTGCACTGTGCTCATGATCGCGCATCGACTCGACAGAATTCTCGACTCCGACCGCAATTTGGTCGTGGACGACGGCTGCGTGAAGGAGCTAGCAACCCCCGCTGGTCTTGTCCAGAAAGGCAAGGGGTGCTTCTTCGATCTCACGGACGAGGGCGGATACCTTGATCACTTCTCGGGGGAGCACACCGCTGGTCATACCCAACAACAACTTGCGCTGTCCTGACGTCCCTAAACGTTAACTAGCAGAGAAGCAAAATTGACATTTAGTTAGAGCATCTTCACTGCGGCGTACCACCTATTCGCGCAGCAAACGAGATATTCATTGCGGCTGGTATCAAACCTAAATGTATTGAACGCTTTTTCTTCTTCTTTCTGAGCTGGCCTCATCCGCCAAAGCGGTCCGGTAATTCACTTGCTGCTACGCCAAACCAGTGCTCTTGGTCGCCGAGTATAACTTCTTTAGCTCGAAATGCAACTATTTGCCACTCTGCGTTACAGGCACCAAACGTGCCAGCTTGCCGGCCTTGGCAGGATCCTTGGCGGCCTGTTCGAGGTCACTCGGTGACCGGTCTTCTTCAATTTGGACGAAGCCCGCGCGATTCCGGGATTATTTTCCAACGTCTTGAGCGCTCCGTGTCTATTGAGCAATTTCGAAAAGAAGCTGGGATTGTCCATCTTGGTTCCTAACTTCTGGATGGAAGGATCAGGTTAAATACTGTACATGTAGGTTCAATTCGATCGTGTTTGTGCTCTATCATCTTTGCTGACTCCGCCGCACCTTCGAAGAGATCGGTAGTGTCTACAGGCTGTGACGGCTTGAAAAAGGCGACGTACTTCGGCAAATCAGGAAAAGTACCCGCATAAATCTGCAGTTATAGCTAATGAGCAGTAAAATCTACTGTTAGGACTCACAGCTCTTACTAACTACCGTCTTCGTGGCTTCTGCTAGCCTTGCCCTCGATAGTCGCTTCAGCCCGAAGATAATCGTAACAAAATTTAAACTTCGGCGTTAGTTCCCGCTTCAGCTTGTTCCATTGCGGCACATACCGCACCTCCCACATCGTTGGTGGAGAGTAATTCTGCATATCTGGTCGTACTCGAATGCTGAACGCTGGGTAGTCGCTAGATTCAGCCGATAGCAGCAGCTTCAGTAAACTCACGATAGTTTCGTGAAAGCATGACGCAAGGTCAACGACGTTCCAGCCTCGGACGCCCACAGTTACGTCAATTCTGGTGCGTGGCTGATCTGGAGACCGTGAGCGCGTCGCGAGTGACAACAGTGCTCTTTCCGAGAATGCCACACCATTGATCTCAATCGTTTGAAGGTTACAGAGTCCTTCAAGGGCCCCAAACCCGTCCTTCGTGAACGCATTACTAGGGCCAAACCCATGGTGGGCTGAAGATTCGACCAGCGCTAGACGCTCAAGCAACGGACACGCATCGACAATCGTCCGCAAGAACTGATCTTCAAGAAGATCAGCGTCTCCTTGCATGTCTGAGAGTAGGACCTCCAACGACGTCAAGTTCGGGCAGGCGCGAAGCACGGCAGAAAATGAATTTGACGGGGACAACGGCTCGACGTGATGTCGCTCTTGGAGAACGTAGTCGCGCCTCCAAAGTGCACAATTTCCGGGCAACACTAAGGACCTCAACTCCAGCTTAGGATAAAGCCCGAACACATTAAACACTTCACTGCTGCAGGGTAAACTGCACCAGTTGAGTGCCGTCAAGTGGCTGCAACCTTGGCAGAACGCCTCCCAGCTCTGGAGGGCCGAGTTTCGCATGTCGACACTCGTAAGGCGCCTTCGTCTGGAAAATGCGGCAAGGCGTAGGCCTTCGATGTGCTGTAAATTTGGGCAATGGTCCCCGATCGCTGCAGCCGTGGCATCGACGTTTTCATTCGGAAATAAAGACGGAAGCTCGAGTTTCTTCAAGCCACCTCGCTTGCCCAGCCGTGATCGTGACGAAGTATCTAAAGCAGCCAAAACAGCATGGAATGCTTCCAGTACATTATGGACAGATCGTCGACGGTGCATCAGATGCGCCTGCTGTGGCATCACCAGCTCTTCCAGATTGACACAGTGCTCGCCAACAGCGCTCATGATGCCTGGGAGATGGTCGGATTCCAGAGGAACGCCAGATAAATCCAAGCGAACAAGGTACTTGCAATTCGAGAAGACATTCCTCCAATACTGCAGTACGTCTTCGCCACATATGTCGTCGACGTCATAGACAGTCACATCGTGTGGGTCGTTCAGCCAAAGCTCTACTCGTCGTCGTGGGTGCCTCCCAGCCGTCACCTCTTGCAGCAGCCTTTTCAATTCGTTGTCAACGTGTTTTGCTTTACGTTGCACCTGTAATTTCTTCCTGTTTTGTAGCATCAACTCGTGCGATTCTTCTCCCTCCTCCGATGGGCGTCGAGAAAGTCGATTCGTTGCGGAATTCGACGCACACGTGAAAGCGGACAAAAGTTCTCGCACGAACTGGAAAATGCCCCCAGGGGCCGCGTCATTGGCTGCAGCCGTAGACTTAAGTGCTTCGTCGGTCGTGGTGTCTTTGCATTCGTCTTGTTCATTGTTGATGTCAGGATCTTGCTGGAAGTCGAACACCAGGATCGAATCGCGGAAATGACCTTCGACCGCTTGAAGTGCAGACGCCCAGGACGTGGATACAGCTGCGAGGTCGTGGATGCCCCGACGATAAACCACGCGTCTCTTATTTGACAGCAATTGGGTAGCAACGTCTACGTGCAGGAAGCTCAAGACGTTGAGCAGCGCCGACTCCGGCAGGTCATCCAAGCGCATCGCTATTGTCGTCTCCGAATGACATGGCTACAATTTTGCAATTTCCGATGTTGTGATTAGTAGATTGGTAGTTGTGTGTGCTACGTAATGTAGCCATTTTCTGGGTGGTGGAGCAGCCAAGCGGCACAACGTCAACAGGGTCAAGCAAGTGCACGTGATACATTCACTCACTACCTATCACCTTGGCGCTACGACAGCTGCAGCACCATGTCGAGCAGCTACAAGCAGAAGAAGTTGAAGACGCTGGCGACGCGCAAGAAGACGCGCAAACGCCGCATGGAGGAGGGCATGACGTTCGAGGACGACTCGGGCCGACTGTTCCAGCCGCCGAGCACGCGCGACCCGCGCTGGAAGAAGCCGTCGATCGAGGCGGTGGTGTCCGGCATCTCCAAGAGCAAGCGGCAGAAGAAGGCGGAGAAGAAGCGACGAAAGCTCGCTGCCAATCAGGAACAAAATGCAGGCGAAAACGATGACGACGAGATTGAGGTCGTCCAACGGGGAGACGCCAGCAGCGATGACGACGGACCGGAGGAGGAGCAGGACGACGAGGAATCGGCAACTGGAGACGACAACGACGCTCTGTTCGATCTGCCGAAGACGCCTCTGCGACTGTGCAAGTCGCTGGACGACGTGGTGGCCAAAGCAGCAGCGAAGCACGCGGAGATCCGGCGCAAGGACGGCAGACAGAAGATCAAGGTGCTGCTGCTCGTGGACGCGCGCTCGATTTTCAAGCTCATGAAGAAGAACATGAACATCCGCCCCGAGATGGTGAAGCCCAAGAGCCGACTGGGCGTGGGCTCGGCCAAGAAGCCGGAGCTCGCGTACAAGAACACGGGGCTGGTGAAGACGCCGCTGGACCGCTTCAAGGACGTCAACAAGGCGGTGCTCACGGGCTACAAGAGCGGCAAGCTGTCGACCATCCTGGCCGAGGACCTGTCGTTCTACCCGTACACCGAGTTCAAGGTGCAGCACGTGATCTTCGTGGCCAAGCAGGCGGCGTCGGCTATCAACCTGGACCGCAACCTGCTGCGCAACGTGAAGCTGCACTCGTTCGTCATCGACGACGAGAGCACGTCGGGCATCTCTGAAGACGACCTCAAGGCGCTCCACGCCGCGTTCGACGTCACGAGCGCGTAGGCGTACACCAGTACACAAGCTTCTCGGTGGTTCATTATTGGCAGCAGTAATAGAGGAGGCGCAGTTTTGCTAGCGGATCGATGCTGCCTACTCAGAGTCTACCGAGCCCTTGCTCGACGCGCGCCATGTTACCCACCACGTCACAGGGGACTTGTCCCCGTTTTTGGTGCTTCGATTTTTTTGACTTGACTTCAGTATGGCGACCTGATTTACGCGCGTGGTCCACACCAGCAACGGCCGATCCAAAAGCGGTAGCCAAGAGAAGATCCCATTGAAGCACTTGCCGGCCCGCTGCCCAAGCCGTCGCTAGCCGTCTCTTCCTCCGCAGCTTCAGCTTCAGCCATGGCCGACGTGGGCATCCCGCCAATCAATGGCGCAGATCCCGTCCCCGTCCCCGTTGACGCCCCCACCGCCGCGCCCGAGGTGTGGTCCGACCACCTCAACTCGACCGACTACTCGCTGCTGCTGGGGCTGCCGCTGGGCTCGCTGCTGGCCATTCTGTTCGTGCTGCGCGTGCTGTGGCGCCCCAAGGCGGGGCCCAAGTTCCGGCTGCCCAAGCAGGTGCCGACCTACGGCAGCGTGGCGCTGGACGACGACAGCTACGACTACGACGGCGACTCGAACGACCTCATCTACGCCGGCCAGGTGGCGGGCCGCTACGACACGCGCTGGACGCGCACCTTCGACTTCGTGTTCCTCGTGGGCATGCTGCTCTTCGCGGCGGCGCTCGCGGGGCTCACGACGCTGCTGCAGCCCGAGCTCTGGGACAACACGAGCTTCTGGTTCTTCCTGCTGCCCAAGGTGCTCATCATGATGGGCGTGTCGACGCTCGGCGGCATCATCTGCCGCTTCTTCTGCATCGTGGACGACGCCGGCTACGTCATCACCGAGCGCAGCTCCGTCTTCAAGGTCAACTACACGCGCAAGTTCCAGCTGCTGGCGGCCTACCTGGTGCCGCTGCTCGTCAAGCCCGACGAGGAGTCGTGCCCCGTGTGCAATGGGCCGCTGGCGCTCGCCTGGGGGGACTTTGTCACGCTCTTCTGCTTCCTGCTGCTCATTAAGCCCATCCGCGAGCGCTCGACGCTCTTCATGCTGCAGTTCAACTCGCTCGACCGACCAGAGGACCGACCGCACACGCTCAAGTGGATCGTGGCGGGCAACGTCTTCCCCGGTTTGTTCGTGCTGCTCTTCTTCCGCTGGCTGTTCGCACGGACGACGCAGTCCGACCTCGTCTTCATCCTCGTGTTCGTGACGAGCATCGGCGACGGACTGGCAGAGCCCATAGGCATCGCGTTCGGCAAGCACAAGTACTCGACCAGCACGTGCTGCTCCAAGCGCAAGTACACGCGCAGTTTCGAGGGCTCGGCGTGCGTCTTCCTGTCGGGCATCGTGTTCCCAGCGCTGCAGTACGCCGACTTCGAGACGCCCATGCAGCTGTGGCTTACGATGATCATCTTGCCGTTCGTGGTGGCCTACGCAGAGGCAACAGCGCCCCACACCATGGACGCGCCGGTACTGATGGCAGCCACGGGGCTTGTGCTCTACACCATCATCCACATCTTTTGAAGTGAGCAAACCTACCTACCTACCTACCTACCTACCTACACGTGCAGCCCTCTGAGATCAATAGCTAGCAACCCAGGAAATTCACGATGAACAGAGCTGGCGATTTATTAACTTGGTGCTCTACTCTTCATAAATGACGTACCCTTGAGGCGGAGCAGGCTGCGACGGCGCGTGTTCCTTTGGAGGTGGAGGCGCGAACGTCTTCTTGCCCTCGGAGAACTTGGCCAGCGCAGCCATGTGGTCGTCCGTGAACGGGTCGGCAGCCGAGGCGTCCGCCTGCAGCCACGGGTGCTGTAGCGCCATTGCAGCAGGCGGACGCTCCCTCGGATTTAGCACTAGCAAGTACTCGATGAACTTCTTGGCCTGATGTGACACCTTGGACTCGAGCTCCTTGGGGTACTCGAATTCGCCCTTGACGATCTTGTCTTCCACCTGCGAGAGGAACCGCGCGTCGAACGGGAACTGCCCAAACAGCAAGACGTACGTGACGACACCCAGCGACCAGAGATCAATCGCCCAGCCGTAGTAGCTGTGTTTGTGGAACATCTCCGGCGCCATGTAGTGCGGTGTGCCGTTCATACCCGACATCTCGTTGCCGCCCACGGTGCCCATGTGAGCCAGTCCGAAGTCAATGAGCAGCACACCGTCCTGCAGGTCCTTGGTCTTGCACAGAATGTTCTCCACCTTCACGTCGCGGTGCGTGATACCGTTCAGGTGCAGGTAGGCCAGCACGCTCAGCAATTGTCGGACGATCTCCGCCACGTCGCACTCGCGTACGCGCGGAGCTCCTGGCCGGCAGATCGCGTCCATGACCTCTCCACCCGTGGCCTTGTCCGTCACGATGGCGAACTTGTCGTCGTCCTGGAACACCTTGCGCAGCCGCAGCACGCCCGGGTGCTTAACTCTGGCGAGGATGGCCAGCTCGGACTCCAGCGCCTCTACGCGGTTGGGCGTGGACAGATACTCCTGGCGCACGAACTTGACGGCCACGTCCTCGTCGCACTCGCGCTCTTCGCGTTCCCGCTGCTGCTCCTCCGCCAGCGTCTTGGCGCGGCTGCGGTAGTGCGGGCGCTTCCTCTTGGCGACGAACACCTGGCCGGTCTTGCCCTCGCCGAGCTGGTACAGCACGTCGTACGAGTCCTCGAACGTGGGCTCTTTCTTGTCATGGTGACCAAGCGCCAGCATGCCCGACGCGGTCATGCGGCCGTCCTCGACGCCGTCGTCGCGCGCGCCGCGGCGGCTGAAGCAGCTGAAACAGCACAACATTGGTGGTGCGAGCGGGACTGTGGCTATCTATGTGTGACGAGTATCGAGCTTTTCGATGGGGCGGGCAGCTCTTGACAGCCTGCACGCGGCGTCGTGCTGAACGGGAGTGCGTGGCGGAATGGCCGCTTCGTGCAGACGACGAAAAAGCCAGATAATTTGACAATACGGAATGCTACGCGAAATATTCGACATGCATGAAATGTGACAGTACTGTACGCACCTGGGACTTCAACGGCAGAAAGCAAGAGACAGAAGGCACGTGGCGGGAGAGCCCCGCTTAGCCATGTTCCAAACTGACATGCGAGCACATGCTCCGTTGTCCAGTGACATTGCCAGCATTTGTGATCGCTGTAGCAGAACTGCAGCTGGTGTCGTCGCTACGCGCTGCTTGTCTACAAGTCCGCCAAGCCTTTTTGCGTTTGGTTATCGTGAGTCGCACGTTGGGAAGGCTTTTAAGCCTTGTTAAAACAAGCCAGCGCACTGCGCTGCACAGCGGGAACCACGAGCTGTGCGGGCGTCAATTCACTGACGCAAGCGATCGAGGTTGGGAAGTGATAGGATCGGGTCGAGTGTTTGAGACGGCCACACGGTGCATTCGGGGTAAAAGTTACGAGGAGCATGCCCCCCAAAAATGGGGGAATCCCGAGAAATTAAAGAAATTTATCACGTGTTTTAGCCTTTCGGCTAATGAGCTCTCGCCGAAGCATTTCTCCTTACCCCTTTGCTTACATGCAGCCCTTACTTACATCTAGCATTTTCACTAACAATTGTGACCGGTATTCCCGCCAAAGTGGATAGCTTGCAGCAACACCTTACACAAGGCTTGTTTTTTTTTAAGGTTTTGTACGCCACATAAATTTTCGTTTCCAGCTTCAGTCTCTTTCGAGCCGCGTCGGACCAGCATGAGGAGCTGCTTCGAGACGGCCATGATGCTGACCGTGACGGGGGTCACCAACTTCTGCATGTTCCCCGCCATCTATAGCCTCTACAGTCGGCAGTTCGTCTTCGAGGTGCAGTGCATTGAAATGCCATCAGCTGGGCTGCTCTTGGGCTGGCACAACGGATCCGATCTAACGCGTGTCATGTTTGCGCAGGCGTTCATCGGCATGTTTACCATGACCACCAGCTTCATGTATCACGTGTGCGACAGCATCGACGGCCCGCTGTGGCTCACGGAAGGGCAGTGGCACAGACTCGACAACATCGGCTCCATCATGAGCTTCATCATGTGGGGGATCCACCTCATGGACCTGCGTCACCCGGTGCTGGAGCGGTATGTGCAGTACTTCTTCCTGGGCATGGTGCTGGTCTTCCAGGAGAAAAATCCGTGGGACGAGTGGAACTCGGTCATCCCCGTAGTCAGCAGCTTCCTGCTGCTGCTGGTGTCGTTCGCGGTGAGGAGGCGCGTGCCCCGATACGACTATCAGCCGTTCCGACGCGGATTGCTGCTGCTGGTGTGCGGTGTTGGGTGCTTCGTGCGCGGCCTGGACGACGACACGGACCCGTTCCGCTTTTTCCACGGCTGCTGGCACAGCTTCGTGGGGGCGGCGGCGTACTACAATTTCAAGGTGCTGCCCGACCGAGAAGACAGGAGAAGCTCGCACTTGCCCATCAAGAGGCAAGACTAAATGAGCGATGAAGAAGCAAAGCGAATAGAGTCCAAATACAGGACGTTGGTGTAAGCTGCTGGTCACGATGAAAGCCGCGAAAATTTATTGTGCTCGTTTCGGCGAGAATAGATGATAGTTTGAAGTACACTGTACAACCGTCGAGTTTGTAGCCTGCCGAAATGAAGAGTGCATGTAATACATGCAACGAGCATCGAGCACAACTTTGGCAAGCATTGGCAGCATGAAGACAGGCAGGCAGGCAAGCCGATAGTCTACGTTGATGATGCGACGGAACGCCCGCTCAACTCGACAACACCCGCAATCGGAGGAAAACGACACCACGGCAAACTTTGCCGTTGACCACGGTGAGATCGCGTGGTCCGAGAGGCCGAGCTCTACTCCAAAGTATCCTACATGTATACGTATCTTGGTTGCTCACGTCGCAGTAACATCACTTGCCAGAACAACTTCGAGTTAAATTAAATGGACACACATGGATACACTCACCTGTCTGTCTGCATTATGCACCCATTTTGACCAATCACATGTCCGTCGCCACACCCCCTCCGGCCGGCATGGGCAGCTACGGCTCAATCCCGCAAGTGGACGGCGCCGAGGACAAGCCAGACCTCGAGGAACAGCAGCAGCACAAGACGCTCGCCATGAGCCTCGCCAACCGCGTGTACGCCTACGACCTGACGTGGTCCACCAAGCTCTACCAGCGCTTCGGCCGCGACCCGACGCCGCGTCTGTGCTGGGAGATTTTCTCGCACTCGGGCGATGGCTTCCTGTGGATTCTGACCATCCCGCCGCTCATGGGGCTGCTCTGGGCGGCCGGCCTCATCGGCCCCTTCGAGCCGGCCACCAAAATGCTGCTGTCGGCGCTCTTCACCGTCATGACGGTCGACATCATCGCCATCATGCTGCTCAAGATGGTGTTTCACCGCCAGCGGCCGCCCTTCCACGAGGCGGACATGCGCTTCGTGGGGCCGGACCAGCACTCGTTCCCGTCCGGCCACTCGACGCGCGTGTGGGCCATGGTGGCCATGCTCGTCTACCTCGCCGAGACGCACCCGTGGATTCTCCGCGAGTTCTTCTACGGCCTGGCGCCGGCCGCACTGGTCGCCGTGTCCATCGTCTGGGCGCTGGTCATCAACTTCTCGCGCGTGGCGCTCGGCCGCCACTACCCGACGGACGTGCTGGCCGGCACACTCATCGGCTTCTTCGTGTTCTGGCCCATTTCGCTCTTCTTCATCCACCACTACGGCATGCTGGACGCGCCGCCCCCGCCGTACTAAGCTAGGGACTGTAGATGGGGGAGGCGAGAGCACGCAGCTAGAGACCGTTCCAGCCTCAGTTGTAGTGCTGCAGGGCTATCTGGAATGATTCAACAAGATGTAACCTTGCCTCTCGTCGTTGGTGTTAATGTGTCGGGGCGTGGCGTCCTTCTGGCGCTGACAAGCACGTGGCGCCGTCCATCTCAGACATTTACAGTTACTGCGTATCCCCCTCTTAAGTGTATCCATCGCTACTATTTATATATCTTACTTGAACTAAATATCGCAATCGCTGCGTTTGATTGGGTATGGACGCTTTCTACCACAGGCTCTGCGATAAGTGATACTCTGTGAGCCGATTCTGAAGGAGAAGAGCTGCCGCGCTCCATTTTCGCGTGTCAAATTCGACTCGACGGCTCTTGTCGAGGGGCATTGGGCCTTTTTCTAGGTTGGAGCTCCCATCTGGCCTCCAGCGCCTATAGCCCTGCGCGCCCTCGAGTTTCTCATCGAGCCACATTACTCACCAAGTCGGCGTTCTCAAGCTTGCAGTCGCTGGACGTCCTCGCGTCGACGCCCTCAGCTCCATTTTCAGCCTCTCTTCAGCCTGGAGAGACCAGACTCTAGGACGCGCCTTCCAGGGTGCTTCCCCCAATATAGCTGCTGCAGGCAGGATCCACACGGACGAGCGAGCTGTATCATAGTCACAGTTCAATTCAGATTGCGCGGCGTTCGATGAGCGCAGCCATTGGCTTCGGCGAATACGAGGCATTGCTGCCCTGCGACGGAGTCAACGCGGCGCTAACGTTTAGCCGCGAGTTCTTCAGTCGCGAGTATGTCGTCCAACGTGTGACGAGAGAGGCGTTGGCCGTTGCACTGGAAACGGACGAGAAACGGTGGCGCGGACTGTCGAGGATCAATTCGGGGCACGCCGTGGTCAGCATTGACGGCGTGCCAGCGCGCGGCTTGCCGTCACGCCAATTCGCTGAGCTCTGGTATCCGCCGGTAACTCCAGAGACGTCGGATGCGGTGGATCGACGGTACCGCCGCGTTCGTTTCCGTGATCGCAAACGCGCGGAGCTCGAGGTGGAGATGCAGAAGGACTGGGCGGGCGCGGGACCCATGCGCTTCACACCGCTGCAAGATGACGCAGAGCTGCAGACCAAGCTGCGTGAGGCGCACACGCTGATCTGGGAGCATGAGCTCTCCCGGGCTCATGCGGTCCTTCGGTCGTTGCCGGTTGGTAGTGACCCGATGGTGTGTTTGGTGGCGGTGGAGCTGGAGGTAGTGCGCGTACTGGTGTCGAAGGATGCGTTGTATGCCAAGCAGGCCCAGCGCGCAGCAAGCCAGGCTGTCGCGTGGCTTGAGAGCATGACGGAGTTGTCGTCGCTCTCGTACTCGACCAGAAAGCAGACGCAACTCGCTCTGGCGGAAGCTCTCTTTCTCTCGGCTCTGCTGCGTCTTGGTGGCGATCAACGGCTTGCTGCGATCGCCGCAGCAAGACGTTGCGCTGCTATATACGTGGAGCTGGAAGAGAAGTTCTTCACAAGTCGCGATTCAACGAAGAGAGACCGGTTGTTGATGCCCGAGAGCGAACTGCAAGTGTTTCAGAAGAGGGTCCGTTTTGGAATGGGTATACTTCATGTCGGCGGAGCTCTGGCGCTGCAGAGTGCGCTGGACTGGATTGGCACGTTGGTTAAAGGAGCGTGCGATATCAAGAACGGCCTCGAGTATTTGCTGGACTGCGGCAAGATTAATGAAGGCAGCGAGAGCCATCTCCAGGCCAACTGGGCCGCCTTGGCTCTCATGTACAGCTCGGGTGCGCTTCGGCTCGTTCGACAACGAAGCGAGCAAGAGATTGGTGACTGCCTTACTAAAGAGATTGGTGCCTGTCAGCAATCCACACTCCAGCGACATCCGAAGGCGCTCGTATTCCTCTGGAGCCAAGCAAACGCCACAAACTTCGTCGGTCACCGGTTCAAGCAGCTCGAAGTTGAACTATCACGGGTCTCCGAACTCGAGGAGAGAGTTCACCTTGTGCGGTTTGATCTTGGATATCGACACTTTCTAGCCCGTGAGTTTGGTCGCTCTTCAGCACAGTTCATGCCTATCTGCAAGTGCACCAGCGCGCCGGCAAAACTGCGTGGACTCAGCAGTGTCTTCGTCGCGGTAGGCTACCTTCTGACGAGCGAGGTTGATGCCAAGCTATTGAGCTCGGTGCGGCTGTTGTTGCGGTCCGCCCGAAGATTCTTGACACTTCGGTTGGAGGACAACCCGGAAGACTTCGAAGCTGGATCGTTGTACGAGCGAATTGGGGCATATTTGGATGGCGGTGACGAGTATTTGCAGCTTCTACCGTCGGAAATCCTGTACGTCTACTGCCAGTCCACCAAGACGATCATGGTGGGATCTACGCTGGAAACGTGCCAGCCCCAACACCATCTTGCAGCACTTGAGAAGATAACCCAGTTGTCGAAACTTGCGAGAGCCGATGGAAACCAATCCAACCACGAAGCAGAGCTGTGTCTCCTTCGTGCCATCATACGCTTCAACCTACGAGAATTTGACGCCTGTGAAAGAGAGCTCAAGACGATATGGAGTGAGCTCCTCCCGCAAGGCAGTCGCCCTAGAACAGACTCCGCGCTCAGTCGGCTCCTCAGCCAGCGGACTCCATGCCCACCTCCAGCGTTTGTCGCTCTGGTTGCATGGTTCTACCAGCTCAGACTGCTGCTCGAGCGCAGGTGTTCCAGATCGACACTTTCATCCATTGATCCAAACTCGGTGTCATCACCGAAGTGCAGCAAGATGGACACCGCGACACAAGAGACTGCTCCTAGCTTTGCAGGCGCTGTCCAACAATCCCCGTATCCATATCACCACATCTACAGCGGCAAGCTGCAGGCGCTTAACAAACTGGTCACGCGTCTGGCAACTGAAAAGATCGACAACAACTCGAGCTGCAGTAGCCCAACCACATGCAACACACAGCACTGACAAGCAAACATCATTATTTATTGCTTCAATACATGCACTGATCGATCCACGCATACAACTTGTGGATACATAAATGCTTACAGCAAGTAGACCTTGGTCAGATAGATTAGGCGGCGTGTGTGTCCGCGACCTCGTCGTCCTCGTCAGCATTCGTGCCGCGGCGAGATTTGGTCTTCTTCCACGCGAAACGCGTCGGGAAGGCCGGCTTGGACACGGTCGGGGCGGTGAAGCGACCGAACCGAGACTTGCTCTTGGGCGCTTGCTGGGCTGGCGGCGAATACAGGAACGTGTCCTCAATTTCTTCCTCGAACGACTTCGTGCTGCTTGTGTTGCTGGCAGGGAGCGAGATCTTCCGCGTGAGCATACCAGCAACCGAGCTCAAGCCGACAACAGACGGCAGAGTGCTGGAGCGAGCCTTGCTTGAGTCCGCGTTCTTGTCCTCGTCCTCCAGAGACGACGTAGGAGAGCTTGAAGGCTTGCTCGAACGACGGCTTGAAAGCGCACTAAGGACACTAGCGGCGCGCCAGCGGCTACCGCTCTTCTTGCGGGTAGCTGGCTCTTCTTCGTCCTTCGCTTGGTCCTTCTCAACGTCGCTGGTACGCTGGCCAGACACGGGCGAGTCGCTGCTGAACGAGCTAGCGCGATCACTGTCCGTGTCAAAGTACTTCGGGCCGTCACGGGTTTCGATGTCACTGAGACTGCGCTCGTCGAAGTCAGACTTGGACGGCACGTCAGCGTACGAGTCTCCACGCGATCGGAATGCATCGTCGTACGAGTCGTCGCGCGCCCGGAACACGTCGGCGTAGGAATCGTTGCGAGAGCGCGTGTCGTCAGCGTACGAGTCACCACGAGAGCGAGTTTCATCGGCGTACGAGTCCTCGCGCGACCGGAACGGATCGACAAACGATTCGTCACGAGGGCGGGACACACCGCTGAGCGAACTCGATGCCAGACTGCCTCGAGGCGTGTCCGAGTTGAAGGACGGCTCCTGGAAGAATGACCCAGAGCGAACCGATGAGGGTCTGTCGAAATCGGAAATGCTACTAGGACGCTCGCTATCGATGTCCTCAGCAGCAGCTTCCTTTACAGGCGACGGCGAAGCAACGGGGGCAGCTGCATCAGAAGAAAGCGTAGACTCGAAAGACGAGTTGTTGTTCTCGCTTGACCAGTGGCGGTTCTCCTCAACACCCGAGCTTTCCGCTGAGTGTTCAATCGGCTTGTGCTCTTCCATCGCATCGACAAAACTGTCGCTGCTCGCATCGCTCTTATCGTCATCGAATGCCGAGTGCTCTTCAGGCATCGAAAACTCCGGCGCCATGTTCACGCTGTTGGTCGACACCCGAGGGGTGGAATCAAGGGGTGAAGGGCCTTGGTCACTATCGGTGTCAGGAACCACATCGGCATGCTCCGATTCCAAAACCACCGCTTGAGTGGAGACTGTCTCTCCATAAGCAGGTGGGGCGCCAACAAAACTCGGCGCGTCTTCAAACTCGGAGTCATCGTCGCTGTCGTCGTCGCTGGAAAGGTTCGAGAAGCGCCCAGTCTGGCTCAACATCTGAAGCTCAGCGATAGTAGGTTGACGTCGGATCTGTGGCTTCTCTAGGCCGTCATCTTGACGAGATGTGTCTGCTTCCGCTGACTGTCGCTGCTCGCGCAGCGCCTCCACCTTTCGAGCAGCGGCAAAGGATCGCCATTGGCACTGAAGGCGCACAGCCATAACATTCTCCTTCTCATGCAAAGCTTCAGCTCGTAACGATGCAACCTTGACGCGGGCTAGTACACCACGCCACCTGCTTTGAATTCTCACCGCAGTCAAATTCTCGATGCGAGAAAGCTGGGTCTGGACATCAGCAATAGCGGCAGACCGCATTGAAGCCACCTCAGACCGGGCTACAGAACCCCGCCAGTGGCTCTGGATCTTCGTCGCCATGGCGCTCTCGGCCTCCGCCTGACGGGCCAGCTCCTCCTGACGAGCAAGCTCCTCTTGTTCGCGAGCGAGCTCTTCCTGGCGAGCAGCTTCCTCCGCAGCGGCAGCAGCAGCCTCTGCCTCCGCAGCAGCCCTAGCAGCTTCAGCCTCGGCAGCAACGCGAGCAGCTTCGGCCTCCGCCTCGGCCTGAGCAGCAGCCTCCGCGGCAGCACGAGAAGCTTCAGCTTCAGCCTCAGCCTCGGCCTGGGCAGCAGCCTCCGCCTCCGCAACGGCCTTAGCAGCCTCGGCCTCGGCCACCTCGGTACGCAGCACAGCCACCTCGGACCGGGCTACAGAACCCCGCCAGTGGCTCTGGATCTTCGTCGCCATGGCGCTCTCGGCCTCCGCCTGACGGGCCAGCTCCTCCTGACGAGCAAGCTCCTCTTGTTCGCGAGCGAGCTCTTCCTGGCGAGCAGCTTCCTCCGCAGCGGCAGCAGCAGCCTCTGCCTCCGCAGCAGCCCTAGCAGCTTCAGCCTCGGCAGCAACGCGAGCAGCTTCGGCCTCCGCCTCGGCCTGAGCAGCAGCCTCCGCGGCAGCACGAGCAGCTTCAGCTTCAGCCTCAGCCTCGGCCTGGGCAGCAGCCTCCGCCTCCGCAACGGCCTTAGCAGCCTCGGCCTCGGCCACCTCGGTACGCAGCACAGCCACCTCGGACCGGGCTACAGAACCCCGCCAGTGGCTCTGGATCTTCGTCGCCATGGCGCTCTCGGCCTCCGCCTGACGGGCCAGCTCTTCCTGGCGAGCAAGCTCCTCTTGTTCGCGAGCGAGCTCTTCCTGGCGAGCAGCTTCCTCCGCAGCGGCAGCAGCAGCCTCTGCCTCCGCAGCAGCCCTAGCAGCTTCAGCCTCAGCAGCAACGCGAGCAGCTTCGGCCTCCGCCTCGGCCTGAGCAGCAGCCTCCGCGGCAGCACGAGCAGCTTCAGCTTCAGCCTCAGCCTCGGCCTGGGCAGCAGCCTCCGCCTCCGCAACGGCCTTAGCAGCCTCGGCCTCGGCCACCTCGGTACGCAGCACAGCCACCTCGGACCGGGCTACAGAACCCCGCCAGTGGCTCTGGATCTTCGTCGCCATGGCGCTCTCGGCCTCCGCCTGACGGGCCAGCTCTTCCTGGCGAGCAAGCTCCTCTTGTTCGCGAGCGAGCTCTTCCTGGCGAGCAGCTTCCTCCGCAGCGGCAGCAGCAGCCTCTGCCTCCGCAGCAGCCCTAGCAGCTTCAGCCTCAGCAGCAACGCGAGCAGCTTCGGCCTCCGCCTCGGCCTGAGCAGCAGCCTCCGCGGCAGCACGAGCAGCTTCAGCTTCAGCCTCAGCCTCGGCCTGGGCAGCAGCCTCCGCCTCCGCAACGGCCTTAGCAGCCTCGGCCTCGGCCACCTCGGTACGCAGCACAGCCACCTCGGACCGGGCTACAGAACCCCGCCAGTGGCTCTGGATCTTCGTCGCCATGGCGCTCTCGGCCTCCGCCTGACGGGCCAGCTCCTCCTGACGAGCAAGCTCCTCTTGTTCGCGAGCGAGCTCTTCCTGGCGAGCAGCTTCCTCCGCAGCGGCAGCAGCAGCCTCTGCCTCCGCAGCAGCCCTAGCAGCTTCAGCCTCAGCAGCAACGCGAGCAGCTTCGGCCTCCGCCTCGGCCTGAGCAGCAGCCTCCGCGGCAGCACGAGCAGCTTCAGCTTCAGCCTCAGCCTCGGCCTGGGCAGCAGCCTCCGCCTCCGCAACGGCCTTAGCAGCCTCGGCCTCGGCCACCTCGGTACGCAGCACAGCCACCTCGGACCGGGCTACAGAACCCCGCCAGTGGCTCTGGATCTTCGTCGCCATGGCGCTCTCGGCCTCCGCCTGACGGGCCAGCTCCTCCTGACGAGCAAGCTCCTCTTGTTCGCGAGCGAGCTCTTCCTGGCGAGCAGCTTCCTCCGCAGCGGCAGCAGCAGCCTCTGCCTCCACAGCAGCCCTAGCAGCTTCAGCCTCAGCAGCAACGCGAGCAGCTTCGGCCTCCGCCTCGGCCTGGGCAGCAGCCTCCGCCTCCGCAACGGCCTTAGCAGCCTCGGCCTCGGCCACCTCGGTACGCAGCACAGCCACCTCGGACCGGGCTACAGAACCCCGCCAGTGGCTCTGGATCTTCGTCGCCATGGCGCTCTCGGCCTCCGCCTGACGGGCCAGCTCCTCCTGACGAGCAAGCTCCTCTTGTTCGCGAGCGAGCTCTTCCTGGCGAGCAGCTTCCTCCGCAGCGGCAGCAGCAGCCTCTGCCTCCACAGCAGCCCTAGCAGCTTCAGCCTCAGCAGCAACGCGAGCAGCTTCGGCCTCCGCCTCGGCCTGAGCAGCAGCCTCCGCGGCAGCACGAGCAGCTTCAGCTTCAGCCTCAGCCTCGGCCTGGGCAGCAGCCTCCGCCTCCGCAACGGCCTTAGCAGCCTCGGCCTCGGCCACCTCGGTACGCAGCACAGCCACCTCGGACCGGGCTACAGAACCCCGCCAGTGGCTCTGGATCTTCGTCGCCATGGCGCTCTCGGCCTCCGCCTGACGGGCCAGCTCCTCCTGACGAGCAAGCTCCTCTTGTTCGCGAGCGAGCTCTTCCTGGCGAGCAGCTTCCTCCGCAGCGGCAGCAGCAGCCTCTGCCTCCGCAGCAGCCCTAGCAGCTTCAGCCTCAGCAGCAACGCGAGCAGCTTCGGCCTCCGCCTCGGCCTGAGCAGCAGCCTCCGCGGCAGCACGAGCAGCTTCAGCTTCAGCCTCAGCCTCGGCCTGGGCAGCAGCCTCCGCCTCCGCAACGGCCTTAGCAGCCTCGGCCTCGGCCACCTCGGTACGCAGCACAGCCACCTCGGACCGGGCTACAGAACCCCGCCAGTGGCTCTGGATCTTCGTCGCCATGGCGCTCTCGGCCTCCGCCTGACGGGCCAGCTCCTCCTGACGAGCAAGCTCCTCTTGTTCGCGAGCGAGCTCTTCCTGGCGAGCAGCTTCCTCCGCAGCGGCAGCAGCAGCCTCTGCCTCCGCAGCAGCCCTAGCAGCTTCAGCCTCAGCAGCAACGCGAGCAGCTTCGGCCTCCGCCTCGGCCTGAGCAGCAGCCTCCGCGGCAGCACGAGCAGCTTCAGCTTCAGCCTCAGCCTCGGCCTGGGCAGCAGCCTCCGCCTCCGCAACGGCCTTAGCAGCCTCGGCCTCGGCCACCTCGGTACGCAGCACAGCCACCTCGGACCGGGCTACAGAACCCCGCCAGTGGCTCTGGATCTTCGTCGCCATGGCGCTCTTGGCCTCCGCCTGACGGGCCAGCTCCTCCTGACGAGCAAGCTCCTCTTGTTCGCGAGCGAGCTCTTCCTGGCGAGCAGCTTCCTCCGCAGCGGCAGCAGCAGCCTCTGCCTCCGCAGCAGCCCTAGCAGCTTCAGCCTCAGCAGCAACGCGAGCAGCTTCGGCCTCCGCCTCGGCCTGAGCAGCAGCCTCCGCGGCAGCACGAGCAGCTTCAGCTTCAGCCTCAGCCTCGGCCTGGGCAGCAGCCTCCGCCTCCGCAACGGCCTTAGCAGCCTCGGCCTCGGCCACCTCGGTACGCAGCACAGCCACCTCGGACCGGGCTACAGAACCCCGCCAGTGGCTCTGGATCTTCGTCGCCATGGCGCTCTCGGCCTCCGCCTGACGGGCCAGCTCCTCCTGACGAGCAAGCTCCTCTTGTTCGCGAGCGAGCTCTTCCTGGCGAGCAGCTTCCTCCGCAGCGGCAGCAGCAGCCTCTGCCTCCGCAGCAGCCCTAGCAGCTTCAGCCTCAGCAGCAACGCGAGCAGCTTCGGCCTCCGCCTCGGCCTGAGCAGCAGCCTCCGCGGCAGCACGAGCAGCTTCAGCTTCAGCCTCAGCCTCGGCCTGGGCAGCAGCCTCCGCCTCCGCAACGGCCTTAGCAGCCTCGGCCTCGGCCACCTCGGTACGCAGCACAGCCACCTCGGACCGGGCTACAGAACCCCGCCAGTGGCTCTGGATCTTCGTCGCCATGGCGCTCTCGGCCTCCGCCTGACGGGCCAGCTCCTCCTGACGAGCAAGCTCCTCTTGTTCGCGAGCGAGCTCTTCCTGGCGAGCAGCTTCCTCCGCAGCGGCAGCAGCAGCCTCTGCCTCCACAGCAGCCCTAGCAGCTTCAGCCTCAGCAGCAACGCGAGCAGCTTCGGCCTCCGCCTCGGCCTGGGCAGCAGCCTCCGCCTCCGCAACGGCCTTAGCAGCCTCGGCCTCGGCCACCTCGGTACGCAGCACAGCCACCTCGGACCGGGCTACAGAACCCCGCCAGTGGCTCTGGATCTTCGTCGCCATGGCGCTCTCGGCCTCCGCCTGACGGGCCAGCTCCTCCTGACGAGCAAGCTCCTCTTGTTCGCGAGCGAGCTCTTCCTGGCGAGCAGCTTCCTCCGCAGCGGCAGCAGCAGCCTCTGCCTCCACAGCAGCCCTAGCAGCTTCAGCCTCAGCAGCAACGCGAGCAGCTTCGGCCTCCGCCTCGGCCTGAGCAGCAGCCTCCGCGGCAGCACGAGCAGCTTCAGCTTCAGCCTCAGCCTCGGCCTGGGCAGCAGCCTCCGCCTCCGCAACGGCCTTAGCAGCCTCGGCCTCGGCCACCTCGGTACGCAGCACAGCCACCTCGGACCGGGCTACAGAACCCCGCCAGTGGCTCTGGATCTTCGTCGCCATGGCGCTCTCGGCCTCCGCCTGACGGGCCAGCTCCTCCTGACGAGCAAGCTCCTCTTGTTCGCGAGCGAGCTCTTCCTGGCGAGCAGCTTCCTCCGCAGCGGCAGCAGCAGCCTCTGCCTCCGCAGCAGCCCTAGCAGCTTCAGCCTCAGCAGCAACGCGAGCAGCTTCGGCCTCCGCCTCGGCCTGAGCAGCAGCCTCCGCGGCAGCACGAGCAGCTTCAGCTTCAGCCTCAGCCTCGGCCTGGGCAGCAGCCTCCGCCTCCGCAACGGCCTTAGCAGCCTCGGCCTCGGCCACCTCGGTACGCAGCACAGCCACCTCGGACCGGGCTACAGAACCCCGCCAGTGGCTCTGGATCTTCGTCGCCATGGCGCTCTCGGCCTCCGCCTGACGGGCCAGCTCCTCCTGACGAGCAAGCTCCTCTTGTTCGCGAGCGAGCTCTTCCTGGCGAGCAGCTTCCTCCGCAGCGGCAGCAGCAGCCTCTGCCTCCGCAGCAGCCCTAGCAGCTTCAGCCTCAGCAGCAACGCGAGCAGCTTCGGCCTCCGCCTCGGCCTGAGCAGCAGCCTCCGCGGCAGCACGAGCAGCTTCAGCCTCAGCAGCAACGCGAGCAGCTTCGGCCTCCGCCTCGGCCTGGGCAGCAGCCTCCGCCTCCGCAACGGCCTTAGCAGCCTCGGCCTCGGCCACCTCGGTACGCAGCACAGCCACCTCGGACCGGGCTACAGAACCCCGCCAGTGGCTCTGGATCTTGGTGGCTGCGTCTCGTTGCTGTCGGAGCTGAGCTAACTCGTTGCGTGCCTGTCGGCCTGCCAATATTCGTGCCGCGAAATCTTGGATCTCATGGGCTGCGTCAATCTGCTTCGTGTATTCGGCCTGAGCTTGGCGCCGACGAACCACAGCCTGAAGTAATATCGCTGCTGCCTTCCGGACTGCGATATCAGACTGATAGCGATTCCGTTGGGAACGGCCTCGCACAATCTTTTGGATAACCACCGCGCACGTCTGCTCTCTTTGTAGCTGCTGACGGAGAGCCTCTAATTGCTTCTGTGCCTGCCGTCGCCGGAATTCAGTCTGAATTCGGATGGCAATTCTCTCCGATGCTGCAAGCTTCTCGCTGTAAGCCTCGCGCGCAATCACGCCGCGCACTCCTGACTGGATTTGCGTCGCCATGTCATTTTTCCGCTGGGTTTCCTTACGATCCTGATCCTTACTGCGGAAAGCTCGCGCGCCTTGAGCATAAGCCATACCATTGAACGTTAGAGGTTTCTTGTTCTGCTTGGCCAGTTCAGCTGTGAGAAGCACCAATGCGGCGTCAGTTGGGGTGCTTTACAAACATGTACAGGTGAAGGGAATACAACGGTTCGCACCAGCTTTACGATCCATCTCGGCGAACTTCTGAGCTGCAGATCTGACGTCGATCTTGGCTTCGTCGACAGAGGCCTTGATCTGCTCAATGTCTACTTCTATCGGTGGACAAGAATTCAATGTGAGCTTATGACCTCGAACGCCTGTCAACAAAGTAAACGTACCGTCAATGGATTGCTTCCGGGTCGACTCCATAGACTCGACCGACTCAATCGACATCTTACGGTTAGACTCCCACGACGCCTTGCGTGCGGCATCATCCAACGCCTTCCGCTCGTCGCGCGCTCGGCTTTCGGCTGAGATAGCAAGCAGTAACCATCAGCACATTAGGGCCTCACAAACCAGAATAGTCCATGACAAGATACTCACCGAGCTGCTCTTGGAACCTTGCGAGTGCCTTCAAGGCCTGAGGGCTAGGCTTCTTGATGCGTGAGGCTGGGTCTGTGAACGGGTAGCGCTTGGCTAAATGGCACAACGCACGAACAGTAAGGTAAGCGACAGAATCATCATAGCACTCCAAGCGCACAAGACGAACCATTCGGGGTCCCGGTGCCGCTCTTAGGCACCATGAAGCCGTTCTTCATGACATATTCATGCGAGACGTCGTGCTGGTCGTACTTCAACAGCGCCGCCTTGGCCTTTTCCTCGGCCTCTTTCTCCACCTGCGCGATCTCCTTCGCGTGCACGTACGCGTGGTCGAAGTCGGGCGAGGAGAAGTTGTTCTTGGCGGACGCCTCCTTAGCGCTCTGCTCTTTCTGTCGCTCCAGCTCCTGCAGACGCTTCTTCTCCTCAAGCTGCTCCTCGAAGTAGGTCTTCCCGCCCGCAAAGTTCCGCAGCGCCTTCTGCGCGTCCTGCTCCGACTTCGTGACGTTCTCGCGCTGCTTGTGGAAGTGGTTGTACGAGTGGTCGTACTCCGTGGAGTAGGACGTCGAGGCGTTGAGGGTCTTGGCGTCCTGCTCCTTCTTGCGCTCGAGCTCCTCGAGGCGCCGCTGCTCCTCGCGCTTCTCGGCCTCAAACGTCTTACCGTCACTCGTGAACTGCGCGAGCGACTCCTTGGCCTTCTGCTCCGCCGTGCGGACGTACTCCATCTGCTTCACCGCGTGGTTGTACGCGCGGTCGTGCTCCAAGTCGTACGAAGACTGCTTGGCCATGGCGTCACGCGACTCCTGCGCCGCGCGGCGCTCCTGCTCCTCGCGCAGCTTGCGCTCCTGCACGGCGGCGTCCACGAGGGACTCGGAGCTCTTTGGGGCCGCGGCGTACGAAGGCTTGTCCGCGGGCTTGTCGGCGCCCGGCAGCTTGATGGGCGGGGGCGCCGCCGTGCGGCGCTTCCAGGCCGGCGGCTCCGAGTTCTGCACCGCGCCCTTGTTGAACATGGCGCGCAGGTTGGCCACGCGGCCGCGCGCCTCGGCCAGCGCCTTCCGCTCCTCTGTGGGCGAACAAGATACACATTAGCTTAAGGCAAGGTTGATCACTAGCAGCAGCTGCGGGACGGACGGGGCACGCACCTTCGTTCATAATTGTACTCTTAGTAGCGGGTGAGTGTGAGGGCCGCTCACTACGCGATTGGGGTCCTGCTGGAGAGGCAATCGAGGAGTGAGGCCGCGGTCGGAGGGGAGGAGGAGCAGGAGGGTCCAGCTGACGCGGGTCGCGGCTGGTTTCAGAATCTTGCCGGCGCGTGACGCAGTGGCGCACCTGATGGCTCCTTGGTGTCGGCTTGGACTCGACTCGGCTTGGGCGCGTAGGTCCACGAATGCCTCGCCTTGTACGTGGCGTTCAGAAACAATCTCGACAATGCTCGCCACAATGCGGCAACGGAGCGCGCCGGCTTTCACGCGTCCCACGGTCATCTCTCCCTTGCCACCGTCCTCGTCCTAGACCTGCATGCGATTATATCTGTACCCATACGAGATGTTGAGCCAAGCCGGGTATGAACAGACCTGCTATAGTTAATACTCGAAAAAGAAAGTGCAGTGTGACCTGCGTAGTCGGTCGTGCTAGCGATAAGCAAGTGCTACCGACCGGTGACGCATCGACCCGCGGCGGTGATTTTTTAGTTTGTTGGCGCTTCGCTCGCTATGCTCGCTCCGCTATTGGAGCAGACTGCCTACGCTTCGCTACGGCAGTGGCGGACCCGTTCCGCTCGCCTCGTCGGCTCGCTGCACTACTCTCAATGTTAGGTTAGTACTACAGAGGCCGGGGCGGGTCCTGCGGCCCCGTATGGTGGGGTCGCCTTCGGCGACGGAGCCGCCTTCGCTGCGCTCGGCGGCTACTCGTACTTAGTAGGATCCGTACTTAGTGAATAAGCGTGACGATTTTGTGACGGACGGACAGCGCGTCTTTCTGATTGATTCTTTAGACTAGCCGAGCGCCGCCGCTACGCGGCGGTAGTTATGAGGTTAGTTGCAGTAGAGTGGGCCGCCCACCTCCGCTTCGCTCCGGTGGGCTAATTAGTTCGGCGTGTTTGTGTAAAACTTGTCAAAAATACAAATTCAAATGCAAAAGAACACGTATTATTCAAAGTTATGTGCAGGACGCCCACCTCGCCGTGACTACACCGTCTCGAAAATTTGTCTGTACACGATGTTCGCTGTGTACGCTCCATCATCTTCTTCTAACTCGGGATATTCAATCAACGCCTTGACCTTGGATCGGGCGGTAACCCGGGAGAGCGCGACGTACAGCTGGCCGTGTGAGAAGCAGGGAGACGCGAGGTACAATCCGAGGTTAAACACCGTTTGTCCTTGGGCCTTGTTGATGGTCATCGCGAACGCGGGCTGTACCGGGAACTGCTTACGCCTCAAGCGAAACGGGAAGTCTCGAGCGTTGTCGTCACTGATGAATACAATCCTGGGAATCAACACGTTTTTTCCGCGGCGCTCCCCCGTCATGATCTTCGCGTGGATGACATGAGGTTTTAGCTTCACCACCCGCAGTCGCGTGCCGTTGCATAGGCCTAAGTCCGGGTTCAGATTTCGCATGAGCATGATTGGTGCTCCCACCTTAAGCGTCAGTCGGTGGGGTGGGATACCGTTAATGTTCACAGAATTCAGGACTTCTTGGTCGAAGAAGTTGCTGTCTTGGTCGTCTTGTACTGAGTCAATAGAGAGATAATCTTGGGCGTCACCCTCCAGGCGCGCAGACACCGCATCGTTAATACGTTGAACCATAGCATTAGTCGTCGTCAAGATAGTACGGCTTGCGAAGTAGTAATCGCCGGGTTGTTGATATCCGCATACATGGCATCAACCATCCGAGTTAGGCCAATTGGGATAGCCCCTGGCATGATCTCAGCGTCCTCGTCTGGTTCTTCAGGCGGGTTCTCAACCAACATGTCCCGCGGGATCTTCATATAGTCGCCTCCAAGGGCAGGGTTCACCTCGTGTCTGCCTTCACCAACTTGTAGAAGGAACTCGGAAAAGGCTGCCAGCTCAGTCGCTGTGCTTGCGCTGTGGGCCGACCGCACTCGCATGTTCTCGGTGAGGTGGGCTTGTTCGAAGTGCTGCCATAGGCTGGACGACTTCAGACAGGCGCCGATCGTTTTGGCAGGCGTGCCTCTCACTACCACGGGCAGAATTTGCCGAAAATCACCTGACAGTACGAACGTTTTCCCGCCAAACGGTTCTTGATCGTTGTCCATGATATCTCGTAGACTACGGTCGACAGCTTCAAAGGCATGGCGGTGGGTCATTGGCGCCTCGTCCCAGATGATCAGACTGGCCTCTTGAATTAACTTCCGGAGTTTGGACTGCTTGTAAAGCGAGCAAGGCGAGTATTCATTCAGCTTGAGAGGAATCTTGAACGTAGAGTGCGCGGTGCGCCCACCCACCAGCAGTAAAGCCGCAATCCCGCTAGACGCCACCGCAAGTGCGACCTTTCCCGAAAGGCGGACACTTGCGAGGATATGCTTGAGTAGTGTTGATTTTCCCGTACCACCTGGTCAGTCGATGAAGAACAGCTTTTTGCCAACTTGAGGATATTCCACTGCATCCATAACCTTTTCGTAGATGGCGCGTTGACCTTCGTTCAGGTCACCGCTACGCTCGTGAATTCGGAGTAACACATCCGGCTCGTAGCCTGTCCGTTCCCGGCGGATAAGGTTGTTTTCCAGCAGAGATTCCAGAACCAAAACCCGGTGCTCGCTCAACTGCGGGAGGTCAAAGTCATGCACGGCATACCCGCTTATTTGCAAGTGGTCGTTAAGTCTCTTGAGCGTGTGGAATTGGACAGTATCCGCCTTGGTCTGACCTTCAAGATTCTTGTACTTCTTCTCGATATCACTGGAAAGTTCTTCGTAGAACTGATCCCACAACGCCCGAACGTCTGTAACATGGGAATACACCAGCAACGTTGCGAACAGCTGGCGCAGTTGCTTCGGCATCTTAAACGTTGCGGCCTCCGACATGCATGCGACCCACTCTTGATCGCCGTCCAGAAAGCCGGCGTGCTTCGCCGCCAAATGATACGTGCTGTAAAGGACTCCATTCACAGTGCGGGCATCCTCGAAGGAAGTCGGTCCCCTGTGGTGACATAGTAACACGCGCAGATAGAAGCGCTCCATATCTCTGGGTGAAACGTGGATCAAGCGTCCAATCACCGCCTGGTAGTTAGTTCTACGAACCCACTTTTTCGCCTTGTCATCCCAGGAAAATTGCTTCGGGATATCTTGGTACAACATGGTCTTGGCAATCTGGTTGCTTGGGTCTTCGCTCGCACATAGCTCGAAAAAGCTCGTCCACATTGTACGTTTCCGCCGATCTGCGACCGCTGCTGGGTCCTCGGTGGGTTGGAAAATCACCGCCTGACCATCTTCTAAGTGAACGGTAAGCTTCGTAACGGAGTGTGTCTTGCCTTGGATATCGTACGCCAAAAGCCGCATACATGCCTCTACCGGTGATATGTATCTGGCGTTCAAAAACCGTAGGATCTCGTTCGGCTTCACACGGGGGCTGTTGGGGTCTCGCACGGCTTCAATAGTAATCACAGCTCTGTCGGACCCTTTGTATACGTACTTGTACAGATACTTCACAGCCGTAATTGCCGTACACACCTCCACGTTGATGTGGCAATTGTACTTTTGCGAAAGGTACGGGTTGTACGGAACCACCCACTGGTTCACTGTCTCGTTGTCGTACGTCTTGCCTTTGTACGTTAGAGCCCCCGTTTCACGCCGGCGCCGCCTGTAGACAGGGTACCCGTCTTGGTTTGCTCGAGTCACTTCTACCAACGGCTTCGGATACCCCTTACTGCACTTCCCGTCCGTCATGCTTGGGCTCGTAGGGTTCGCAGCTCCGCACGGACCATGCATCATGCAACTCATGATCGTTTCGTACAGAGCAGGATTAACGTCCTTGTCGGGCACCTCCGCAGACACCAACTTGTCAATAATCTCGCGAGTCCGAGGCTTGTCTCCATCCTCCAGAATCGTGAGAATGTGGGCGTGTGGAAGGCCGCGCTTCTGGAACTCCACTACGTACATTCGTGCCTGTAGGCGGCCGATTATACCTTCGTCCAAATCCGCTAAAAGGGTTTTGAGCTTTTGTTGCCAGACCCGGGCAACAATATCCGGGCGGTCTTGAGCAGTTTGACCCTCAGGGAGTTTTTCCAGGATCTCTTCCCACTTGGTATTGCACGTCTTGGTAAGGAACACGTCAGATTTCCCGTACTCGCGAACTATAGCCATTGAGTCTTGGTACGCCTTGTACATGTAGCGCGGGCCACCGACATGCGAGTCTGGGAGGATAACCCGTTTACCGATTTGGCCCAGAAAGTGTTCATCTTGGTCGCTGCGTCTCCGGTCTGGGTGTACCAACTCGCCGGTATCCCGATTGAATTCAGACACAATAGCTTCTCCTTCACCTAGCGTCACAGCCGTCTCATTGAGCAACGCGTCTTGAACGCCGTGATACTGGTCCGCACGGATCTCCTTCTGATGCATAGCCACCCATCGCAACTGCTCTTGTTCACACTTAGCTCGCTGGTCGACCACCCACTGCTGGAAGAGCCGACCTCCTTGGAATAGAGCCGATTGATCGCAATCCTTCTGGAACAGTCGATAAGCGGTATGCTCGCGCAGCGCCATCTTCGTTTTCTTCCTGTTCTTTGCTCCGTCCGCGTACGTGTTTGTGTACGTCCATCCGAGGTCGCCGTATGGAAACAGCAGGGGATATTGAAGTGGATCATACTTCTCGTCGGTCTCGAATAGGCGCAACAGTTGCTGGTCTTTAGCGTAGTGAACCAGGTCGCGAGACTTGGGAATGTTACCATCCGTAACGACAACGGCGCCGACTTCCGAAACCGTTGGCAAGTTGTGCGTCCCTGGATGGGAAGGCTTGGCCTGCAGCTTGTACTTAATGTCCATGATGGGGATACCTTT